CGGCCTTGGTAGAAAGAAGGTATCCATCTAACTGCCCGAGTGAAGTAGAGGTTAGATATGCGTAACGAGAAATAACTCACAGATGTTTGGTTTCGCTTCTCCCGCAGTATTACTACCTACCGACCTGCAGTACTTTGCAGTATAGGCCGTATGAGCAGGAAGTAAACAAAGCTAATAGCACTGATCAGGTAATATCTAGTTGGTACTATACAGTAGAAGCTGGTACGAAAAGAAAGGATGGCACAACTCATCCTTTAAAAGCTGTTCTTGTACCACCTGAACGGCAATTTTGTCCATACCATGTGGAAGATGAATAAATACTGAATGTATCAAAGAACGCATAATATGTAAAGGCTAAGTTTCAGGTAGGGAAAGCGATGCAAGAGAAAGTATTTGATAATGTGGAGAGAGGATGTAGTTGAATGGAATGGATAGAAGATAGAGGTATAGTACTTGAATGTTTCCACATGGTCTAAAGTTTCGACCACGCTGGTTCCACTTCGAGGACTTCTTGTTCTCTCCCAATTCCCGCAAAGGACGAGGATTGGTCCCGAGAGATGGCGTAAGTGACGACAAGAGTATGTCAACAGCAACAGCTCAAAGTTCCATCGTGATGACAGCTCAGCGGATTTGCTGGAACAAATGAAAGAAATGACGACCTTCATGCACTGAGGGTCCGTAGAGACGAAGGTATCGAGCCGGTCGACTTGATTTTAAAAATTGGAATAATTTAGATCTATTCTCCTTCTTCATAAATGCTACATTCCTGCCAGCCAATGCAAGTTTCCCAATACGCCGCCTTTTCCCATCCAAATAGCCCACAGGTATGCCAAACACCAAGTCCATTTAAATCGTAGATCATACAGAGCCATCCTTGTTTAAAATCCGCAGTCCTAGCCCAAGCCAGTCCCTACAGCATTCTTCTTCGGCGGCACTCGTTCACTCTTCAACAAGCCTCTCCACATGTGTAGTCCTACTCCCCATCCTCTTCACACCTATGCCACTGCCGCCACTCATCACCCTCTCAATCCCCAACCCCATCTTCCCGCACTCATCATCCACACTCCCGATCCGACTCGTACACGGACTAATACCACTCCACACACTACCCTCCTTCTCCTTCCCTCCACACCCATCCCCACTCCCCCATTCAAAAGCCCTCAGCATATCCACATGTACCTGGCTCTTCCGCCCGGGCCGCCGCACACTAGGTTGTTTCCACTCCGCCTTGTCCTTCTTCTCCCACTCCTGCAGCCTCTGGTCACGGCTTTCTTCTTTCTTGTGCTTGCGTGATGAGGAGTGGAAGGTTAGGGTTTTCGACAGGCTGAGGCGGGACGTGGATTTTGCGAGGGGCGGCGTCGGGGGCGTCGGGGGCATCGGGACTGTGGATGCGTGGGAGAGAGGGGTGGGAGAGGGAGTCTCTAAAGAGCTCGAGGAGGAGCGGTCGGAGCGGGTGAAGCGGCGGATACGATCTCTTATTGCCATTGCTGTTGTTTGTGTGCTTGTTCGCTCGTCTCAATTACAATTCTTCAATCTGTCTGTCTTCTGCTTCTTTTCTGTGCCAAGTTCGATTGCAGGAATAGGAAGCCGGAAGTCGGCGGTAGGATTATTGAGCCGGTTCAGAAGTATTATGTACAGCAGTACAGCAATTCGTCGTGGTCGTTGATGTTGTCGTGCTTGGTGGCAGATGCGTAAACATTGATATACTCCGAGTAGGCGTGCTGGGATTATATTGTGGAGGGAGTTCACGGAGACCGTGGAGAAGGGCCATCTTTCGTTAGAATTGTGGAGGATTTGACTTTCAAGCTGTCAAGGTATGTCCTTGCGGTGCAATAATGACGCTTGAATGGCTCGGCGTTTGGCGCTATGAGCCTGGATGCCTGTACCAATATCGGCTCCAGCGAGAGAATACGGGGAAGCCGAAGGAGATTCACGTGATAAAGGCAGGTATCCCAATTCAGTGAGATATTTTGCGAATATTTTGAAAGAAAGGGAAGGTATCTGTGTGAGAAGTTTGGAAGGTCTAGAGCATTGTAGGGTCTCAGAAGTGTTTAATGTTTCTATGCGATGTGAAATAGTCATCTGACTAAGCCTTGGATTCTAAGGCCTTGTCCTGTATCGACATATCGACATATACACTTGCACAAAAGCAATTGCCTAAAGACCGCTGAGTAAAGCTGATGTGCTAGTCTCAGAATCTTCAAGCTTTTGAATTGGTTGTTACCTTACAGAGATTGACTAAGGCCTAGTGAGTGAACTACGATAATTCTGACATCAAGTCTCAATAGTTCAGATCACGGGGAAAGGAAGTGGGAAATCTAACCATGTTGTCCTTCAAGTTTTTGACTGGCTATCAAAAACCAAATGCCTATGCTGACCCCCCAGTCATGCCTCGGGTCTACCGTCGACAATTCTGGAATCCCTCACTCTACCCCATCCCGTGCGCCCAAGCTTGTAGCAATTATCGCTGGTTACATTAAATGGATGCCATGGCCCAAAAATAATCTACCAAACCTTACTCTCCACAGGCGCCTCAGATGATGTTCCCGCCTCCCCCGCTAACAACTGTGATGATCTCTGCACTGGCGGTCGACTGGTCTTGAGCTTTCTGTGACTGATCATTGAATTCAACAAACACAGCCTGGTTCGCCTGGATGATGATAGCAGGATCAGCACCTTGGGAACCAAAGTTGAATTGAGGTGCTTGTTGGAGATCAGCTGGGAGGAGATCGATGTTTGGGGTGTAGCCTGGGAATTGAGCTAGATCTGGCTGATAGGTGCCAATAGCTGTTGCATTTGCCGCCGCGCTGACTGATCCGGTTGATTGTGCTGCAGAGGAAGATCCAGTGGGGCTAGCACCGTTGGAATTGGAGTTAGAGTTGGAGTTGGACCCGGAGCCACCGACTTGGATAGTGTTCTGCTCTTGGATGATGACCACAACTTGCTCTTGAACATTGGAATTGCTTTGGATCTGTCGAGTCATATATCGATTCTTCTGATTTCCTCCGCGATTATCCGACACTTGTTGAACAATTACGATAATGGTGTTCTGCAATTGTTAGGCGGTATTTGAGAGGGATGGCATAGACAACATACCACATTGCTATTCTTATTCTTGAAATGATTTTTCCGGATATTGTCAACAATGCTGTTTTGCAATTGGAGGAGGAACAATTGCTCCTGCACAAGAGCCACCAACTCTTGCTCGAGCAGAATTTGCTGTAGTTGTAATATGTTGGCTGCGAGCTGGTTGATGATGACAACAGTCTGTTTTGAAAAACTGCTAAAATCCTGTTGGATGCTGATATCGGTCACGGAGGCGATCTGATTGATAGAACTTTGTCGCTTCTTAGGAGTCCATGTCAATCCTCGTTCGGCAGGCATAATAGCTTCGCGCTTTATAGCAGCATGCTCCTCGAACCTCGAATTCAGATGAGGGGCTGTCTTTTATTAGTCACGCTCACGATGATCGACGTGCGAATACTGACCAGCAGAAGAAATGGCAGCAAACCCCAACATAGACACAGACAATGTTAAAAATAACATGATGATGATAGTTGATAGTTGAGCAAGATGCAGTATATTAAAATAAGGTTTGTAAAAGGACTGTGGCGGCCACTGGGGCGCTCGTTGAAAAGAATGAGGGGATCTGATGGCACTGGTATAGACTCACAGAGGTACCAGGAAAATCTCCATGAAGGTGGTGAGATCGATACTTAATATACTAAGCCTGCTTACAACGATACGTGGGTAGATCTCCCCGGAACCATTGATGTCCGTTGATGCGTCTACCCCAGAGCCTGGGTATCTGAGTTTAATCGGATTAGGCTCATAACCAGGGAGAGACCCCCATTCAAGACAGTGCCTTGATATTCCAACCTTAATGCATTTCCAGAAGCTTGTCCCTTTGCCGAATAGAGGTGACCCGCCAGGGATCTCTCTGTGTTCTCGCCGCTCAACTTTTGCGATAGCATAAGGCCAGGCCAACACTAGAGCTGTTTGACTTGTCTGATGGCTGAAAATGCGCTGATGACCGTCCCATCAAAGAAACGGGATGATGGAAAACCGTTCAATGGGCAAACTCTAAACAATAATTGACCAATCGATGGGGTCATGAGGGGTTAAGCTCCAAGCGAAGAGAAGCTTGCCTCGAGCCCCTGTCTCGCTGGAGACGTAGATGAAACCGGGACGAGTTTGGTCGGCGAATTCTGCCAGTATGCAACACAAAAAACAGTGACACAGCTTTACCGCTGTCATAAAGAGGCTATATGTAAGTGATTTTATCGATAAGATGATAAGATAATGCCAGGAATTGTCCGAGGAGTCCATACAGAAGTGCTGAAAGTTCCGATGTTCAAGACGCTTTGTCACTCTCTAACTCTCAAGACCCAAGTGACCTTGGATGAAGATGCGATGCAACAAGATACAAAGTAGTGAACCACAATATGTGACGGTACAGAAGGGGTCAAGACGGAGCGGGAAGAAAGTCTAGAGCCTTTGAAATCTGATAATTTGAACTTACTACTTAGATGAGACTATGTATTGACTTCATCTCTGTCAAGAGTCAATGGCCAAGGCTATATCTCTCTGAAAATATATCGAGACCGAGACTTCTGAGATGTATGGAGTAACGTGCTGAATTCAGAAGCGCTGTACCGGAGTATGGTTACATCAGGAATTCCAAATAGAAGACAGAATCGCGGAGAAGACCTAAAAGATTGTTCTAAGGGTTTCGTGACTTGCACAGCCTCTGTTGTTTCAATGAACACCGGAAGACGGATCTCAAGCTGCAATGTGTGAGGATTTTCATGCGTTAGCGCGCAGGGGCATAATGCCTCGAAGAGTATATCCTCACTCAAGTTGAATGTAAGTGTCCGAAAAGTGAGTTTGCATCTATAGCGTTCCTACAAGAACTGGCCATAAGAATATCATAAAGACGGAAAGAGAAGGAGGGGAGGTTCTCGCGACATGTTTTCGAGGTTCTCCACGTGACTGCACTAATGCCTCCCCACCAAACCCAATCAGGCGAGCTAGGGTGGGAGCTCCAATTCGGTAAAATTTTATTTTCCCAAAAAATATCCAAAGACTTTCAACCCGCAACGAAAGCTTACCAACACCAAGCAATTCTCCCACACAACACAGAGAATGGCATTCACACCCAGAGGCGGACGCGGCGGCGGAGACCGTGGAGGACGAGGCGGATTTTCCAGAGGAGGAGATCGTGGGGGACGCGGAGGCTTTTCTAGAGGCGGTGGTGATCGTGGGGGACGAGGAGGGTTCTCAAGAGGTGGACGAGGTTAGTACTTTATTCCTCAGCTACTCGAGAGAGATCTCGATTGGTTGAGCTTCTGAAAACATGTTTGCGATTGCGCATGAAAACAATCCCCATTATCTACAAGAACAAGGATGACTGACCGGAGTGTACGAGATAAAGGTGATAGCAGAGGCGGACGAGGACGCGGCGCACCTAGAGGAGGAGGAGGACGAGGAGGAGGAGCCAAGGGAGGCGCAAAGACCATAGTTGTATGTTCTATCCACTTACCCCTCCAATTCTTCAATCCATTAACCAGCCACCCCACAGGAACCCCATCGCCACGCCGGTATCTTCGTCGCCCGTGGAAAGGAAGACATGCTGGTAACCAAGAACCTGTCCCCCGGCGTATCCGTCTACGGCGAAAAGCGCATCAGCGTCGAGAACTCGAGCGGCGCCGACGACACCGTCTCCAAGACCGAATACCGTGTCTGGAACCCCTTCCGCAGTAAGCTGGCAGCTGGTGTCCTGGGAGGTCTGGACGAGATCTTCATCAAGCCCGGCGCCAAGGTGCTGTACCTGGGTGCTGCCTCTGGCACATCCGTTTCGCACGTTGCTGATATCGTTGGACCGACCGGGACTGTCTTCGCAGTCGAGTTCTCGCATCGTTCCGGCAGAGATCTGATAAACATGGCCACGCACCGCACAAACGTCATCCCAATCATCGAGGATGCGCGCCACCCGCTGAAATACAGAATGCTCGTCTCCATGGTCGATGTCATTTTCGCCGATGTCGCACAGCCAGATCAAGCACGTATCGTTGGTCTCAACGCACATTTATTCCTCAAGGTCGGAGGTGGTGTCGTGGTGTCTATCAAGGCGAATTGTATCGACAGTACTGCTGCGCCCGAAGCCGTGTTTGCACGAGAAGTTACCAAGTTGAGAGAGGAGAGGATCAAGCCTTTGGAACAATTGACACTTGGTGAGTCACGATTCTCAATCCTCGATCCTTTGCTTTACAAACTGTCCAATTACTAACTACCTCTAGAACCTTTCGAGAGAGACCACGCCATGGTCGTCGGTCGCTATGTTCGCTCTACCACATAGGATCCCCCTTTGTGGTAATCTTACTTTCCTCTTCGCGCTCAGGTCACGGCATGGTAAAGCATAATCAAGCGATGTTGACAAAGTCAGCGTGTCCAGAGTAAAAATTGCGGTCTCTCTTGTCAGGATATGGACGGATGTTTCGCTTTGCTTTTTTCTAACTGTTTTGCTCTCTCTGGTGTAACTACAGGTCTGGCGTCCAGGTTCTGAATACATAGGGTCTATTGCGCGAAAACAAAAATATGAATATCACCAGCGTTCTAAATGCACATTCAAGAAGTGATATTATCTTGCTCGTAAAGATATTTGCATTTATTCAAGGTATATTCCATAAATACCCACCCCACCCATTCCATTCCATGCTCTCTATATGACATTAAAACTCCCCTTCCCCCCATCCATCTAATGCAGTACCAAAAAAAAAAAAAAATGAGTATATCCTCCCTTGCCCAGATAATATACACCCATCCCATCCAACCGGAACCAGTATATGAAAGACTGGGAAACTTATACAACAAAACAAACAAAATTCGTAAAATGATTGAGAAGAGAAGAAAAGACATCAACTCATCCCCCACCACTCTGCACAAGCCCCAAGATCTGACTAGCATGCGCCCCCATCTTGGCCTGAAACAGCCATTTCTGCGTCCTGCCACTCACACCCCCCGTCGCACCAATCATGCCCAGCTCGCCATTCGGGCCCCTGATATCCTGCCAGATGGTACACATGACGCCCTTGATACCCATCTGCTGGAAGCATCTCGATCCCAGCACCTCGTCGATGATAGCCTTTCCCGGCCCGTCTTTGTGGGCATGTGGACGCAGCGTAACGAGGATGCGTTTTTCCAGACCGTTGTGGAGCGTCGAGTGTTGGCGCCGGCCTTCGGGCGGTGTGACGGTTAGGTAGGCGTATTTCTTGTCGTCCCAGTCGTGGCGTACGCGCTCGTACAGACGGATCTTTATATCTTCGCTGCCGAGGTCGATGTTTGCCTGGTTGCTCGACGAGAAGAATGAGGTTGGCGTGCGGGGAGGCGTCACGCCAGATGCGGACGAGTATGTGGATGCTGAGCCCGAGTTCTCGCCGCTGCGACTACCACTGCCACTGCCGGTGATGTCTACAGAGGACTTCTTGATGTTGAAGATGGAGCTGCCGCTTAGACGATTTCGTAGAGCTGACATGGCAGATGCTGAGGATCGGGCGCTCTCGGATGCCATCTCGGAGGGGGCTCGCGCTGTAGCACGGTAGCTTTGTTTTCTACGGAGTCCAAGGAAGTTGCGTCCCTTTCCTTTTATTGCTGCTTCGTAGGCGTTTGAACCGAAACCACTGACTCGTCGCTCTTCTTGCATGGCATTGTAAAACATATTATTCATCCTCGATTCCTTGAGCGCAGTATAGATGCGACTGGTATCTGTGGGGGTGAGCATTCGATATCTGATGTGTGCGCTCTTGCAATGCAGCTTGGAATCGGCTGTCAACGGTGAGCGAACTTGAATGTCAAGCGTGTGGCCAGTTAGAGTAACAATGGGCGTTAGAACTTGCACGATCAGAGGTTTTTCTGATTTCGAGGATGATTCGGTGGTAGCTAATTCAAAAGCCTTGAGCCATCCTGGCCCAATATGCAGGGAGCAAGGTTCCGCGTACAAGTCAACCCAAGAACCTTTATCGTTCCAGTAGGAGCAACCGACAACAGTGAACTTCTCTACATCATCGGCGGAAGATGTAATAATGGGGCCTTGGTAAGGGGCCTGTGAAGCAGATTGCGAAGGAGCAATAGTGCTATTTTGGAGACTGTAGATTGAGCCTTTAGGCGACAACCGCTGGGGATATATGGGAGTAGTAGTAGGAACATCTTGTATTTCAAGCTCGTCATCTTCAGAAGACACATACGAATCGCTGTCGCTATCTGACTCCACGGATGAGGAGTCGGAGTCGGACGCTCCGGATTCAACAGAAGGTTGATATTCATGCTTTAGTGGCGACGAAGATCGTCGGTTCAATGACTTTGGAGTAGGGGCATCTAGGATAGGAACATTCTTGAGGGTGCTTGGACTTAGAGGCCGCTTATGAGCAGGAGGAGGGGGAGCGCCATCATCACGAGTTGATAAAGCCGATTGACTTCTCTGCTTCACAGAATCTAGCTCTGGGCTCGTAGATTCCTTCAATGGCGTACTTGGCCCCTCGGGTGTGGTCGGAGTGCTGGAACTTCGTCTCTTTGGGATATAGGGCAAATTAAATGTGGCACCTGAACTGCTGGTAGGTCTTTGGGGATCGGATGGCGTTGGAGTCGTTTGGGAATCAGGTGTGCTTGGCCTTTGAGGCGTTGTTGGGCGAGGGCTACTTGGTTTGCCATGATATCTGGCTGCTCTGGCTCGCTTTGGAGTTCCCAAAGACCCAGCTTTGCTCATAGCATCATTGAGATCCTTTAATTTTTCGTCAACAATTGATTCCTCGACAATAGGTTCGGGAACGTCAACTGGCGGCGTTCTCCTAGACACCCGACGACGACCTTCCCTGGGTGTGACACTCTCTTCGGCATCTCGTCGCACCTTTTCTCCAATTGGGATTTGAAGATTGTCCGTATCCAAAGCTCCAGACATAAGGAATCCACCCTTGCTAGGCACAAGAGAGACGACCGAGGTGACGTGATCAGTGATTTCAGCATCACTTCTCATTATTGGAGGTACTGGCTCTGTACCCAACATTTCGATCCACTCCGGCGCGGCTTCCGGCTCTTCGGCGTCAAGAGTCAATACTTCACTCCATTCATCCTTGCCTTGTCCTCTTATCAAGACCACCAATTGGCCGGGTTTGTCACCGCTTCTTGCCGATATATTTTCTTTGGTAATAGGAGGAAATAAGAGAAAAGGCTTCGAATTGTGAGTTTCGCAGACCAAAACATCACCTGAATCACCGCCAGATTTGTCGCGAAAGAACACCTCGACATGACTGGTAATCCGGTTACCGCTGGTGTGAGGAAGATCAAGGAGAAACAAATCACGAGCTTGAACTTGGCGGGTGCGATCTATAGTTGTCTTTTCAGCCAAAGCCAATGTTTTCAGATCCCGAGCTTTCGTCGTATCTGTGTTATTAGCCCGATTGTCCTCGAGCCGAGCATTTTCTTCCTTGTGTCGACGCCGAGAGGCTTGCAGGAGATCATGGAATCTCTCCTTGGCATTTTGACTCTTCTCAGTCGGCGTCAATGCATCGAGACCCTATTAACAATTAGCTTTGCTATGACTCGCAGTTTCATTCTTACCTTGATAACCTTCTCCAAGTACTTGACTCTCACCAAGGGTCTTTTAAGAAAGTAAGACACATCCGCACGCTGTCCATTTGCACCCAAGACATCTCCGTTCTTATCACGTGGTAGAGCCTCCATATCTGTTTGTTCATCACCAGATTGAGACGGGGAAGCCGGTGCAAGGTTGACAACAACATCGTTGAAGCCAGCCCTCCAAGCTCCAAGATATTCCGAGTAAGTCTGGTGCGCTGAGAGGGCCCAGTTAAGGAAAGCGACTGGGTCAACAAGTGGAGTGCGTTTGTGAAGCTTCTTTAGCTTTTCGAGAGCAACTCCCATGTCGATAATAGGTTTCGTGAAAGATGGATCTGTCGTTGACCCATCGCTATGCGGATCAAAAAGTCCTGAAGCAATGGCGGAGTCGGACTTCGACAGGACACAAGTGAGTAGAACGGGGATAACCCCATCGACCAGCGTATTCAACTCTCTTATGTACTTGGCCTCATCTTCCGCCAACTCTCGCATCAAATCATAAACAGTGGCTGTCTCAATCTTCGTCCTTGTTGTCCTGATGCTGCGAGCAGATTTGATACTTGTTGTGCTCTCGGGCCCAACAACATCGGGTAGTGACAACACAGAAACTAAATCCGAATGTTTCGTAAGTCTTCTCTTTAGTCCTGAACTTTTGCTCTTGTGGCTGTTGCGTGACAGGCTTGACGATGTGGGAGCCGTGAGAACGGTCGCCTGCGTAACCGTAGTCTGGGAGAGCTCTGAACCAGTCCCTGTCGCCGATGAAGATGTGCTGAATGTCTCTACAGATGCAATGGTTGACAGCCTGTGCCCCCCAAAGTTTGGCGGGGTCCTTCTACTAATCTGTGGTAATGGCTTTTCTCGCTTTGTCTCCTCCAAAGGCGGTTGCTCATGCCGTGGGCTACTTTTTCGAGGAGTGTCCTCAGACACGAGACTAGGTTCTCGATTTGATTTGAAGTCTGGTGGACTTGAAGTAGCAGAATTTATATCTCTCTCACGGAGGCCAATTATATCAACAAACGGATTGGACACACTTTTTGGGCGTGTTGATGATTCGCCTCTGAAAGCCTCGATAAAGGGTATTTTTCTCCCAGTTTTAGGTGAAGTCACATTTCGAGTCGCCGGAGTTCTCTTCAAACCAATAGGAGATATTGGCGGCGAGTTCTCCATACTCGGAAGATTGTCGCGGGTTTTGCGGTTCTCGAGGGGAGGTTTTTCCTCTTCGAGGATTGTTTCTTCTCGCTCTGGAACACTACGAACTCGACGTTTTCGTTTACTCTCGCTTCGTTCGGCATCACGCTGAGCTGTGAGATCTTTTTCGGACTGATCATCTTCTTTGAAACTTGGGTTCCGAGTCGGGGAAGGTGCAGGTATATCTAGTTTTGTTTCCCCTGAACGGTCGACAAATGGATCTTGGGTGCCCTTGAGCCAGGACTCAATACTGGGTGGCTGATTCGTTCCACCTCTAGGCGGCTCTACAGTATCACGAGCAATATTCATGCCTTCATTAAACACTTTCTTCAGGGCTTTTGGTACAGCAAAACTGGAAGTTCGTTTCGGAGGAGGGCGCTTCATAGTCCCAGCTTCAGCACCCAGTGGGAGTTCGAGAACGCTAAAGGCAGAATCACCAAAGGGAACTTCATCCAAGGACTCAGGGGGGGTCCGAGATGATTTTCGTTGTCGTCTTTTAGAATTCTCGGCTGGACTTGGGGTCACCCATGAGGACCTGTCGTCTTCACCATGGTCGCTGGTAGCGCGAGAGCTTGGTACACGCCTCCCTTTTGACTCTGAGGGTACCCTGAGATTTTTTTGGCTCTTCTTCCTGGTCGGAGTCTGGATGTCACTAGATTCGTCATCTGGAGGGGCATTCTTGCCAGACCGTCGTATAGGCTTTATCCTGATGCTATCGTCAACGGAATTTTCTCTAGATGGCTTTATTCGGATTCCATCATCTAGATAAATTCTCTCGGAGGATTTTGACTTTTCTCTTCGCCCGTCGTCTCTAGTGCTTTTCGAAGGAGTAATTCGAATTCCATCATCTTGAGGACTATCTCTCGAAGGATCTGCATCCTTGGGCCGACGTTTTGATGGGCGTATTCGAATTCCATCGTCATTACCATCACCACTGGAAGGCGCCAAACTTTGATCATCGTGCTTTAATGGTCTCACTCTGATCCCATCATCGAATGAATTTGCCGGAGAATGTCGCGCGTGAACGCCACCATCAGGAGTTGCAGTTCTAGAAGGCTTCAGCCTTCCACCATCATCCGAAACATCTTGCCTCGAGACCCTTCGACTCCTAGGCTTGTCTCTCGGCTTCTCGGGCTCGGGCTCATCGCTCTCGGTCCTCTTGACCCAATCCTGAATCTTGGTACTTAACGGTGGATTCACCGCTGTAGCTTGCAAAAAGTTCTTCGGTATAGGAGCGCCTTTGCCAGGCGGCGATCTTCTCTTCTCTTTCATCCAATGCGAATCGCTAATAACCCTCTTCTTCGGCGCCGCAACACTAACCTTCTTCACTCCCCCCTCTGGTCCTTCCTTACTCCTCCTCCTCCCCGTAGATCTCTTCCTCTCACGCAACTGAAGGCGCACCCTCTCCTCCTCATCACTCCCATCGTCGTTCTCCCAGACATCATTATTACCAGCTTCCGACGAGGCTGCAGCGAGCGGGTCAATGACTATTTCAGCAGCGTTCGCTTTCTGCCATTGCTTAACTCGGTCCTTGACTCCCCCAGGGGCTTGCACAGTATCCATATTCTCGACGCGCATCTCCGCCTTGACGGCATCGAGGCTCTGTCTCCTCTTGCGCGAGGGACTTGGTCTGCCGAGCAGGAAATCGCCAAGGAGTGTAGGTTCGGCTTTCTTGATGCCTGCTCGGGCGCGCGCAGGTGCAGAGGTAGGCGCGCGAGTTTTGTTTTGCGCGGAGGCTTTTGGGGTGGGTGTTGTTGTAGCATTGCCAGCGAGCGTTCGACGTGGTGTGTTGTTCGCAGAGCGAATGCGTTTGGTTGGTGTAGATAGGCCGGGGTCTTCTTCTGGGGGGTTGGCTTTGGGAGAGGATGCCATGGCCTAAAAGAGGGAATTGGAGGTTAGACATTCCTGGCCATGTTGAAGTATGGAATGGGAATGTAGAGCTGGGAGAGGTGTGCAAACAATGTGTATCAAGTCACTTACTGCCAACACCACGCTTCCTCGACAACAACAATCAACAAATAAGCTTGCCTCCGCCGAACAGTAGGTTTGAAAGAAGGTTTTGAATATGTATTTCCGACATCGAATCTGGCGTTGAGCCTGGAGTCTCTGGGACGAATTGATGAATCGATGATCCAGGTGATCTGATCTGAATCTAGATGCACTGATGGGTGGGTGATCCGGACTGCAATTGGCTGATCTCTGTTGTTAATATATTTTGGCCGCTGGTATGGCAACGACCTTCACAACCCCACCCAAGCTTCACTTCACAAGACAATAATGATTCTCTTTGGAGAGAAGTACGTGAAACACCATTATACTCCGAACAGGGACACGGATTGTGTAGTTATACCTTTGTTTGTTTATCACGAAGATAATATCAATACTAAAACTTCCTTGGTTTGTTTACCTTGGATACACTTGCATAAGTCTCGTCGGACAGACAAAAGGGCGGCACTAGACTATAATGTTTTCGGCTGAGTGGTACACTGAAAAGCAGCCATATCAAGTGCCGCCTTTTGTGTCCACGGCGAATCAAGCTTTCCACCAAATAGCCTAGCTAGAAACTCCATTCAACTTTTCCTTGGAGTAGAGATAGTCCTGTTTATTATTGTTTTACTGATTAGCAACAATACCGGTATACAATCATCGTGGTTGCCTTCCTTCCACTGCACTTTCAATCAGTCACTCCAGCACGGCCAACAGCTGAAGCCACAAGACAAACACGACAAGTACAGTACGACTCCAAAACATAGTCTTTTCCTTACGCTGTATCCTTGTTTATTTACACCTTCACACCTCCTTTTAGAAACGGAAAACCTATTAATAGCTATATTCGCATATTCATTCGCCGAGATCGTCTCATGCTTATCTCACTACATGTAGACTTCCACGATCGATACTACTATACAATATTTTCAATTCTACCACCCTTCCCTTTCCCCTTCTCATGGATCTCGCAACCACACAATCTAATTCAATCAACTCAACTCAGTCACTCACTCACTCAGTCACTCTAAACAAAAGAAAGGGTTGAAAGGACCAGCTTTAGTTACGGAGTATACCCAGGAGTACCGTAGCGAACATGTTGCAGGTCATAGCTTTGGAATTTCTGTTTTGAGTCCAAATGGGAAGGGAAGGAAATACGATGCAGAGGCTAAGATATATCAGGAGATTAATGGCGCATCAGCCTGGGCCAAATTCATTTCGGTAGTAAAGGAGTAAGGTACCAGGTTCTCACTAGTTGAGGAATCCCGCATCGTTAGGAGAAGCGTTTCGGGAGAAAAACCTTGCATTCTAATCTTCGTATGCAATAGTCCAATCTATGGGGGTATCCTCTAGATGTATGAATGCAGTCTAGAACCTCATATTCATCAATCATGCGCCAGACCAGTACTTCCCCAATCCGCCCGGTATTGCGAACTTCTACTATGCGTCTATGTAATAAAACCAGGCGTTGGCGCTCGACTTGACTGGAATCTATTTGTTCTTCTTTACTGAGCCATTTGCGGACCCGTTCTTTAGGTTCAACTCTTCGAGAGTGTTGAATGCTTGCGCAATGGTTCGGACGCTTTTCACTAATAGAACTTGGGATTGTTAGCTTGCATCTCCCCATAGAGGAATTGTGAACATACTGCCAGGGAAAATCATCCAAATGAAGTTCACCGAGAAGTAGTAAACCCAGAAATAGAGGAATTCCGGTCTACTGTACGAAATCTCCTTGTAATAGTGATCGAACATGCTAGTGGCATAGTAAAGAATCAACCCGTACATCTGTCCCACGCACACAATAATCTGCAGCGGATGTCGCAGAGCATGGGATGTAGTTATGAAGGCGGCGACGACAAAACAGAGGGGGCCCCACGTAAACTATAATTTGACCAAGATAATTAGCTAATAGTCTGTGCCGTAACTAAACAGTGTGGGGAAGCCTTACAGCCGTGACGGTCTCCATGCAAAGCACAAAGGGATCCGAGGTCAAGTACCTCGAGTCACTCAATGCGTACTCCTTCCATAGCTGGCCAAACAGATCCTGCGCAGGGCCCATGCGCGTATGGTTGATTGAAAAGTATCCTTCGAAGAAGAGGTGAATGGCGCCCGACAGCACAAACCACCAGATGGCAGCCTTTTCGCTGGAGGGGAGGTTTGGGTGTCTTCGATTGACGATGAATAGGGTAGCGAAGAGGATGGATGCGCAGACTGCGGTGAAGGTTGCGAGGAGGACTTGCATTGACCATTCGTTTGCCAGATAGCTTGCGATCTCGACCTCGAGAGGGTAGTAGGGATGGTTGGTTATCATTAATGAAGGAAAGGAGCTGTTAACGCTCTCGCTCATGATGGAGGCCATTCTGGATGCTGGTTAGGATTAGGGATTCGAATGTCTGTCTCCAATTGAAAGAGGGGGGGGGGGATGGGGATGTTTGTTGAAATGGGGAAGGGCGAGAAAATCAAGTTGGGGAAGGTGTGGCCAAGTTGGACAAGGAGGTAGGAGGTAGGAGGTGGTGGCTTGGAAGCTTGGAAGCTTGCGGGGGGGGGGGGTACTGTAACGTGAATCAGGGCTCAGCTGAGCAACAGCTGCCTTTTCCCTGGCTGTGCTGGACCCCTTCCCCTTCCTTGTACCTACTCCTACTGTACCCTACCCTACCTAGAAGCTTGAGCTCTACATCTGGTCTGGTCTGCCTTGGAATGAATTCTCGCTTAGGTACCTTGATTTCACTGGACTGGCAGACTGGTATTTAGCTTAGCGCAGGACCCTTCATGCATCATTGTCGATCTAGATGTTACCCTTGCAAGGGCACCAAGGGGAAACACCAGCTAAGGGAGCTCGATGATTGGTGGTATCAAAGGATTTACCGTTTCAAGATTAATTTTATAATACATTCAGTATTAAGTATTTTGTACTTGCATGGTAAATATCAGTACTTTAATGTACAGTACTTCACCCAGATCGTAAATAATGCATTTCTGTTGAGGTTATAAGATTCTACACTCCCGTCGCGTCGCTTGTCACAGACAGTGGATCTAGTACCCAGCCCCACCCAGCCCCAGAGGTACTCAATGCAATGTGGCGGAGGAGGACTCGTCACTGATATGATTCCCCTCGGCTCTGGTGACTGCTGACTTGTTCTTGACTCTGGTCACTGCTGATGGCTCAACTTTCAACAGTTCTCAATTGGTACGGACAAATGGCCTCATCCAATATTCCAAAGTTGTTATCGAGATGTCACTCCCAAGTAGGTCACTAGCCAACATTATTGCCAAGCTATCATGTAATCCTACCTGCCCGCATCTCCACGTGTCCGCCAGGTGCCTTAGTAGTGTACCTACGAGAACACCAGTAACACCACGCGTCTGGTAGACTGAACTTTCGTACTGCTTATGCTTATGCTCATGTCCACGGACTGCTTTCAGGTCCCACAAACTTTCGAAATTGAAATGTATCATCGACTTCGTCACTCCCCCCGCTCATTGTCGTCATGTCTTCTTCCTCCATCAAAGACTCAATCGTCTTTCCACGCCGTCTTTTCTCGTCCGCGGATACCAAGGTCAAGGGTGATTCCTCTCTCTGTCCATAAATATCAAATCCTCTTATTACAGCATCTTGCCATGGTACATCACCGTCATCCGTTTCAGAGACCGATGCAAGCATGCAATCCTGCGTATCACTGAATAGCATCGCCGGGTGCTCCGCGTCGACGTTCAGCCAACGCACAATTGTCTTACCAATAACCTTGCCGCCTGGGATTTCAGTCGCAAAGTTGACGACTTTAGGCTTCTCCCACGATGGATCCCAGAGGTGTACGAGGCCTCGCGTTTCCTCGCCTTCGCATCTGATCATAAGCAACTCATCTATTTTCGCATGCCAAGTGACTCTTGCGATTGGAGAATGCAAGATCATGACTGCTCTGAGTATTCGCGTACCAATATCCCAGATCCAAATCGTGCTTGGCATGCTCTCGGTTCTTGTGGCTAACAAAGTCCCCGAATTATCAAATGATAATAGGTTCGTGCCAGTTTTGACATCGTTATTACTGGCTGGGGTAGTTCCTGAGGTCGGTGGGCATATTGCTTGCGTTGCTGCCGCGAATTCTCGTTCTACCCCTCCATGCTGTGAGGGAACGATTTGTTCTTGCCATACCTGTAGAGACTCGGCCGGGGTGACTGATGTCGTATGAATAGCATTCATGGATTCATTGAAAGAAGGCGTTGCAAGAAGAGTGACCCTAGAGCTGTAATCGCCAATTGCAACATAAGTTCCCGTTCTGTTCCAATCAAGCATCTTGATACCAGCGCCAAGCTCGATATCAGCTTCCTCGTGGCAAGTTGGATTTGGCCCGTTCCATGTCTTGTAAAGATGTCCATCCGCTGTGTATACGAATATCCGATGCCCTTGCGAAGCAGATTCCCATACTGCAAGCCACCTTCCATCCGGGCTCCAAATAATCCCTTGAGCATCGATGCTTTCTGAATGCCACGCTCTCATGACCTCCAGATTCTCTAACGTATGGATGCTTATGATGTCCTTCCCTCCGCTTCTCGTCAAGAGAGCCAGATTCTTTGTTCCTGGGCGATATGAGAAGCCCTTGCCGGCACTGCCTGGATGATAGAATTTTGGTGAGTTGATGTCAACTGACTTTGATGTTGCCAGATTCATGATGGACAGCTTCAGTCCAAAGTCCGAGAAAACGCATATTTCATCATCGGTAGCCCCAAATGTTATGTAGGTAACCTTTGTTGTTCCAGAAGTTGGACTCGTAATATTGGCTGAGAATTGGGGATTGGTAATGGAGTAGACGCGGATATTGTCTGTAGATGCAAGCAAAATCCGAGTCGAAGAAGCAGACCATAAGAACCAAGAGATGGAGCTCAAAAGTTCAGGAGGCAGGGTTATAACGCGTAGAGTCTCAAGAGAACGCGTCTCGCGGATGTTGAGCTTGGAAGAAATGATCGTTGCGATGTATGCGCCATCAGGGCTGGGAATAGATTGGGTGGATGCTGGAAATCAAAAACATGTTAGCTGGATATGCAGGCTTTTTTTCTAGGAGATCTTACACTTCAGATTCCTAGAGAAACGCATTTTGGCGAGTATTTGAATGGTTGAAGTGGTGTTGAAGCTGTTGAGAGCGATTTGTTTACATTTAACCTACTCAAGTAATTTTCTCACCGCTTTGAGATTCTGCCACCATGCGACCAGATAAGCCCCTCCTAACCGCTCCGCCGCCTTCTGCTTTCCATCAAGGAAGCTATCCCCCCACTTACGTAACAAAATTTGCTCCGTCATCTTCTCTCTATTTTCTTCTTCTTTTCCTATGATTATTTCTATTAGTATGGTCGACATGTCGATCTATACAATTCCCCCTCTTTCTTATTGAGTGTGAAATCCTGCCAAATGGCTTCATTAAGAGCCGGTCTCTTCCGTGGTGGCAAGCGTCACTTACTGGCTTCAACCACCCGAAGAGGAATCGCATCTTCTGCTCCCGCAGTTCAAGAATACCCTCGACATGATCTCCCTCCTGCATCAGCTCAAAGTCGCCGTGATGCCATCAAAGATGCCAAACCCTTCTCCGCATTCCTCACAGACACCTTCGACAGACAACACGACTACCTTCGAATATCCTTGACCGAAAAGTGCAATTTACGATGTCTATACTGTATGCCTGAAGAAGGAGTTCCTCAATCACCTCCGGCAGAGCTCCTCACAACTCCTGAAATATACCTCCTCTCTTCCACATTCGTATCCCAAGGTGTCACCAAAATCCGCTTGACGGGTGGCGAACCAACTATACGACGAGATATCCTTCCGCTGATGCACCAAATTGGTTCTCTACGGTCACAAGGTCTTCGGGAGCTCTGCATTACAACCAATGGCATATCCCTCCACCGAAAGCTGGATAGCATGGCGGAAGCAGGCTTGACTGGCGTGAATTTGAGTCTGGATACGCTAGACCCCTGGCAATTTCAGATCATGACTCGGCGGAAAGGATTCGAAGCCGTAATGAAATGTATTGAGCGAATTCTTGAGATGAACAAACTAGGAGCTAGAATCAAGCTGAAGATAAACTGTGTGGTGATGCGGGGTATGAACGAGCGGGAAATCCTCCCTTTCGTGGAGTTAGGGCGAGAGCAAGATATCGAGGTCCGATTCATCGAATACATGCCCTTCGATGGAAATAAATGGAGTCAAGGGAAGATGCTGAATTATCAAGAGATGCTGGATATTATACGGGCGAAATACCCCGCTTTACGAAAAGTGCAGGATCACAAGAACGATACGAGCAAGACGTACGAGATACCTGGCTTTGTTGGGAGAATGGGGTTTATTACAAGCATGACGCATAATTTCTGTGGCACTTGTAACAGGCTACGAATTACTAGCGATGGAAATTTGAAGGTGTGCTTGTTTGGGAATGCTGAAGTGTCTTTGCGGGATATTATACGGAAATCGAATAATGGCAATCCGATCGATGCAGAGGCTTTTGAGGCTATGAAACAAATTGAGATGGATAGACGGCAAGGCTTAGTTCCTGGCCCCCTTGGCACCTCGGACCACGAAAAAGAGTTGCTTGAGGTTATTGGTAAGGCAGTCAGTCGGAAGAAAGAAAAGCATGCTGGTATGGGAGAGTTGGAGAATATGAAGAATAGGCCGATGATCTTGATAGGTGGGTAGGATTCCATCTTTTTACGAGTATATGAGAACACGTTTGCATGGGTGGAGTTGTATACCAAATGTATATAATTGTAGGTAGGAATATAGTCACTTTGCAAGATATGTTCTAGCGCCTGTATGGAATTCTGTACTAATCGTTCGAATAGATGAAAAGAGCATTCGACACAGCTCTTTCGCATCCAGGAGAACTTCTGCCTTATCCCGACAAATCCCCAGCTACCTCCTCAACAACCCCTCAAACATTGCGTCGTCCCATCTCCGCGCCTACTCCACATCCACCACCCCCCCAAAACTCACACACCTAACCCCCACCGGCACAGCGCACATGGTCCCCATATCCAGCAAGTCCCCCACCTCCCGCACCGCGACCGCCCGCTGCTCCGTCCACTTCTCGAATCCCACAGCGATTCCTTTGATCCGCGCTAATGCGATGAAGAAAGGGGATGTGCTGGGTGTGGCGAGGGTAGCGGGGATTATGGCTGCGAAGAAAACGAGTGAGATGGTGCCGTTGTGCCATCCGCTGCTGATTACATTTGTGGGGGTTGAGATTGAGGTTTTGGGTGGTGGGGGAAAAGAGGGGGAGAAGGAAGGGGAGGAGGCAGGTGGAAGGAGAAGTCAAGGGGGTTTTGGGAGGGTGGAGATAGAAGCCACCGTCTCGTGTGATGGCAAGACAGGCGTGGAGATGGAGGCGTTGATGGCGGCGAGTACGGCGGCGTTGACGGTGTATGATATGTGTAAAGCTGTGGATAAGGGGATGCGGGTTATGGATTTGAGGGTTGTGAAGAAGGAGGGGGGGAAGAGTGGGAGTTGGGTTGAGGGGGAGAGGGTTGATGAGGATGAATAAGAATGGTAGTGGGTGTATATCCGTAAGTTTACCGTCTCGTCTTGGACTGGACTGGACACATGAAGCGGCATTCTTATCATTAACTTTCAATATCCCATGCGGTCTCTCATATTGGCAATATATATTGCTTTATACTATTCTCTACACTAAGCAACGGTTGAAAACAATGCATTTATTCTGGATCTACTGCGACGATCAGAGGAAGAACTTTCCACTTCCTGACCATTTGTGAAGGTCTCATAACTAGAGATCTCATGCTGGCCTTGAACGGAAATCGAGGTTCTAGCTCGTAACAAGATCGCAGGCCTCCCCAAGCTTGCCTGCTATTATATCTTCCAACCATTTTGCTTCCCAGCCTTGTATCTCGAGCAAGTCAAGAAGATATTTGTGATGAAGACATCGAATGGTCTACCTCCCTTATCTCACAAAGCAAAATTCTCTGTGGCTGGTTGCTTCTCGGCGAATAAGATCTGGTATCGGAGAACGTTCAATGTTTGACTACAATTCACTGATCAGGGCGTGCTCTTACAAAGAGTGAATATCGTATTGTGTTATCTCTAATAACATAAAATCTGACTCTCTATCTTATCAATCTTTTTCATCATTCCTTTCATCAATTCTTCTCACCAAGCGCTCCTTCGTTTGTCTCGACGAAAGAACCGGAGTAGAATTTGTAACCACAGGTCCACATCTCAATTTTCGTCTATCAAGATCCAAAAGGTCACTCAGCCGGTATGTTCAGCTCCACTACCAAAGCTGAAATTGCTTGTTGCTAATGTTGGCTTTAGCTGTCAGATCACGTCCAAACACATCAACCTCAAGCATCCTCAGCTTCATAACAAGAACGAGTCCGACAATAACATAGCTCCGTTGAAGTCCAAGGATAAAGCCATGCCTCAACAGGTATTTCCCCACCAGATTCCGACTTTCAAAGCACAACTAACTGCTCGATTAGAACTCTACCTCCAAATAAAAACCAATGATTCGTAGATACAAAGAGGTTCACGCCATTCTTTTTCACTGGCAAGAAGATGATATCGGCGTTCTGTACGACATGCAAACCCTCGCTGGCCTATTCAGCGATACCTATCAATTCTCCAGTGTCGGAACTCATCTGATCCCTTCCAAAAGTCCATACTCCTTTGTAGAGAGAGCTCTGGATAACTTCAAGCGCGCATACTCTCACCCCGAGAGCCTGCTGATCGTCTACTACAACGGACACGGCTACCTAGAGAATGGAAAGATGATGATGTGCGCATACGCGTGGGTACTTGCTGTACTCGAAACATTCACCTCTTCTAACAACATCTTAGCAAGGCAAAAGATCGCCACACCCCCATCCCCTCAATCGAATGGTATGCGCTTCAAGTCGGACTCGAGCGCACCGTATCAGATGTCCTCATCCTGCTGAGTACTTGCGCATCCGGAGAAGCACTGAGGTCCTCTTCGGCCAGAGAAGGTGGTGTCACGGAGCTTATTGCGGCTTGCAATTCCACGGGTGTAACCCCTGCGACGGGCGATTTCTCTTTCAGCAGTGCACTTACCGCTGAACTCCAGAGACTGGCCATCATCGGTCGTACATTTTCAGCTGCGGAGTTGCATGAGGGCATGCTAGCACGGATTCAGCGTAAAAGCAATGCGCATCAAGAGTTGTCGTCCACTCCACCTACGCATCAGGCGGCACCTGTCATCATCCACCTTAACGGTGGTCATCAGTACCCAAGCCTTGCACTGAGGGCTTTCAGATCCAAGTTCGATGACAATGCGGCCGAAGCCCATCGTTATCAGGATAGATTATGGAAGCGGGTGGTTGATCGATGGGAGACTTCCATTCCAGCCAAGATTAGGACCGCGATCCAAGCACGAAAGGAAGCGGAGCTGGTCGAGACCCATACCCAGAATCTAATGGCAAAGGTGCATTTACAGGAGACTGCCTGGTTCTTTCAGCGAAGGGCTACTGACTGAAAACAAACTAGGTAAGGAAGTGGGTGAACCACCCTCATCATGGCACAAATCCAACTAACCTTTGGCTTCAGAAGCTTTCATAGACGTGCCGATATCGAACTAAGCGTGTAAATGCCTGAAATAAAGAAAGAAGTGTTGCATGGGTGTCTTTTGATGGATTATACGGAACATGAAGGGTTGCAATTGAGTGGCATATAAGTGAAAGGGATTAATTTCTGTGGAGGGAAAGCTCTTCTGTGGGGGTTCCCTCTAATATGAGGACCAGCGCTCATATATCCAGCCTTGCGATAGAAGATTTCCTGGAAGGAGAGACAATTGATCAAATGAAAAAATACAGATTCGAGCAATCCTCTGAAGTGAAGGTATGCCTATTAAACTGGTGCCGCAATTTATCATCTTCCCCCATTGGGCATGGCAGGAATTGAATTTTGATAGTCGCAGACGAACAAAATATACTGTAGCTCAAGATCTACTAGACACTGCGTCTTCTTTGCATCCTGTATAGGAAAAACTAGATGCAAGCACCAAAGCTCAGGTGAATAGAGGATATTCCCATAACGCTTAAGCGAACCCCCTGATTCACAGGTTTGATCCAAGTACCTTTCTAGAGTAACTTCTTGATCGCAGACTCAATATCACAGATTCACCCCATGTATTACGTGACTCCATTCACAGAGCTATTGTGAGATTCGGGCAAGTACGATGCATTCATATTTAAAGTTTAGAATCTACAATGTCGATACTTCTCAACACTCCCCAGTTTTGCTCATCGGCACTTTTACAGTCCGCTTTTGATGGCTCCATCATGGATGATAGGAGCGATTCTGCCTGTGTCGCAATCAGTCCAGCATCGCTGGCATGGGAACATGTCCAAGGCCTGCTGGCCCCGACTCTCACGCAAGCGAAAACCAAAGGCGAACGCGCTTAAGAAAATAAGACATATCAGGTACTTCAAAGACCCTATCGAGGTTATTGACTTAAGCACTGAGCCGGTCCTGGCAACCCCGTCTGCTGATTGGGCCAAGTGCTACTGTAAGTCGCGCTCCGAACAAGACAAACTCCACGACTCGCAGGGCGAAAAGCAGCATCTTCAGCGGTACATTCAAGAGCGAGATGTCCCAGGTAGGACGATTCGAGTCCTACTATTGTCATGGGAAGACGACGACAACGACTTTGAGCTTTACATAGCGAATCTTGAGAAAGTCTTCATGTGCATGTACAATTTCCCAACCCACTGGTTCAAAATCCCCTCCCGGAACCCCAAAGACTTTGTCGAAGAGAAGGTGAAGTGGTTCAAGGCGCAATGTTCTGTGCAGAGAGAACTCTTGATCGTGTATTATGGCGGGCATGGGGGGTTTCAAGGAGATAACGAGATGGCGCTTTCCCCATACGAGTAAATGAGTAACACTATCCACCTCATTCTCTGCTGAGCTGACTTCTAGGTTTTCCAAGCGTGAAGACAAGAAATGTGTTCCGTTCATCTTATGGGATGACCTATTAGCGACTCTCGAACATCCCAAGGACTTAGAAATCCTAGTACTGATGGACTGCTGTTTCGCAGCTGGTTCTATCCGCGCCGGATACATCCCAGCGGCATCCAGTGGCGGCGTCATCGAAGTTATCGCCGCGTGCGGCTTGGAGACGAAATCATACGGCGGAGCCATCTCCTTTACGCACGCCCTGATCGAAGAGCTCATTTCCAAAGCTTCGGATGGTAAAAATTTGGTCCTCTCAACTCTAGATCTGCATATGGGGATTCTGCAAAGAACGCTGCGGAACCGTGTGCATAGCCATGAAGTGCGGACACGGGTTTTTATGCGACTTCGGCAACATCGTTGTAGCGATTCGAGTATTCTTTTGCGGGGTTCGGGAGAGGGTGGTGGGGAGACTTGGGTTGTGGAGGGGAAGATTTTGGGGGAATTGCGGGATTGTGAGAGGGAATTTTGGGATACGAATATTAAGACGAGGGATTGTGAAGCTTGTGGTGGAAATGGGAGGATGAATGTCGATGGTGGTGGTGGAACTGAGAAGTCACTGGTTGGTTGGGGCAATAGCAAGGCAGGGGATGAGGTTGAGAAGTCAACACCTGAAAGTGCTAGCTTGGATGGGGGAAGTGATGATTTGCTTCCGGTGACAGAAGATGGGTTTGGTGATGGTTTGGAAGAATTTTAGGCATTGGTCAATTAGCGTATTCAGAACTTAACTTGAATCCAGCAGAAGAGCAAGGCGTTCATGCGGAAGGTAATGGGAGTATCATCACGCTCCTAAAAAACCTTGGATTTAATAAAGATTCGAATAAAATTGAGAGATTTGCACTAGGAGGGGAATTGAGAACTTCTGACAATAGCTCCAGCAACCGGCGTATATAGATTAAGCAACCTCTTTCCCGAAAAAGCAGCATGATCGGATTTTCTCGCTACTTTTCTAACACCCCTAACACTTTAAAGGATCAGGATAAATAACACATGTTATAATGGATAGACATAAGGAAATTAGGAATTCTAGCATATTGCTCAAGAATGACTCGACGCAATGATACATACCTAGGTAACAATAAACACAAAAAGTCCACACACTCGGTTGAGCTTAGAGTCTTTATACGTATAACTTAAGAAGAAGTCAAAACTAGAAGCACCATCAACCCATACAAGGCAAAGAAATCAAGACCATAACAGCGATCAACAAAAATCCCCCGCCCCCGCGCCGCCCCGCCCTAGAACCAAAACTCAAACCCTCGTCGTCCCCCCACCGCGCACTAACCACCTCGTCCCATCCTCATCTCAATCTCCCATCAACACCCACTCCACTCTATCCCCTAACCTCATTGGCTCCCCAAGCCCCGCTCCCAGAAAACTCTGCATCTACACTTTACATGTATCAAAAGAAGCAGAAAGGAATCCAAAACAACAACAACAACTCAAAGCGTTTGTGGTTTAGTGGTAAAATCCATCGTTGCCAATTGGCTATACAGTTTAGCTTATTAGCTTAACGGTCTAGTATAGCCATTGTATCGATGGGCCCCGGGTTCGATTCCCGGCGAACGCAATTAATTCTTTTTCTTTTGGTGTTTATTATCTTTTTTGGGGTTATATGTGCTTGGAGTAGCTGGTGACAAGTAGTGTTTTCTTTTTGTACGTCTTTGGTAATAAAATTTACAGGGTATATTATAAGGTAAAGAATATGCTCTGTTGCTATGTATGTAAAAGTGAGAGGAGATATGGTACTGAGGATGTATTTATATCTATCTATATTTGCAAAAAAGGGAACATAAACAAGAGTCACGTGCATACCGCACTCACCACCTCCAAAACATTCATTCCCAAAAGCGTGAGTCCCGTACCATATCCTCAACCTGCTTTACATCTGCACCATATTCTCGCAACCCTCTCACGACCCCACAGCCGTGAATAAGATACTTATAAGCTACCTAAACTAAAACCACCAAGGAAAATAAACATATATATCAGTTTTGATCTTCTTAGAACCTAAACCTCAAGCTCAAGCTCAAGCTCAAGTAAAAATTAAAGTGGAAGTAGGCTTTTCGGCATAGGGTTTATTCAGACATATGCATAGATGGATGGATATGCTTATTTACAAGAAACCACTACTCACAAATCAAACCGTACGATCCTACCCGATCCGATCGATCGATGGAGTAAACCTAACCTAACCTAACCTCGCAGCTACAGAGCATGATCTGTAGACTTCACCCTAGCTCGGGTACCGTATCCTGCACTTCCGCTTCCATCGCCGTGAAGTGCAGTAGAAGCTACTCCGCCCTCGGGGGCATTATGCGGTTCAGCTTCATATGGCGCTGTGCATGTTGTCAATGAACAATCTCTTCTTTACTACTAGAAGTAATGAAAGAAATGAAAACACAATGAAACATGCACATACGAGGCAAACCTTCTCCTTCTCCTTCCTTGAATGCAGGATCTGTACGTGGATCTGCAAACCCAGGTTTGGGATAAAGACCAGGACCAGGAGCTAGATCCTGGTTTGCAGGGCGTTGACAACAACAGCAACAACCCATTTTTCTTTCTTTCTTTGTTGGAGTGTATCAATTGATTTGTTGCTTGATTGATTGATGGTTTGTAAGATATGAAGATAGAAATGGGGAGACTTGAGGTCGTGCCGAGAATAGCGGGGTAATATAGGCAGCAGCTTAGAGCCGCAGATGCATGGTATGTTATGCATGTGTTGGTATCACAGGGGGTGATCACTTCTGACTATCTAGTAAGACTTGATACTGGTTTTTGGTGGTTTCATTCATGATGTCCAGAGGCTATCGTGGGTTGCAGGACGAAAAGAGGTTATGCCTTCTTCGCTTACGCCGGCTGCGCTAGGTCAGATGACTAGAAAGGACCGTAATCACTCCATAGTCCCGACGGTATGTGTACGGCGTGCTTTTCTATAGCAGGGAGAGGATTAATGGGAGTAGGATTTGGTGAGAAAGAGAAAGAGTAAGAGATACCCTTAAATGGTGGACTAGATATATTGAGACGGAATATTTACGGAATATTATGCAACTGTAGTAGAATAGATAATTGGGGCTTGGATTTATTCTTAGTTTCCCAAACGTCTTGAACAAAATCCTAAACATTTGAATAGAACAGTGTTGTACGAATGCATATGGTTGCCTGAGTCAAGGCGCAACATCTCATTCATACCGTCATGATAAACCCCCTCGTTACGAAGCCGTCTCGCCAAACATCTCCCAGACGCTCTTCGGCGGAGTATATTCGCCAGTCCCAACACTCTTATACGTAATATCAAGCCTGCATCACCACCTCAAATTAGCATTACTCCCACACCCACTCCAAACCAACGAGAGGAAAACAACATACCCAAAAGCCTTCGGCCCACCCATTTCCAGACCTTTGTCCGTCGTCCAGACTGGCGGGCTCCTCAACGCAACAACACTAACCCTCAACCCATACTTATAATCACTTATGCCAAGCGGGGCCCCATTCGATTTATCTAGCAGCGTAATCAGGTCCGGACATACCGCCAACACTTTATCCTCTTCGCCCTCGTTTCTAAGAATCGCGCTGAGATTCTCGTTCTCGAATTCGATGAAGAGGGTCGAGGAGGAGGAGTTGGTGGTTGGGGACGAGAGAGACTCGGAGAAGGGTTCGAGAAGGACAGAGCCGCGAGTGAATCCTTCGGATACAGAGCGTGTGACGGAAATTATTTTGCCGCTGAAGAGGAGGATTCCGTCTTCGGAGGCGAGGAGACTGGTTAGGGGGTCTTGTTTAAGGGAGCGGGATAGGGCGATGGCGCGGCCTATTTGCCATGCTTTGGAGATTCCATTAGCTTTAGAGTGAGATCAGACTTGGAGGCATACCGTGGGAGAAACTGTTCTTTGGTAATGTTTTGGCTTCAGCGCCGTAGACGGGACAGGTGCACATTCCGGTCAAGGAGCCGAGATTTACACACGCGCCTCGCATTAGATCTTCGGCTTCGAGGTTATCTTTGGCTGTTTTGAAGACCTTGGGAATACGTTAGAAAGCCTTTATTGAAATATAATATTGTATACCTCTGTTTTACCCGCACCGTTTGCTATAGCTGCAGGCACGACCGGAAGGTCATTTAGACATCGAATTGTTTGCCAGATAAATGGATACGCTCTTGCGACGAGATCTGTATCCAGCACGCTTTTCTTGAAACGGTGCGCCGCGAGGAAAGCTTCAAAAGCGTTCATTCCTCCGATTTCGTTGGGAACGACGGCGTCGAAGGTTTCCAAGCCAGCTGCTTTCATAACCGCTTCTATAGCGTCGCTGATTCTGTTTAATGTTAGAAGGTAGCATATATAAATGAGTATAATTACTCACTCAGTAAGACCTGGTATGCGTTCAAGATAAACACTCGGCCCTCCCTGCGAAATCTGTCAGTCAAAGGTATGCAAATCAACCCAAGAACATTACCATAAATCCACTCATAAGTACAACACCATCGTCGGGAAATGTGTCTTGCCTCCTGATAGTAATTTCCCCTCCAGCGCGAAGTGTTTCCAAACATGCAATGTAAGTAGGGTATGGTTCCCCACAACTCCCAACACCTAAAACACCTGTACCGTCTAGAAAAAATTGAAGATCCAGCTCTGATAGATACCATAGATCTCCATCAATCCTAGGCCGATATGATTCGATATCCAATTGCTCGACGACGTCGTAAGAAGAAGTCTTTGAAATGTAATTGGCATCTTTAGATAGCCCATTGGGGATAATTTCGAGATCTTCTTTCCGGAAAATCTCTCCATCCAGTAATGATTCGGGTAAATGGAAATTTTCTTCATAGCCTTCAAGCAAATCTCCCACCACGCGTACTAGGAGTTTCGTTGCTCCATTTGTGACATACGATATGGGTACGACATCTACTTCCATCACTTTGATCGAGTTTTTGTTGCCACCTGCAGCAACGCAACGCTCAGTCGCTAATGCTTTCGCAGCCTCGATTGCTTGGTCAATTGTTTTTGCTCCTGGTACGAATGTAGTGTCCACAGAGCCAGCAATCTTACTAATCTGTTGAAAGTCAGCTGTCGAATAGGGAAGCAACCACGGGAAAAGCATACCGCAGCACCCACTGCATTAGCTACTTCCAAATATTTCGGACGAATAATCTCTCCCACACCAGCAATCTTGTCAGCGATAATGATGCTTCCACCTCCGACAAGGATCACTTTTGCATCTCCTTGCTTTGTCTTTACCAAGTCAATGGCTGACTCGAGTTTCCTAGCAATCTCTTTAAGCCCCAACGCTTTCAATTTCGACGGGACGAGATCAGTCTCTTCACTAGAGAATACGAGATCATTTGCCTTTTTTCAAGTTAGTAATCGAATTTCATACCGAGATATTTTGCGCCTGACATGAAGCAGGACTTACTGTCAATGTTTCTCCGCCAAATGCAATACTTTCCTGCTCCAGCCTTGATCCAACCGAATCAGGTCCGACAGAAGTCCTTGTATCCTTGATGCGGATCAGTGAGCCACCACCCAAGGCAATGCTGTGAACATCTGGAATCGTAAAATTGGTTCTGACTCCGGCTATCTTTACAAAAGCACCGGATTGACGTGGGTAGCCTGTTTTTAACAACGCACATATATCGGTCGTAGTTCTGACTTGTACGTTAGGCTCAGTAACAAATTCCTTCAAGTTCATCTTACCCTCCAACATCAACTACAAGAACTTCTCTTTCATCTGACGCTGAGTCGCCCAGTTGTTGAGACTTTGCTAGTAAAGCAGCTCCTCTTGCGCTATTGGTTGGACCGGAGGAGAAGCATCGGACAGGGTACTGAGCAGCAGTGATTGCTTTACTTAAGGTCCCATCATTAAGCGTAATGTATAGCTTACATTTGCCTAGCCTTTGGACCGCATAGGAGAATCCTGCTATGACGTGACGAGCAAAGCGCCGTAGACTTGCGTTTAATATACCGGCATTTTCTCTTTCGAGGAAGCCTAGACGGCCAATTGCATGTGAGCAGGAGATATCGTAGCCAGGACCGAGCTCTGATGATAGAATACGACGTGCTTCTTCTTCTTGCGTTGGATTCGAGGGCGAATATATCCCGACGACAACGATACTGCTGATGGACTTTGATTTGATGATTGTAGCTTGCTCTTTGAGCTGGTCTGCACTCAATTCAGCAACAACCGCTCCGTCGACTAAGAATTGTTAGTATCGATGGTACGGAATTGTAGTAATTTGGTCAAAGAGGTGTTTGGCAACATTAAGAGGAAAGAATTGTGGAACAGATTTCGTGTTGTAGGATCCCATAGGTAAAATGGACCTAAGAAGTAACGTACCTTGATATCCTCCATCAACGTATCCAACGTGTCCTTGCATCAACGTCCGCAACTTTGAAGGGAAGTCGACGAAAGGTGGCGACCCTCTTGAATAAGGTCCACATAATCGGATCACAGCAACTTTGTCCAGCTTGCTAGAGTCCTGCTCCATGACAGCATTGACAAATTGCTAGTACGGATCAGCATACAGTGGAGCCAGAGCTAATAAAGCACAGGGATCAAAAACAGATCATGGGGCTGCTCCCATTCCCCTTCCTTCCCGTCCCGTGCAATCCATATCCCCAGACGCCTTATCCGTAAAGCGCTTGAGTTCAGAACAATTCTCCGGATCTCGAACAGACCCAGAAAAAGATCTCCAGAAGCCAAAATAAGATATACCGGCAGAAGGAAATATGGATCTTACCGTTGTGCCAATCTTGACAGAACCCACGTGATGAGGAGATATCCCGGCCTTCTTCACCACCTCCTCAATGGCTTTTTCCACGCCATCCTGGATGTCTGAAGTAGTTGGAGTTTTGTGCCAGGCGAGGACATTGTCGCCTTGCAGAATGACAGAATCGGTATTGGTGCCACCAACATCGATTCCAATGACACAAGAAGATAGTTTTGAGGGCATAGCAGAACGATCACTAGAAGTCTGGGTGGTCGGAGAAGACATCGACTCGCATCGTGGAATATATTGGAAAAGGAGGGAGAGCAAGGACTTTTGAGGTCATTGTAATTGTAGGAAGAGCATTGTACTGATTGGGAAGGGAGTTACTTTTCCCCCCCTCGTTGAATAAGCATCTGTCATAGTAACTTCCCATCGCCTAGATCGCACGGCGTCTCGATATGAAGGTTACTACTAGCCAATAGAAATGGAGGAAGTGCGAGCTTGTAGGAGGGTGTAAGTTTCAAAGGGGGGTTTCGAGATGGGCGGCGACGAGTGTATGGTTAACTGGCTGCACGAGTCAGGAAGGATTAAGAAGGTTGAGCTTGCCTATTGGGGCAACTTAGGCGATAGTATTCCCGGTGGTCATGTGGGCGATGCCAGGACCTCCGTAGGGATGAATGACTGTCAATCTGGGAGAACGGAGTATGGAGCATGGATTTCGTGATTTATAGACATCTGAGAGGTCGCAGCCAGGTACGTTAACGAGAAGCGCGTGAAGCGTGGAAGAGGACATGCGAATGGTGACCAGGGTCCGCATTTCTTTTCTTTCCTTTTCTTCGGCAAGATAACAACAAAGTTTGATATGGTCTGGTCTGGTCTAGCTACAGTACTGTACAGTACTGTACCTGCACCTGGGTGAAGTACGGAGTACTCGTAAGATAACACAACCATGTGTATACCTCCGTATGCCTCCGTCCTAGAAAAGTTCACTCTTCCACCTTGAACTCAACCCAAACCAACTCAACTCAACTCAACCCTGGAAACAAAACGCGCATTCCGATTGCGACCCTGCCCCTGCCCCTGCCCCTACTCTTACCCTACCGTCCACGCTCACGCCGAAGATATCACCGGGGGACGATGTGCTCTGGCGTGCTTGTGGCTGCAAGTGCCATTACCTCCGTACTGCCATCATGCCATGCTCGCACCAAGAACCTTCTGGACAAGAGCCCCGCGTAAAACACCATTCCATTGGCACCATCCCGCGGGGCTGATGGCGGGATGGAGTAAGTATCCGCACCCCCGGGTCCTTCCTGCTGGTGGGTGAACTAGGATGCATCCCGCAGCCATACGCCGCGGAAGTAAGCCGAAGGACCTGGTGGACCCTTCTGCAGCATACTACTTCGTATCTCTCCCGTCCCCTTCGAATCCGCATTTCCCCAATGTCGATATCTTCAGATACCAGGTATATACGCTATATAAGGGCGCTCTTTAGCAACATCCCTTCGTCGCGTACAGGATAGGGACGTGGATGCCGTTCCTGAGCTATCTATCTACTGGCCTTCTAATTGAGACGAAAGTCTGAAGCTAGCTGAAGCCTTATTGAACGCCAACGAACCTCCAATTCTGCGCCTCGGCGTCGAACCACTACCCCATCATGGCAGGGAAGGAGTACATACCCGAGAAGGAAGACGAACATATCGACAAGTTGGCTTTTACTGCAGTCGCAGCTCCTACCCAGCTATCCAGTCAAAACGATTCATCGAACCCCCACATCATAAGAGACTTGGACCAATACGCTCCCCATGGTCCTCCAGCCACAAGAAAAGAGGTCTGGTCATATTATTTGTATTACGCAGCCAATAATGGAATTGGTTCTTTCCAATAGTAGGTGCTTAATGGTGGACCCGAAATACCCCGCGCTGACAACTTTTCCTTTGCAGCTCGAACTTACTCTTCCAAAATCTAATCTACCAGGCCGGTTTCAACCCCAATGTTCTTCCCTTAGGTAGCTCCAGCTGCGATGTCGATCCTACAGCACCTTGCCACGTCTTCTGGGGAGGAGGACATAAGACCAAGGAATATACATCTGTCGTGTTGATTGGAAATGGCTTGACCTTCCTAGCGCAGGCATTGCTCTTTCTTGGGATCGGTAGTCTGGCTGATTTTGGGAATTGGAACCCCTGGGTTGTCAGAGGATTCTCCATCCTATGCTGGGCGTTTGAATTCGGATTTTTAGGTGTTAAAACGGCCGCAAAATGGAGGGCTGCTATGGCGCTCTACATTTTGAGTAGTAAGTTGTACTGATTCCCCAGTATCTAGATTATATTGACCATTAACAGGCATTACTTGGTGCGCTTCCTACGTTTTCTTCAATGCGATTTTCCCCAAACTAGCCCACGATCTCCCCGAAGCTCGAACGGCGAGAGAAGAACTATTGAATGGCACGATTGACGAAGAACAATATGAACGAAAATGCTCGATGGCAAGGTCGAAAATCATGAACATCAGCTACGGATGGAATAACTTTGGATTCGTGGTCTGCTGTGCCTTATCACTTGGTGCATTGTTTGGAGTACATGCAGATGACGGTACACAGCAAAATAACTGGGGTTATTCAGTCTCTGTTGCTGTTTGTACTGGCTTCTGGATAATATTCGCGATACCTTGGTTTCTATGGGAGAAGAAACGACCTGGCCCACCATTACCCAAGGGCGACAACTACCTGACTTTCGGTTTCAAGCAGACATATTTTACATTCAAGCAGTGCTATAAGCTGAAACAGACATTCTTTTACTTGGTTGCATTCTTCCTACTTGCGGATGGCACCAACACCCTTATCACTCTGGTAGCAATCGCTCAAACACAGGCCGTCGAGTTCTCCGCCACACAAAATACATACTTCATAATGGTCCAAGGATCATCTTGCACAGTTGGCGTATTTGGCGCGTACTATGTCCAAAAGTACTTCCACCTGCGAACAAAAACTATGCTCCAGTGGACGAACTTTGGCTGCGTCCTACTCGCCCTCTGGGGTATGATCGGAATCTGGACCGATAAATTTGGATTCCACAACATTTGGGAATTCTGGTTATTCGCTGCACAATACGGATTCACACTCGGTGCACAGTTCTCGTACGGTCAAGCATTCATGGCTGAGTTGGTGCCTCGTGGACGAGAATACATGTTCTTCAGTCTCCTCGGCATTGTTTCGAAAGGTTCAGCCTGGATCGGCCCCATCGTTAGCAGCGCGATTCTTGATGCCAGCGGCAATCAATGGTGTGCATACCCGTTTGTGGCAGCTCTGATCTTTGTCCCTTCGGTTGCAATTATCTTCATTAGCGAAGTCAAGAGCAGGAAAGAATGCGCTGAATATCTCGCGAAAGAAGCAGCAGATCTGAGAAAGGTCGCTGAGGAGTCCGAATCTGAGAACCACGCGAAAGCTTTTTAATTTCAAGCGCGAGCGGAGATTTGATCTGATTTGATCTAATATAATGTTATTTCCGAGCGAGGTTATATTAATGAGCATATACGAGGTAGACGAACTCAATTTTTGAAAGTAATAACCATATGAGCAAGGTCGACCTAAAATGGTAATTATTTGTTAGATATGGCAAACTCACCTCGCACTCCACGCGGCGGCTATTCACTATTCCTGTTCAGCTTCAATTCCCGCCCACGGCACGTTTCCCAAACTCCAAGAATTTGATCGCATTTCCGGCCGGTCAGACCCGCTTAAATGCCGAAAGCTTTCGGAAAAAGACCAAAATCGGAAATATCCCAGCCAACTTGACCATTAAATCTACGGAGTAAACACAACTGCCGGTACGAAAGCTACTTAAATTACATGAAGGTCTATTCGTAACCGACCTGTTTCAGTCCAGCTCCGACGGCTCACAAATCAATCTGCCCCAGGCCCCCAGATTGAGATCCGGCCGGGGAGTTTCGGACGCAGTCTCACTCCTTTATTGGCTACCGCTTTCACGGGCTATCGTTCACGGCGTCCCTTGGTTAACGCTGTGAGAACACGGCACCATATGTTGACAATTCAGTAATGAGCTGCAGAAACTGCCGCATTATTATATGTGTTTAGAAAGGAATCCACTGCTTTTGTCGAAATGTACGATCTTTGTTTCAGGGTGCTTCCTTTATACCTCACGGTACGGTACTTGTACGGAGAAGTATCTGGGGAAGGGGCGCCGAGAAGGGCACTCGGGTCAATATTTAATTGCGTTCTCTCCATGATAGTTGGTATTGGGCATCGTTGGGTAATCCCACCAATAGCAGATCTCGATTTCTACACCTTCCTTGCTGATCCAATCTACTTTATTGGCTCTTCGTATGGCTAAACCCTTTAAGACGATAGTGCAGCTCTTAACTCCCTAAGCACTTTGAGGTTTAGTCTTAATCCGTAACGGCATATCGTGATATGGCGTTACTCCCACGTGGATTAAAAACCCCTCGAGGCCGCGCACAGGTCTTCTCGGCCCCACCTTCCTCTTCCCAGACCCCTGAAGAGACCTATAAATCACTGAGCTGATAGACACTCCGTAGTTTTTCGGCTTGGCTGAAAGATTGCCGGTCACGCCCACGGCCGTCTTCACGGCATAGCTCAAAACTTCCTTCAACGCGTGGGTCCGCTTGCTCGCGACAAACAACATCCACAACTGACCTCACGCCTTATCATCGAATGCGACTGCTGTTTTCTCATACTAAGAATGGCGCCGGGTATGGGTATCAAGGCCCCAGTTCCGAGAACCAGGACAGGTGCGCTCACCATCGCCTCGAATATCGACTTGATGTGATGCTAACATTTACGAAGGCTGTCTAACGTGCCGGAAACGTAAAGTCAAGTGCGATGAATCCAAGCCAATCTGTAGCCGATGCCAAAGACTTCAGCGGGAATGCACGTGGAGTGATGACATGCAAGTCATTCCCCACACGCAGCATCTAGATTTCACCTCCACCTCAAGAACCAACAACGACTTGTCAGATCACCCAGCTCTACACCTGACTAGGCCTTCAGGTCAGAGTTTTGTTATCGAGTTTCCTGATATTGATAGGGCGACTGTTCCCTACATTCATCACTTCGCCTCGTTTTGCTCTCGCTTTCTGGCCTATCCGAATGATAGTGAGGGAAACCCTTTTCAGGAGGAATTAGCGCCCCTTGCTATTTCGTCGCCGGCTCTGTTGCATTCCATGGCCGCTTTGGCTGCAGCTCATTTGTCGAGGACCCAGAAGCATCATGAGATTATTGCGACGAATTACTATTCCATGGCGCTGAGGGAGTTGAATGCTGGGTTGTCAGATCCGGCTGTTGCACGGTCGGACTCTGCTTTAGGGGCTTGTCTTTTGCTTTGTGTCTATGAGGTAGAGAATATGCATCAAATTCTGGCATCATAGCTCTACTGACCATTACAGATCACCCGTTCCGAGAATTCCACTTGGCATGAGCACCTACAAGGAGCAAGAGATTTAATCCTCTATCGAGGCGGCCCAAAGAAGGATGACTACTTGACACGCTTCTTCTCTCTCCTCGACGTCTCCGGCTCCCTAGTATCCGGCACCGGCACGCTCATCCAAGGCACCTACTGGCTCGAGGACGATGAAAACTTCGGCACCGACAGCCCTAAGAAAGTAAACAAATGGCCATACTACGACAACGCCAATCAGGTAGTCGACGATTTCCACCACCTCATGATATACATGGCCAAACTGTCCGCCTTATCCGCGGAAGCAATGGGTAATCAGGACCCAGCTATCGTCGCTGAAAAGGCCGCCGAGATTCACGAAGAGCTTTGGGAATGGTGGAGTCAAAGTGCGCCCTCGTTACGGGATCAGAGTAATGATTGGCGCCGTCTTCCACGACTGCAGAAGTTATCAGTAGCGGAGACGCTGGAGGAAGAGGCATACTCGAGTACTAAATCTGTGTTTGCCGGGTGTATCATCTATCTGAATCATATTCTGGACCCATGTGGCCACGAGCCGCAGAAAGCAGAGGTCATCAAAGCCATCTCTGAGGTATTGGAGATTGCAAAGGAGACGCCCGAGGGATATGGATTAGAGATGGGTCTCTATTGGGGATTGTTTATGGCTGGAGTTGCGGTGTTCAATGATCATGTTGCCGAGGACTTGATTCGACGAAAATTGAAGGCCGATGTTAGCGTTAGTATATACGTGCGTATGGCCATACTTTTGTTGTGGAAACGAAACTAATATGTCACAGCATGCTGATCGGGTCCTGGAGTTGCTTGAGGTGCTGTGGAAGAGACAGCATCAGTACAACACAAAATACGACTGGCGTCAAGTCCAAATCCAGATGGGGATTCAAGTGTATGTCAAGTCCCAGAATTCCATCAACTTGTATTTACTAATTGAAAAATTTCACAGATTTATCTTTGCGTGATTTTGCGGAGTTCGAGCCAGTGTGGGAAGAAATTCCTCATTGGATCCATTTCACGTCAAACAAAGACCCATGGAGGACAGGTAGAATTTGATTGGTCTTCAATCAGTAAGCCACCAGTCTAAGGATTCACTTCGGAGTAGCCTCGTGCTTATGTCCGCAAGGCTGCAGCACGCTAAGGCTAGATGCTCCGGGCTGGCAGTTCGTATAAAACGGACGAAGAACTCAAGGATTGGTAATGCTGGAATATCTGTCCGCGGATTTTGCTATATCAGAACAGTTGAGCTATCAAGACATCATCCAGATATCTACAATTTCTGGAAGCTCAATCAGAATTCCGACGTCACAGCCTTACCCCACTATCGATATGGCTTCACCAAAAGGAACCATTCTCCTACTAGGCGGCACAGGCAAAGTCTCCCGGCGCATCACGCCTCTTTTATCCGCCGCAGGGTATCCTACGCTCATCGCATCACGTTCCGGCACCTCACCTGACCTCCCCGGTGTCAGCGGCGTGACGTTCGACTGGGACGATTCTACCACATACAACAATGTCCTCAGCACCCCTGGCACCTCCGCAGTCTTCCTCGTCGGCCCCTCATACACAGACATGTTAACGCCCATGAAAAAATTCATCGATCTCGCTCTTTCAAAAGGAGTCGAGAGGCTCGTCTTATTGAGCGCGAGTCTCATAGAGGTGGGTGATGGGCCGGCGATGGCGGAGGTGAGTAAGTATGTCAGTGGGCTGGGTGTAGAGTGGGCTGTACTACGACCGACTTGGTTTATGGGTATGTTTCCTTGTTTTTCCATTTAAAACATGAAATGCGGATGTATGATATTAACTCAAAACCAGAAAACTTCACAGAAGCACACCACGCTCTCACCATCCGCTCCCAATCCACCATAGCCACCGCTACAGGAAATGGCAAAGTCCCCTTCCTCTCCGCCTCGGACATAGGAGCCGTCGCCTTCCACGCACTAACCGACACCGTGCCCCATAACACGGACCACCTACTGCTCGGCCCAGAACTCTTCTCGTACACCGAAGTCGCGGCTCTCATATCCGAGAAACTGGGTAGAGAGGTTAGGCATGTGGATATTAGCGAGCAGGAGTTGATGCAAGGTCTGCAGGCGGTTGTGCCACTGGATTATGCGCGTATGTTGGCGCAACTTGATACGGCGATTAGAGAGGGCAAGGAGGAGCGGGTTAATGACGTGGTGAAGCGCGTTACGGGAAGAGAGCCGAAGACTTTGGCGCAGTTTGTGGATGAGGGGGTTAGGGAGGGTGTTTGGGGGATGAAGGGAGAGTAGTTAAATAAGGGGGAGAGGAGATAGAATAATCGAATAGATGAATGAGGACAATTCGACCAATTCCGGCGGGTGTTTTCATTGCTGCTGCGCTTGACACCGGTGTAGTTAGTCCACTCTACTTCCACCGGATAGTTCCCAGTCAAGCCAACCCCGTAAACAATATTTAGTTGAAAGGGGACCTTCGTGTGTTGGTACCAACTGTCTGAAGCAGGTTTGATCTTGCGGCTAACATCAAATTTGACTTTGGGGTCATGGGAGATTGCGATGTTTTTGATTATTAGGGTGGAGAGGAGCTGGGGCGGAGTCAGGTATGCAAGCTGGTATAGTGATTCCTCAGATGACAATAGCTTCACCAGGTTTTCGGGATTGCAATATGTAGATAGAATTGCTGCGAAGAGCGCGATAGGTTAATGGCAGTGAAATCGACCAAGATAATGGCATGGCATGGCTTACCGTAAGAGCCCGTGATTTTAGCGAGCTGGCTGCCTGATGTAGGTAAGGTAAGATCTCTTGAAGGCAATTTCTTCTCACTCGCAACGAAACACAAGATCGAGCTTCTGGCTACTTCAACCACCCGGTTTTCTCTAAAACGTGGAGTAGCACGGCATAGAATCTTACGATAGATTCGAGGCCAGACTCTGACATGTATTTTCACTTCCTTGTACAAGGTATCAAGAGAACCCACCCATAGGCAGCAACTTTGCAGCCTTGGACGTGCATGATATGTCAGTGAACACGCCAGCGATCTATCCTCTAAAGGCAGGCGTTATTATTCATTCCCAGCTTAAGGTCAAGTGTTACGACGCGTCGCGTACTGGAAAGGGGGTTCGACGTTGCGCCTTTTGCCCTAGCATATACTGCGTGTCGATCCAACCGCAATCGCTCCGTTCAAAGGTAAGCTGGAGAGCTAGTATGTTTACGAGGAATTCTGAACACTCGCTGCATATATAACTTCCATATCCTCCCTTATGCCAAGTGATTCGATCATAGCAGAGCTATAGTTGTCTCGTCGATTCCTTAACCCCACTCTTCCCCCGTCAATCAACATGACCGCGACCAAAATCCCCGTCGGCCTTCCCGTCAAGAACCCTACACAAGCATACTGGCAAACCCCTACCCACCGCCTCAAAGACCACCGCACTACACCAAACCTCCCCTCATCATCCCAATATGTCATCGTTGGCTCCGGTGTAACAGGCGCTTCTGTCGCCCACAAACTCCTCCTCTCAGACCCCACGGCTCAAATCACACTTCTAGAAGCACGCACCACGGCTTCGGGGGCAAGTGGGCGCAATGGTGGCCATTGTCGCGGTGGTCGGTATCTCGAGTTCAAGAATCACGTCGAGAGGTTTGGCAAAGATGATGCGTTGAAAATGGATCAGTGGGAAGAAGACAATGTGAAGAATGTAGGGGCCTTCATTAAAGAGCATGGCATTGAGTGTGATTTGAGAGATGTGGAAAGTGTGGATGTTACGACGGATGCGGGGGAATTCCAGGACATCCTCGATGCGTTGAAGCTGCGAAAGGAGGTTGCTGGGAAAGCGGGAGTTGCGCTCTGGGAGCATAAGATTTGGAGTCAAGAAGACGCGAGAAAGGGCCTGTTGATTCCGCAGGCTGTGGGCGCGGTCAGCTTTCCAGCGTATGTTTTGAATCCGTATAGATTCGTGTGTGCGCTGCTGGAAATGAGTCTCGAGAAGGGGATGAATCTTCAGGCTAATACACCAGTGGTTGAGGTCGCGAGACAGCACTCGGGAGAGAAGTGGATTGTTTCTACGGAACGGGGTGATGTGCAGGCTGATCATGTTATCCTTGCAACTAATGCTTATACCTCTGCTCTGTATCCTCCTGTGGCGGATTTTATCACTCCGACTAGAGGTCAGATAGCAGCTATACGCCCGGGTTCTAATATTGCGGGGAATCCGGCACTAAAGAGAACTTGTCAAATGAGCGATGGGACTTCAGGGGATTATTTCCAGTCCAGGCAGGAACCATTTAGTGGTGCTGGAGATTTGATCATGGGTATTATTTCCTTTTCCCCTCTCAAAGCTATGATTAACGTACAAAATTAAAGGAGGAGGTCGCCGCATCTCTCCTACTGGGGAACAGCCAATCCTCGACGATTCAAAAATCCACCCCGCCATCTCCTCCTACCTCTCCAAAACAGTCCCGCCCAAGTATTTTGGCCGCGAGACCTGGGGTGAGGATGGGGAAGTCGTGATGGAATGGACGGGTATCATGGGATATACAAAAGACGAGCAGCCCATCATCGGCCAAGCGCCAGGACAAGATGGGTTGTGGATTTGCGCGGGGTTCCATGGCCATGGTAAGTTTGGTTTGCAAATAGCTGTGCTTGATATGAGTGAGACTGATTTCGTGTACCCTTTATAGGTATGGCACTTACTTTCCAAGCTGCGGAAGCGCTTGTGGGGTTATTGACGGGAAGGGAGGCAGAGGTTGAGAAATGGTTGCCTGATTGCTTCAAGATTGCTCGTGTTCCGAGGATTGGATGAAATTAGCCTCTTAGACATATCTAGATCGCTGTATTTAGTGCGAACAAGTCATTGCTTCCACGTTCAAAGTCCGAATCATTCGACGAAGTCGTCGCGCTCTAATCTACGCGAATTCTACCAGCACATTCTCTATTCTCACCCCTTTTAGAATATCCAACGACTACTGCATCCTACACACTGCTCTTATCGCGTGGTTCTTCCCGCTCAACCGTTGCCTCAACATGCTCCGTCATCAACTCCTTCACACCCTTCAAGAACAAAATAGCAACCAATGAAAGCACCACGAAAGGAATGATGCTCGACCAAGCCAATCTATACGCTGCAGCATATACTACATGACTTGCATGCGTCGCGGCTTCAAGACTCACTGGACTGATACCAGGGATCTCTGAAAACCCCTCGCCCGCTCCAAGTGCCTTAAGCAGGGCAGGGACTGAAGAACCTGGAAGTCCAGCCTTGGTCGCTGCGGATGAAACTGCAGGAGCCCACGAGGATGATATCTTACTGTTGATGATCGTGTTCAGAACTGCCGAGCCGAAGGCGCCGCCCAGAGCTCGGGCTGAGAATGCGAGGCCGGTGGCTGTGGATAGGTAGGCGTGAGGTGCGGTAAACTGGATGAGTGCTACGAGAAGTGTGAGGGGACCGGATTGGCCGAGTCCAGCTGTTTGGAGTCAGGCATTATTCCTTTTGTCCAGTTGTGTATCTCACCTAGGACGTTGAATGCGATTTGAGCGTGGTTCATCGAGGGTTGGATGCAAGCATAGCAGATAGTACTAGGACCATCAGCATCAAACATCAATAGATGAGAGCACAACTTACACGATCAAGAAGAAAGTAAAGGAGACTATGAGGGGAGATTTGAGGTCCTTCTTCCACGTCGAATAAAGCCTTCTGGTTGTTAGTCACTATCTCTAAATGCAAATTGAAGACATACGAAATGGGAACCGAAAGCATAAGGTTCACTAGTTGGAACGAGAGCTGGCGGACTGAAATCCGCCATGAAGATGTCTCGAAGCCTAGGTTTAGAACTACTAATGGCGTGATACTATTCACAGCGCTATAGAAAATCCACCTGCTTCAAGTCAGTATCTGTCGACTTCTTGCGGATTGCATTACCCTTCAACAAAGAATGCGGAGACTGAAAGAGCAAAGTTCGGTCCGCTTTTGAAGAATACGTGGGCAATGAGTCCGTCATCTCGGCCCTTCCATTCTATGATCCAAGTCAGCAGTATATCATGGCAGTATATGTTGGTCACTGCACCCACCATAAACAGCAAAAGCGAGCAGAGTAACAATCCCAATCACCAGAGGAGCTACAACATGCTTATCATGCCATGGATACACTCCACCAGCCCAGTCAAGTGCAACGAGAGCTATAGTAGCACCGCTGATGAATAGGAAGGAACCGATTGGGTCACACGCCCAAGCTACCTGCTTCAACGACATTCTTGGAGAAGCCGACTCTCGTTTTGGATGATAGAATACCAGCAAGCCGATGATTGTAAGCGCGAAGAAACCGGCTTGAATCCAGTAAATAATTCTCCAGCCGGACACTGAAGTATTAGTCGCGGCGCCTCCACCAAGGCTTCCGATTCTGGGAAAGAGGGTGAGCGTCGTTCAGAAGACTCGTTTGGCATAGGGACTTACGTTCCGCCAAGAGCCCCGCCCACAAATGCAAATCCATTTGCAAGGGCCCTGTATTTCAATGGCAAGACTTCAACGGGGATGGCTTGCACAATTGAAACGGTGGAGAGAGTAGAGCCGACCAGGATGCCGGCACCGATAAGTACAGACATGCTGTTAGCCTTCGCCGACACGATTGAACCGACGACTGAGATGGCGGTAGGAATGATAGCTAGATATTTCCTGTCCACAACGTCTGAGAGACGGCCGACGATGGGTGACAGCACGCTTTGTATCAAGAGGGGGCCCTAGCATGCCATCAATACCGTGTCCACAACCGCCCCTGAGAGAATGGGGAAGATGGAAATACCTGGATGATCCAGCCTGCAATCTCTGCATCGCCGAGATCTCGAATGATAAACCCGATTACAGACCCAGCAGCAACGACAACGTATACTTGAGCCATAACGCTGTTCCGTTCATCAGTCCTGCCACCACAGCGACAAGGTGAACACTCACGCAAAACACGTTACACTATTCTTGAAGTCAGCTTGGCATCTCCGCTATTCCTAGTTGCAAACTCACAAGACAACCATCCAAGACCTCCATGTTAGATTGATATGTCTATCATCTGTAAAAGAATCGGCTTTGACCACCGGTCCTACAGTCACATTTTCAACCAGCGTAATATCTGTTTCCTCATCCGCTTTCGACACCTCGGTCTCTGTCCCTGTATCGGCTGCCATGATTTCTTCTTCTGTTTTCTCAGCCATGAGTTACTAAACCTTTCAATCTAAAAAATCACAGTCTTCACAGCTGTTGCAATTAGATATGTGCAGTGAACCACCACGCCCGGTAGACCCGGTAGATATAAAGAAAAGTACTGCCTACTCCGTACCACGCCGTGTACATACATACATACCTAGGCCCAGCCCCAGCCCCGCGGTAAAGAAAACGAGGGGATTTACTGACTCGTTTACAGTACAGGAATCCCCTTACCGCGTAGCCTATTTCGTCCACTTGACCCCTCCACATCCACCTCCACGTCTCCGTCCCGCAGGTACATTCCACGCACCCCGCACTATCCCTGCCGCAGCTAGCCAAGTACCGCCCTGTACTCCATGTACAAATGTCCCATCCCCCAGCGTCGTGTTTCGGCATCTGTTTGACTCGCTGTGTTGTGGACTTCACATGTGTCCGCAGGATCCGGGTGGGGCTCGCTCGCATCTTTGGGATTCCCCCCTGATACGTATACTTGTTCTTTCTATTGCGGGTGGGTCGTTTTTAGGATACGCCCTCCGTTATGCTGGTACTGTATTATAATAAAAAGGCTTCCAGGAGTGGGGTAGAGGAGGGGTACTGTAAATTGAGAGGAGAGGAATCTAGGATTAGTTTGGCTTATCTGCAGTTCAGAGGTTTTTCGACGTCCATGTGTCTGCTAATTAGAGATAGAAAGGGTTGGACATTATATGACTAGCCTCATATTTTCGTCAGTAGGAGACTTTGGTATTTGAGTGGAGGATGCCATCTTTGTCCTCCTAGTAACTAGTAAAAGACACTTGTCTTGTGTTGTCTTATATATCAATCGGTTTAGCGATGAAAAGTTCAAATTCCTGCTCACTTAAGCGTCTGCAGGGTTCATATTAAGGTTAGTAGATGTCTCTCATAGACGCTAAGTACAGTACTAGGAATTGTAACAAGGAAAGATATAGTTAATTCTAAAGTGTTAACGCTTATTGAAGACCCAAGAGAAATGGATAAATTTTAGGGTCGCGGATTAAGAAGATATCTTGACTTCAATATAAGTTGAAAGTCTTACGGCGCTTGAAGTCATTCATCCATTGTCTCATTTATCATACACGCCACCCGCGGCGTTGAGCAGAAACCCTATGTTTGTAATATGGTACATCATGAACATCCCTCTCTTCAGTCCGACATCTCAAGCTCGGCAGCCTCGAGCTCCAATTGCTTTTTCTTCAGAGCAAGTGCCCTCTTCTTCTTCTCCTTCTGCTCTGCTTCCGTCAATACCTTTCGAGGCTTTTGTGTTTTCGGTTGTGCCTGCGCTTGTTGTCCATTGGCTCCGACCTGCGAGTCAAAAGTTAGTACGCGTTTCCTGGAAGAAGATTTGGTGGAACTTACGACTGGCAGACCATCAGTCACTCCTCCGACTGTTTTGAGAAGTGGTGAAGTCACACCGCCTACAATAGGAAGGCCTTTAGTGGTATCATCCACTGTGTTCAAGAGACTGCAAAGCTTAGTTGAAGCTAAGCCTAGGGAAAGGAGAGGAAGTTTACCCTCCTAAAAGTCCGCCATTGCTGGCCTTATCGTTGCTGTTGCCGCCACCTCCGAGAAGTCCTGCCATTTTGTATGTAGAGTGATTTTTGGAGTTGGTGGGATGTGCGCTTTTTTTACTTGTTAAACTTTAGTTTGAGGTTTGTCTAAGAAGAGTACTGCTTTAAATATTGAGGTTACATTGAAGTAGGGCTTCTATATAGCCTTACAGACTCTACAAACAGGTTGGAAACCTGTTTATCATCCCGAAATCCTGATCTATTATTCATGCTTCAGGGATGTGACAGTGTTGCAATTGGTTGTTATTCAGTCAAAACTGGATGCTTGCGAAATGACGTAGATCCCTGTCTGATGTGGCCCATGAGCATGATTTTCGATCGCATCGCGATCTCATCAAAGTTTATTTTTTTATCTTCTTTCATGGATTGGTTCCAAGATTTTGGACTAAGGTTCTAGATGGTCTTATTTCTTAAGATATGCTTTCTATTAGTGTTGCGCCTATCAAGTTGACTTGGCTCGACTATGATGGGATGCTACTACTCCGGAGTATTGTAGCGTTGCGCTGCGGACCGTCATCCGCTCGGCTTATAGCGAAGTAGAATAGACAGTCGGAAGCCATCACATCTGTGAACACGAAGAGCCTGGATATCTACGTCCGTACGTCCGTGACTTTCTACGTCTTGTATCGCCAATGAAAATGAGGTTCCTAAAAGGCTCTTTAGAGAGGCAACATATTAGATCTAGTCCGAAACAGCTGGAAGATGATAGCGTAAGCTAGAAATTATAGATATAGTAAGATGCAATACTTGAGTTTCAAGTAACAAGAACCGCAAGTTTGTTCTTAGGTACCTAAGGTATGCAAACCTAAAGTGTCAAAAACCCCTCCCCCTCTCCTATCAATCTACCCCTCACCTAAGCGAGTGTAAGCTACAGTAATTCGTATGCCATATTTTAGGCTACCCTCACTAAATATAGGGGCTATAATACTGTATCCACTTCACTTTAGTTACCTTTTGTTTTAAAATCTGGTAGAACTTGTCCCTATACCTACCTATATATAGTCACAAAACAATATCCGACATCTGGAGAGGGGATGTTAAGTTATTGATCAGCTCGCTTAGGGGCATAGGCCATACTCTTGAGGTTATCCCCAACTTGCTACCTCTGCAATTCTAGCTTTTCTCTTCATAATAACCTTGATCAATAAGACCCTTGTATTAATGTTCTAGCAAACCGTGACAAGGGGAGTATCATCTTATTCTGAATTTGACTATAGAAAACACCGGAAATACTACTCGAACCAGCGTCACCTGTACGAGAATGCGAATGTTCCACAAACGCTGCAAGTGCAGGGAGTTGCGTGCGTGCATGTGAGGAGAACTTTCAACTCACATTAGCTAGGAGCGAGTAAGCCGAATCAATATTTACCTAAAAACCATGCATAGTAACAAGATGTATTAGTACTATTGAAAAGGGGAACGCAGGTGTCTTACTTCGAAGTATTCTACTAAATATGCCTCCTCTGCGTTATCAATAGCCGTCTTTTTACGCAAAATGAATAACTTAATCCCCAATGCTGTATTATCGCATACTGCCGCATTTGGGGAAGAAATGTAATTTGAGGACTCTAATTTGGGAGGATACCCTGCAAACTACCCCGCAGCGACAATCCCACCCCACGTTGATCGACCACCACTCTCCGCATCTTTTAGACCCGAAGGATCGCGGGTTTATTTCAGATTCTCCTTCATAGTCTCGTTGGACCAGATAATTCCTTCCTGGGCGTGGAGGATAATTTCTAGCATCTTACCTTCATTCAAGGAAGTCACGGTTGATACTCCACCATGTCGCTTCTATCAACCCTTCTCTCCTGGTACAGCCTCATGGGAATAATTCTACTCCCCATCCTCATCCTAATCAGCGATATAATAAAAAAACATCGCATGCCACCCGGTCCTCCCTCTCTCCCCTTCATCGGCACCAAGCTCCCCACTTCAAAACCATGGATCCAATTCCAACAATGGGCCAAAACCTACGGTCCCATCTTCACAATATGGGTTGGAAGACGTCCCACGCTCATTATCTCCGACCCAGAAGTAGCAGTTGAGTTAATGGAGAAAAGAAGTAGCAAATATTCGTCCCGTCCCCGGTTTGTCGTTATGGGCGAGATATACAACACGAAAGCCATTCTCGTACAGCCTTACGGGAAGGATTGGTCTATCAAAAGAAAGCTTCTACACCGTGCTTTGACGCCTGGAGTTCTGAAGACGTATAAATCTCGGCAAGATGCAGAAGCTACTCGACTCGCTTTCGGGCTTTTGCGTGATCCGGAGAATTGGGAGAGAGCTTTCGACCGTTTCACGGCGAGCGTAGTATTTTCCATCGCTTACGGCCATCGCATTGATTCCCTCGACTCCCCAGTCGTTCGACAGAGGTTGATGTACGCGCATTTCATGGCGTCGCTGAACGTTCCTGGGGCGTATAAAGCGGAGTCGTTCCCAGTGCTGAAACATATACCTGAGTGGTTGGCGCCGTGGAAGCGGACGATTCGGGAACATTCAGAGATGGAATCCGTTGCTAATATGGCGCTGGTAGATGGCGTGAGAGAAGATATAAGGGCAGGGAAAGAGAAAGGGGAAGAAGTTGCACCGTCAATGACGAAGGATATGTTGGCTGTGAGGGACGAAGAGGGTATTTCGCTGAGCGACAAGGATTTCTCTTACGTGCCCGCGAGTTTATTCGGTGCTGGGTCTGATACCACGGCTTCTTCAATGTGTTCTGCAGTCCTCGCTTTAGTGACCCATCAGGTTGCACTTGAAGCCGCACAAACGGAGTTGGATTCTGTTGTAGGTAGTGATCGGATGCCGACCTTTGAAGACGAGGACAAACTTCCGTATATACGTGCGCTTGTAAAGGAGGTCTTGAGATGGAGACCAGTCGCTGTACTTGGAGGGACTCCGCATGCTTCGTCAGAAGATGATGTGTACCAAGGACGGTATATTCCAACTGGAGCAACGATTTTAGGAAACACCTGGGCCATCAACTTGAATGAAGAATATTACCCCAATCCTCAGCTCTTCAACCCCGCCCGATTCCTTGACGAGAAAGATCCCCGGTATCTCCCCGAACTCAAAGGAAAGAAAACACATCCTGCGAAAGCCGGTCACTCGTCCTTCGGATGGGGCCGAAGGATATGTCCTGGTGCTGATCTTGCAGCCAATTCTTTGTTCATCGCTCTTTCAAAACTCATTTGGGCATTTGACATCCTCCCAACTCGAACATACGATACTTTGAATTACACGGACGGTTTTAATAGTCGTCCGAAACCATTCAAATGCCTGATTCGGATCAGAAGTGAGAACCATAAAGAAGTCCTTGCAGCCAGGAGTTTACAAGCGGTAAAGGAGATGGAGAAATTCCCGGCATACGACTGAATTCATATGCTGGAGTAGCTGGCGTTCATTGAAGTGCCTGCCTTTGCACTTTTGAAATTCTATACTTGGTGACTTCACGTCAACCAGGCCGTAATAAAACATATTCTACAGATACTTTTGGTCCAAAAGCAACACCATCTAAAGATCTTCTTTGTTGTCATTGTCGTCATTATTTTGGCAGATACCATCAAAATCGCCATAGATTTCCATCCCTTTTTCTACCAGACCTGTGAAATTATGAAAAGCACAACTCGCGCCGGGTCCATCCTGACATCTCGGAATCGGCCTCGGGGCACTATTCGCAATGATTCTAATGTATTCTTCATCATCCTCCGGATTAGATGAAACAGAATTACACGTGAGTTTCTCGATTCCCACGTGACCAAGGAAAGGAATCAGCTCAGCCATCTTCCACGATCTGGCCCAATTGATACGATCTGTGGGAAACTCTTCTGCATGTGCGTTGGATGAATTGAAGAGGCCAAGAGCTGTTGCAATAAAAGGCGGGACCTCTCGATGGGTGAAGCTGAGGAAGAACCGTTGGCCATCGTCATCCGGGATGTCACCACCACCAGCGTGTCTTTGACGATGGAATTTGGACATAAGCTGCGACGTTGTGTTGAGCCAAGGGAAGCCGAGGTATGGAGAGAGAGGATTTCCATGTCCAACCATGTAAGAGTACTTCATATCCCACGCATACTCGTATGCCATCCACTCGGCATCTGTGAAGACATCACAAATCTTACTTTTCAGACCATTAATCGCAGACTCGTAACCGCAAAGCTGTTGCAAGCCCATGATGTCTGCTTTGTCCAAGTTGACCGGAGAAAAGGGCTGTAGCCGTGCTATTATCGGGCCCGTATACTTTGTAATGAATGTACCTTGCTCGTCCGTGCCTGGCTCTTTTGAAAACGCTTTGCATGCTTTATGAGGGTTTTGCGAATGGAATGATGACCTGTTCGAATGCAACTCCACAACCTCCACTTCTTGAGGAAATACATGGACAAAGGAGTTGGCTGTGTCTTGTGTCCTCGACTTCTTATCGGCGTAGATCCTTTTCGTCGTAGGAACCAAGGTTGGATATCGAGATAGTAAATGTTTGCCAACTTTTCTTGAATCTTTGATTCCTTGAGGTGTGATTTTCTCCAATTGATTATCCGGGTCATCTATGGGATTCGTCCATGTTTCGAAAAAGGAAAGAGGGCCCTTCCATCCGTTTCTTTTTTTCCCTAGAGCAGAATTGAAAGTACTGTTTAACTTCTTGATGAAAGGCTCAATGTAATCCTCGTAGTCGCGATCATTTGCGTAGATTGCGGCATGGCGAATGAGATATGAAGCTGCAGTCACCTCACAGTGTTGAGGAGCTCCATGATTGAGTCCTGAGCCTACGGCATCAAAATAAGGACTGATTCCTGGTAGATGAAGCAAGGCGTCGAATTCGTAGCCTTGTGTATGGGATTGAGGGAAAAGGGGCACTTGTGAAGATATTATAGGTTCATAAAATTGCGCCAAGGCAATGTATGCCAATATTTTCCTAATTTGGAGCATATTGTATATCTCGGGGTGAAATGTAAATGCGGGAGGAGAAAAAAGGTGGGAATTTTAAGGAATCAGGGCTATGACATCATCGACCAAGAAAGTTTCCCTGTATTTCGTAACCGTGCACATGCACCCTCACTTGTTTCAACAATAGGGAAGGGTATTTAACCTCTTCCTCTTGACAATATAAATGATGCGTGAAAGTATAAGTCAATTGCCCCACAAGTTCTCCGTGTACGGTACTATTGTTTAGAGAGGCGGTCTATAGCATGCGTCGGCGAAGCTAGCGCCATTTGATCAACTCAATACCTACCTATAGCGGTACTCTTCTATGCATTGGTATTATGTTGGAACTTTGTTGTCGTTACACCGTATATAATGGAGGGTAAAGGAATGTATTAATGAACAAAGAGTTGTCCGCGTTTTGTGCCTAAAGGGGGGCAATTGTATTATTGTTTGAACACAACATTACGCGCCGACGAAGTATCTGAGGAGCAAGAACAATCACAATTTTCCTGTCAATGCTGATGATGTAAGAGATTTCAACCAAGGGTCTAAGTATGGTTCTGTGGGAGGCAAGAATGCGTTTCACCTTTCTGAGTAATCGGGATAATGACCGTCGAGCTTCACATTGCCGGCGTAGACGAAGAATGGAGTGTGGGTGTACGTTAATCATAATAGATATTGAAAAGGGATAGGTCAAAGAAAGATTAGTTATTTCAAAGTTTCGAAACAGAAATCCTAACCAATTCTTCTTTGTTCGTGATTGTCTTGGTCTGCTTAGTTGTATCGGCTCAGGTGGAGACAATGACCCACCACTACACCTTTACAATAGTCGTTGGAAGCTGAAGACAGTTGATTCGAAATTCGCTTTCTAATCACTATGCTATTGTGATGCTTTATCTTTGGCAATAAAGAACTTTCGGGAAGTTAGAAAACACTCTCAGATTGACTAATTGTCCCACAAAATAGAAAGAGTTAATAGAATAGTTGCAGTCGTCCAGAACGCTGTCTTCAGGTAATTTTGTGCCATTCACCATAACAAAGCGAACAAAGCAAAGAAAGATAAAACAACTCTGAATAACGATCATTATTACATTACAACCCTTTTTCCTAGTTTATAAATACAAACCCCCCAAGTGATCTATTATCCCTTCCTCATCACCTTATACCAACACAAAAACTAATCTTAAAAGAAAAAGCATCATCATTACTATGGTCGAACGACGCAATTATTTTATGGGTCTCGAGGAGGGGAAATTTTGGACTTTGAAAGAAGAACTTCTAGATATTCCGAACCTCTCTGACATCAAAAAGCCTTACCCCAAAGAATGCCAGCCTCCACCGTTTAAATGTCCAGATCTGAAGACGACTAAAAAGCCCGCACCTCCACCTAAAGGTACAGAGCCGAAGACAACCGAAAATCCTAATTTTCCACCGTCACAAAGTCCATGTTCGAAGACAAACACGGGATCGACCTCCCGATCTGGACTGACCGAAGAAGAAACCGCTCGCCGCGCAAACCTCAGCAATTCAGGGAAGCAACAGGAAGCAAGAGACGCAAGGGCGGCATGGAAAAAAAACAAGCATGACACCTGGTGGCATTCTCAACCAAGCAGTAAACCTACTAAGTCATCAGTTAATTCGGGTACATCTGATCCAAAGCCGAAGAAGACGAAGAAGCCGAAGAAGTCGCCCAAACAGCCAAGCCCCGGAGCGCAGCAGTTCTACAAATCAGCCGCAGATCCAGAGAATCCCGACAAGGAATCCGAGCAAAGTGCTAAGCAAAGGAAGAACGAGAAACGCAAGCAACGGGCAGCAGAGAAACAAGCAAAGCGACAAGAAGCAGAAGAGAGGAGACGCGAGAAACGAGAAGCAAAGAAGGAAGCAGAACGACTAGAACGATTTGAGATCACTCAAAAAGAACGACTCAGTTTCGAGACATGGTCCAAGGCTTGCGCGGACTTTTTTGCTGACTCTAGTCTCACTTTTCCAAAGCCTCCTACATATCGCTGCAAGAAAGTCAACTGCATCAGAGGGGAGCATATTGAAGCTTGCCACCATGATGTGGAACGGACTATGCTCGGAAGTGGGTGTTATACCAAGGACTGGCTGAAGAAGGAGAGGCTGAAGTGGCATCCGGACAAGTTTCATGCGATGGGCAAGACTCAGACTATGGCCTCGGAGATGTTTGTGCTCATCCAGCGACTAATTGACGGGGATAGGTCGAAGGAAGAGTGAGTCGAACTGGTATTCGCCTCTTGGGAGGTTGACTCAATTCTTAATGCAAATTTCTACGTGGTACTTATTCAAAAAATACAATTCTAAGTCATTAATAATCAATAAGGTGTGAGACTAACACGAACTTGAAACACTGATAACAATAGTAATCTCAGATAATACTTCTTCAGAAAAGAATTTGACTTGTCTATATTTCGTATCATCAAAATTATTCAGTCAACTCAGTACCGAAAGTTGAATTAGAAGCTCGTCTAAAACGTCCCACGAGGGAAGGGAGTACAGGTGACCCATTTCACCTCTTCAAGCCTTTCAAAGCATACCCCAGTCATGAAAAAAAGCCTGCAGAATTTGCTGAGAGTGAAAGGAAATCTTTTCAACTCTTCAATTACCATTACGTGATTTGCCCTCTTCAAGTTGACGCTCTTCAGTATTCCTAGCCTCTTCTTTAATTTCCTTCCCCAAAAGTCGTCTTTGACTTTTTACCATGGAGTCCCAAATACCAGATAAGAAACTTAGAGTACTTTTTACACTGAACGGAATGACCTCTTGGATGGGACCTTCAGGGGGTTGCTTCTTAGGAATCTGGATCTCCGATGTCTGATTCTCAGGTGGCAGAGTCTCGGAGTCTTGCTCATTAGCGCTATTCTCTTTCCCGGCGTTCTCCTGCTCGGTGCTCCCATCCTTAGGTTTATGGCTCTCCTGAGATTCGTGACGCCGACCGAGTCGAAAAAAGTGGAACACGGGTCTGAAAAGGTGATCGTCTAAGAAGGGAGCATTGGCAAGAGCAATCGCGGTGAAAAGAAGGGTTATAAATGCCGTAGCAATTATATATCCTACAGGCTTAGCACTAGGCACCCCGCTAGTACTAAACACTGCTGTGGCGAATCCTAAAGGAAGAAATATGACCGTCACGTAGGTGAAGAAACGGACATTTTCTGCACTTTGAAAGCTCAGCTCATTTCTTGTTGACTCCAGTCTGCTCGTAAGTGAAGTTCTTAGCGATCGTATACTGGCCAGATAGCGCTCAAGATCCCGAATCTTGTGGTTGTTGGAAATTGTTACTTTGTTCAACACCGACCTGTATTTTCTCTCATCATCTCTAGTCCATCGAGGTCTCTCCAACTGCCTGTCCTTTTCGCGGTTCCTCCACAATTCAATTTTCTCAAGTGTCTCTTCCAAATCTTCTTCCATGACTTGTAGGGTATACTGAAACGCCGGCCATTGCTTACTGAAAGAAGAGTAGGAGTCATTGTTCATTGGCAGAGAAAACAATGCGTTTGATGCGTAGAGGATATCCGGGCGAGTAGAATTAACTGGTTTTGCGGGCAAAAGCGACTTGCCAATGCTTTGGGCCTCCTCCCAAAGCTTTTGATCAATCTCGCCGAGCAGTTGTGAGTAGGGCCCATTCATCTTTTTTAGCATCAGGTCAAACAGAAGTAGTTCAAGTACTTTGCGTTGACACCATGACCTCTGAGGTTTATTATGTTCAAGGAGCTCTTTAAAAGACTCGAGTCGATCTTGAACAAATGTAGTCTTGTCTGAAGGCGTTCGCTGAAACAATTTCTCCCGTTTTGAATCTTCCTTAGGCTCGTATTCGAGAACATGGCAAGTCCAATAACGATCCCAAAAGTCCCCAATGAACCGGAAGCCCATACCCGCTCGTCTGATAGTTTTATTACCTCCCAGAAATCTTAAGTCTCCGTTATCTGTGTGTTGGTCCATTATTTGGTAAGATGATAAGTGAAACTCCGTTTTCCATATATTCATGACGGCCATCGTTTCGTCGAAGAAGTATTTCTCTTTGCGATTGTGCCTATTGAAAAACGTCGACAAATAAACTCTCTCCGATTCAGGAGACTTGAGACAACAGAGTCCACTGGTGACAAGATCGGCGTTCGGCAGCCAGAAAAGTCGCTTCTTAGCCTTTTCCACTATTTTCGGTATCATGAGCTGGTTATACATGTCAAGGTTGCTAAGCCATTTGTCGGAGTCTTCTGGATTCTGGACTGGGCCGGCTCTGGATCTGGTCTGTGTGGGATCCTTCCTTGAGATATCACGAATAACACCTCTCAGAATTATATGATCCAATTCGTCAGGAAATTTGAATGAGCTGCTGGACTTTTTAATGGGGCACGCCTCTCTCACTTGGCTTATGATACTTTTAGTACCTGCGCTAGTGTCACGGTCAGGATTGCTTTCGACGTCGCCTGTGCCAGTCTTGGTGTCGCTTCTGGTAGGAGGTGGAAACCCCAGAAAATCTGGGATTGTGAACAACCACTCATCTGATAGCTCGATGATGCTTTTTTGGTCAATAAGCTTGTTAAAAGGGATCGAACTTTTCATCTCCAGGGACTTATTTCCAATTGAAATTCCAGCCGAAAATACCTTGGCACTCATATCTTGAGCTGTTTGATTAGCAGCATTTCCTTCGAGAGATATCTTGGTAGCCATGGCGTTGTTTTCCCAGAGAAGATATGGAAGCTCGAAGCTCGTATGCCAATAGAAATCTCCCCAACCGGGCGGATACATCACGGGTTCCTTCGTATCCACATTTAGGTGGCCTGGGAAGATTCCGCTTCCCGAACAACTCTCGAGCAGAACTTTTTTCGCTAGCTTGACCATTTCCTGTGGCAACATGGAGTTGATTTGAGAATTATTCGATCCCATTACTAGCGCTAAGGCATAACGCAATGGTTTATTCCATCTGGAGTCTTGATTCTTGGTATGAAATTTCTGAACCTCGATCGTAGCCTTCCACAAAGTCTCTGATTTGATAAAGAATGGCTTTGCCGCTTCGTAGAACAAAGCAGTGTGTCTAGAACGGAACTGGAACCGGTTCTCGGAAATTGAACGGGTAACAGCAATCATTCTTTGCTTAGACACGTCATTCTCTATGGTAAATCGGCTTAGGACTTGTCGCTGAAACTCAGCAGAGGAGTAATTTTCCTTCAATTCGGTCGCTTGGCTCTCTCCAGCTTCTTTAGGCTTCTTTGATTCCCTATATTTCAGAAGCTTTTTGCCCAGCCCAAGCTTCTCGGTCGACTGGAGGGCCCGCCAAATCCAGACGTGGTCTTCCAAGCGGTATTCCTGGGTGTCCTGCGCCTCATCGATAGGGCGTGGGAATGCAAATTTGCGCGTATTCTCATCGTCCAGTCTTTTAACCCAGTGCGTAATCCTTTTTTCTAGCTCTTTTACCCATTTGGCGTTATTATCTTTGAACTTTGTGGCAAAATCTGCGAGTTTGATAATCTGGAATGGCGCATCGGTCAAGGACTTGTTACTCAAAACATCTCGTCCGAGATAGCCCCTAGATTCGTCATTGATTATTTTACCAGTTGCCCAATAGTTTGCTCCAAAGCAGCCATCTTCACTTAACTCGACTTGGTCTATGATCCAACTCAAATGAGCCTCACACGTGGCTTTGACTCTACTGCGTAGAGCGTGAGAGTATTCCCATTGGCAGACCACCCCATCAGGATTATTGCAGTGATGAATAGTATAATTATTTTCTGACTTGTTAGTATGAGCTTCACATCGAACAAAGCCATCATTCTTTTTTATCATCAGGTCTCCGAGATGCTCGAACATGGAAAGCAAAAACTGGAACGCGAAACTGGCACTCTTTAGCAGTTGTTAAATCAGGCCTGTATCTTCTCCAACCTACAAACTAGCTGATGTGATAAGTCTATGCCCTGACATGTCTCCACAAGTTAGAGCAATACGCCATGCATCCGGTTTATCGTTTTTATGAACCCCGTCAGCAGGCTGGTTCTCGTTTGATGGTCTATCTGGCACCGGAATACTGCAGACTGAAAGAATATGTTCGAGATTACGTCGCATGATAAAGTCCAAATGTGTATCTTCCAAGAATTGTAGCTTTGTGAAGGAGTTGGAAGTTGTTTTGGTAAACGCATTGTCCACAGCGAGGAATTCAGAGTCCGCAATCAAACAACGTTTCCAGTTAATAAGTTTAGGCATTAACTGCAATTTGAGCGCCATCGTAACTTCCAGTGGCTTGGATTGAATTGTGTAGAAGTCTCCTTGTCCAGTCTTGTGCCGAATTCTGTAGGAGGCAGGTCCCAAGGCCCTGTCATTCTCGAGTTCTTGAATCTCGCCATCCACGGAGATGGCGATGACCAAGCCAGCAATATCAGAACATGACGCCTTCAACTCCGATGCTTCACGTTGGATAACGCCCCTATTAGATAGAATAGCACTTCTTCCATATGGTCCTAGTGTATAGGAATGATTGGACTGCAATTCGTTGAACATGTAGCTAGGATCCGTGAATTCCAATTCTCGTATTAGGAAACTATCAAGGTGAAAGAACAAGTCTGAATTCGATATGATCCGAATAGGTTTTTCGGTCTTTGTTTCGTAGCGCCAACGCAAAAAAATGGTCCCGTTGGACACAAAATGTTGTGTGATCATAGTAAAATCATCCGTGGGCTTGGAGACAAATCGTGGCCAACGATCATAGACGAACTCCCGTTTCCAACCACTCTCAAAGGCTTGTGCCTCCTCTGGAGATTGATTTTGACAGTATAGTGTAATGCCATCGTTAATTGAACTACGTTCTATGAGCTCATTTTGGCGTTCTTGAACGAACCAGGGCTCCGGAACAAGGTTCTGGTCTAATGAAAAGAAACCAGATCTACCAACCCCCAGAAATCTAGTGATCTGTATCAGGCTTCCATCCGTACTAACACTTGCTGTTGTACCATTTTCTCCATAGGATGTATACGATTCAGATGAATCTGCTTCTTTTGGGTTTGCAATGTGGTCAGTAGCTTTCGTATCCCACGGTGGTCTTTCTCTATTTTTCGCACCTACCAGCCGTGTTATTAGCATTGCTCTATGCACCAGAAATTCGCAATATTACTCACCGAAGATGAACTTTTGGAATTCATCACCTTGCGGATCGGCAGGAAGCCCATCAAAAATAAATGGATCGGGAAGGCTGGCAGGCTCAGCTGGAGGGTGAACAGCACTTTCGGCCTGTTCGGGCTGAGAACCGGACTCGGAAGGAATTGAACGCGGATTCACACTGCTCTCGGCCATAGTAACAATATTAGCAATGACCTTTGATGGTTTTGACGTAATTAACCACAAAATATAGTGGAATGTTGCGAGGCTGGGATTCAGGTCCTCACGCTTGAGGCTTGAGGCTCTTCGGCGTGTCCACTTTTATGTCATATTCCGAATAAAGGCAAAGTCATGTAGGCGTTGGGCGTGTAGCATTGCGGATAATGGCTAAATTATTCTACCGGCCCATATAGAGCTGAGTTCCCTATTTTGGCGAGCTGCACAGACCTACCGTTCTCATGTGGGCAATCCGCAGGGATTTGAATGGTGGCAGCTTATCATCCAGGTCCAAGGCGAGGCTTGCTGCTACGGTGGCTTGCGATGGCTTTATCCTTACAATGGCTCCGCATGTACATCGCCGATCATGTTAGTAATTCAACGCCTTTGATAATATAAATTAGAGTAGCTTAGTATACTCTATTCTACCCAACCCATTTTTCACATTGCCTAATATGATCTGTATAGCAGCTTAACACGAGCATCCTATGATGTCTCATGGGCTTTGTTTACTAAGTACAAATGTGAGCTCTCTGCATTTAAGGTTTTTTGGAAGATGGAGCCTAGCTTTACATGTTGAAGACTGAAATATTTTTGATAAAGGAAAAACGGTAGAATAAGTCGCAAAGCCACTGAAAACTCTTCTAATAAAATTCATCGACTTAAGAAACCGCCTTCACGACGTCAAGGAGTAGCGTCTCCATAACTCCTAAAAGTACCTCAGTGAGCAGTTGCCTAAAGCAGTAATTGGCTAACTGTATTCAGATGACTCCCTCTCGGCCGTATTGCAGAGGTCATTCAATCAAAAAATAATCTCCACATTCTCCAGTCTGAAATAGCCATGACAGGTGGTCCCAATGCTTTTACTGAAGTGTGGAATGATGAAACAATTGGCAACAATTGGCATGTCCCTGCCTCGGTAGAGTAATCTTCCTACTCCCACTAAACCTCGGTCGTCTCGCCTATCGAATTTGATGCGGGGCGGGTTGGAAATCGCCCCCCTACCCCCCCCCCCCCATAGTCGATGGACCTAGCGGACCGACCCGAGACCGGGACCGCAAACGAATTAATAAGCATTCGCTGGAAATAGAATAGGTAGAAAACGTCTTCTTAATGGCTGCACTTATAGTAGTAGTGACAACAATATATACAGTTACTAAAATGGCTATAATATTATCTATGAGAAGGACATTTCCTGTGTAAAGGTAAAGTGGATATACAAGCTATTTGTATAGATGCGGTACTTCTACGGAGGTAGCACCGCTCGGATATGCCATAGATAAAGTGGGAGAGCGGTAATTTTTAGACTTTGGCATGCATTGGGATTCCTCCCCCCACATTAGATCGGCTCTAGGTTTCGTACCTTCCATATAGTCCATACAGGACAGAGTATATAACAGCTTCGACTTCACTTGATAATTATTGGCCTTATTGTGATTGTGTTTACTTGAATAAATTCTGCATTACATGCAAACTAGGGATCTAACATCTAGGGCGTGAGGCAAAATCCTTCTAATATCCTGAAATGAGATGATCAAGACATGTCGAGTCGTAGAATCCTACTCGGTAACCCTGAATCCTGAACAGGGGCTCAGGGGGGTGGACGGGTGGACGGTTAGAGGGGTAAGTGAGGGGCAAATGTATTGCCCCCAACCGCTTGGAACAGATACAGTTATCATAATTTCTATTTAGTAGAAGTAGAACTATGAGAAAAATACTTGCACACTGGGCAAAGTTGCCGCCCCGGCGCTTATAGTAGTAGCGCGGGGTATCATATCTGAGGTGGATGCTACAGTGCCACTCGTGGAGCGGGAGTGGCATGCGCAGTAACGCGGTACTTAGTTAGGATTTAGAGTTAAATTGCTACTCAGGCACGGCCCTAATTGGGAATTATCCCGCGAGGGCTGTTCATAAACAACCATCCATGATTTTAGTAATGCTTACACGTGCATGTTCGAGGCACACCAATACGAATAACCTACATGCATTTGATGTAACCATAACCTCTTTCATCTCTGAAACTTTCAGAATGAACTCAGCAACGTCAAAACCCGTCAGAATCGTTTCACAGAAATCACTTATCTCTTTATCAGATCTTTATCAGAGCCTTCCATCTCCCAGTGGATGCCTTCATGTACATCTTAATTACACGGGCCTGTTCCAAATCACAACAGCTTTTGCAAGGGCTTCCTTTGTATAATGGAGGAGAATTTCCACGTTACTGAGTTGAGCTCCTATCGCGCTCGAGTAGTGTTCATCGTTACTATTTTATTCTTGGTTACCTCTACTGCTTCTATCATTCTTCGCTTGATGGCGAAGAGAGTTAATAAAGCAAACTTGACAGCGGACGATTATGCAATATTAGTTGCTCAGGTACTCATCTATCCCTAGCCTCCACCTGGAACAAAAGTCAGCTAATCTTCTATAGGTTGTAAACTATGGGCATGCAGCGTTGGTAATGCTAGGTAAATCCCGAGGGTAGACTTTTCATACAGCACAAGCTTACACTCAAGAAGCGTTATTTAGCGCCAATATTGGACATCACGCTGATACTATTCCATCCTCTGGTCCCCCAACTTTTTTCAAGGTTCGTATCATATGATAAGACCTTATATGTGCAGGTATTAATTATTGATAGCTTCTACTGCCTTTGCAAATTATCTACGGCTTGATCCTGGGTTTGATCAAACTTTCAATCTGTCTATTCTACAACCGTATATTCTTTACCAAGAGATTTCGGGTTGCTTCTTGGGCAGTTATTGATTTAATTGCCGCCTGGACTATAGGATCTGTCTTAGCTCCAATATTAATATGCCGTCCTATTGCATACAACTGGGACCGCAAAATCAAAGATGGGAAATGCAGCAACCAAACGACATCATTCATTACTATCGGTGTTTTTGACCTGCTCATTGATATTGCCGTCTTCGCGCTACCTTTGCAAATGATCTGGAATTTGCAGGTCTCCACAGGAAAGAAGGCAGCGCTCTTTTCAATTTTTGGACTTGGAATCAGGTGATTATTCTCCGAGCAGAAAAGATTGAAAGCTAATTCGGTCTCTCAGCACCATGATCTTAAGTATCCTCCGTATTCAAGCACTAGTTACATTAGATCTAAGCGACGTCACGTATACAGCCACCTTTCCCCTACTCTATGCTTTCCTGGAACCAGCAATTGGAATCACAGTTGCCTGTGCGCCGCTCTTCGGACCATTGGTCAAAACCAGTAGATTTGGAAGGTTCTTCTCTCAGAGCGGGAAGACCCACGAGTACAACTTGTCCTCAAATTTCGAGCGGATGACGGAACATGATCACGAATTGAACGACTTCCGGCCACAAGTAACAACCATGATCACAACCGAAGGCAAAAAGCCACCGCATGTACTAAAAAGAAGCACCGCCTTTTTTGATGACGGAAGTGAGTCTAGTATCTTGCCAGGAGCAGGAATGGAAATCCTAGTGAAAAGCGAGTGGGAAATGGGCCGGGTTGAAGTTTGAAGTAGACAAGTCAAGAAGGAAACTGGTTTGAGAAATAGAATCGCTAATAAAAGTCATAATATAAAGCTTAATATCTAGAAGTTTCAACAAACCACTGTGTGTTTCCCCCCGGTGATTTCGGTGCATCCAATATCTGGAACATGTGAACCCATATCTTAGAAAATGTAAAGAAGCCTAGACTTTGGTCTAGTAATAAGTGTGATAGGGTCATAAATTGCAGCTTAGAATCTGAGACAACATTACATGAGGTCGGCACAATTTGCGTGGTCTGCTTGATTCGATTATTGTACGGATATCTTATTTTAGCACAAATCTACCAATTCCACCAGACCTCCCAAGACACTCGCAACACCGATAACGACTCCAAGAATTTTCTAGTACAGCTTGTCAAAGAGCATAGAGAACAAGTAAGTAATGAGCCTGGCTCCGCATGCCGGCGCCGTGCTGCAATAGTACAGTACCTCTATGCCAACCACGTAATGCAAGTCACTAGTTAAACTGCAGGTGTGAACAACGCGCATGAGTTTTAAGGGGGGCGGAGATAACGTGGAGATATCTCTAGGGCTTACTGATTACGGGGTAAGCGGCTCCTTTACCTAACAGGTGATTTTGATTAAACTGGCGGAGCTACTGCAGGTGTCAGCAGTATGCTTTTTGTCTGTGCGGGAATTATTTAGGCTAGGTGTTCGGAGTTTAGTTTAGTTGCTTGATGGTGGTGGAATGTTTTTAGTTGTTAAGAGGTAAGCAGGCTGGGCTTTGATTGATTGGTGACAGTGGAGTGGAGAGTGAAAGTGGGAGTGGGGGGACTTGCTTGTTAGATATTTTGTATGGGAAGAAAGGTTTGATGGATGGAGTGAGTGAGGAGTAAGAAGAGAGGATCCGGACGGAAAGAGTCAGATAGAGAGAAGGATTAATGGGATAGACAAGAGGAGAGAGGATTGCAATTTTGTTTGATAACTCAAAAGGTTTCCACATTGATCATGTCTTGAATTTAAGGTTTGAAAGGCTACCAATCGATCGAACAATCCTCGAACAATCCTCTATCCATGTGCTTTTGCGAAACATTCCTAATTATTTACGCATCTTCCTTCAACCCCACAAGCTCCAATGACTTCTCCCACAGCTTAGCTTCTAGTCCTGCATCATACGCCCACTTACTATACCCCGGACCCCACGGGCCATCAGCATCATTGTTAGGCTTCCCAATGTGACAATCCTCTAGATACTTCCCCCCCTGGCCCTCAAGAACCTCCGAAACAGCCGCCCAAACAGTAGTGGCAGCCCCCTGTTGAGGTGACTTCCAGATCTTCATAAGTTCTTCATTTTTAAGCAAACCCTGAACAGCTTCCTGTGGCATATGTTGCGCAATATTGGTAGTGATAGCTCCTGGGTGTACTGCCCAAGCATGCAGACCCTTACCGCCGTAACGACGGTCGATCTCATTGGCTGTCCACAGGTTGGCGGTTTTGCTTTGAGAATACGCTACGGCGGGATCGTAGATGCCGTCTAGATTGACGTTGTCGAAATGGACGCTGCCCCAACGGTGAGCACTGGATGTGAGAATGACGGCACGTGAGTTGAAGACTGGAGTGGAGGATGCGAGGAGAGCAGGCTTGAGGAGGTTGAATAAGAGGAAATGAGCGAGGTGGTTGGTGCCGAATTGGGTCTCAAATCCATCTTTGGTGCGACCTTCCGGGCAAGCCATTATGCCAGCATTGGCGATGAAGATGTTTAGTGCAGATGACTTGGACAGGAACTCGTTGGCGCAAGCACGGACGCTGGCGAGGGAGTTCAGATCAAGTTCTAACAGATGGACGCGGGGTGAGGCGATGAGACCACCCAAGGCTTTCTTTGCCTTTTCGAGATCACGAGCTGTGAGGTATAGTGTTGCGCCAGTAGTCGCGAGGGCGCGAGCGGTTTCGATTCCGAGGCCTGATGAGCAGCCGGTGATGAGAATCACTTTGCCTTCTAGCTTTCCTTCCAGATTCTCGTCTTTGATGATTTGGAAGGCTGTGGGACGAGCATCACCAGATCCCTGGTGTGATTCATGAATTTGTTCATACTTTGTAGCCATGTTTGATGATGGGACTGGTGAAGTGATTGGAGATGGAAGATATGTTTGGGGATGAATGAGGAATTTGAAGTGATGTTCTGAATGTGCGAGAGAATGGGCATCTTATATAGATTTCCAGCTTCTATAAGACATACATGGAAACTAAAAGCAAACGAGAAATATGCTCGCTCATGGTAGCCTAGCCAGGGATGCATGCCGGGGAGTGGTTGTAGATATGTCCAAAGCAGGAGCCTGGCCCCACCCAAAGCTTATGCAACCAGCTCACTCTTGCATAGACCACAGTCTGGGGACGTCAGAGTTTCCAACACATGGCTCATATCATCGATATCGCTAGACTCTCATTCGACGGCTTCCTCGCATAGGGTTCTCTCAAAACTCAAAGGCCTTTCGCCACGCTGTTTCCGCCAATGATTAGTAGATTCCAAGAGTTGTAAACACCCTTTGATTGTCCAAGCCCAGTGGCTCAAGAAGGACTCCGTAACTTCCCAGCTGTGTGAATCCCATGGATCGCCCCAGACTACCATTGCCGTCCTATCTTTAGAGCCGCTAAAGAATCCGATAAGATCTCCACAGAGCTCCATATCATCATACGCATCTTCTGCTCGCAAGAGATTATCCCGCATGCCAGGTATCGGAAACAGATCGATCCAAGGATGGTGAGGGATCTTGCGCTGAAGCTTCGTTGGGCGAAGTGCCGAAGGAAGAGGTCGGGAAAGACAAAGGGTATTCGAAGGATCAACAAAAGGAGACAGAGAATCATCGTCCATGGTTTCCTCCGGAGTGAAGCCGAGATCCCTCGAGTTGCTAACCAAAGCTCGGAACACATTTAATTTTACCAACGCTTCAAGTTGAAGATGGTCATTCATTGGTGAGCCCATTGTGAGAGATCTCTGAGCCCACTCTTTGAATTCAGAAACCAACTGTTGAGTCTGGATATTAGTGAGCCGGCAGACCTTAGCAACATATCCAGGCTGCGTGCAGTCAAGCTTTGAAGGGCTCGCAGCGGCATGAAACGCGCGCCACAATTGAGATCTAGAATCGGGTTTGGCATAGGCTTCCAACTCTGTGGGATCGATACTATCACTGGCAATGCAATCTTGTGTCTCTTGGCGTACTGGTTTGGTAGCACCGCGACCTGACTTTGTTTCTATTGCTTTGCGCTTTCCTGCAAGTAGCAAACGCTTACGTTAACTAAAGATGTCATAAAAAGAAGACAGTGAAATAGCTTACGATATGCTCGTTGATTCCTCCGATTCTGCAGCTTTCTTCGTTCCGCTGGGTTAGTCAAGCCGGTCCAGTCCTCCGCCAAGCCAATCATTCCCGGTTGCTGAGGCATTAGTCCTAGACATATTGGCTCTTGAGAGAAACTTCGGCCCAGCTGGGTGGGCCCAGAATTGCTCTCCATAATTTGCCTTTTCGTGAAGAGTAGAATCAATTCTTAGAAAGTATGCTGCTGACACCGGCATATGTCCCGCAGCTCGGCCGGATTTAATGCAAGGAGCGGCTTAGTAATCATGGAGGATTTTCATGTTGGCATCACATAGTGCGCTTCGTTGGCCTAGCAACTTGTCTTGTATTGCTTTCGCTCTGTTTAGTAGTTTGATTTCTAGGTGTCTAAGTCTAAGTATAGATGACAAGGCGAAGAGGTTATGCCTTTGCGTAGCTTGGTCATCCACGCTAATGTCATGTAACTATACACGTGAGTTCACCTCCTATTTCTTGTTGCAACATCAGCGTCATTTGTTGCTCAGCGTGGGAATTTAATCGTCATTTAAATTTTACACTATCGAGTCTCGCCTTAGTCCACAGAGAGAACGGTCAGATCCTTAACTAGAGGATGTTCCCACATCTGGTATTTCGACAAGTCTCTCTTACTTGTATTTACCTGAACATGAAACAACTCTTCTTTCACATCAAGTCCCCCAAGCGTCTTCGATTTCTCCCAACGAATCCAAGCCCTCCGTAATCTTTCATCGTTCATGGCCATGACCTGATCGGCATGCCACTGCTCCTGGAGCTGCGATTCCTGATCTACCCTTTCCAACATGACTTGGACGAATCCTTTGGAATCTTGTTTGATACCTTTCCTTCCACCGTTAGGAGCACTTTGGAGCCATTTTTCAACATCTACGTTGAATCTTCTCTCCCTCATGAGGCTGTTGAGCAACTGGGGCGCATTTGATGACTCGTCGCTGATTTCATTCGCAGGATCCAGATCAATTTGTCTATCTCCCCTCTTGGCGCGCCTGGTTTCCTTCAAATCAACTGTCAGCGAATGTGGTATGACAAACGAGCACTACTTACGGTATTATTAGCCGGTTTGGCGCTTTCGTCCACGTGCTTTTGGTGTTGTGCAAGCCATGACACAGCCATCTTAGTGTCTTCCACTCGTCTGAAAACTGCCATGAGATCCGCTAAACGGTTCAGTTTCAACTCAATATATGTCTCTTCAAGTCCAGCTGCTTCCGGCCCACGCTTGTCCAGTCGAGATTGTTGAGCAAGAGATTGTTGAACGTCCTTCCAGATATTCTCGAATTCCTCGCTATATTCCGAGGATCGGTCCTCGTGGAGAATTTGGTACATTATGCCCAAGCTCATGAAACTAAGTGTTTTCTTGGTGGATCTAGCTTCTATAGATATGCAAGATTCCACGGTATGTGTGGGGTATACTGCTTTGAAAAAAGCTCCCTCCCTCTCTACCGCCCATACTCCAGATTTGAAAAGGGCTAGATCCGCCTCTATGTCAGCCCAGTGAACGTGTCGATTCGCACTGGATAGAATTGTTTGAGGTATTTCCCCCTCCATGTTCAACATGTTCAATCTCTCATAAATATAACGCATTCGAATACTGGCACCGATCTCCATGAGTGGCCGGGTAGCTTCCGAATACGCCTTCTCCGTCTTATACCTTGTGGTCATCGACTCAAGATCCTTGATTAAGGCTCGATTATTCTGCGTGAGTTTGGTGACCTTGTTGTTTGCCTTCCCCACCAGCCGAGATGCTTTTTCCGGATGGTCGATGAATTCCACTGTACTCTCCAGCTCCCGAATCCTCGATCCTTTCGTCTGGAGCTTCAACTCAAGTATGTTAATTATGTTGGTTCTGCTGTCGACAAGAATCCGCAGTGCTTGCTTCTCTTCCACGAGTCTCTCTTCGGACTCCTGCAGCTGTTGGTTTTGCACATGGCACTCCCCAATATCTGCATCTCGGTGGCCAATTGCAATACCAAGTATCGAGATCTTATCATCCTTGGCCTGAAGGTCTTCAACGTGGGAACTTCTCAGCGCAGTCTCCCTCTTTCGAAGACGCGTAATCTTCCTTCTGAGCCTTTGGTTCTGCGTGAACTGGTCGTTGCTCAGTGCTTCCAGTTTACTGATTTTGGCGACCATATCCCAATTTCGAGACCTGGTTTCGTTGTACTTTTGAGTGAGATCGTCCACTCTGACATTCAATTGAGAAATGATGGCATCTTGACTTTGCCACCCTAGCGAGCTCTGGGATTTCCCACGGTTGTGCGTTGATCTGAATGACGGAAGTTTGGGTATAATTCGTAGAGCCGGTATATTGATTCCATCAATTTCTCCTTCACTGGTGTCTGGAGCAGCGGCTTGGACCTCAATCTCCTTTGTTTTGCTCCGTTCCCTTCCAGAAGACACATGACGACGGGACCGATAGCTTTGACGGTTTCTATTCGCGACGTAGGCTGGGCTATCGCATTGTTTTAGATTTATGGGAGAGGCCAAGTGCTTGGAGTTCCCTGTCGCCTTGTCTTTGCTGCTCTTTGTTTGATGAGTATGCAATTCACCTTCCATCTCATGACAACCAAAATTGGTGTTCTTGTGAACCCCAGAAAAGCTCTCAGCTTTCCGCCGGCGACGAGGTGGCATGGAGTCCATCCAGAAAAGAGGTCCAGTGTTATTGCCAAATTAAACCACTGAAGGGTTCGTGCTGGAATATGGTGCGATATAAAGAGGTGCGAGTTCAAAGATCGGGGAGAAGATGTTTGGGTAGAGAATAATGGTTCTCGCTAGGCGAAACTATTGTATAAGTAAGGCCGATGTACGGAGCACCTCATTGCAGACCTATAAAATTGGTGGGTAGTCTAGAGGGATATATATACAGGAAGTTGAGGGCAAAAGCATCATGTTTTGCAGCAGAACGCGACTTGAGTCGGGTTTTGTATTTGGTCAAAATAAGGGCAATATACCTGAACAAGACAGAACATTTTTAGAGTCGCATTCACAAAATGAATTAACTTTCGGCGTTCTTGAGGCATGATGAGTGTTTGCACGTTTCAGGTTCAAAGATGGCGGTTTCTTGTATTTTGACACTTTTTCATATGTTCTGCGACTTGAGAATATTTATCTGATTACTGAAACCATGCCAACCCCGGAGAAAGACACGTCGATGCAATGACTTTATTTCTTCTCCACGCGGATACTTACATGTTGTCTAGCTACCTCCACTTGAAGACCACGCCCGCTTTGCCATTTGCCCCCTTTGAATCAGCGTCTGCGTCGCTTCCTTCCAGAGTTCAGCCGAACATTTCTGTCCACAAATTGCCTCATCTCTTCAAGCATGATCTCCCCTTCAGGAGAATAATTAAAGTAGTCCCTCAAAGCCTCGCCCTTGTGGCCTGTTTCTCCCAAGAAATGCAAACAATTGAGCACCAGTGCACTGAAATGTTTGTAGACTGCACTCTCGAAGTATACTTCAGGCAGACCCGCAGCATCGAGCGAGGCAGTGAGTGAGGAGTAGGAGCTTGCTAAGGTAGCTGCCAGATTGAGTATCTCGATCCACTTCAGGCCAGGCGCTGATATAATAGCTTCTCCCAACTCAGGGGAGGTAATGTACAGTAATTTATACAATTTCTTTGTGCTTTCTTCTATGGTTGGTGCTTCGGTGTTTGACGTTCCGGCGGGCGGCGGTGCTGACATATATCCCCCGAATAACAATTCTATCAGCCAAAACATCTCCTCGATGAGCTGCTGCGTTTCCGGCTTCGATGATGGAATTATTGCCTTTGCCGAAATGCAAGGCCTCTTTGGCTTGCTCCCAGAATCGCAGACGAATTGCAACCCCGACTTTAAACAGAGGCTCTTGTTGTAGCATTTTCTTCTTCAGTCTTTTCACCTCTTGTTCCAGTTCAACGATCCTTTGGTCCGCCGGAATCGCTGTACTCTGCAAGGTTACATTGTCCGAGGTGAGCTTCGCAATTTTCTGGTCGAGCTTCAAGTTTTCTCGAGTAAGTCTCAAATTGTCCTCGCTGAGCTTCAACTTCTCCCGCTGCAGCTTCACATCCTCCAGCTTTAGCGCAACACTTTCTTCTTTGAGTAGATTTATCTTGACTCGCATCTGCGTAAAGTCATTCGACATGGTGGTGTAGGGTGAATGGTGGACTTGACTGGATTGATGAAGATGAGGACGAGGTAGCTGTTAGCTAAGGTCTACGCATAGGTCAGCAGTATTCAACCAAAATCATAGACATTATACTGACGGAAAAGTGGAAGCAAACCTTCTTTGCTTTTCGAGGTATGCCTCTGAGTGAGGGAGCGCGCTGATCTTCGCACGGGAGGCTGAATGTTATTCAGCAATTGAATGGACGTTGGAGTTGAAGGAGACCATCATATGATGGGAAGGCGGTGAATCTCTGTGCTTCCCTGGACGGTGTCAACAGCTCATATGCTATAGTGTCATGACCACATTTGAGAACAACCAAAGCAATACAAAATTGTAAGGATACCTCTTATATTGTCCATTAAAACAACATGCTTGAAGCTCTCGAAGCTTATTCGTCTACAGAATAGTTGTGTTAAGCCAGCTGTAGACTGAACTTCCTCAGCGCTTTTAGATCTTGAAACTTGTATATCGGAGATCATTTGGCCTAAGATCTTCTTGAATTTGAGCTGAAATATATCGAATGTCGCGATTTCAGTCACTAAGCACAATGTATTACCGAATCAAGGGAGCGCTCCTGAGGACATGTAATCTTACAAGCTTGATTGGAGGCCAGGTTCGAGACACTCGTGATTCAGTTTAGTTATACTGACTGCGTGTGAGGCATAAATGCACTTAATTTGAAAGCAAATAAGAATATACAGTACTCGAAATAAATCTGTCTGTCGCTAATGCGAGGGTTTTCGGAGGATTGTCAGATTGCTGAGCTTGGAGTGCTATCCACGCCTCCCTGCTGTCTCGAACCTTCTATTGATACTATAAAAACCCACAAAATCCCACTTAGGAGTAGTTGAAATGAATTGAAATAGATTGAACTAAAGTAAAGGTCCAAGACTTTATCGTTTATTTTGCATCTTCAAGAAGGATATGGATGGGATGAAATGGAAAGTCGATGTGGTCCTGGTGGGTTTTGAGTTGTGCTTAGTCATCATGCTTGGCAAAAGGCGGGGCACACAACATCAACAACTACATCATCACTATACACAATGCAATGCAATTTAACTAATGGCACATCAATTGCTGGTATCCTTTAAAATATTTCAATCGTTCCAATATCTAGACCCTTGAACCGAATTCTGATGCAACAGCATTCGAACATAACACCCAAGATGGCTTCGAAACTTGCAATCACGGATCTCCTCGTTCTTCCAAAGTCAGCAGTGAAAATCCCCCAACTAGGTTTCGGGGTATATCAAGCTCATGGCCCCGAATGTACAAGTTCGACGTTAGCTGCCTTGAAGGCGGGCTACAGGCATATTGATACTGCGCAGTAAGGGACCCCATTTGACCCGGCAATGTACAATATACTAATCCATTGAATAGGTACTACGCCAACGAGAAAGAAGTTGGAGAAGCAGTCCGACAATCAGGTCTGAAACGATCCGATATATTCATCACAACCAAGATCCTCTCTCCTGCCAGCAGCATCGACAAGAACTACCAAAAGATGCTAGACAGTATCCAGAAAATCGATGGCAAGGACGGATATGTCGACCTCTTCTTGATCCACACTGCTAGCATGGGCGCCAAGGGTAGGAAAGAGATTTACCAGGCACTGGAGAAGCTGCTTGAGGATGGAAAAACCAGAAGTATCGGAGTCAGTAATTGGGGTATTGGACATATCGAGGAATTGAAGAGCTTTGCGAAGATCTACCCGCCACACGTAAATCAAATCGAGGTTTGTCACACGTCCCCTTTCAATTCAACTTGAAGCATATGCTGAGTTTATGCAGTTACATCCATTTTCCCAACAGCGGGAGGTAGTCGATTTCTGTCACAAGAACGGCATCATCGTCGAAGCTTATTGTCCCTTGGTTCGAAATCAAAAGGCCAATGACCCTACGCTTAACATGGTAGCGAAATCACATGGCAAGACGGTGGCGCAGGCTCTTATTCGATACTGTTTACAGAAGAACTGGGTCCCGCTGCCCAAGAGTGCCACGCCATCGAGGATCATTGAAAATGCGGATGTCTATGATTTTGAATTGAGCTCTGATGAGATGAGTACATTAGATGGCTTAGACCAGGGAAGCAAAGGTGCTATTGTGCAGGCGGTGTCAAATACTTAAGGTAGGTCTAATTGGGATGAAACTAAAAACTGGCCGCAACTTCTGTTTGCTCTTGCATTCCGTGCTCATTGTTCATTGAGCTAGAGGGACAGATGTAGGTCTAGGATACCAATTTGCAATTTTCAAGCATCACCGGGTACCGTGAAAGTCTTCAGACAAGTCAGCCACCGAAATTTTCCAAGGTTCCTTACTCAGGGTGTCAGTCACATGTCAGCTTCTGAGAGCAAATAAGGTATGCATAATCATAAACATCAATGAGCTCAAACCCGAAAGCCTCTGCTTCTATAGCTTTCCAGTCGTAGTTAGTTGTGTCGGAAAATTCTGAGCCGTCATTCATCAATGGGTAGGATGGTTCGTTCAAGGACATCGTGTCTGCTTCAGTCCCGGCGCTTTCTACGGCACTGTAGAGTCCTGCTGTTTGTCCTGGGGTGTAGAGCAATGATGAGGTGTAGTGGGTGAAATATTGGGCGGTAGTGTTTGTGGAACAACGCTGGAAAGATAGAGCAAGCATGTGTGCCATTGATGTAGAATGACTGATGATTTGCGCTGAGCAGAAGGATCCGACTATGAATTTTGAATTACTTAGGTAGTCAAGGTCGCGACTTCCCACGCAGCGCCAACCATGCAAACCACCTTTATTTGACATCCTCATTGCTCGACCGGGGGTGAACATAATGTGGTCGTTACAAACTAGATGCTGATTTGGATTGAGGTCACAGATACTACTTAAATGTTGTGACTTAAAATCGTGAAGTTTGGCATTCATTGTGTTGGCGTCGGTGATGGAGTACAGTTGTTAAGTATCAACTAAACCAGTTCCATTCATCTGACAGCGTCAATTCGCGTCCGGGGTGGCCTATTTCATCTCCTACCAAAAGCTCAGTGATAGCTGCCCCCAAACCCAAATGCCGCTCAGACTGTTCTCGAGGCTTTCGCCTATGAGTTGAGTGATATAGCACTCATGAAGAGCAATGGCGCTAGCATGGTGGACACAATACTGAAGGAAAGGTGGGCTTCTGATTGCTGCGGTACCCAGCAAAAATGACTTGGTGGGAAGACAAAGCCAGGCTTATCGAATCCCGAGCTGAAACAGTCGTAGTTGTCCGTCTTTTGAAGATTGGTTTCACTTCTCAAGATACTGCGAAATCACTTGCCTCGTTTCCCTCTTCCTCTTCCTCTTCCACCCCCCCTGGTTGATGGGCTTCTCTTGGGCCCTTCGATATCATGGATATCACTCTTACTTAACTTCAACGTTCCACCAGAAAACTTGCCCACAGCAGGAGCACCCACACCTCTATCCCGCTTTCCATCACTACTTTTCTTGCCCTTCATCTTGGCCTTTTCCAAAATGATCCCGTTCTCCCTTGCCTCGCGTCTTCGATTCCCTTCCCGCTCTGTTTCCTTCGCGACAATGCCCTTTCGATGTGTAATGGGCATCTTCTCCTGCTTGAATATAGACGTCTTTGACCCGAGTGCCTGTAATCGAAGATCTGTAGCTTTATGTCTATTCTTCCCGCTGAGTGTAGGATTGCTGCTTGATTCGAGGAGGTGGGATTCTGTGAGGAGACGTTGGAGCGCCAGATCTTTCTTCAGGTTGGCTGATTCGGAGGCATCATCATCTTTGATTAAAGCGCCCTCTTTGTCGCGGATGAGGGGAATGGACAGGCTACTTTTGGGAGGCTTCGAACCCTGCGAATCAGGTTAGCAGGGTCCAGTTTCTGCTGGCAAAGAACATACCATGAATGCTTTCAGCTCTTCTTTTGACATTGCTGCCATTCGTGATTGCGCATCTGTATGTTCTATTACCTCGACGGACTCCTCTTCCGGTTCAGATATTCCTTCCCACTCCGATTCTTCGCTGGAATCATCTTCCGATACATCTTCAACCTGCTGAGCTGTGCTTTGTACCACTGGCAGAGGCTTGAATTGCGCTTCGAAGTGCCGTCTAAATATTTCCTGCGCATCTAACTCTGGAGCTTCCGATTCTTCCCTCTCTAACTTTCGCGCCTGTGGGTTTGCCTCTGCTATCGGTCGCTTTCGTTTCCCTAAATTTGTCGCCATCGTGTGGTGTTTTGAAGTTTCTTGGGTGGTTCGAAATTATTTGGGAGGTTAGAATCAAGAGCCGAAGTTTGGCCGCTCTGGCTTCCCCGCCAAATAAGGAAAATCTTAACCTCACCCTCCCAAAGAATTTGCAGCCTCACTCAATCACAAGATGACAAAATTTCGCCCCTGCATAGATCTACATTCTGGTCAAGTCAAGCAAATAGTCGGAGGCACATTGACTACAGCTTCATCGGATTTGAAGACCAATTATGTCTCCAAGCTACCAGCCCGCCATTTTGCAAAATTATACAAGGACAATGGACTTGAGGGCGCACACGTTATAATGCTGGGCCCGGGGAATGAAGAAGCTGCAAAGGAGGCATTGGTAGAGTGGAAAGGAGGTTTACAGGTGGGAGGGGGCATAACAGACCAGAATGCGAAGCAATGGATTGACTGGGGTGCTGAAAGGGTACGCCCAAACACTTATGGCAGTGGGTTATTATTTGGCCAACTGAAGTATTAGGTCATCATCACATCGTTTCTTTTTCCCTCCGGCAAGTTCTCTCAAGAACATCTTGAGTCTGTGCTCTTGGCACTGGGCGGCGACAAAGACAAACTAGTTATTGATCTGAGCTGCCGGAAGAAAGATGATACCTGGTTTGTTGCTATGAACAAATGGCAGACTATCACTGATATGGAAGTGAATGAGGGTAAATATAATCCTCCTTCGATCAGGCATCGAGACTGACAGGCACCAGCTTCTATCAAGTCCCTGGAGCCATACTGTTCGGAATTCCTGATCCATGCCGCCGACAACGAGGGTCTCCAGAAGGGTATAGATGAGAAGTTGGTTGAGAAGCTAGCTCAGTGGTGCAGTATTCCAGTAACCTATGCGGGTGGTGGGCGGAATCTCGAGGACTTGGACCACGTCAAGAAATTAAGTAACGGGCGAGTTGACCTCACCATTGGAAGTGCCCTTGATGTCTTTGGTGGATCAGGAGTTACCTTTGAAGAGTGTGTGCAATGGAATAAATTATAATGATAACATGAAGCTATCTCAATTCGACCTTCCCAGCTGTGCTTTCAACTTAATCATCGCCTCAACTATCTATCTATCTACAACCTAATTGGCACAGAAGCCTTTATAAACGCATGCACTCCAACGATAGTCGCGATTCTCATAAATTATGGCGGTTTTAATAAGAGTTTGGTTGAGGTATTTGACAGGGGTTTCAACTTTGTTACTCAGGGCGGAACTTTGAACTGTGCTTGAGGAGGCTAATCTAGCATGGGATCGGGCCAAGACTTTAAAGAAAATTAAGTCACGGACTTTGGCTTTACAGGGTGCTTAGGAGACGTTAAATTCACAGGAAGATCCGGACATATTGGGACCACAGGCGGGGTCTACGACCCCCGGACCATATGAGGGAAAGGGCTGTGCATGTTGCCTTATACAGTGATAAACAGCTCTCCATAACCTATTTATTTTCAACTAACGACTTCGCAAAGCATGTCTAATACTCTACTCATGCAGCAAAAGGCCATCCCTCATATCCAATGGTCAACATCGTACTATTTTCAATCTTTTCTGATTGTCCACAAAGCTCCTCCACATCCCAATTAGACCAAACTAACTTTCCATTTAGGAATTTCGTCTTCGGCTGTGAAAGCCACACAAGGAAGTGGGCTGGGAGATCAACTATGCGTACGTCAGAGTCCGATCGTTTTATCCAAGCTTGGCGATGCTAAGGAAACTTACCGGTATCCATAGGTAGTTGTTCTGCCTTCGCACCGCTTGCTTGGAAGAGCTTCGTCTCAATCATTCCGGGGTGTATAGAGCAGACGAAAAGATTTGGATTTTCCAAGGCCAAATATTCCATTATCTTAGCCTGTGCTGCTTTGGAGCTCAGATATGCAGAAACACCTGCTGTGAGCTTGGTGGGCAAAGCCAAGGCGCCAGAGGTAAGAGCATAGACAGCAGCTCCCGAGGGATTTGCATTTGGGAAGAAGGCCTGGGAGAGGACCACGACTGATTTGACATTCGTCTGACACCGGAAATATTAATGACCAAGAGCGCTAGAGTGGCTTGGCTACTTGTACAACTTACCTCGTAGTTCTGCCAGTAATCAGCCAAGGTGGAAGTGATAATATATCCAAGGGATGCATGTCCTGCGTTCATAACCAGCACATCCCATGATCCGATAGAAGAAGCGGCTTGCTTCACCGCCGCTTCGTCGGTGATTGAACAAACGAAGACATCGCTTGCACATGTCTGGGATGGGAACAAGCGTTGTGTTTCGATCAAGTTTGACTCTGTGCGACCGATGAGAATGATGCGCTTGGCTCCTGCTTTTGCAAAGGCGACAGCTGTTGCTCTTCCAATCCCACTTCCCTATTCCCTGTCAGTATAATATTCCAAGGTATATAAATGATTCAAACTCGTCGTACTTACAGCTCCTGTGATGACGATAGTCTTTCCCGCTTGGCTAAGCTCACTATTTGAAGGATCAATTGCAGGGTAGACATCATTGTGCCAAGTTGGTGTTATCGAAGGAAATGGTGGCTGCATTACGGAGGATGAATTTGGATGTGTTTAGAGTAAACTAAAAGGAAAGGCCGGAGTGGAATGAGAGCCCTTTGAACAAATTGTGATGTTCCTCTCGAGAGGATAGTAGGAGAATAAATAGTAATCTTTCTGTCACAGATTCTCGGGTTCTAATAACCGGCATAAATTTAGGTCAAAAGAAATACGCATGCTACGTAGTCAAGAGGCATACTTGTAATCATAAATGCCTTAAGTTGGTAGAGATCGACATGGATTGACGTGAAGTAAGTCAATTGATGTGGATTGCAATAACTTATCACAAGTGTCTTCTTTAAGTCATTTGCCACTGTACGACAAGCTAACTACTAAGTGTATTGATTTTATCTACTATCCGTCCGACCCTCATAGTGTGGTGGCCTGAGCATTCCGCCCATTAGACCTGTGGTAGGAGATCAAACGAGAAGCAGTGCAGCGCGATTCTTCCTTCTACGTAAAAATATCTATCCCTGAGAACTTCCACTCTAGTTATTGGCTACTGAACGGTAAGCGAGGGTCCGCCAGGAGGTATTTTCCTGGGTTCAGCTTTAGGTCATACAAGATTGACATTTTGACTCTGCCACCGTACGGCGTGTAATTCGCAAGATCGAATTGCCCATTGGGCATTCTAAGTTATTCCTCCATGACCTTCTCTTCAAATTTGTCGGGAGATCAGAATGCTCTGTGTTCAATCTCTTCAACGTCCGCATATAAGTGTATCTCGTACGTGTGATGTGTCTTCAAACCGTATATGGCTCTAGTCTGCTCTGAAGGGGCACGATTAATACCAATGGCCACACCAGCATATGAATAGCCCTCAAGCGGTGTGTGTTGGGTATAGACTACCGCTACATTGCCTCTCTGGAGTGTATGGTTGCCTGTGAAACCGAAGCTGCCGATGCCGATGCAGCCTTTCGTGCCGTCTTCCAAGGCATAGAACAGGGATCCCGAATCAGAAGTGTGGAAGCCACCGTGATTGAGAAGTTTGTACACAGGAGCGCCGTCGGGGAATTCAACTCGCCTCGCTCCATGCCTTTGATGGGCGCTGTTGAGATTTCAGTACAGCCGTCTTTGGCTTTAAAGAATTCCTTTTGTTGGGTGTGGTTAGAAAAGGCGAATTAGGAGAAAATAGCCTTGGGCGAGGAGAACTTACAGGAGCTGTGGTATCAGCATCCCACTCGTCCGCAATGTCATGTTCTGAAATCGAGATTTGGAATAGTATTGTGAGTGGAGAAGCAAATCAACGAGAATTACTGTTGACTTGCTCTTGCTTCATGATACATTTAAGGAATAGACTACATGCAAATGAACTGCACTACATCTGTGCTTTTTCCAATCCCCGAGCCGAACTTATAGGAATGCCTGTTGATACAACACGTCCTAAAATTGGACTAAATTCACTGCCCAACACGCCAGGAGACGCCTCCAAATACTAGGAGCTTGCAACTTGGTAACATGAAATGCAATATAACGACTCCAAGCCTAATCCAGACCTCGAGCGAGCTAAACGCAGCACAAAACCCTCATTTCCCAAACGCCGTTGAAGTGAGCGGTACTACTAGACCCCACATGAAGTTTCAACTTTGATAAAATCCCTGAGCTTGGTTGGGCAACGCATTGTCAAAATCGGGTAGCGGAACCTGCCCGATACCGTTCCAAAACGACCAGTCCATGGTCGAAGAATCAGGCATTATTATGTTTGACTGGTCAAAACTCTGCGTTTCAAATGGCGGCTGTTGATGATTAAGCCACTGATACGCATCCTCGAACTGATTCCCAACCTGGGTTCCTATTTCAGGCGGTGAGGCATCTGACTGTGGTGTACAGTTTGAAGACTTCCTCGAAGCAAGTTTTTCTCTAAACTGCTGAATGAATCTAGGCGTCGGTGTTTTAGGTTGAAGCTCACGATGTGCAGACTCTCGTGCCTCCCAGGATTTGACGGTCAAATTTGCCATGGCCATATGGAGACTACTTGCTTGATTTCCCCGTCTCTTCGCCATCTCGCTCTTGGACCGGCGATCAAAACTTGCTTCCAGTTGCTTCCATGCTCGATCTGCCAGTTCTCCAGTGGTGCGGTAACGCAAGGCACAGATGAGATAGACGTGCGCAGGAAAGGGGAAGTTGGTGTATATATGCCAAAAGAATCCGCTGAGGCTTTTAGCACCCATCAAGTTGTGATGATTTTCTAACATTGCCAAACTTGAGTGGAATAACTTGTCCAACTCTTGTTCTGACAACTCCTTTGACTTGCTAGACATTAAATTTGGATGGTGCGTGCCCATACGAAGTCTATAAATTGCACCCTTGGCCATTGCCGATGAAAAGTAATGCATAGGTACCTGAAGATCGCAATATTTCAAGTACTTTTCCTGAAGCAAAGCTTCAAAGGCATCGATTGCAGCATCGTCCACTTCAACTGGTCCGCATAAGCGCCGGGTTTGATGGATGAATTGGGCAACTTCGCACCTCTGAAGGGCAAATAGCATCTCTGTAGCACCTGGATGTTCGGGCGGGGGTTCTCTCATATCTGGGAATAAAGAGCTGTCGTTGACGTTTGACGGCAATTTCGTCGTCCACATGTGCATGTGCAATGACGGCCCGTATCCAGAAAGTTCTCCAACACGTGTATCAAGAAGAAGAAGCTGCCACCATAATCTTCGTCTCATTTCAATTTCAAATGGTAGCAACCCATACGCAGTGCCGTCGACATTGAGGCCCATTCTCTGGGCAATGCGAATAGCTATTCCTGTCAGACAGAACAGCGCCCGTGGATCGATTAAAAAGTTGAGACTAGAAAGCTGTCACGGTCAGATTGGATGACAAAGTAAGAGAGGGTGTTGTTACCAAGTAGAGCAGAAATCCTTGCAAGATGGTCATATCTGATGACCGAAGAAATCCTGCTCGGAGAAGGGCTTGTCGACAACCCGATTGGTACTGGGCTAGAAGCTTTTGCTTCTCCTCGCCAAACATCGATACCACATCTGCATCAGTCATAGACATAATTGCAGAAGCGTAGATTCCAAACATGAGTACTTCCATACCCTTTGATACTTTGCTCAAATCCGCGGTGGCATCAAGAATCTGCTGTTGTACAGTGGGAGCATGCAATATCTTCAGCAGAGGGTTGACATTGTCAATGAAGTTTTGCCAAAGCCTAAAGATGTGCATAGGCGATGGATGAAGATTGGTCGAGCTTCCCGTAGTTTCGGAAGGAAACAGAAGATCACTTGCGTCTGAGCCGATAGCATCGTAGGTTTTGGTGATGGGAGAATCAAATATCTCGTCATCATCTGAAGAGCCTTGGAGGAGTTCCTCTGCATCTCGAAACTTGAAGCTGTTAATCTCAAATCAACTCAATGTAAAGAACTCTCACCTCCTTATTCATTCCATAGCATATGTTACTTGGAAATGTTAGCGGATGAGCACGGATGATAAAACGGATGCTCACTTCTCGACATTTTTCAGTGACCTTCTAAATGAAAGCGGCCTCACAATCTCGACTACGGGCCGAGAACAGTGAGAATCGTGATGGTGCTTAATCTCGGGAGGCAGTTTGGATAACACGGGCCCATCTTCCCGGTTGATGGCATCGATATCGGCTCCGTATGCTTTAAGATGTTCCTCGTACTTTCTAAGCCGAGCAAGCAATTCAGCTTCGGCAAACCTCTTTTTCCGTCTTCTTGGGGGCAAAGCAGAAGCTGGAATACATTCAGTCCTAGCTTTCGTGCAATTCTGACAAGGGTCGTTTCTGTCACATTTGACTTTGCGTTGCTGACAGAGCACACAAGGGTGCTTCTTTCTGTTTTGAGTATCAGTCTCACTTGGGGATTTAGAACGATTGTCACCGGTAGTTGACATGATGTGGATAGTATCTACCGATACTCGTATATTCTTCTCCAATCAAAAGAAAGGGGCTGCGAAGCGAGTGCTGTATGTGGCAGCTAATGACGGAAAGGGATGCAGAGACACTAGAAGCGTCACGGAAGAATCAAAATCGGATAAACGGAGAATTATACTGCTCAGACTTTGGACTCAAAGGACATCTTCTTAACTTAATAGTTGCAAGTAGGTGAGACGGAAGTTAGAGATTAGCGACGTGCCTCTTTTCGGATGATAGAGATTTCCGAGACTAAGCCTCTCCTGGGGCTAGATCAGATGGAAATAGAAATGTAATGGAGGGATGAATGTCCGTCTGACTGACTAATGACGTGTACATGAAAGAACTACCTACTACCACTCCGTAAGCAAAGATGAGGCTGAGAATGATGCATGACATACTGTAGAGGAAAAAAGATGTACAACACTTGTGGCTGGTGGGATAGATCACGTGCGTGTGGCTTTAAGTTAACAATGAGATGATTCCCGGCCTGGGCGGGTGGGGCGGAAACGCGGCGGATTGAAAGCGCAATTTCCATACGACTTACTCCGCCCCCATTATCAATTCATCTCCTCCCATTCGGAGTATCGTGGCCAAGAGAACGAGAGAGGAAGCTGCATCGCATCACATCGCATCGCAGCATCGGCTGGCTTACATCTTCATCTTCGATTCAGCTTCGAGTACTTTACTGTTCTTGACACCTCCACCCCTTTCTCCTTGTGTCGATCTATCCCGACAATCCCGTCCATCTCGAAACATCACCCACACCCAGACCGGCAATCAGTCCACTTTCACCTACCTTTGCTGCACTATGGAGAGCCTGAAGTGCCGCGTCACGCCAGTTCTGGCTTTGACAATAGGAGTTTTATTTTCTGCAAGAGGCGCAGAAGCACACGGCAATCACAACATGGAGAAGATACAAGAAGGCGACGCCATGAGCGTAGATCCCATTGTATGTTGGTCGAGATCAAATGAAACGGAATAGAGCGCAGATGCTGATATTGGTCTAGGACTCGATATTATGGACACATATCCTCTTGATGATGTTGTCCTTTGGCATCATCTTCCCAACTGGAATGGTCCTCGGTGTAAGCTCTCCCAACATGTATATTTCCTCTAACCCTGCTAATCTCTGTGCAACCGCAGATTGTACGAAATCGATGGCACATCCCAGTACAGGTAGTCGGCACGGCGATTGCGATTGTGTCATTCTTCTTAGGACACTTGCACAAGGGTCGAGCCTTTTCGCAAAACGTTCACGCCACTTTCTCGAATTGGCTCATGTTGATGCTCGCTGTACAAATTGTTTTCGGGATATATTTGAGGTTCCACATTACCAAGGGTTTCCACGGCAAGATTAGAAAGGTCGCCATTCATGGACACGGAATCGTAGGAAAGGCTATGCCTGTGGCAGCTTGGGTACAAATGTTGTTTGGAGGTATTACTGCTCTTGGGTATTGCCGTGATGACCATCTAGGGCAATGCCTTGCCCATTTCATTATGGGCAGTGCATTCATTGGATATGGAATCCTTCTTACCCTCGTTATGCTGGTTGGTCAAGTTTGGTTGCGGAGGACTGGACGATCACAAGAATTCTTTGACTCGGCAGTTATTGCAGCTTGGGGTTGTGTCAATACCTTCACCGAGCACAGATGGGGTGGTGCGTGGGTTGCCAATGATATTCAGCATACCACTATGGGCGTCATTTGGTGGGCCGCGGGTTTGGCAGGTGTTTGGCTCAGCAGGAAGCGGGACGGATCACCCAAGAGGAACTTCGTTCCTGGCTTCGTTATTTTCATCACTGGTTGGGCCATGTCCGCACATCCTCAGCATCTCCCACTTAGCACCATGGTTCACACCGTGTTCGGATACACCTTGATGGCTGCGGGTCTGTCTAGGATCATTGAAGTTTCTTTTGTCTTAAGAGATGCAGACACGCTATCGGACGACGGAGATGCTAACAGCTGGCAATACATCCCACCTTTCGTAAGAATATCCAGACACTTTCTAGAAACTTACTAACGGTAGTAGTTACTCTGTGCGTCAGGATTCCTGTTCATGGGAGCAACAGAGGAACAAATGAAGCTGATATCTGACGCTGGAATCACTCACGTCTCCTACGTCCTCGTACTCTATAGTTTCGCCTTCCTCATCTTCCTTTTCACCAACATGCTTCTTCACATCTACGCGGTAAACTCAAAACCACCTGTCCCACCGAAGGATAACGGGGAGCCAGTTCGAGCTCCACGAGTGAATGGCCACGCAAGAGGGACAGATTCGAGACAAATCAGAGATGCTGAGGAATTTGAGTTGGACGGACTAATGAGTGAGGATGAGCCCGAGAGTCCGAGTACATTAGGGAAGAACAATGAAGCGCGGGTTGATTGATAGTGAAGCAGTGTGTGATAGTGTAGCATAGCATACTGCTTCACTGGATTTACTTTTGTCCTCGGTTGGTTGCATTGCATTGCTGGGCGTCTTGGGATAGCTTGAACATACTCCATAATCTACTGTCAAAATATCTAGGTCATATTCCACCACCTACATCTAGCTTCTCTTTTTCAAACCCCCATTCAACCTAATAATTTCCAATCCCCATCCCCCCCAACTCGCCGCGGCAAGCCCCAAGAACAGCCAAAACTGAGGAAACCCCTCTCCAAACTCCGGATCAACAGCCAAACTACCAGGATACAAAATAGCACTCAGCCCAGTGAGCCAATACAAGCTACCGAAAACAGCAGCGGTCATCAAACTATCTTTCTCCCTGGCCACGCCTACAGAGGGGGAAGAAAAGGCGTATCCATGGCGATGAGTGAAGTATAAAGTGGCCAGGCCCAGACCCAGGCCCATGGACATGGTCTGGCCGTTGTGGAAACGTGCATGAGGCGGCCAGTTCGGGTTCTTGACATGTGTCTCGTTGAAATCTGCGATGAAGGGCCCGAGGATCTGGGATATGCCTGAGAGGCTGAGGAGGAGACGGCCGAGCATGGATAGCTGTTGGGGTCGAGACTTTTGGAATAAATACTATAGAGGTAAGGATTGTAGGTGGTTATGATATGCTATGTTCAAGCTGCTGGGCTTGGGATGGAGATGCAGAATATGGATGGATAGTGCACAGTGAAAGGGTAAGGTAAATGAGGATGAGGATGAGGGGGTTTTTATAGACTGGCCTCTACTGTAATTATGATGATGATGGATATATGTATTTCCTTATTGGCTCGGAGAGATTCAAGCTCTCGGCGTCCGACTACCTACCTATTGACAATCACCTCAAAGACCAATCTGTCATCTTCTTATTATCTGAGCTTTCTTGCCCCGCAAAATCCTAACACCCTCCGACTTGCATTAGCGTAGCATTATCCTAATCTAGCTATGCATTTTATATTCTCCTGCTGTGATCTCTTAAGCTGCTTTGCTACTTCATACTTTGTATATCATATAAGCACGTATAGTGGGTCGGTCCACCATGTCTATAGCATCGCATCTTACCTTACTACCTCGTAAGGTCTATTCTAAGCTTCCCCCCTATTTTTACATAAAGATTAGCAAGCGCTTTACTGATCTAGGCCGCGAACGACTTTTTGAATGCTTTGACGGGCGGAATTGGTTTAGTAAGTTGTGGTATGAGATATACTTGTAGCCATGTCATATCGAGGTTAATTTCGTCGTGTTGTTAGGTGGGGTAAAGAGCTCTTTTTATGAAGCAGCGAAGAAAAGTCATGTCTCTTACTAGGTTACTGACAGTTATCTATTCAATGCTTGAGATCTGCTTAATGCGGTCTTCTTGGTGAGGGGTTATACACGGGGCTGGCTTCGGCGTTTGAAGGTATATCTAGGAATATATTATAATACTCGTAGTATGAGTAATATCCAATTCGGGTTGGACTTTGATTGGAAGCTCAAGACGGGCGCGGTGTTTCAATATCTATAATACCTGTGGTCTAAACGGGGGCGTTCCCTTGAATGAAGGTAGAGTAATAATACGATATTAGAATGGCAAAAGTTACTAGATGTCACTTGAGAGCAATAAAAAATCGGTTGGTGATGATGAGATTAATTCATCACATCAATAATATCATTTCAATTCGCCGCAGAAACTAGGAACGAGATACGCATGCATATCTAATTCTAAATCACTCAGGCAAAAGGTATGAATATCATCTCAGAATACGCTCGAAAGATTGTGGTTTCGGTCGGATGAGCCTTATCAACGCACTGGCCTGTTCGATAATCCAGAAACAGGATTATCGTAGTGGAGTTCTCTTAAGCAGAAGCAACAGCTCTCGCCATTTCCTCTCTCTCGCGTTCCAGTAGCGCTTCCATGACGCCCACAGGACCAGCCGCCTTCATCTCCTTCACTACTTGATCGACGCCAAGCTGTTGGTCAGTCCAAAGAGGTTCTGGCTCCTTCACATCACGCTCTCCTACCCCAATAAAACCTCCTTGGGCAGCCCATTCGCTAGTGCGCTTCAGTCCAAGTTCATTCCAAACGGAATCCAAAGCGGATACGAGATGCTCTCTAAATTCGCGGGTATGGCCGGGCGTCGGGGTTATACGAAGGCGTTCCTGACCAACGGGGACGGTAGGGTAGTTGATGCTTTGGACGTAGATGTCGTGTTTATCGAGGAGCATATCGGAGGCTCGTTTTGCGAGCTCTGCATTTCCAACGAGGATTGGTACAATATGACTAGGGTTCGGGATCACAGGAATATCACGCTCATTGAGAGAATCTTTGACGGCACGGGTATGAAGTTGCTGGAGTCTACGATCGCCTTGGTAATGCGTTTGGTACTCGATGGCGGTTTCCGCACCAGCCATGGTTGCGGGTGGGAGAGATGTAGTGAAGATGAAGCCTGGAGCGAGGGAGCGAACAGCATCAACCATCTTGGCGGAACCTGCAATGTATCCACCTACACAGCCGTATGCTTTACCTAGGGTTCCTGTGATAATGTCGATACGGTCCATGATTGTGCCACGAGGGCGGCCGTTGAGATGTGCCTCGTAATCAAGATGTTCTGCAACTCCTGCGCCATGTGGTCCATACATACCTACAGCATGAACTTCGTCGAGAAAGGTGATGGCTCCATACTTTTCAGCCAAATCGCATATGCCTTCAATTGGACCAACGGAACCACACATGCTGTAAACAGACTCAAACGCGATGATTTTGGGAACATCAGAGGGAAGCGAAGCTAGCTTTGCCTCGAGATCAGCCAAATCGTTGTGTTGAAAGACCATTTTCTTAGCGCCGGAGTGCCGGATGCCTTGGATCATAGAAGCATGATTCAGACTGTCTGACAGAATGACACAATTCGGTAGCTTGCTTCCCAAAGTCGCAAGAGTAGCATCGTTGGCCACATAGCAAGAGGTAAATACTAAAGCCGCATCCTTGGCATGTAACTTTGCAATTGAGGCCTCCAGGCTCACGGCATGTTGATTATGGCCGGAGATGTTTCTCGTTCCGCCTGCTCCAGCACCATATTCATCTAGCGTCTCGTGCATGCTCTTCAAGACTTGCGGGTTCCTGCCCATGCCAAGGTAATCATTAGAGCACCAGACCGTGACTCGTTCCGCCTTGTTGGACATGTGTGCGCGAGGAAACTCCTTGGCAAGACGGTTGATGTTATTGAAGTATCGGTAGGACTTGTCCTTGTGCTTTTTGTCCAGTTCAGCATTGTAGAATTCTTCGTAATCGAATTTGGGGGCGTTCTTATGGTGGCGGTGGCCTTGACTGGTAGGTTTTCCATTTTGGGGATATTGGACTTTGATGGTCAGGTTAGCGGGGTAAGATATAACCTTCTCTATATAGCAGAACAGAATAGTAACATACGGGATTCACGGCCAAATATAGTATCCTCGAGAGGTCTGGCTTTCTGGGAACGGGTGGTATGGATTTTTGCCTTGCCAGAACCAGCTTTACCCGTGAATGCTCTAATAGCTCCGAGGGCAGCAACGCCACCAAGTCCGATCTTGCTGGACTTTGCCGTCTGAACAGCCAGAGCTTGGCCCATGACAGGGCAGCGACGGGCAATGGTCTGCAGATTGGACATGCTGCCACCGCAGGGTGAAGCCTGACGAGCAGGAGCGGAGGTGGAGAGAGAGCGTAGAGTTGCGGGAGAGGTTTTCTTCAAGAACGGACACACCGACTTGGACTGGCGGAGAACGGCGTCCATGATGGCAGGATTGAGATTGCGCCTGCTGTGTAGCCGCAGAGGGAGTATTTCGAGATGTGAGGTTATTGATTGATATGTTGGGTAGCACAGCAAACAGGCGTGCGGATGTGCGGTGAGGATGGGATTATGTAGGGCGTCGTGAAGGTCTGGGTGGTCCAAAACATTGAATCTGACGCTAGAATATCGTCGTCGGCTTCTGCTTCTCCGGACGAATTTCTTACTGCGGAGTACACTCGGCACAGCTACCGTGAATAAGCAGCATCAGATGCAACATGATTGGTCAATTGGGCTTCATTGATCATCATCTCTTTCTCCATTCATTCTAGTGCTCTTCTTCGGGAATAATTACAAATGTACCTGGTTCCTTTGTTTCTCACTAACCACAGGGAGGTAGGTGGGTTTGTACCCCACATTACAGTTCAGTTGACCTAACTTCACCTCCCCCTATACTCATGCCAGAGACGGTGTGGGGAGCATTACTTACTATCCTGATGAGATAGATTCCTGCAATGTGGTCAACATCTTCAAGGTCTGCCACTACCACCTACCTCCGCGGGCATGAAATGCGATAGTAATCACCCTCTATAGCCCTCTATAGAGGTAAAACTTACACAAGATATGCACGTTGTCAGCAAGCCAGTCGCTATATCCGCTGCACGTCCCAGATATCCGGAAAATATATCACTGCCGTCGGTACCATCCCATCTCCGGCGGCACAGCTAAAACACTTACTCGCATCACATGACCAACCTCAAATCCCATTTTTGACTCCGGCTCATGAAATGGCGTGGAATACGCATGTCCAGCCCAGCCAATCTCCGAGATTACCAAGGGCAACTTTGGATGAATGTTGGGGGACTTGGATTCGTACCTCAAACCCTGTGAAGTCTACATCAACTCTAACCCGCTAAGACCCCTCCAATGAAGCTCTTTACCGACACTGCTAACAAATTACCAAGAATGGGAATGTGGAGCTGGTCGTGAACAAGTGCCTAGCATATGACTTCTCTTTATCTCCTACAATATTTTATGGCCTTTCCCACAAAAGAGCCGTCGATTAGAAATCAGTACCGCTTGTTCTATCACCGTGAGACATCTTCTTTTATGCATGGCCGTAACCTGAATGAGTTATCGACTTTCATGTCAAGTTGGTTGAGATATTCCCTTTGCTTTGTTATTGGAGACTGCAGATGAAAGGCTCCCAAACAGATTTTCATCGAATATTTACACCGTATACCTCACTTTCAATCCTTGCCTTCATGTGTTTATCGAGTCACAAACCACTCATCCCCTCTAGTTTCACCAATCCTCTTTCTCATATACCTCCTCAACGTATGGCGGCCGGTAGCTCGAAGAACATTGTGGTCGCGGTCCATTAAGTTTTCGTCTGTCTTCCACAGGCCGTTCTCGATTCCTGCTTCGCATCGTTGGGAAGCTCTTGGGCGAACCAGCTGGTTGTTCTCTTGGCCCATAAGGCCTCCGCTCCCGGTCTATCGCATTGGCTTTGCTATTGGATCTCGAAGATCCAATCTGGACCTTGCATTTTCTATTCTCCACCTCCTTTGTCGCTGCGGAAAGTGCCTGATTCGTAGCCTTGAGTTCTGCTTTCATGCCAGCGTAGTTTGTGCGGAGGTTTCGATTCTCATCCTGCAGAGCTATGTTACTGTCTTGCTCTAGAGCTAACACTCGCTCGAGTCTAGCACTCTTTTCTTCTTCACGCGTTAAGAGTGCCGCCAATTGTCTCACTTCCTTCTCGAGCTTCTGCGCTCTGTTCTTCGCATCTTCTTGGTTTGTTGATGTGGATGTCCTGGGAGGGGAATGGGTCATGGCGCTCTCGCTGTTTGTTGAATTGACGGAAGATATTTGCTAGTTGCGTGTATGGTCGCAATAGTTCACAATGGATTCGATTCCTAATAATGGGCTTCAAAATTACTAGCTATGATGGCATCTTTATTAATTGATCCAAACAATTCACACAGGCTGTATGTCGGCATGTCTTCTTGATTCACACATCGTATGCCTAGGGTCTTACGAAATTTTAACTATGTCTCTTCTTTTAAAAGAAGTTTTAATTGTTTGTATACAATATGCATTTGATATTACTTAAAGCCTAGAAAAGGTTCCAGTTGCCCCAATCTTAGAGATTTTTAAGTCATAAACTCGAGGTTGCAATGGTGAAAACACCAACTAGTCTAAAAACATCGCTGAAATTCAAGTCACCTTAATGCACGAACTTATAAACTAAAGGTTTATCATGTCTTTCAAGAATAAACGTCATGCAATGCCCGTTCTATCTATCTAGGCTGCAACGAGGATTTCCCCTTCTTCACGCCCGTCAATTCTTCACATCCCCAATTCGACAAATGTTCACCTCGAGGCTTAATGTTTTTCGTATATTATACTCCATTTATTTACCTTCAAGTACACTTCTCCCAATCTTGTCCGCTATTCCCGTACTTTTTATCATTCCTAGGATATCTTTAGGCCCTGCAATTAGAAAGTCTTTACTTATCTCATAAAATGTTTTCGGCCGCAAACTAGTCACCCTGACTTGTCGTCCGCGCCCTGCCCACTCGCTATACTATCACTCAACTTCTCTTTAACTATTGAAAAACAAACACATCATCGAATCAAGTTATGCACGTTTCACACAGTCTCTTTCTAAGCAGGGGCTTTCTGTCGCTAAAAGGAGGGGAGGGATACGCTACCATTGGTAACCATGAGAGTATCCCATCCGCGCTATTGGAATCAGCAGCTATATCTCCCACTTCTCTTACTATGCAAGAAAGATTCATACTTCCTCTCCAACTTAACCATAACTAAAAAGTGAAAAGCAAAGTCCGAAATGCACCAACTAGAGACTTTCAACGCCTCTTTTCCTCCAATGCTACATCCCCAAACCATGACTAAACCTTAAGATGAACCTCACGACCGTTTACTCCATAGAATACGATAATTTTATTGATTGACAAGAAATGCACTGATGAAGAGTTATTAGGCCAAGGTAGCATAGCGCGGCGCCGGCTAACTCCGCTTCTTGACAATGCCCTGTTTTCCTCGTATAACGAAGAAGAAGCCTGCCTCCTACCTAGTAGACAAAAACAAAAGCTTCGTAATATGCTAGGTAGTGTATGTAGGATATGATACCAAGTCGACGAGAGTACTATAAGTGCCGCTGTTTATGTCCAGCATAGGTAAGATTAGGTAGAGAAGCATAGTATAGAACCTCTCGAGTTTGTTCTTGATAGTCCTTTTACATAGAGGGGAGGAGAGGCTGTAAAACACTATAGGAGCTAGATGTATACCTATAAGGTAGTTAGTTGCCCCTGCTCGCTGCTCGTAAGTTCGTAACTTGTTATTATTATACAAAAGAAATATACCTCTACCTCTTAGCAGATTCCAAAGGCACAGCAAACTAGCTAAACCCTTTTAAACCCCCTCAATATGCACGACCTATACCCTAATCAATCCCAACGCACTTTCCTACAACTAAATCATCAAGCAGCAGCCATCTATCATTCCTTCCTCCCATCCGTCCATTCATCCGGCTGCCAACCTTCAAGCGTCATCATACTATGCTATACTATACTATACAGCCCAAGTCCGTAGCAATATATATCATGCCAAGCACGCACGCTCGCGCAATCAATCAATCCACCCCACCAACCCCATCCCATCCACCTTCTCATCTCGTCCTGTCTCTGCGTGCGCACGCACGCTTGGCATAGTATGTATACCTAGGTAGCTGATAAGGAAGGCTCACGTTGCTAATTTACTGCTGCTCGGTTTGGTATTTCTATTAGTTGATTAATTGATTAATTAGATGCATCGCATCGCAGTGCAGTGCGTCTATTGAGCGGTTAGAGCGTGCGTCGATCGCTGCGGGGTGTTGGGTTTAGGGACTAGTTTGCAGTGGAAGTGGTGTGGTGGGGTTGGGTTGGGTTAATGTGGGGCTTCTTTTATACTCTGTGTTCGTTTCTGTTGAAAAGGTTAATTAATTACGGAGTATGCGGAATAAGATAGAATAGGATGAGATTGTTTCTAGGACTTAGGACTGTAGTTTGTTAACTAGCTAGCTTTTGAAAAAGTGGGTTTATTTGTTGTATGTGTGTTAATTAGGGGATGCATATAGTGGAAGATAATACGCTGATTGGATAATAACTATGAAGATGAGATGAGATGCAATGCAGTGGACTTGAGTTTAGCTTGGTGAAAACTAATTAGGAAAGATAGCTAGCTGGGTTCATAGACTATGATTTTCCCTCCCATCGAAAAAACAAGAAGTATACCTACCTCACCTGTGATCGATTCCAAACCCAACTTCGAATTCTCGAAGCTGTTACCCGTTAAATATAACAGCATCCATCCATCCATCCATCCATCCTTCCTTCCTCCTACCTGAATAAAGTTCAAGTACATATACAGTACGTGGTAAACCACCCATGTCCATGTTCCTCAGACCTGCTATCTAGCCATCAAATTAAGATATATTTATACAAAGTAAGTAACCTTGTATTCTCACCAGCAGTAAGCGGCTCACCTCGAGCTCTGTATACGAGGACTATATAACGACTACATACATGCTCATACCCCAAGATCCGTAATTCTCATTACACGTATACCTCGCTCTCATCTCCGAGCATAACACAGCCATGCCAGTAAACACAGCCCAGCTCAAACACCTCATTCAACTCAGCGGAATATCTACACCCGCTACTTAACTTCTACACCCTCCCTCCCTCCCTCCCTGCCCCGCCATGAACACCATGTCTGAACTCTTCATCCCTCCAAAAAACCCCCAGCGCGCATGATCAATTACATATAACAATAAACGAAACGAAACACACACCGTCTAAATTAGTCAAATCAATCTTTCTATATTCTCTACCTACCTACCTATCTATCTCTGCACAACAGCACTCACATCACTTCACTTCACCAACACACCTTGAAATCGGTCCTTCCCTTCCTTCCTTCCTTCCTTCCTTCCAGCTTAGCGCCTGGGGTGGGATGGGATGGGATGTGGAGCTATATGCCATGCCATGCACAGCACCGGGCTTACTCTGTTTATGTGGATAGTATGTGCACTGCCCTGGATGATTAAGCGTGCGAGGGCGAGGATGAGGTGGGGATACGAAGGGGTGGGTGTGAGATGAATGAGTGTGTAAGGTTGGGTTGAGTGGGTCGATGGAGTGGAGTGGTATGTACAGTATGGGAAGGATGGTTGATAACCAAAGACTGCTTGTGCTTGGCGTTAGAAATTAGTTTCGAGGACCGGAATGGAATGGGATGGGGGATGGGGGAAGTGGAACTGTTGCTGTGCTGTAGCCTATAGTCTATATCGATCGGGTATGGTTTAGTGGTGGCATTGCGCTATCAAGGTAGAGGGATGTACGAGTAAGTGACATGTGATCTATTTCTAAATCTAACTATATGTCTATCTATCTGCTCCTCATGCACGACTTGGGTATCTACTGTTTCTGTCATGCTATCCATATACAAAGAGCGAGGCACGATTTGGTGAATCGATCAACCAAATTCCCATCCCTGGATATAATATAATTCTCTAATCGTTTCTCAAACCATCATGCTGATGTCGCTGATGTAAGCCCTCATTGTCACTTGTAGTCGGCTTCTCACTGTCCGACTCAACCACCTTCTCGCCGACCTTGAACTCCTCGTCTCCATCAGTAAAGCCGTATTCTCTCGCCATGGCCTCAATCTCGCGGTCATTGAGGTACGGCATGTCGAAACTGGCTTTGACGTAACTGATGTTCTCGAGGTATCCCTTGGCGAAGATGAGATCGATCTCTTCCAGAGAGCGACGACGGGTCTCGGGGTAGAAGAGGTAGATGACAGGGATGAAGGTCGCGTTGACGGCGGCGAAGAAGAGGTAGGTACCCCACTTGATGTTGGCAATCATGACAGGAGTAGCCATGACAATGGTGAAGTTGAACAGCCAATTGCTGCAGGTAGACACGGCATTGGCACGCGATCTGGTCCGCAGAGGGTTGATCTCGGCTGGGTATAGCCAAGGCAGTGGCAGCCAAGTGGCACCGAAGAAGGCAATGTAAGTGAAGAGACCGACACCAGCTCCCTTGGCACTAGGTCCTACTCCCGAGTCGGGAATCAGACAGGCGAAGACGAGAACCATGGACAAGCACTGGCCAACAGTTCCCCACAAGAACAACTTGCGGCGACCAGCACGTTCGATGATGAACCACGAGGTCGTGGCAAAGATGGCGTACACGATCATGTTGACACCACCGAGGAGAAGCGCCAGGTTGGTCGACACACCAATGGACTTTTGGAAGAGAATTGGAAAGTAGTAGATGACGGCGTTGCAGCCACCCAACTGCTGGAAGAATTGAGACGAGGCTCCGAGCATCATGCGGCGGAAATGCTGCGTCTTGCCATTGGTGAAGAGTGCGGAGAATGGAACAGCTTGGCCGTTCACGTGACCGGATGCTGTGATACTCTCCACAATCAAGGTATGTTGAAGCTTGACCTCGTCATCGTTGGACTCGAGACCGTTCAGGGCAGCGATCACATCAATGGCATCCTCGTGACGGTCCCTGGTCGCAAGCCATCTTGGAGATTCCGGCAAGAAATAAGTACCGACAATCAACACAATGCCGAATACGCATTGGAAGGCAATAGGGAATCTCCAGGTCAGATTATCCGCACCGTAAGACGCACCGTAATCAATCCAGTAAGCAATGACGGTTCCGAAGGCAATGATACCTCCCTCAATACAGATGAGCAGTCCTCGATTGGCTGATCGACTACATTCTGCCTGGTAAGTTGGGATTGTCGATGTGTTGATGCCATTGCCAACACCTGTGATGGTACGCCCGATAATGAATTGAACGGTAGCATGGCTGCCTTTGACAGCAGAGATTTGGACAATAACACCGAGAATCATGATTATGCCGCCCAGCATCATCTGTGCAATCATTACATTAGCATGACCGTTTCGGTACCAGGGTGGGTGACGTGTTAGCTTACAGCTCTCCTTCTACCAGTCCTATCTCCAAAGGTCAAAATAAAGATGGCGCCCAGCAGACAACCAATCTCATAAATGGCAGTCACGAAACCCTGGTAGACGGCATCACCCTTGGTAGAGGGGAAGTAGTTGTTGAAGGGGTCTGCATTGATAATACCACTCATGACTCCCTACAACGGATGTTAATGATAGGCCTTGGAAAGTCATTACTGTTTTGATATACATACCTGATCATAACCGAAGAGCAGGAAACCCGTGGTAGCAATGGTTGAAACCAGAAGGCCGAGTGGTCTGCCATTGAGACCGGCATAGGTCTTTTTGGTCGTAGAAGCAGCAACAGGCGCTGTGTCTGCCATGGTGGTGGTGGTGGGGTTGGGGATTGGAATGTCCAAACAAACTATTCGCTGGCCCAGCCAGATATTCAAGGCGGGGAGGGAGACGTGGTGGAGTTGAAGGGGGGGGTATCAAAACTGAAAAGGGAGATAGAAAGTACGGAGTATGAGGAGAAACTGGGGGGAGACGGGCTTCTATTATAGCTCTGGGTTTGGTGGTCAAGCTGTGTAGCTAACTCTTACTCTCTACGTAAACATACAAGGAATGGCCCACCTGCATGGTATATCCTCGGTCGTGCAGATGCAAAGTGTGTAATTTAGTCTGACTGTTCTCCGTACTTTACCCCATTCACGTTCACATGTACGTCCCAGGTTCCCAGTACGAGGCATGTTAGCCGCACTTATTCGTGATTAGCTGATATCCTCCGTAAAGCAAACAAGATCTGCATCTTGCCATCCCTGTACCTACCTCGGGTTATGAAATTCCTGAAGGATGGCGGTGGGGAGGGGGAGCGGGAGGGGGAGGTAGGTGGGCCGGGATTGGATGGAAGGGAGGAAGGGAGGGAAGGATAGTGCCGGAGATAAAGGATGATGATTGGCTAACTGCTCGGCACCATCTGAGTCTACCGAGTCTGCTTCAGCCAACCTGACCAACTGCCAAGGTGATACCCCACTTTTCCACTGGTCGCTCGTCCATCATCCAATCGTCATCATCGTAGTGGAGCACACACTGGCGTTGACTAACAGTGGGTAAGTGGAGTGCATCTTCCTCCTCCAACGTCATTCCTTTCACTGCGGGGACTCCAACTCCCATTTGCCTCTCCACTCCACTGCCCATGGGCCGACAAGGTTGGCATGCAGACTGATGCAGTGAGAGATAGGGCTCGGAGGCTGTTGCTTGTTTGAGCCGCAAGGCTTCGATCGATCGCAGGCACGCCAGTCATGGTGGGCAGGTTTGCCGAGTGAGAAACATTGTATAATTTTATATCCCACTCGTTTACGTAGAAAACCCCAACGACGCCTTTTGCACGAGTTATCAACACATCAACAGACACTCCCCATTATTCGCACTCGCGCATAGGCAATAAATAAGTAATCAATGCAATCAAGGGTCCTCCGCTCTCCACACTCTCATGCATTGCAACGTCAGGCTAGCACAGCACAGTAACAGTACTCGAGAATTCCTCGGAGCATCTCCAGTTTTCCATGGCAAAAGATGCAAGAACGTCCGAGGCAACCCCGATGTAACGGAGAAAATATGGATTTTGCGAGTCAGATTCTGCCCGTCTCGCATGTTGGGTGCACATATTTGTGGGACATGATATGCCACTGCCACTTAAAGCAGAAGGCTGGTTCGAAGCCTTCTTCCTTTGCGCAGAACTACTCGAGAAGTCGAGGACGGAAAGGGCCAATGGACCATACAGCACGCAGGACGGTGACAGTACGCTCCACACTTATAATTATGTGGTGTGGGTTATGGTATGGGTTGCCCACCTAAGGTAGCCGAGCGCGTCGCATCGCATCGCATTGTGTGCTTGTGCCTGTGTCTGGTCTGGTTGGAATCACGGGACGCCGACCCAATATTATCTCCATCTCACGATAACTACGCGGGATAGCAGGGCAGGGCCTGCCATGCCATGCTCTGCCCTTGCAATCAATCTTTGGGGAGAGGAGACCCTTCTTTCTCTGGGGTTGCACGTGTGCAATAAATCGAACCTGAGGAAGAAGGGCGAGAGAGAGAGCGCGAGTCATGCTAGCCGTGATATCAGTATCAGTACAAAAAAAAAAAAAGATGGCCTTTATCCAGAAATAGTAAGCCGAACCAGAACAGGATATACCGTGTAGGAATAGAATCATGCGCCCAACGATGAAAAAACTTCTTCCTACACCTACGTCGTAAAAATGCGCCGCGCCAAATGAGATCTAGCTTCCCTTCCAATCACATGCATTTCCCTACCCATCGTCTAGGATTTGGCGCGCACGCGCGGGCCCGCTACTTACTGTACATACTTCGCACTACGGAGTATACTTGTATCCCCGACGCACGACAGGGTTGATCAATAGCATGCTCCCAATCATGGAGAGAGAGATACCTCGGGTATGTGGAGTATGTGGAGATGGCTCGCTGCGAGACTTACAAATACTTCGTACCAAGGCATGAGTCGCGTGACTGTATGTATATCCAGAGTACAGTACGAAAGAAGAAGTATACTGCGTAAGCCGCCGTAGCAGGGCAGGTCCTTCTTGCTCCTCTAATCTTACTTCGTATTAAGTAAATACGGAGTAAGAACAGCTGGGCATGTTTCACGATCTGAGGTTTACATTAAGTGGCCAGTTGATTTTCAAGCCTTGCTTATGAGACTCTGGACTTTTCGTTGTGGAATAGATTCGCTGTTATATATAATACAAATGTCCCATCTAATGCCCACACGAAGCTAGACTCCTTTCCCCTCTCCAAGCTTTACCAAGCAGAGACGAGAACTGTACTACTCTATTCCACAAGTATCATAATAATACTTATCTATTACAACCCAGAAAACTCCTAGCTCCTTGTTCACGAAACGATGAAATCTATCTATCTTATTTCAATCAATCTATAATCACTACTTTTTCAACTGTTTAGCTTCCAAGCTACTACCTTGAAAGTCACCGCTTCTATATATATCCCTTAATAGGTCGTTTATCTTAGACTCCTCTTGTTCTATCCCGCTCGTTAGTAGCAAGCTAAGAAGACAGATATTTACGTTTTAAATTAAAAGCTGCTTTAAGCATACCCGCTCCCTGGCGGTTGGAAAGAAAAAAATAGTAAAAACGTCTTTATTTTCATTTTCATTTCAGATTGGAATAAGCTTTTTCTCTCTTTGACAATTACATCCATCTATACGGCATAATAATAGTCATTACTTCCAAGTTTTCCTTTTCTACTTTATGAACTTCTAATCCGAATCATAGATTCCAGACCGGTCTGTTTTTCCAAGTTGAAATTTCCACGCGCCTTGATCAGGAAGAGCTAGGACCATCCCCGTAGCTATTTCCTCGGTCTCGGTCTCGACCATTTTTAGTGAAAAACACTAACAAATAACGGTGCAGCTGAGTAATCGTACTTTCAAGTACTTTTCAAATGCTTTCTCTCAGAAAGTACAGTAGCACGCGCGATATTAGAAGTACTATCTATAGAGACACTGAATGCAAGCACCTACTAGTTAAGTCAGAAGTAGGAAATGAAAAACGCTTAAGCCGAATGCGTTTATGTTCTTATATCGTATAAGATGGATTAGTTTCACAGCCTGAGACTCCTTACTTATGCTAAGCTAGAGTAATAGTAATTAACACCCTCTGCTTTATTTATCATCGAGCTCTACTCCTACAGCACCAGCAGAAAACCATTCTGCTAATCCTAGGCTGGAGTTCGCGCTTGCGTTGCGTTGTGTTGAGTTGCGTTGTGTTGTGTTGCGTAGCGTTGTCCCTCCATAATATATATATGCATGTGCATGTGCATTCCCAGCAACGGCGCCGAAGATCTATCCATGACGGTACCTCGACTCGCTCGGCTGCCTGGATAGACTATGCTACTGCACTGCACCATCCCGTGGGAAGCACAAAGATTTTGTTCCGTCGTTGTGCTCCGTACTTGTACGTGTCTGTGCTTTGCATGCAGCCAGCCGCGATGCGAAATGCAACAGAAGATGTCTGCTGGAACTGCGTCTGTCTGCGGCTGTGGTGGCGGCTGGTCTCTCTTGTCGATCATCTGAATGTTCTCACGTGTGTGGACTTTTGGATGGTTGGATCTTTGGAATTGGATCAAGGATTGAGCGAGGAAGGTAAGGGAGCTCGCACTGCGAGGAATACAAGAGAGGTTTGGAGAGGATGAGAATTTGATGTCTCTGGTATTTATCTCCTACATTTCATCACAATGTCCAACGCCAATGCTAGTTTTTATCCTTTCCGTTACGCCTGAACCCATCCCACATCATCACAAACGCTTTACCTTTTTCTTATCCGGCCCATCTTCTTCACCACTACTTACATCCGTCGCATACTGCGTGACAGGCTGCGTGTCCTTCCAAGCGTTCGTGAACAACGGGTCTTTCTTTGCGAGATCCGCATACTTCAGCAAGGCCTCTCTCGGATCTTCATCACGCATGCTACTGAGTGAAATGCTGTCTTTGATATGCTGTTCGTCGGGTTGACTTTTCATGAATGGTGTCACCATTGGGATTTGTGGTCTTCGAGGATCACGAGAGCGACCTGAAACTGTGAGGCCGATTGTAGGATGGCGGGCTGAGAAGGATGAGGCGTTGGTGTTGGTGAGAACACCGCCTGGGGTGATGATGGTTTCGCCTGAGATGCCGGTAGATTGGTCGGTGGTGAAGTTGGGGTCGTCATCCACGTGGCGTTTCTTGGGGGCGCGGGACATGACATCTACTGCTCCTCGGGAGGACATCGTGGGGTTGTATAGGACGTGTACTTCTGAATTGGCAGACCCAGTGACTATCTGGTTCAGCTTGGGATGCCACTGTACGGTGATGAGCGGAAAGCCCGGTGTGACCGGGGTGACGAGCTCTGGTTTGAGATTTCCAGGATTTAGAATATGGAGATGGCCAGATGCTGAACCAGTGATGATGCTGGATGAATTGGGAGCGTATTTGATGTTCGTTACGGCATAGTGGCCGGAAGTTGAAGGGTGTGAAACCGTCACAACTGGAGCCTTGAACTTCCGAGTATCCCATAGCTTGATCGTATCGTCGCCACCTCTTGTAACAACCATCCGTCCATCGGCACTGATATCAACACCTCCAGTCCAAGTATTTGGCTTATGGGCGTCTCGAATCTCAGCAGCTGGCCTTGCGTGAGGACCATCCCCACTCCACATAACTAGACTTCCATCCAGAGCTGCAGCTACAAGAACATTGTTCCCGCCTTGTAAGGGACTTCCCCAGACCACAGCCGTCATTCTAGTCCTTCCGGCTGATCCTGCTGCTCTTGACTTGTGGACAATGACTTCTTTTTGGCTTCTTCTGAAATTGACATCCCATATTCGTAGAGTACTATCCGTTCCAGCCGTAACGCATATGTCCCGATTAACAGGGTTCCAAGTACCAGTAGTGACCTCGGAGATATGTCCTTTGGTGTTGTTCATATCCCGCAAATACATATCACCCTTCTGAAATTCAGCAATCACCTCTCCGTTTCTGCTCATGATCTTTGCCTGGGGGTGCGCCGATATACATAGAAAGGTACTGCCTGATAGCGGGTTGAATTCGACATGATTGATCGGATGGGTTTCGGAATTCGTAGAGGCTTTGGTTTCGCTGGGATCCACGCTCTTGAAGGCTCGAAGAGTGGTCGGGGTCATGGAAGCAAAATCATGGAACTTCAATGTACAGTCTGTAGATCCAGTAACCAATCTTGAGCCCGCGGGATCTAGTGAAGTGGTTGTGACTGCGCGATCGTGTGTTTTGAGGACCAGCTCATGGGAGACTGGGAATTCGTCTTCATCTGAATCGTCCGAATCGTCGTCGCTGTCGTCGTCGTCGGATCCATAATCTTTAGAGGCTGACTCTTGCGGGATCCTCTTCTGTCCTTGCCCCTCGCCATATTCTGCGGCACTTTTTGTTGTTGCTGTCGCCGGCGCCTTGTCTACTGGTCTCTTGGATCGTTGAATTTGCGCCGCAACGTCTGCCTCTTTTCCTTTCTTGCCAAATGACTGTGGCAAAAAGGATCGCATAGGATCATCCTCTGCCAACTCGGGAACGTCTACCTCATAATCCTCATCGTCGCTCATGGTGTTGATCATCGAGATGTTTGGTGGTGAGCGTGAAATATTAAGGTGGAGCTACTACAAAGGCGAGGCTATCGGCTTCGATGACGATTTCTGCACCAACTCTTTGGTCTCGACGAAACAACAACAACATCATCATCCACCGCCGGCGGAACATCCCACCAGTTCAACGACTACAAATATATTCTCATGTTTTTGTAGTAACTGGATGACTTTACAGCTCCAACATTTGGTCTGTGGGAGCCTGAATGGGGTGCAATAACGAGCAAACAACACTGCCCTGCTGCTGCCATGTATCTTGCGTCGGAAACCCTGGATGCTACGAATTCCATCTTTACCGCACCTCCTTTGACTCGAGCCCCGGCCTTGCTTGTGTTAGATAGCATAGTCGCTCTGGGAAATGGCGATTCCCAACTTCAAAGATGGTCCTCGTTGATCGGAATCGTCACTGCCATTGTAGGCAACATCCTGATATCCTTCGCCTTGAATATCCAAAGATACGCGCATATAAGACTACACGAGGAGAGGTCTCAGGCTAGGGAGAAGGCAAAGGCTGCTATGAGGAATGCCAAGGGTGGTGGATACGGGACAGTAGAGACAGCTGGGCACCTTGAGATTGATGTGGAAAACGAGCAAGATGGTGGGGGAGAGGACGATCCTTTGCGGCGGTCATTCCAGTCGATGGATTCCCAGTCCTCGACATGTTCACAACACGAATCGAGCTACTTACAATCACCGTACTGGTGGGGAGGTATCATTCTGATGACAGTCGGAGAGGCAGGGAATTTTCTGGCATATGGATTTGCACCTGCATCAATTGTGTCTCCGCTGGGAGTTGTAGCTCTCATATCCAACTGCGTTATTGCGCCGATTATGCTGAAAGAGCCCTTTCGACTGAGGGATTTCTGGGGCGTGGTAATTGCTGTAGGCGGAGCTGTTACGGTCGTGCTGAGTGCAAAGACCCAAGAGAAGAAATTGGGACCCCATGAAATTTTAGGTGCCATAACGACAACTGAATTTGAAATATACATGGGCGTTACTATCTTCTTGATTGGGGTGCTGTTGTGGGCGAGTCCAAGGTACGGTAACAAGACGATATTAGTTGACCTCGGGCTCGTGGGCTTATTCGGTCAGTACTGACTGTCTCTTGAATGGCCTAAGCTAACGTCTTCAAGGTGGATATACGGCTCTTTCTACTAAAGGCGTTGCATCGATGCTCTCATACACCTTATGGAGAGCTTTGACGACCCCGGTTACATACATTTTGGTTGTCGTTCTTGTGGGCACGGCTATCATGCAAGTTCGATATGTCAACAAGGCTCTGCAACGATTTGACTCGACCCAGGTCATCCCTGTGCAATTTGTCATGTTCACTTTATCAGTCATTATTGGAAGCGCAATCTTGTACCGAGACTTTGAAAAGATGACCAGAGAGAATGTGGGGAAGTTCATTGGAGGCTGCCTCTTGACATTCTTTGGCGTTTTCCTCATAACGAGTGGTCGAGATCGCCATGACGATGAAGAAGACGAGGAGAGTGAAGAGGAGGCAGAAGAACGAATCCGTCTTGCGGACCAAGAACCAAGTTGGGAGGAAACCATGGACCATGATGGTGATCGAAGGTTTGACTCTACACGAAGGACTCAAAATGCGCCTCCAGCTTCGAGGAGATCGTCGAAAATCAGCTTTGCAGATACCCTGTCGCGACCTCGTACTCCTCATATGCAATCCAATACCTCTTATCCATCCGTACGAGTACCTTCTTCGATCATGTCATCGGACGGCGCGGAAGAAACCCCTCTTCTTAACAATGCCTGGATATCATCATCCGATGACCTGCTCACTCCACGCCATCCGGGGATGATAAGCTCTAGTTCATCTCCTATGTTGCCTTCCGAAGCACAAATTTCGCCGGCCGAATTGCTGAAACCCGCTGCGCCAGATAGGTCATCGTCACAAGGCAATGTTCATACACATCCAAACTTACAGCAAAGCCCCGCACCACCTCCCGCCGACCGGCCAATGACACCCGCAGCAAGACATTCCATCGCTAGAATGATGCCTGGACCTTTACTGTCGCCTCTTTCTGGTGGGCTAAGTGTAGTGGTTGCGGATTCATTGCGCCGAGGAGTTGATTCTCAAGGAGGGAAGAAATTCAGGCGTGGGCGCCTGAATCTGCGAAGATCAAAATCCACCACACAGGGACTCCTGACACACTCGGCCGACGTAAGTCATGAAGAATTAGCAACGTCGCCGTTGAAGCATGTCAGCACGAACGAGCAAGTGAGCAAGTCGCTAGGTACGGAATCAGGAACCGAGTGGTCACGATTAACCAGGGCACGAAGTCTGAGCAATACCTTGGGGGATCTGTTCCGGGGGAAGCGGCAAAGATTGGAAAACCACGATAGTGGTGGGGATGAAGAGGCTGGTCCTAGCGGGTCGTAATGCTGTACATTTTACTTTTTTGGTCTACGGTGTTTTACTTAGCATTGGTAGGGCGTTTACATAAGCTAGAGCTGGTGTATAAATTTTAGATGGGCTTGCTCGGTGGTTTTTAAGTAATGATATCAATTTCTCGACATCTCTTTTGTTCGATACATCTTCAAAGAACAAACTGTAGGCAACACGTGTATTCTTGTAGTGGCCTTTCTCAGCTGCCTTTGGAGCATGACTTGGCCTGACAGGGACTCAGCGACGCCTTCAATCCAACACGAAACCTGTATGACTAAATGCAGTGCTTCAGATTAACAAGAGCTGTCACCAAACCAACAATATAACCAAAGACTAAGCACCACTTTCGAGTCTCGATGTTATTTACCAGATATTCATGTTGTAAGCTCAACCGCACCGCAGTCCATAGCTTGTGCTATTACTCCATTCCTTTTTCCATTGCGCCACTTATTATAGCAAACCAGACGCTCAAATCATCATTCCTGCCCCGCTGTCATACAGTCAACGCCCGTTCATCGCTCTGCCTTCGAATCGTCAATTACAAATTCCTCCTCCGTCGAGAAAGCCAGCCAGCCAGACTTCACGAATTAATCGCCCCCCAAGTAGAACATCTTTCCCTTTCCCTTTTCCTTTCCATCCTGCTTCTCCTTCTCCTTCCCCTTGCTTTCACCCTTGCGGCTTCCGTCTTCCTTGCGCGCATCTCCAGCACTGCCACTGTCTCCAAACGACTGTGCGCTACCATTGCTACTGCCACCCCACTTGATCCGACATCTCAAGCACCGCTCATGCATACATCTCGGACAACTGCCATATTCAGATGGCTGTCCCATGTTATTGTTATTGCACTGCACGAGCACCTGCATCAGCATTCACCACTGCTTCCACTGCACTCTGACTCTCCTCTTCGCGGCCTGTGAATAGTACCTAGGGTAGATAGACATTGAACGTACCCGGCAACACCTCCAGCTCCAGTAATCGGTATTCGGCAGCGGCGCAGCGTCTAGCGCGTCTTGTGCTTGCGAGACGGAAGCGGCGGACATCTTGGAGAAGACATTAGAGGATGGAGTGGAGGAGGGCTGGCGCTGGTGGTGTGAGAATAGGGGGGGTGTGCTCGCGTGCGCGTGCTGGTGATGGGTTATTCGCGAGTCCATGGTAAGTGAGTGAGCCTCGGACTGGTGACGGACAGACAGAGGGAAGGTGCGAGCAAGAGATAATTACGTTAAGGTAAGTGAGCGGTGCGAAATGTATTTGAGTAGGCCAACGTGGGAGAGTTGGGGACGGGTAGTCGCAGCCCAGTTTGGGTTCTAGATCCAGAGTTTTGTCGTGTTCTTTGTTAAGGAGTGTAGTGTCGATGTGTGACTGACTTTGAGTTGCAGCTTCTGCTGGTGAATGTAAATGGAGCTATGGAGTAACAATCAATTGAATCTGAGATATCAAGAGCACCACATGGTTTGCTTTCAGTGTGAACCTGGATTGCTGCTTTTCTCTCATTTTGTTACTTTTGACAATCACTAGAAGGGGTTTGACCTGCTGAGCAAACTTTGCATTCCATCAATAAACCTTCGCCTACTCCTTGCACTTCTCTTCAAACTTCTTTCATCCCACATTCCAAGATACCAAGGGTAATCTCATGCTCCCGAATAGTGACCTTTTCAGTAATTATGTGTTCTTCATATCCAGAACTTCAATAAACTCCCGAGTCTCTTCGACGACTTCATATGATAGTGTGGAGGGACAACACAATCGCAAACTCTAGGCTAGGATCTGACTTATAGTTTCATCGTAATATAATTTATATATAATATGCTATGCAAAAGAATGTGTATGTAGAATGGATAGTGCTCTAAGTCTGTCGAAGCGCTCGTATTTATATGGTGCGATGCATTTTAGCTGCATACCTCCACTTCACGTGACGCCCCTTTGAACCCCACCACAATAGGTATGACCGTTCAAGAAATAGTCATCTCGTGGACGTATATTTGGTGGTCATGCTTAAGATGACTTGTGAATGCATATATCAGGGCTCAACATGTTGTTGGGGTTCGGATTAGATTAGATTAGATTACGAGTAGCATAAAGAGGCTGTTTTGTATGAAGTAAGGAACATTCCGCGAACACTCTTTAATTGTACGTATATTCCACGGTAAAGACTTTCCATTTAGACAGATTTCGGCGAACCAGTGTTTTAGATGTTCCAGCCACCCCGGAATTTCCGCCCACCCCAGAATTCTCGTTATTTGCCTTTTAATCCTGCCATGAGGACGCTCGCTCTAACATCCAATGATATTCCCAAAATAGCCCAAATTAACCGTGCATAAATCATGCATCTATCCACTATCCAACGCTCCAATCGGGGTTTTTACGATTGCTATCCTTCCGGCTGTGTTATCTGAAACGCGGGCTCATATCGCTCGCTTTTCTGTAGTTATTCTAAGACGCCGAGGCGTTTTCACGTAGTTCTAGGATTGTTGGATTGTTGTGTTGGAGTGTTAGGTTGTTGGAATTTACGTATCGTCGAGGTCTTGAGCTGTGAATAAACTTGACCCCCCCCCCCATTCCCCGACTCATTTTCTTCAGTGTCTCTACTTTTATCAAACAAGCAGAAAAATTCACCAACATATACTGTTTTTCCAACTGACAACCTTAAAAGTACCACTATTATAAAGTTCGGCAAAGCACTTGAATTTCCTGAACCTACCTGCTAAGACGTATATCATGGCTACCCACACTGTATCACCAGATTGTTTCGACATAATTTTGTTGATCAGAAGATATAATACGAACTACACGAAAGATGACAAGAGACGGCTGGACTACCGAGCACCTGAATCCTTGCTTGGAGGGTGTCGGAAGATGGAAGCGGGTGGCTACTCTCCGATGCAACACGACATCGACTACCTTGTCAAATCTCTGCTCTTCTTAAGAAGAGCATCATCTGTTGAAGACCACGGCAAGCTGGATATGAACTACGAGAAGATGTCTCGAACATTCCTGAGAATCGTGAAAGGCGGCGGGAGAAGAACGAGCGATAGCGGCATTGCGAAATTCAAGGGCATTTTTTCAAGCCCAGAGAAGGCCACTCTACCCGAGAAAATTTCCCCGCAGTTGAAACCAACCAAGCATGTCAACTTGAAAAGAAACTCAGGCTCTCAGCAGTTACCGGAGTCCCCCCACCCAGCAAAGTATCAACCAAAAGTGCCGCTCCAGCAACTATCTCCGAACAAGCCCGAGAGATTCTCAGCCAGTATAAGCGAAGGGCTGCAACCTACAGCATTATCCAGGAGGCTTTCCTCGCCCGATCGCCAGGTTCGAAATCACTATAAGAGCGGCAGGTCCTCTTCACCGCAACGCTTTATCCAGCACCGCAGATCCGCAATGTCCAAGACATCGACATCGACATCGACATCTCCTGACCAACTTGTTCAGACTAGAGGGAGCCCGCCGATTCTGCATCAGGTGTCTCGTCCTACGTCTGCAGTGCCTCTAGGCAGTATAAATAGCCCGCCGAGTGCAGGTGTGTATGGGGGACGGAGATCAATCAAGAACCGACTGGCGGAGGAAGAGGCATATGAGCGGGCTGCGAGACTTAGTAGTGATCTTTGGCACAGTTCGATAGCAAGCTAGTAGTGTAGTGTAGTGTAGTGTAGTGTAGTGGTACTCGGGAATTCTGTTTGATATACGTGTAGCTTATAAGACCAATGCAGGCATTTGGAAATTTAAAAGAGAGCTGTTGTGACACTGGAAATGGGGAGCAAGTTTTGTCGCAGCGCTGCTCGATCGAATGTTTCACTGGACGCGACTCTGTGAATAATGCCGAGAATCATACACGTCCAGAAAATTCATGACTCACAGACCTAAACTCTGCCGAATGAGCCAGCTCTGATTCCCCTACAGCTTCCCTGTTTATATTCAAGTTCCCAAGACCTGTTATTCGAGACACAAAACTCCATAACCGTCAGCTGATCTTCGAGGACATTCAAGCATCTGTTGAATTCATTCTGACCCCAGCACGACAATCAAGAAACATGTATTCACCCCCGTCCAAACTCACACTAGAGGGGGAGAGGAAAGATGCAGAAAGTCTGGTAGGGGTCCATGAAGAAAGCAACCTTAGCGCTCGTTTCCAACCACCTTAGCTTGGCGAGGAAGGGTTTGAAGATCTTACAGAGCGCTGGCTAGCTGCTTGTGACAAAACACCACAGGAAAGATTATCTTCGACATCGTCCCACTATTCTTCTGAGCCTTCTCTAACGCAATCCGAATCGGCATCCGAAAAAGAAGACTCTTGCCAACAAGACTCCCGCACTCCTTCTCCCATTGTGTCGAAAAACGAAGACTGTGAGGTACTAGAGCGACAGAAATTCAGAACCTTGCTTGGAATACAGAATTCGATAAATGAAAAATCCAATGCGTTTCAGAAGATTCATTATGACGTTCGAATACTGCATAAGATGTTAGGCCAACTCAAATCAGACATGCATGTCGATGAAGGCGTTGGCGTCTCAGAAGAAGCATTGCGCGAAGAAGCGGGAGAAACCTTTGCAGAGATGATGAGGCAGAAGAAGACGAAGAAAATACTAGAGGCTTTTAAGCTCTGTCTTCTGACAGCTCTCGAGAGCTATTTAAAGGAGGCGCCTAGCGCGAGAAGTGGAGAAGTGATCAAGGCACTGGAGAATATTATGAGCTTGGAGAAAGGGAAGGAAGCTCTGAAGCTGGAAAGACCGTCGCTGGATTTGGGGACGTGGAAGGATTTTGTGGACTGGATTATTTGGGAGGTGGAGGAATATCGCTGGATTGTCGGGTACGAGGATGCGGAGGTTGATGCGCAGCTGCTGGTTTGTGTAAAGCGGATGAAGTGGATGCTTGAACACCAAGAATATTGAGGCTGGAAGTAATGTCTGAATTTTTATGAATTTTGAAATACAGCCTGATTTTGAAATCGAAAACGAGATGATCAAATATATATCTCTAGGATCAATGATCCACGCATACCGCGATATGGCAAAAGAAAATTAATTTCAGATAATGAGGATTTGAGATTACATATTGAAACCGGGATGGAAAGGTCTCGGGGTAACAAATGCTTCCGGGTCAGACATACCTCTTCTCAATTCCGTGTCTGGTTGCCGCTATGTCGTCAACTGCAACATGCCTCTTCGGACTGCTATCAATGAATGTCACTCCAGCAGTCTGGTTATTAATATAACCACTTGCATGAATGATTCCCATGGCAAAGGATTAACTCTCACTAACAGCTTCTTTTTTTATGGGTATAAATATCCGCCCAACCTGCCCCCCTAGAACATAATACTTGAATTAACAAGGACAGAAGCCGCATCGGTTGCCTTCTAATGAACTTACATCACATTACCTAACTCCCAAAACCTAAAAAGAGCTGAACGTAGAATGCATCGCAGCAATCAAAACAGAGAGAATGGCAGAGCCGTAAGGGAAGGAGCACCGAGCCCATATCCCTTAGAATCGGAAAGCGAATTGTGGAGAAGTGATGACGGAGATAATTCAGTTTCTGACTCCAGAGATGACTTTCCAAGAGATTTTTTCACGTGGTTATATCTTTCGTATCCGAATAATATTGAGCGTCCAAGACATAGGACTTCCGCAACTAGACAAACCGGAAGCCAGGATGTACCCGCAACAAGGTAAGTCAAGCATACAAAAAACTTCCTTCTCCGGCACATCTTTAACCATACCCCGCATCTATCCAGGCACTCGGAGTCAACTACTCTGCCAGCAAGACCTGATGGAAGTTCTACAAGAAACGCAAGCCCAACACCACCAAAAGAGACAGATAAACACTATAACTTCACACCTGCACGGCGGGAGTCTCTACTGCGACAAATGAGAAATGAAATCGCCGTCTATGACGCACAAAGAGAACGTGCATTTGGGCGTGAACACGGATATCAAGTTTATGATTATCCGCGCACCGACGCCCCAACACGCAAACGCAAAAGGGCATTTGGAGAGCCAGACCGAGTAGAAGCCTTTTGGGATCCGTTGTGGGGCTATGAAACACCAAGATAGGACGCTGTCACACATGTGGTGAGCAGGGTTTTGGTCTGCTCTTCCCAAAGGATGTGGTAGGTCCTAAGCGATGGGGATTTGGCACCCAGCGACGGTTTAATCAGTGAGGTGATAATGATGCTGCTAAGACGCCTGCAGTTTGTGGATGTGCCTTGAGTAGATTGAGGCAGATGATTTGGTGAGTCAGTCGAAGACTTGTGTTACAGTTCCGGAGGATTGATTTATGGTGGTGAACTTCATAGGCAGCATAGACAGTAAGCGGTGAAGTAAAACAATACTATGACAATACAAACCCTCAATTTCCCGCAAGGGGTTGAAAATGCCCTGTTGTGGTCTGTTATAGAAATGGTGGTCTTTCAACCAAATCGCTAAGATATTGAGATGCTTAGTAATTTCCTGCCGGTCGGAGGGGTTCTTCCACCGCGGGGATTAAATGCCAAGATGAAACCCCGCCACCACCTTACTTATACCTTGTTTAGCCGCTCCTCACTTCAACAAGGCACCGACGGATGAATCAGCTGCTATATTATTTGTCCATGTGCTCAACACAGCCTTGCTATTATCCTTGTCACCCCACACCATTTCACATTCTCAGGTACATCTTATCAGGTGTTGTACTAGGTTTATGGCTCACGAGTGGCTCGTTATGATCGTGATCAACAAGCCAAGAACTCCCAGTCTCAGCTCTGCTGACCAGAGGAGAAGGCCGGCCCGTCTGTAAGCATATATATGGCTCTAGCAGCCTCTTGTGAGAGCAAATATTGCTCCATCCATCTCCTCACAAATACATATCAAAGCAATCCATCGAAACGCCTCAACGCACACATACAACCCGCGGTCAGTTTCCTGCTGCCCGCCACCACCATCATCACCACGCATATCAGCATCAGCATCGGCATCAACATCCCGAAATGTTCGGAATCTTTCGTACTATTTGGTGGGAGGTCTATGATCTCTGGGACGGTGTCTTGACCGGTCTAGGAGGTCTACTCATCAAAATGGGTCTCTGAAAATCCTCCATCTTGACTTCACAAGTTGGCCCCCCCTGCGAGATAATTCTGACCGAGCCTGATGTTTCCTGTCAACCTCAACCCTCATAGCTTACTGGAATCCGCAGTGAGCTCAGCGCCGGACATTCCACTCATCACTGAAAGAATGTCCGAACCTCAAAGCGGATTATTATACGCGCCACGTATATGGAGGCATTTCATCTCTGTTCTATATTCCTGGGAAGACAATATCTGGTCGAAAGCCTGTACGCGGAGATGACAGGCGGCAGGCGAGTGGCTACAGTTTTTGCCGCTGTTGGGGCAGTGTACGATACTATAGGAATATGGCTTATTGGTTCGCAGGACGACATTAAGCCTGTAATATTAGCAGAATGCATACCATCCCTCACTTCTTCTCTTCTCCCCTATCATTATTTCACTACCATTTGGGTTTTCCCCGGTCCTCAAATTTTATCACTTATCGATCTGTCCTTTCTGTTGTCTCAACTTGATCGCCCCTACATTACACAAGCTCGTAATATTGCATCACCACCATATCCTGTGTCACTCACCTGGGCACGTGGAAATGAAGGAATTGGATACTGAACTTTTGTTGCAAGTCGCAAACGAACAGACCGGCGGAAGCCGATGACACCCAATACTTTCCGCCACCAAGTCGGTGTGCGGAGCTCGAGTGCGTTAGATGGGATGGGAGACAAGGATCCTCCTCCTAATTAATGGGACAGCCTTGGATGTCAAGTGACAGAATCTTGCTACAATTGCAAGTCACAAGAGAGATCATTCTTTTTCACCCAGGACCACCAGCGAGGCAACCCCAGCACTACTAGTCTTGGGAGAACGAAGCTTCTTGGTAGTTGAAAGCGTAAAGTGCTATGACCAAAAACATTGGGCTGTTCACTTGAGAAGGTCATTTCCCTCTGCATCATTAATAAGAAGCTGCGTAACTGCAAGCTCCTCCAGTGCACATCTGGTAGCGTGCAGAATGAAGAAGAAGTGTCGCCATATAATACTTGCGCCAGAGGTTGCAAGGTCCATTGACCGTTCGATAACGAATTGTCGATGTCCTTCTGCAGTTCAAATTCCTCAAGACGTCTGAGTGCCAAGTATAGGACTACAATAGAAATACTACCAGACCAAATCCACGAATTAAATAGGCTCTACCAATTATACATGCACTAAATTCCTAAGGCTTGGATTGGTTACAAATTTGATGCTTGAATTTCCATGTGTTTATTCACGTAATGTGCTTTTACGGATGGATATAGCTGCAATTGTAGGTTAATAAATACGGGGCCTCGAGTCAGATCATGCACGTGACAATTTTGTTATCCGGCTGAAGATCCGCGAATATTTCAAAGGAAGATATACTCCGTATGATAATAGGAGAGATCAGAGTATAAAAGAAGAGGCTGTGGCCGCTTAAACGTTACTTGGTACTTGGTGCACAATAGCTCGCCTAATATACTTCTAGATTTTTGCGGATAATGCATAAAGCAATCTTGTGAAGTTAAATAAAACCTGAAGGCTTTAGCAAAATTAAAACTAACTTACTAGTAGAGAATAGAGTATAAGAGAAGAGGCTATAGCCGCTTAAACGTTACTTGATGCACTTAGCACTATGCTTTTACTGTCCTTCTGGAGTTTTGGGGACAATGCATAAAGCAGCCTCGTAAAGTCATACAAAACCTAGCGAATTATCATTATCGTGCATAGGAAACATAATCCCGAAAACTGTACCTTGTATCCTGAAATAATTTTGCTGGCGATAAAGAGCGAAATCCTGATTTTTCCAGGATTTCAGGGTTGAGGGTGGATTCGTACTGTATAGTCCCAGCCCCGCGAAAAAGTCAACACCAACCTCCCTAAATATAACATAACACGCGGCACGACACGACATACTTGGTGAGATGAATTCTTAATCTTTGTATTTTGTGATCAAAACATACAACAGAACGTTTCCAGCTTTCATCTGATCAGTTCCATTAAAAGTTTGGATTTCCGAAACATACCAGACGAATACCGCCAATCACAGACTCGAGAACCTACCGAACGCTCGGGCTATACCGTACGAGTACCTCGTTGACCGATAACGATCTTCATTATTCAAGGTGCACAAGAATCACAACACAACCAACGTACGCTTCGATATTTTACTGCTTTTGTTTCTCGGTTTTATCGAATACTAGAAGACTAGAGGAGACTATTTTATCTACATCTCTCGGCTCTTCTTTCTCTCTTGTCTTCCATTCCGCATCAACAGATCCGCTTGGTCCTTCACCTCCGACACAAAGTGGGACGACGCATGAACATTATCGAAGACCGACTAGGATACCAGCGGACGCCGATCTGATATACCCTACGCGGAACTACGCCTCTTCCACGAATCCAGCCCAAAGAGGAGGCAGTAGGGACAATTGATGCAAATCTGACCAGGGGCTTCCACATTTCACAATGCAAAACACTCCTTCCACAAGCTTCGAGCCTTTCTCCTCTCGATCTCTCCCCAAACCATCGCATCAAAGAACGCTCTCCGTCGCCAATACCCCGGGCGCATCAAGAGATTCGTCATTGCAGAAAGTATGGGCCGATGATTACTATGCGGAGGACTTTGCTGGCGGAATAGCTCTATCATTCGAACAAGGCATCCCTTCTCCCCCTGCGCTCGCAGCCCTCCCTCGAAGCATTCCTCTCTCTGCGGAAGAGGAACCACAACCAGCACGCCAACCTCGAACCCATCAACGCTCACTTACCGACTTGCTGCCCTTTCGAACACCCCATCCAAACTCGAAGTCTCCGGAGCGAAGTCCGGTGAAGCAGAGAATCGAGGACGAATTCATGTCTACCCTTACGGGCGACCGAGACGGCATGATAAAGGTTGCTGATAAATCGAAAGGTGGGCTGGCCTCTTGGTTTACAGGATCTTCTGCTCCAGTTGCTCTAGGCGTACCTGTTGGTGGAGAGGAGCTTCCACCTCCCCCCTCAATGTCTTCTTCAAGGTCCACATCCCCAGAACGTCAACCTGGGAAGCTCCAAAAACGGCCTACGCTGCAGACAATGGATTCCACAAGTAGTGTAAGCACGACGCAATCGAAACCACAGACATCGAGGTTCAACTTCTTCTCTCCAAAAACACCCATCAAGAACACTATCCAGCTCCCTGCAGACGTAAGAACCCCATGATTTCACATCTCATAACTAGGAGTCGGAAGAATATCTCGAGCTTCTGCTCCGAGGCTGTCACAGCTCTTGAGTCATGATTCGATTCTGCTCCTAAACCTTGAAGCAATAGCTAACTGTTTTCTCTCTCTAGATGATGAATGATGACGAATTCCTTTCCCTTGATGTTACCCAGGCTCTCTTTCCACAAGGAAACGCCCAAGATCCCTTCTCGCCAGCGTCATTCAAGAATCTTCTCATGAATGCAGAGGGAATTTTGCTCAAGCTACAGACGGCATATAAACTTCGCACGCTATCCCTCCATGAACTCAGCGCGGACAAATCCGCCATCGAAGAGGAGCTAGAAGAAGCATCAACCCGGGCAACATGTCTGCGGACGCAACTTGAGGATATGGCTTCAAGAGTTTCAGAGCAAGATGCCAAGGTTGCTGATTTAACAGCACAACTCGAGAGAGAAAAACAGGCCAGGACAGCGGAGAAAGAAGCAAGGGAAAAATCAATTGCGCTGATCCAAGCGAGTGCAAGAGATTCAAGAAGCTACAATGAGGTGCCCGACATTTTGAGCGAGGATCTTGGCATATCAAACGCGCATGGGAAACAGAAGAAATGGCGAGGTAAGAATGACCCGATCCTATATATCTCCGTTTCTAGCATTCAAGAGTTACAAGAGAGATTTCTGGAGCTCCTAACCCAGATTTCTAAGATTGTCTCAAAGCTCTTGAACATTATCAGTACTCCTCCTTCCGGACAAAGCTAACTCGTTTTCTTTACAGGCTCAGCTGATCTCAGCACCGAAGGCGATTCAGACACCGAATCCGAATCTGTATTCTCACGTTCCCGCTCGCCAACTTTTACGACCGCCTCGGTTTCGACTATGGCGAGCACCCCTGAATTGGGACAGGCTGAGTTTACACGTACGGTTTCGAATACAAATCCGCCTTCACAGCGACCAAGACTATCTTTGCAACAAAAGAGCACATTCCAGAAGTTTTTACAGGGCATTACACCAGCTGTTGTTGAGGAGGATGATAAGTTTGGTGGCATTGGAATGGGAGTCGATGGATGCACGAATTGCCGGGGCAAAGATGCAAGTGTTGCTTGGGATACTGTCGGTTTACTACGCGCGGAGAACAAAGGTTTGAAAGAACAAGTAGGGATATTAGAAGGTGGGGTCGATGGTGCTCTGGCGTTTTGCTACACAATGTCTCATTCTGAGTGAATGATTGATACCCGAATGATTTATACAGGTGACGGCGTTTCAGACTGGGAATGCATTGTGGTACAGCTAGGATCGATTCCAGCATGGCGCAAGCGACCATCCAGATAGAATAGATATGGATTAGTGGTTACACACAGTTTGCAGAAGCCTTTTTGGTTAGAATACATTTTCAACAATCAATTCCTACTCCTGCTGTGTTGAGTGTTCCATCCAGACCTCAGCTATAATGTGCGGCCAATTTGAATCTGCTACTTAAGAGCCCATCTTGACCAACGCGGGATGCTGGGTTACTTTGTTTACTTTGAGGTATATATAGGTGGGGTAACTACAGTAGCGTAACTACAGTAGCGTATGGCTACGGGTGGCGCTTTCAAGCTTAATTCAGGGGCGACTGGAAGCGAGCTCTCAGGGGCTCGCCTCGCCTCGCCCCGCTAGTCTATTGCAAAACATCCAACACATTATTCAAAAGAGACGGTTCAGCAAGGTGCTATTATCTATGCAGTGGGTTTTCAAACCCGAACAAAGAATCCCAGGGTCATAGCTAATTACTACTTGCACTATAAATATAAAATAAAAACCCATCTTACTCGTATTCAGGCTAAGCGGGCAGCCTAGCGTGACGACGCCACCTGCCATATTCGACACGCCAAGCAGCCTTCTTTTCGTCCCTCACCTCAACACCACAGTTTCCTCTTGACATATCACGTTATTCGTCGATATGCACGGTCCCGAGGTATCCGTGCCAACGTTTCCGTGCGTCTTTGACAGGCACCGAGATGCATTTTAAGCAAATACCCAAGGACAACACATTGCTATCACTTTTAGAAGCGGAGTTGTAGCCAATGACAATTCTCCGAGAGTTATATCACATTTTCTCCGCATTTAGGGCAATCAATCCCTCCCTTTCTTATCTACCAACTTTGCAAGGGAGCTCCGCATGCCGATATTCACCCCATGCGTGTTGCTTTTAATAAGCCCGCCTTGCTTATCCATATTAAGCAGGTGTACCTGCAACTGCTTTAATTTCTGGGGCGATACATGAAGCTAGGAGATCGACAACATACATAAACACACCCATCCCATGCCACTGGGATCTTTTCCAGGTCTAGATTTCCTTCTTGCAAAGTCACCATGTTGCACGCCTTCACCACTCTCCTCCTGGCCACTTTGGTCTCAGGGTCATGCAATGCAGATAATTGTCTTCGCGCCATGAGAGCAACTCAGACACCAGGTCGTCTCGAGGCTGCTCAATCGTTCTGTGCTACTTTCACCCAGAGCTCCGTGGCTGCTACGGCTATTCCGACGTATGCCGCTGAGGCTTGCACGCTAGATCAAAATGGGAACCAAACATTGAGGATTTCGAGCGCCTGTAGCTGCATTGCGGCATCTACAACATCAGTCACTAGTACGTCTAGTGCTTCGAGTACTTCTAGTGTAATTGGAGGCGCGTGTGCAACTGTGAGTAGTCTAGCCGCTGCCCAAAGAGCTGTTTCTCCAGCTGGTATGTTTCTGTTCCATGAAATGAAATTCGACGAGGTTGACAAAATTAGCAACCCCAACTGTCGCAGCATCATTGGCATATGACTGCCTAAATTCAGTTCCGTTACATAAAGACGCAGCTCTTGCTTTGGTGGACTCTATGGAACCGTATCTGGAATGGCAGTCAGACTCTGCATACAAAAAAGATCCCCCGCCAAATTACTTTTACCCCCCTATTGATATTTTCGGGTACCTTGCTTCAGTAAAGGCAAATCTGGAAAATGATGTCTATCCCAACGAATATGAGTTTCAGGCCGATTTATACAACGTATTTGCAAAGGCTCATGACGGACATTTTGTTTTCTACCCTGATGCCCTTACCGAAGCTATTGAATGGGGCAGACAACGATCTCTAATTTCAATCAGCGTGGATACATTTTCGATTCCTCAGATTTATCTCTATGGTTCGTAATCATGACACCTCAAATCCGATCAAATTGCTAAATACTACTGCAGAGGACGCGACTTCTTGTCCAGACACTGCTTCTGTTGTTGTTCAAATCAACGGCATCGATGCTGCCACTTATGTAGCCGATTTTGCTTACACCGCTTCGTTCAATCAAGACGCTGATGCCGCTTATAATACCATGTTCTTCGAAAAAGCCTTTGTTGCAGGTGCTATTTCTAAGGGCTACTTTTCGGGTGGAGGCCGAATGAGGTAGGTTTAAGAACTCTTCCTCCAGTTTGTCCCGATCCTTGACTAAACATAATCAGGTACATCTATCCTGGTCCAAATACCACATTTACCTTTGAGAATGGAACTGTTCTCACTCTAGAGAACGTCGGAAAGGTGAAAGGAGATTTCACTGGGGTTACTGATGGTCCAAGTTTCTACACCAAGTTCTGTTCGGGTTCAAACAGCGAAGATGGAGCAGCCGATGCCCTCAGTGCTACCGATGCTGCTGATGTGGTTGACCCTGGATACCCAACTCCCATTGATATCACAGGTGATGGAATTGTCTCTGGATATTACCTGGATGGAATAGGATTCGAAGATGTCGCTGTGATCAGTCTTTTAGCTTTCGAGTCAGAGTCACCGCTTGAGTTTCAACAGACTGCACAGAAGTTCTTCGCCGATGCCATCAAGGCTGGAAAGACCAAGCTTGTGATCGACCTGAGTGCGAATGGTGGAGGCTATATTCTTCAAGGATACGACCTTTTCCGGCAATTGTTCCCACAGATTACTCAAGATGGGTTCTCGCGGCTTCGGGAAAGTGATAGCTTACTTGCAATTTCCAAAATCTACTCTGATTCTATTCCGTCCGACTACGATCCAAACACTGCATCTGCCGAAACCATTTCCCTTTACGAAAGCTTTTTTAACTACCGATATGATCTCAACTTGCTTGATCAGCCATTCCAGTCTTTCAATGAAAAGTTCGCTGCGCATGTGTTCAAGTCAGACATCTTTACCGATATTCTAAGATGGAACCTAGATGATCCTCTTACTACAAGCAACGAAACCTTTGGATTAGGCATGGATATCACTGGTTATGGAAGCCGCAAGAACTTCACGCAGCCTTTCGAATCCGATAATATGATTATGTTGATGGATGGATATTGTGCGTCGACGTGTACTCTATTCGCCGAGATGATGCGTTTACAAGGGAATGTCAAGACGATTGCAATGGGTGGCCGACCACAGGTTGGTGGTATTCAAGGAGTGGGTGGTATCAAGGGAGCTCAAATCTTGGGCTGGGGAGACATATACGCCAATGCTCAAGAGGCTTTGTCTATAGGAATTGCGACGCCCCAGGAAACAACAGCACTACAGCGCTTCTCAGATCTACCCGTCAACCGAAGTTCGAGCAGCGGAATCAACATCAGAGACCAGATCTTGCGGGGGAATCTGAATGACGGTGTGCCGGCACAATTTGTTACTGAGGTGGCAGATTGCAGGTTGTACTATACACTGCCTATGATCACCAACGTAACGGAGCTTTGGAAGAGTGCTGCGAGCGCTGCGTTTAACGGTGGGAGCTGTGCTTCTGGAAGCTTGCCGAAGAGAGAAGCTGGTATGGGTATGGGGACTAAGAGGTCTGTGGTTTCGCAGCCCGCTGCACGACATGTGGTCAAGAAGGAGATTAATAAAGATGCACGGTGGAGCTTGAGACATGGTAGGAAAGTCATCGCGTAGACGAAAGGGTCAATGCAAAAACTTCATTTAGCTGCGACGTCGGAGGTAATACACGGAGTAGTAAGGCGAATAGATGGAGGGTGCAAAAGTTTTAGAATATCCCACATACTAATAATTTGTTTGATCAAAGGCTTGGAACTGCAGAACAAATATACTATCATTATAAGACAAGTTCCATTTTGTACCCGATTAATAGCTTGCTTCGAAACAGAATATTGAATTGCTATATTTCAATCTACATATCTATTTATACTGTAAAAGCCCCCCCCTTAAAAAACGCACGCTCAAATCCTCTTCCCTATCATCGTAGCACAAGTACACTCCCCATTAGTCATGCACCGTGCGACCTCACCCGCAAGCGGACAAGTCCCACAATCCTGATCAGTCTTACAAGTCGTCGCCGCTGTACTGCTTGTAGCGGCAGCTGAAGACGTTTTGATTTCTGAACTTGTGGTTCTGGTGCTGGTGCTCGTTGGCACGCTGATGGTCTTCGGACAGGAGTTTCCGGCGCTCCGGAGGGCGTTATAGTTGTTGTGTAGGTTCCTACGTTGCATGTGCATATCCCGTCGCCGTCTTCCAGGCTTGGGTTGGTGCAGTAGAGAGATGTGGTTGGCTTGGGAGCTGTACTTGTTTTGGATGTGGAGGTTGCTGAAGATGCAGATGAAGATGATCGCGTTGAGGAAGCCGAGGATCGCGTGCTTGTGATGAGTGTTGAACTTGTGCTTGACATTGAAGATGATCGAGTTTGAGAGCTAGATACGGAGGATCTCGTGCTTGTGCTTGATATTGAAGATGATAAAGTTTTAGAGCTAGATACGGAGGATCTCGTGCTTGTGCTAAGTTTTGAACCTGTACTAGACACTGTGGATGAACCGGAGGCTGAGGTCGTGCCGTTGGAGCCACTAGCAAATTTGCAGCCTGCTGTAGGTATCGGCAGAGTGAACTTTGACGGCATGCATGCCAAAATTGTTTGGAACGCTTCAATTTTCAAGGCCATTGCAGTAGCATCGGCATCGCTCTCGTCGGCCAAGTAGTACGGCACTGCTGTTGACCCAGGCGGTATAGACGACGTACTAGCCGAGACTGTTGTCGTGGCCGTCTTCCCGGTTCCACTGCAGCCAGAGACGGTAGATGTTGAGCAACTCGTCTTTGTGATCGTAGCAACGGCAGAACTGCTCGTATCTCCAGATACGAAGGACGTTGAGAGAGAAATCGTTTGAGTGCACACCGGGAATTCCGTGCTGCCAGAACACGAGGAAGATGAAGACGAGGTCGCGGAAGTCCTGGATGACGAGCCCTCTGTGGAAGATGGATCGTTTTCTTCTTCTTTCTGTAGATCCTTGGCAATCTCTGCCAGAGTGTCTGTTAGGTTTTCAATCTCCGTGAGATCCACCACTTTCGCATTGACGCCGTCTACCAAATTGTTCACCACATCCTTCGCACAGGTAAGCAGCTTTCCAACATCGTTGATAGCACCGCTGATTGCGTTGCCAATACTAGATATAATACTCCTGTCATGGAGTATCGCTCGAAGTTGCCTCTCTGACAATGTATGCCCATTTCTCTTTCTTTTTGTGTTTGTACAGTCCGGCATATCAGGAGGTTTAACATCCAGGTCATCAAGTAACGCAAGAGTTTCGTCTTTAGTCTTCTGAACATCGTCCAGGTATTGAGATCTTAACTTATCATCCGTAAGCCATTTTCGATTAGATTGGAGTGCAAAGAATAAGCCTCCAAGGAATACAGCTTCAGATGTTTCTGCGGCGTCGGAGATCGTAGTCGTTGGAATATTAAACCATGTGAAAGATACAGGTGATATGGTTGAGTCTTCGCCACTCCATGTATTACTAAAAGTAACAGGAACCGTTGATGTTGGACTTCCCGACGAATCCGAGGAACTTCTCGAGCTCGTGGTTGAAAATGGTAGAACGCCGCTTCCAGGTAACGAGGCTGAGGATACGGATGACGCCTTGCTACTTGCGCTTGATGCTGTGGTGGTAGAGTTTGAGCTCAATGTTGAGGATGAGGATGATGATGATGCCTTTCCATTGGAGCTAATTTTGCTGGATCCAGTCACCGTGGAGCTTGTGGTCGATACAGTCCCTGTGAGTTTAGAACTTCTAGAGCTCTCAGAACTACTGGAACTGGAAGTGCGTGTCACAGAGATGGTCGAGTTGAAGCTGGATGAGGCTGACCTGGTATTCGTAGAGGATTTCGTAATAGGTGCACTCCCGGATAAACTGGACAATATCCCAGGTGTACTTGACGACGAGCGGGAGGAAGTACTCGTAGACGAGTTGGACAAAGTAAACCGAGGCAATGTCACACCCTGAGAAGATGAGCTTGAAGTGATACTTGAAGAATTTGTAGATTTATCCTGTCTAAAAACCAAAGCATTCGATAGTGCCAAGAGGCTGAGAAACGCTATGACTTTAGCCATTTTGAACAAGAGATGGAGGAGTGACAGAAACGGAGTAAACAGGAGGCAAGAGCTAGGTAGGCAAGGGAGACGAACTGCTCAGATAAGAGGACAGACATCTGTATAGGAATAAGACTAAGCGGTGATCTGACAAAGTAGGAAGATTTATTTATGGAAACATCATCGCAGGAACATTTGTTCTGCGGCGCAATGATAGAAATATAACACCAGAAACAATTAGTAAATACATGATGTAGTCATAAAAAATCAGAAGAAGGATGCGGCGGTGGATAGTACAAGTAAGCTGGCAGTCGTCAGCCATTAGTCATCAGCCATCCTTTAACAATGCCAAGGTTGTCTTTACGTCCGTTACTCGTAAGACTTGTGGGAAATTCCTAAGGAATGGTCACCTGAGATGCTGGCTTTCATTTGAATTTAAAGTATACAGGTCTTTACAACTTAGCATGCATGAATAGACCAAATATATGAATAGCTCACTCGGATTTAAACGTTCAGGACTGCAAGGCTAAGTCAAACCCAAAGTAAGACTTCTTAGTTTAGGGGACTGATATCCACGTAAGTATTCTTAAATTCCGGAATCAATCAGGGATTAAATTCAATACTGAATCCAAGGGTGCTAATACCTCTCGGTTAGCTTTAAGAATCCTGTATCTTTCCTACTGGGTACATCGTACTTCGAATTATCCCCGAATGATACCGCCTATGGAGCCGCCAAGCGCTAAGCCTAAGTAAGGCGCTCAAAGGATCCATGCTCACGTCACATTATTTGTCGTGTTGGCCCACTCAGCCTAGCACATTATAAATTGGTGCCTCTTTTTCTATCCACCGCAATAATCGCGGTTTCAGATTCCCTGGGTAAGAGGGGCTGTGGGTTGTTTGAGTAGGAATATATCAGCCCCCAAAGCTGTCTTTGTACTTCGTTACAGGCGTGACTATTGCGCCAAGAATTCTATAGCAGGGGGGTACAGAACAGTGGTAAACGCACCAAAGCTAGGCCCCCTTGCCCTGGTCTTCTTGGTGCAATAGTTACGCCTGTAACGAAGTAAGAATCCTATTTGAAAAGGAATATGTACGAAATATAGTTACTTCCTATTATTAGTTCCAGTCCCATATCTTCTGCTTTCAGGATGCTTTAGGTTCGCACGTAATATAAGGATCGTGGCACATGCAGAGACTCTCGCCGCAAAAGTGTCATAGGATTAAGTTCTCGAAATAACCTAATATAATATCCGCTGGTTTGTATATTTTATCTACTGGCTGGTTTCTCTTTTGCTCTAGCAATATTATTATTGAGACCGCCCTCTTTCTTCTGGTTTTCTACCCCATTCTCTAGCTCTCTTTACAATGGGGAGCCTTGGCGGAATCTCGGTTGTACTTTTAATCTGGAGTCTTTTACTGGATCAAACTTTGGCTGGCTTTACTTATGATACCGATTCATGTGGATCAGATGCAGCAGTACGCGGTGCAGCATGGCTGAAAGACGTTACAACTATGGCCAGCACAGCAAGAGAGCTGCTAAATGGTGCTCTCGAGCAGAGCGCTACACCTTGGGATGGTTATAGAACTGTAACGTTAATCGAGACGTTCTTTGACATGGAAAGCGAACAAATTGGTGGATGGATGGATACAGTCGGAGGTTAGTAGATATCATACAGACCAAAAAGACGGACTGCTAATAATCATTCCAGACAATTTGGATACGATGGCCGGCATTGCTTCTGCTTCTGAGCAAATCTTCGTTGCGTGTGACGATGCCGCTTTCTATGCAGATTCAGAGGATAAGAAAACTAGAATCTTCAGTAAGTAATACAGTACTTATACATTCGCGATTATCTTAGGCTCACAACATCAAGCAAATCCTGTTACGAAGAAACAAACTAGTTATTCATCGGACGAGCTGCTTTGTGCAGACCCACACACACTAGCTAATGGACAGAAAGTCTACCAAGCTGGCTACCATACGCAAGACGACAACGTCCACTTTGTTATATTCTGCACGAAACAGCAAACTGGAAATACCCCAGAAACGCTGGACAATCTGTTTTTTACGGAGGGAAACAGGTTAGATAGGAAGAACACCTTTTCGACGAATTTTTTCCATGAACTGTGCCACGTAGCAATTAATACAAGTAAATTGACCCCCAAAACTACATCATGCCAGTTATTTATACGCTAACAAATTTATAGTGAAAGGAGACGACGCTGGTGGGGAGGGGAAAGATGGAGAGCGGTATGGATTCACGGATTCGGTTGGATTGCGGGAAACATATCCAGATAAAAATCCCGACACTTTAATGTTATTCGCACAAGCACTTCAGCTGAGTGACTGGTTTTGGGATACGGGACTTGCAGAGAGCCCTAAAACTAGATGGAATAAATTGCAAGGAACTGAGGAAGGAAAAGCAATGATCGAAAATGAGGGGCTGACGGAGCCTGCGTAGTTACTTTTTATTAAGAGCTTCTAGCATATTCATAGTTGTACGTGATTTTGTATAGATTATATCATAAACAGTGATGTGAGGGTTCTTTAATTGATAACTAATACTAATATACCTCACTTTCAAGTTCATCCGTGCTTTGCGAAGTCCGTCAATTAGAACCTCTTCTCTGTACACTTGAAGATACGTAACTCTGCTATGATAATGAAGTAAGACGGGATAATATATTATCCAATCACACCATACCTCGTGTAATCCCGAAGGACGGTAATGTGCGGTAGCATAGCCATAGTGGCTTTGTTATACGCGTATAATGTACGTAGCATATCGGATCGGTTAAAATTCCAATCCTGGATATTTACTCCGTATCCCGAGCCTTTCGAAATTCAGTCTTATTATTATTGTTGGAATATGGGGATTTCATCCCCAACTTTCTAGGTATATGACTTAGCGTAGCTTAGTACGAGTAAGCGAAAAGGTTATCACCACTTCGCTTCCCCCCATATCCAGTTAGAATGACATGCAACATCAACCAGAACCATGACCACCTTATACTAGCTAATACGAAGTGATCACACCTGTTACCTATGATACCAACAATTACTCAAATTAGGGAACTTTTTACATAACTCTCGGGACTTCAATTGCAGTTAATCAACCAAGCTAGTGATTTCTTCCTATCAATATCCTCCTCGAGCCGCTTCACTTGGCGGCAAAACCTTTACCTGTACCTTGTCCTCCCCAATTCCCCTTTTCTTCGCCTCCTCAAGAATAGCTTCTGTCGCCGTGGCCCCTACCCTCGTAACGCCTAAAGCCCTAACCCTCAGCAAGTCGTCCAGCGTCCGCACCCCACCAGCAGCCTTAATCTGCACTCCCTCCTTTGCATTTTCTCTCATCAGCTTCAGATGTGGTAAAGTGGCCCCTTTGTAATTATATGATCCATCCTGTTGCTTCACGAATCCATACCCTGTACTCGTCTTTACAAAGGCGACTCCAGCTTCATTACAGATCTCGCAGAGCTTCACAATGTCTATTTCCTTTAGGTAGTCATTCTCAAAAATGACTTTCAGAATCGCCCCCTCCGCGATGACCGCTTCGTTAATAGCCTTGATTTCCAATTCCACGTACGACCAATCCCCACCTAACGCTTTGCCGATGTTGATCACCATGTCGATTTCCTTTCCACCTGCCTGGGCAGCCTTTGTTGCTTCGAAAACTTTGACTTCCGTCGTGCTGTTGCCAGCAGGGAATCCGATGACAGGACATACAGCAACCCCAGTTCCTTTGAGTGCAGCAAGTGCTTGTGGGATAGAGTAAGGCTTTACGCAGGCGGTGGCAACTTTGTATTTTGCAGCGATTGCGAGGCCGGCTGCAATTTCGCTGTCCGTCATTGTTGGGTGCAGGAGCGAATGGTCGATCATTTTGGCCAGGTCGGAGAGCGAAACAGATATAGTGGAGGGGAATGTGATCGAGGACGCCATTTTGAGGGATATGTTCAGAAATGTATAGAGAAATCACTTTGAAGTTGATGGATGCAACGGATACTTGAACTATATCCTTTCGTGGTTTATATAAGTCTGTCGAGTAAATAACATGAACCCATATACAGGCCACAGGTCCTCAAATCAAGGAATTGATGGCATAATTTGTTTCTGGCTCCGTCGGAACCGAAAATATTCAACCCTTAATCGTGTCACCTTACCCTGTATGAGTGGCATTCTAGGTCATCTGTTGCACTTTGTTGCGTGTTGTACTCTGAATAGTGGCACTACCTCCGGTAGTGTGAGGGGAACGCTTGGACAACCATCCTATAGGGATACGAATAACACTCCGGCGGCTACATTAGTGGGGCATTTCTTAGCTCATCCGCCGGAACCGAACATTGCCTGGTCTATATGCGATCCGCCGGCGCCGGAATAGTACTCCATATACGAAATTGTTAGGACAAGGTCAAATTTGTAGCAAGAAGTGCGCTTGATTGGCTTTATATGGTCATTAATCAGGATCTTAGGTACGAATGTATGAATAACCAAGCAAAACTAGGTATACATGCTTTAGCGGAAATATGTACCACGTATGAGACTAGGAACTGTGGAGTTGTAACGATAGTTATGTGAAGGATAAATTGTGACAATCGGGTGAACTGAACATGGGGTTGGAGGTCAAGTATGTGGGGGTTTGCAAATTGTGTTGGGTTTTTATTATTGGACTTCTCATCATATTACTTTATTTCTCCAATTCAATTCCTTGCTATTTTTTGCATTCAGTCTCAAAGTATGCATCCAGTCACCATCGACGGGGAGAATCTCATCCCAGGTGGCAAGTCACAAGAATCAACTATTCCATTAACCTGCAAAGCAGGAGTCGTCTCCAACAATGGCCCTAACTACAAGTTAACCATCGAAGATGTTCAAGTCCCAACCCCTGGTATATACATACCTCCCATATCTTCCCTTTTCTTTCTGTGATCGAATTTCTCTAATCATGATTCATGACGTTTCTCAGGCCCCAACGAACTGCTGATTCGCCTCAACACTACCGGTATTTGCTACAGCGATATCCATTACATGCTCGAAGACCTAGCCTTGCCTCGAATGCGCGACTATGGCGTTCGGTCTCCAGGCCACGAAGGCGCGGGCGTTGTAGTCGCGCTTGGAGCGAACGTTACAAACTGGAAGACCGGGGATCGAGCAGGCATTAAACCAACTTGGGATACCTGTGGAAAGTGTGATCTCTGCTGGGGAGACATGGAATGCCACTGTAAAGGAGTTATACCGACGGGATTGAAGGTTCCTGGTAGATTCTCCATCCAAGCTTTTTAGAGGAACTTATCAACAGTATATCATTAGTCCCGCACGATACACATCACCTATTCCAGATGCCGTAGACGACTTCTCTGCGGGTCCTATCATGTGCAGTGGCTCGACAATGTACCGATCAGTTTGTTTCTCCATCTTTCTCTTGAGGCAGAGCCGTACTAACCTTTTGCAGCTCAAAGTCTCCGCGTTACAACCCGGCGACTTTGCAGTCTTTACAGGTGCCGGAGGCGGAGTCGGGCATATTGGAATTCAACTTGCGAATGCAATGGGCTTGCGCGTCATAGGCATCGACACTGGAGCCGAAAAGCGCGCTTTATGCCTTGCTCTAGGCTGCGAAGCGTTTATCGATTTTTCCTCGTCTGTATCTGTTATCGACGAGGTCTTTGCTTTGACACATGGACTAGGTGCGCATGGGGTGTTTGTCACGGCAACTTCGAGCAAAGCTTATGCGGATGCGCCAAAGATGTGCAGGGTTGGTGGAAAGGTAATGTGTGTAGGGATGCCACCGACGGGTACGGCGTTTGTAGGGGGCGAACCGATGGAGATGATATTGAGAGGATTAAGTGTGGTGGGGACGTTGACTGGCAGTCTCAAAGACACAAACAGCACGCTGGAATTCGCAGCAAGAGGCTTGTTAAAACCTATTGTCGAGAAGTGTGGCTTAGGTAATCTACCACAGGCAGTAGAGAAGCTGAGAGCTAGGAAAGTCGGAGGGAGGATCGTGGTTAATTTTAATGCCTAGTATTAGATAGACGTTAGATATATCAATCATTCTAGGCTTGTGATTGCATGGTATATTATTTTAAATTAACTTACACGCGTTACAAGGTGCTACCAGGAGGCGGATTGTTGGACATGCCAAGGGAATTCCACATCCAGTACAGCCCACCTGAATTGTCTCCAGAGTGATTCATTTGGTCCCATCCCGTACCCGTCATTCCTATATCCGTAGTATCGCTCATCCATGACTCCATGCCCACAAATTGCTGAGCAGAGGCTCGCTGTGCATACTCATCGCTGTAACCGTCATTAGTGTTGATATTAGGAAGAACTAAACAGATAATAATCAGCATTTCAGTCCATCCTTTCTTTTTGAGAGACCAACCTCGTTGAACATAGGCAAGACTGTCATTGAGCCTGTACAGCTGATCGTTCGTAGCTTGATCCTCAGCTTGCAGCTCAAAGCCATTCATCGATTGTCTAGGATGCATGTTCAAAGGCAATCTCAAGGTGTCTTCCACGGACATATTATGCGCTCCTTGACCTAACGTGGGCGTGCTTACCGACGGCTCCTGCCCTGTCATTGTGCGAGTGGTAGGGCGTAGCATAGCCTCTGCCTCACGAGCTAGAAGTAGCTTTATTACATCTTGAAGGACAAAACCGCTCTGCATTGAGAGTTGCGACCTTTGCCCAAAGAGGACTTGCAAGCGATAAATTTTGGTAATGTTACGCTTTGCCTCTTGCGCCCTGTTTGATAAGGGATCAGAGAGAGCACAAATCACCATGACTATTGCTGAATGAAATAGATTGATGGCGAGAAATGCCACGAGATGGCTATCGGTGGCGAGTTGAGCAAGTTGTGGGAGCTCGGTGACTTGCGAGGTCCGCACAGCTGCACTCCACCACTGCTCCGCCTGTGAAGATTCAGGATCCTGCAGCGCATGGATTGTACACCCCGAATCCGAGAGTGTCTTATCTGGCGTCTGGCCGGTTGAACGCTGGGTTTCAGAGGGACTTCCTTTAGATAGTTGATCCACTTGCTGTGCTAGCACTGGTCTGTAAAGAATGATGATGATATTGTCAAATGTAAGCTGCAGAGCGAGGGCCTGCAGCCGATGAGCTTTTGTCGCTGATGAGGTATTCCTTGGAATATCAGTATCGAAATTGCAGATTAAGTATTCGGGTAGGCGTAGTCTCCATTCCCTCAATCGATGAATGATATTTCGAGCCAGCACAGAATATTGACTACCAGCTGTATGGCCAGCAAACCTCGCCGAGCGTATTCCAAAGATTGTCTCAATCATCGGAGACGCAATCATGTACAAAGTACTTACCTCCCGCTGGTAAGTTGAGTAGCAGATTGAATTATCATCTTGGGTCGAATTACCAGTCCGGAAGGTTGGTCTCTCGTCAAATTTGGAAGGCATAGTCACATTGCAGTCCTCGTCGGTTATACTCAGGGGTTTCCCATAAGTTATTGAAGCAAATCTAGTAGCATAAGCACGTGCGTGTATCTCAACGAGGAATCTGCAGACCTATCCCAAACATATATCGTCCACCAAACTCGTTTCCTCTCCTCGATATCATTGAAGGTCCCGCGATCGGATCCTCGATGTAGACCGATGGCTTGGCTTGCTTTGATCATTGCTCCTAAGAGTGAAAGGGATAAATTTGGTCTTCCATGATAGACGTAGAAAGTTCCCAAGAGAATGCATGTCTGAATGGACGCGAGACTACTTCGGTCCATTAAGTCTAACATCTGTGATTCGACATGCTGAAATAGGGTAGACTTCCACATATCCCAGTACTCTTTAGTCTGAAGAGGCTCATCTTTGCAATTCCTCTGAGACCGGTACCAACTTGCCAGCCCCATCACAATAGAGAGGAGTATCAAGAAACCTTTCTGCGATGGACTAGCATAGCCATCCTTGATGGAGTCGAACTGAAGCCGGAACTTGGGCTCCATAATTACCAGGGAGAAAAAATGGACGGACGCAAAGTACTCTTCCAGGAGGACCACCATGATATCTAGAGCCGGGAGTTTCCAGCCTAGAATGACTTCTATTGGCTGGCGATCTCGCATGTGTGGGCTTTGGAACAAAGTCTCTGGCCCTGAGGAGCCATCTGGAATTGCAGATGTGCTATGTTGATCGATTTTATGGTCACCCAGAAGAAATATCTAGCAAAACAACCGTGGTCAGACTCACCGCGCGATTTTAATGAGGATGGTCAAATACCTTTCGTGCAATTCCCATCGTTGAATCTGCTTCTGTGTATTTGATTGCATTTCCATCATTCAACAACTGCTTGTCTGGGCCGGCTATGTCGTTATAGGGATTACGTACTTCTGCTTCTCCAGCTTTCACAGCACGCGCCCCAGTTCTGCTAGGACTATTTGTCTGAGAGCGCTGTCCGGTAGATAATTTTCGCCGCCTGCTTAATATTAGGACATTATACGGAGCAAACCGGGAAAGTATGCAAGATATTACACACTTATTAGAAAGGTGATTCGGTTTTACGACTGGAACTGATATGCATTCCGCATTACCTCGCAAGCACAGGGAGCATGGCCTGAAAGCATCGCACTGCTTATGTCTCAGCCTATTTCCTATACCCGTTCAAATTCGGCTCGCAAACTCACTCTGCTCCTATTTCGGCGACATCTCTGGCAGGCATTATTGACCCGTACCGGGAGAGCAGGGGTCGAATGCTGGCCAGCATTTAGAGGAGGCATAACATTATTGGGCCAGCCCTGCTCCTCGGGCATATTCAAGTGCCGGATTATCGAGTCTGATTATCTTATGGGAACTCATAGGACCTAAATAGTCTTACGTGTGCGGCGGGTGATTAAAATCCCATTTACGGTAGGAGAAAGTGAGCAAGTGGTGTCAGCAGCCTTAGGCCGAATTTAATATAGTGTCACGAGATAATGTCACGTGTGCAGATCACGGGATCCCCCCCCTGAATTCACATAGAGAGCCAGGAACAACTTATGAGGTGAGTTCAACCGAAGGGCTATGTCAGTACAAGATATATTAACTGGCTAGTATAATAAGGGCTTTCGGATATCAAAACTAGCACAGCACATTCTCCAACTTAACCTGACCAAACCAACAGCTCTGTTGGTTCTTAAGCTGTCATAGTATCCCTTCCTCTGCCCGCGCCTACCATAAAAACCACGGCAGATATGACGGTGCCTTTTGACTACCAGAAAAGCTTTGTCGACGGTATGGAGAAGAACGGTCGTCCGGTTCGGACTTTTGAGCTAGCTACTGGGCATTGCCCTAATCTGACTGCTACTGAAGGTGTTGTTGAAGCTGTCACGAGTATCATAAAGGGCTAATTATCAGGTCAAGACATGGTTTTTTTAAGGGAGGTCTCAGATAAGCAAGCAATGGAGAAACGGCTTCCTCTCTGATAACTGAAGTCATTCTACAATTCATTCGTCCTAGTATTAACGCCGTAAAGTACATTATTGAAAGAACGGCGAATCTACCCCTTGAACCCTCAAATACACAAGCATTGTTTCCTACCCATGCCTATCCTATCCTATCCTAACCGATCCATCGCCCTGGGACCATCATTCTTATTTGTCCCTCGCTTCATAAATCGCCGTCGTCAAAGCTCCATGTCCCCACCTCTCTGCCCCACCCTCATCGGCCTCATCACACTGACTCGGCTGACTAGCTTGCAACACCTTCTGCATCTCTTCAATATCCCTAATCGTCTCATTAAACGCATCCACCAGCGCACCAGCAACCTTATTCCGATTCCACTCCCCTCGCTGCGCCCACAACGTCTCCATTAATTCGCGATTCAACTGCTCCAGTTGCTCAATGCTACAGCCACTACTTCCGTCAACGAGTCGACGCAACAAGTCCTCGAGAAAGTATTGGTCGAGAATGGCGTCTTTCTGAGACGAGAGCTGGGAGGATGTCGGCTCGACAGGTGAGTCGTTGAGGATGTTCGCTATGCTGCCTGCGGGCTTGGATTTTGATGGTGAATCCCGAGGAACAGGAGGGTTGAAGGAAGGTATGGCAGGATTTTGGGAAGGTTGGGAGGACGAGCTTGGGGTCTGAGAATGGTACGCTTGGATAGTGCCGCGGACAAGGCCGTGAGCTTGGGAATGTGGCCATTGCTCATCGCTGCTCGGGTTGGAAGTACCCTGCTGGCTTTGGCGCGCGGATGTGCCCTGTTGTGTATCTGGCAGTTGCTGGGAGTCCGCACTAGCTTTGTCTTCACCGCTTGAGGCTTGCCCGTGACCGACACCATTGGTGGCTTGGGTGCTCCATCCATCTGATGTCTTCTTACCGGAAGTTGTCGTAGATGCATCGTTGATCAAGGCACTTGGTGAAGTACCCGGTGGGATCTCCTGGAGAGCCGAGCGCTGAGAAATCTGGGAAACTGGCGTTTGGTTGAATGGTGCACTTGTCATGCTACGAATTGCACTGGGGGGGTGCATGGCCTGTGTATTCTCATTCGTCTGTTGAGTGTGTTCGTCAGTTCCACCCATCTGAACGTCGTTGTCGCTTCGAGAAGGTACATAAGTCCCATTGGTTGCAGAGTGACCGTTGGACAAGGCGCTTGGGATGTTGATAGAAATTCCCAAGGGTGGTCGTCTACCAGGTACAGGTTCACCCAATGTGAGTGGCCCTGATTGAGAGGCAGGAATCAAACCATCGGCAGGAAGATCAGACTCGACAGTATTTCCGAGGTCGGCTTCCGCGGCCTTCCTCTTTCTGTGCCTCTCTTCCTTATCTTTCACTCTCTGCAGCTGTCGTTGATACAAAGCCTCACAATCGGCAAAGACTGGTTGCGCCTCGATACCAAGAATATCAACCTCAACGTTGGCAACAAGCTCGTTAGCTTTGAGAATTCGGTCCCTGTCGCCAACGTGCCTAGAATCTTTGGCCAGAGATCTGATATCAGCAAGGAAATCCTTCGGCCGGGCGTAAAAGCCATTTGAAAGTCGCTCCTCGATGGTTGTGGTATCCAAATTGTAATAAAACTTGCCAGTACTAGTCTCACGTAACCCTTTGACACCGTCCTTGTCCGTATCAAATTCAAACGGCCGAAATTGTGCGATGTCGGGGCGCACAAAGTCGGGATTAGACTCATCGATGAGATACTGAATTACCGGTTGCTGAATAGGAGCTTGCCTGAATTTTCTGTACTTCTTCTGAATCTGATCCATGACGGGTTGTATTTGAACTTTCAGGAAATTAAGTGTCATATGGTCTCTTGTCTTCTGGGCTTTGATCTCTTCTTTGGTAGGTGGCTTAGGAGGGGGCGGTGGCGCAATTTCTAGCACTTCAAGCTTCCGCTTCTTACGATTCAAGGGTTCTGGATATTCCTTTGGCGTTTTCTGGACATACTGAATGATGGTAGAGAAGAATTCCTCACGATGTCGCTGAGAAATGTTAGCAAGTATACAAGAATCTTGTGCGACAAGCTTACCTTAGCTGGACGATCAATAGTGAAGCGATTTTTCTTGCTGAATCCAAACAGATCTCGAAGCATATGCGGATCGACTTGGTTAGGCGGAGAATCAGTAATACCAAGCACAAGCACCGGATCGGTAGGAGGGATAGCCCTAAGCAGACCAAGAAACGTGGTAATTTGAGCATCGGTCAGAGTATGATACCAGGTATCAATACCAGGTATATAAATCACACTCGGCTTGTGTCGTTTCACCTCAGCAAATAATTGCACGATTGCAGCTTCAGGGGACTTTTAAAAATTAGTATGCATAACATTTGAAATAGAACTTGACTTACCCTCGCTGAGTCGCTGAAAATTGTAGGGAGATCGAAACTCTGCACATGAAGGCCTTCAAAGTGATTCAAGATAGCACCTCCGAGATATGCTTGTCCCATACCAGCTTCACCACCAATGAGCAGTCGTGGACGGAACACACGAGAATTTTCAAACTCCTGTTGCATTGTCTCCCGTGCAAATCCTTGATCTGCATCCGCATATTGCTCATACATAGCCTCTTGCAACGCAGTCGTCTTCTTCCTAAGTGGCACCAGTCCATCTAGGATCGATTCTACCTGTTTGAGTTGGTCGCGTAGGAGAGGCTCGACTAATTTCGGAAGAGCCGCTGCTCCTGAGGAAGTTGCTCTTTCAGAGGAAGGAATCATCTTCTTAACAGATAGCATGAAATCCTTAGCAGTGACTTTGATCTTGTCGGCGTCAACAATGAGCTTCTCGTTTGAAGAGTAAATTTGAGGGTATGTGCGCTGAATAGAATTCAAGGCAGCTTCAGTACAGAGAGCACGAAGATCGGCCCCTCCGTAGCCTTTAGTAACGTGAGCCAGAGAATCCTTGAAAGCTTCATTGAGTCCCCAGTCTTTCGTGTGAATGTTCAAGATGGATTTGCGTCCATCTATATCTGGAAGAGGGAAATAAAATTCTCGGTCAAAACGTCCGGGTCGTCGCAGAGCAGGGTCGATGTTGTCAGGTCTATTGGTAGCACCAATAACAATGACTTGTCCTCTCCCGTCCATACCATCCATCAAAGCAAGCAGCGTCGAGACGATAGATGCGTGGATTTGTTCCTGCTTGCTCGATCTGACGGGTGCAAGACCATCAATTTCATCAAAGAAAATAATACTTGGCTGCGTCTTTCTCGCTTCCTCAAACAGAAGTCGGAGTTGCCTTTCGGCCTCACCCACCCATTTGCTCAGAGCATCAGCACCCTTGCGCATGTAGAAAGTGATTTTCCGACCTCCAGAGCCAACGCTGGCAGCAAGAGCTCTTGCCAAGAGAGTTTTACCAGTACCGGGGGGACCATGGAATAACACACCACGAGGTGGAGTAACATGGAATTTCAAAAACAGCTCTGGGTAAAGAAGAGGCATCTGAACCATCTCCTTGAGCTGATCAATGTGACCTTCCAGGCCACCAATCTTGCTAAAATCGACATTCTGGTCAACACCAAGAGGATCCGCATCAGCTAACGCTTTTTGGCTCTTAACTTTCCCAAGATTGGCGGGAGTTCCAGCCATTCCTCCCATAGGCTCTGCCGGGTTTGTCTGACCGATTCCTGGGAGTAAGCCAGCAGGCGGCATTGCAGTTGTTGGGGTCATTCCTACATTGCCTCCAACAGCTGTTGGTCGCTGCATTGTCTCTTCGTCACTGCTGTCGGAATCAACACCACCTGTTGCGCCAGTTCCCCATGGGCCGCCAATTGGAGGAGCAGGACCACCGGCTCCACCAAAAGGTCCAAAGGTGGAAAATAGAGTTCGTTGCCAAGTGTGGTTGGCACCACTACGACCACCCTTTGTTCGCGAAGGGGTGGAAGCTGCTTCCTCTGCTTCATCCATGGCATAGATCTGATCCATAGGCTTGATGCTGTAATCTACCGTCTTTCGTTGGCGGCCTGGTCGCTCGTATGCAATTTGTGAAGTCTCGCGCGGCCGGGCCCTACGTCTGCGACTGCCAGCCTTCAAATCTTGTAGTTCCTCTGCAAGTTCTTCCTCATCAAGCTCATCTGCATCAGATCCATGACTTGCACCTCTCCTAGAGGTGCTCTTCGATTTTGGAGCGCCGCGTCTGCCTCTCCGTGCAGGACTGGACTCGTATTCGTCCTCCTTCGCCTTCTTTCTCGCTTCAGCATCGGAGGCTGAAAGTTCGTCTTCAGACGGTTCTTCAGGTGGCTCGAAATCACTGCTCGCATCTGCACCACTCTTTTGTTGCTTGGATTTTGAGCCCCGGGTCAGTCGACGAGATCCACCAGCTGCTTGTGCTGCCGCTGGGTCTTCCACATCCTCAGGAGGCAGATCGGAAACAATAAGACCTGCCCTTGATCCTCTGGTACGTCGCCCGGTGATAGGGATATCATCATCCTCGTCTTCATCACCAGCTACGACTTGAGCTCCGCCCTCATCGGCAACATCCTCTACCTCGCCAGGAGCATCTGGCTGTTCAACCTCTGCCTCAGCATCTGCCTCGGGCTCGTCTTGATCATCCGTGCCCGCAATTTCCGTCGCCATTGTCACGTCTCCAGTATCTTCATCTTGTTCATCTTGTTCATGGGAGCCAGACTCGTGTAATTCTTCCTTTATTGTAGAGGCAGCAGGTGCTTTCAACCCCTTGGAGCCACGGCTTTTGCGCCCACCGATCGGTTCTGGAGAGTGACCAGGTCGCAGGACATGGTGTCCACTTTCTGACAGCGCGATTGGTTCTTCACCAATAGCTTCTGATGTAGCCCTTGTTGAGCGTCTTCCAATACCAGCAGATGCAGGTTCTGCCGTACTTCCTCTTCGACGAAGAGAGCGGGCTGCGCTGCCAGCTCGAGTTGCTCGAGTCGTATGGGGTGTGTTGATCTTGAGCTTCACGATCTTGCTCCGTTTTGGTCGCCCTCCACCAGTTTGCACGTCCTCCTCTTCGTCATCTTCCAAATCATCGGGAGTAGCGCGCCATCGCTTGCTCTGCTTTCGTTTCTTCGGTTGATCGTCCTCGGAGTCCTCTATGTCACCCGCAATATCGGCATCACTCTCGCTATTCTCTTCGTAATTGACGCTCTTCTTTGCCGCTTTTCGCACAGCCCGGCCTGTATGTTGGTTCATCTCGATGTCTTCGGACTCTTGTTCGGGTTCGGAGATTGAAAGATCGTCCAGGCTGTCGTCAACGTCGTCGTCTGAGATGTCACTGCCGCGGTATTTGGTCTTTTTTCTTGGGGCGCCAGAAGGTCTCTTTGTACGCGATTTTCTCGAGGGCTTGCGCGGCGCGCTTGAAGTCGGATCGAAATCGGTATCATTCGAATCAGATTTGTTGGGATCGAATGTGTCAAGTTTGCGCTTCACAGGCATTTTGGGGCGGTGAACTGCGGAAGATGGTTGTCGGAGAGCGTTTGTTCAAGCGTCGCGTTCAAGCGAGGATGCTCAACACCGTAATGACCCGAGTCGGGGTGCACATTTGTGTATTGAAAAGAATGCAAATGAATAGAAAAGGGGACTGGTAATTGTATAAGGCGTAAAACTGAGTGATGGATTCCAATGGAGATGGGGATGAAAATAAAATACCTGTCAACGGGTTGATGGGGGCGGGTCGCGTTTACCTTATTACCTAAGCGTGCCTCCTTCTCCTTCCTTTTTTTAGCCCGCACCTAATTTTAGCGCCGAAACTTGGAACATCGCACCGCCCATTTCTTCCGACACCGTCAACCACAAGGAAAAGAATTGAATTGAAAGCAACTTGCCGCGTCTAGACAACTTCGTCTAGCTGCATCAAACGTCTAAAGAGATAGCTCTCGACCTCAAGGAAGCACTTGCGACGTCATTCTAGGTCTTTTGACCGACTTGGCCGGGACCTGTCTGAGGGGTCTCAGGATGGAAAAAGATGATGTTTCTGATCAAGTCTTTGATGTCGCTGTCGATACTAGATAAATGCGGCTCAACCTTATTTCTGCCCTATCCTATTCCTGATTTGGCGTTTTGCGGGGAAGCGTGACCTTTGTCTTGTCACGTGACTGTTATAATAAACATGATATCCTTCCACTTTTTGTCTTTTCTATTTAGCTTAGTCTATGAAATCCGCTTCCAATCTATTTAATAGCCTTCTCTCGGACGCATCTCTTGCATATAATATATGCTGTCGGTTTTTACGCCTAATATCTACCGCCACCTCATTATCTCTAGGGAGCCAGAGACGGTCGTAAAATGACCTTTCACATCTCACTTTTTAGGCCAAGGAAAGTACTATACATATGAGAGAGTCAAAGTGTACTCGTATTGTCCCTTCATTTATCTTCTATCAATCAAATAAGCAAGACGGCCAATAACCTGTTTACAGCCCCTTTTGCCTACTATACTACAAGCTCGAAACCCCCCTCAAGAGCCGCTACATTGCAAAGCTCGGTAAGGTACAGCCAACTTAAGCCTTAAGCTCAGCAAGATATTCCCCATCCATCCATTCATTCATTCATTCATAAACACTCAATCATCAGGAAGCATATTCCGCACCACTAACGGCTGTTTCCTCCACCCCGACAATCCGCGCACCACATTCCGGGCACGTAGCCAGGTGTACGATAGGCGTGCACTCAATGAGTGTGAACTAATCGGTGTCAGTTTAGTTTTGCTTTGGTCACCTGGAATAAAGTAGACCATGGTGAACGTACCGGATGCCCCTTCTCACATGTATAAAACTCCCCCTCCCACACACACCCCGGGCCCCCATACCCACCAGCAGCGATTTCCTCCGGCGCCACATCCTCGAACCAAGGCTTGCGCAACAACATTTGAACTTGCCGAACCATAGCTTTCAACCCGTCCGCATCCCGAAACGGGAAGTTATCGCAGAGCCAACCCGCACTCTTCAGATAATCATCAGCTTCAACCAAAAGCGTAGTAGATGAAACGAGATCAATGTCCTTGGCGTGGCAGAAAGCTTCATAAGCTCGAGCAATCTTAGCGAAATAAAGCATTGCCTCAACAGCCATGCGCATCAGCATGGCAGGGAAGCAATCGTTGATGAACATGCGCGCCATTTCGAAGAAGGGGACGCAGAAGGCTTCGGGAGAGCCACCGGGGGTCTTGATTGGGGTGGTAAGGCCGGCGTCTCGTAAGATACGGGAAACGTACAGAGAGTCTGCGAGGATGACATATTTTGCTTTGATCTCAGCACCTCTGCGACCGAGAGTCATGCGTGCGTCGCGGGCTGAGGGTGGAGGGGGTGGAGTGGCTGCGTCTAATAACCTACCATCAACGCTTCGGCAACAAGCTGTGATTGCCGCATTCAAGATTTGAGTTGCCCTGTAGGACTCCCCGAGACTCTTGCTGGCTTTGGTGACAACTATAAGAACTCGAGTTGAAGATTCGAAGCACATTTGGAGTAACTTCTCAAGTTCAGTCTTCAATGGTGGCGGAAGCTCTTCATTGCGGTGTCCTTCAAGTCTGCCCACAACAATCTCTCTCGTGCGCTTGAGATTCTGTTCCAGCTTTGCAGTCTGCACCTCCATGTCTTGAAGCTTAACATTGCCGTCACTCAAGAGTTGGCTCGACATCTGATCATTGATTGCCCGGCTGATGACACGGTTGTAGCGATTCACCACATGTTGGCGGATTGGCTGCTTGCATTGTGGACAGCAAGGAATGGCAGTGGCAAAGTTCGAGAAGTCCTTTAGGCCGACAAACTCTCCAGAAGCGTTGATATCGTATACATCGGACATTCCCACCCGGCTATCGAGACTCTCGACAGTGAAGAAATGTCCACAGCCCAAGACGATAACAGGAGACTGGTCCAAATCTACATCACAATACTTCTTGAACTCGGCGATGTCCACTTCTGCATCCTGCTTCCCATCCTTGCAGCACACCTGGCAATATTCCGTAGGACACTCTTCCCCACATACGCCCGGGCAGCGATGTCGGCATCGAAGTGGTTTGGAGCATCGCTCGTTGCAAGGTAAACGCGAACATGGGGCTCCGCAAGGCATAGGGCAACCCCCCTTGTGTTTGCAAAACCATTTGCATTTCTTAGTACACGGGACACATGGCTTATTGCATTTCAAGAGGCATGAGGTATGGCCACAGCTCACCTATTCAAAGTTAGCTTCTCTCTATCATGAAATGAGTTGGATATTACCTGGCATGTGTTGAGGCAAGGACCACAATCCGAATCACCATGGCAGCGGCTCAAACATTTGTGATTGCAAGTTGGGAAAGCCCGATCACAAAATTTGGAGCAGACCCTATGCTTGACGACAATATCGCCATCATCCCCCTTTCGCTTGCATGTTCCGCACGTTCCGGGACATTTATCACCACAAGGCAATACCTCATCGCAAGGCTGGACACACTTGAAAATGTCAAAGTCGATCTTCTCGGAACACTTTCTATCCACCCCGTGGCCACATATCGGGATATTCTCGGAAACAACTGCCTTACATGGAACTTCTCCAAGCAAGACAAGGTTGGTCTTGAAGCAAGGAATTCCATGATTCAGATGCCCACATGAAAACTCGACATCGTCTACTTTGACCTTACAATCACCGCATTTCTCACCGCAGGTCTTGTTGCACAGGTGGCCGCATGCATCGTGAGTACGCTCACAATCCTCTGCACAGGAGAAAGAGAGGTGCATAGCTTCAGAATGACAACGAGCTTGACACAGATGATCACAGTCAGAGAGATTCCTGCCACAATGTAGTCGACAACCACCCTCGGGGCTGACTCTCGCAAAGTCGTCTGGGGTGGATGCTTCAAGGGTCGTATCCATGTGGCGTGGACAACAGAGACCGAACGATCTTCCAATGGATCCTTTCTCTTGAAGCAGGTCGATGACTCGATTCCACATTGGAGCATTGGACATCGTTTCAGCGTTGCCGATGAGGTAAAGGCCATGTTGAGCACGGCTCAGCAGCACATTGATGCGATTTTTAGTCTTCAAGAACCCGGGATCCTTTCTCTTATTGCTTCGAACCAAAGAGACGATTATGACTTTAGCTTCTTCTCCTTGAAAATTGTCAACTGTCGCCAATCTAAACTTCAGTTAATACAATCTTATCACACAAGGGTCGAATTTGACTTACCTTAGAAGTTGACTCATCTGCTTCTTCTGTAGGGGCTTCTTTCGATTAGCTAAGTTTGAAAATTCATTCAGCTCGCCATCTAGCAACCCATCTTTTTCGAGGGAATCCTCATCTAGATCACTAAGAACAACTTCAAATTCCTTCCTGAATTTGGAGCGCAACTTCTGAAGTTGTCCGGTGTAGGGAGTCAAGACAGCAATATCATCACTTTTGTATGCGCCTTGTCGAATGATGTGTCTTAAGAGGGCGTGAATCATATCGATCTCCCATTCATTACTGCGGGACTTGACCTGCGAGTCTTCTCGGATGTCATCCTCGAGATTCTCATGGTCCAACCAATATACATTCTGCCGAAGCCCTACAACGCGTGGGAGGTTCTTTGTAGACTTATCATCGATAAGCTTCGGATAGAGTGTCTCTCGGATGAGCCTTGATACGCCGGGACGCATTCGTCGCTGCACATTGAGTTGTGCGACAGGAAACGGCTTTCTGTCCTTTTCTCCCACCGAAAGCCGCTCAAATTGGCTGCGATCGAGCTGGTAGAGTGCTCCTTGTGCACTTTCTAACGACAGGTTGAAATTGATGATCTTGGGTCGAAGTTGCTGGTGGTCTCCAATGGAGATGACATGCTCAACGCTCGGGATCAAGGCAGAAAGCATATGGGGCTCCATAATCTCTCCAGCCTCTTCACAGATGATGACCTTGCAGCTAACATGACGAAGAGTAGAAATCCTACCTGCCAAACCCGTGGTTGTAACGCCAATAACCTGAGCCGCTTGTAGAACACGTCTGTCAACTTCCTCATAAATGTTGGTGATGTTTTGGCGAAACACCCGTGCCTCCTTTAGGGACTCAAAGAGGTCATCTGTGATATTTCTCCGAATATTGGACATCCAGAAAGCAATGAGGCGGTGTCTTTCCACAGCAAACAATTTGTGTACATTCTTCTCCGCATGGGCAATAATCAACTCAACGTCAAGCTCACCAGTGTTCGCAGTGAAGTTTGGACCTGAGTCCCGCCATCTTGAAAAAGGATCTCGTCCTACAAATTGGAAGCCATCCTCATCGACTTGCGAGAATTGAAGGTGAATCAGTGGGTACTCTTCGGCCAAATATTCTTCGACGGCGGCCCAAGTAGGCTCCACGCACACACGAAGTGCTTTGCAGAGCTTATCAATTGGATCCACGCCCTCTTCTAGACTTCTCTTGTTGGTGAATATACCATAGCCCTCACTCTTGGTCCTAGGTTCATCTTGGGAGACTACTTTCAAGTTTTTTCCCTTCAGGACGTCTGAGTTGCTTCTGCTACCTAGGCGGACAATTTTTTCTACTCCCATCTGGACGAGATGCTCGAGAAACTGATCTAAACTGTGGTTCGTATCTGCGGAAGGGTTATCATGTGTACTAAGTATATCCTGTGAGACATTTGAGATAGGAAGTGAAGTTACTCACATGTAACCACAAGTATCGGACCAAGGTCTGCTTCCTCAGCACAGCCCAGAAGAACTTTCATGAAAGCGATACCAAGGTAAGACTTTCCAGTACCTGGAGGACCTTGAATGAAAGCAAACTCTCTGGTGAGACCAGCAACGAGTGCCTCACATTGGCCACGATCCAACTCAGTCCGTCCCTCGATTTTATCGATAATGTCTGGGTCATTGTAAGACATTGTTGCGTCGATTGATAATTCGCCATTCGGATCTATAAGCAATGGTTTCAAGGGAAACCGGAAGCCTTTGCTTTGAGCGTAAAGAGGAGGCGGGATATTCAAGGGCCCTGGGGTGGTGGCTTGTTCCGGCAGGATCCAATCCCGAAATGGCAATCGGCTCTGACGTTGCATATCCTGGAGGTTCTCAAGAACTGGAATGAAAGTCCCAGGGATAACTCCATGGAGTTCGACCAGAAGTCCCCTCGTTTGCTCGCATCTCAGTTGTGTCATCAACTCAAAGTCCATTTGACTACGAGTTGCTAGACTAACATGGATCGTCGCATTTTCCGAGTCAGATACTAGTCCCACCTTCCCACGGTCTTAGACAACTCCTTTTCCGTAACCACAAAGAATAAGAGCGATGTCTTGGTACCATTGAAAGAGATATAGCAGAGCAGATTACCGGGATTAAGGCGCCTGCTTTCGTTCCACCATCTGTGCCTATCAACAGCAGTTGAAGGTCGAAGCGGTTGCGGTTGAGTGAAGGTCAAGAAAGCTTCAAGATCTCTCCGAGGATGTAATCTAATATCGCTGACATGGGCATTGCGAAAAATGTAAGAAGATCGGATATCCCCTATGATGATTTTCGGGGAATTCATGAGAGCTGGGTTCTTCTCGACGGCTAACATAAACCCGCCAATGTGATCCTTCAAAGCGCCAAAGATATCGTGACGGTAGAGGCGGAAGTTGGTATCAATATGTCGTTGAACAGTATCTGATAAGTGGTGTGGCTGATCTCTGTCGGTAGATGGAAGATACTCCTTGCGCTCACTCTTGATTTCGTTTTCCGTAGGGAGAATCTGGATATCTGCAATATCATCCATGTCGTTTTCATGACGTCCACCAGGGAGTTCAATCTCTCGTGGAAATGTTGAAGTGATCACAGTGGTAGAGACGCCGTTGACTTTAGGTCCCTCATTGTGGAGTAGCCCACGCACCCTAGCAATCATGCCACGGACTTCAGTCAACACGCTATTGGTTCTGAAGGCAACCGTTGGATGCTGTGTAGACAAAGCACGGGAGAACTCCTCAAAATCTCCAACGAGAGCTGGAAGATCATCATGAAAGATGGCGCGTTGTTCTCTCCGAAGGATTTCTCGAAGTGAAATAGTTGCCCCAGTGAATGTTTCAAGAGCTGCAGGCGATGCTTGCATGTCGTCCGTGGGCAAGTTGTTCAGGCTACCAAGAAGAGTTCGAAGAAATGGGATTGCGCGTGATCCATTGCTGCCGCTAATGAAGTTGAAAATAGCCCCGACCGAAGTGTCAACGGCAAGACAATTAAGGAGATCTTTGTGGCTTATGACGAGGAGGAATGGTCGTACGAGGCTGACAAATGTCGCTGCTCCATTATCATGAGTGATCATTCCGAGGACGGTTTGCATATGCTGACGGCCAAAGAGATCTTGGTGGTCAAGATCCTTAGCAAGCTCCTGCTTGCAATTGCGGTCGTCGGCATCGAGTATCTTGAGTGCCCCTGTCCAAAGTGACTCGATCATCCCAATATCATTGGCAATTGGTGCTCTCTTGAGGAACCTCTTCCACGCGTTGTACTTGCCTCGTGCGGCTTGACGGGCTGCTTCTTGCTCTACGGTGATCTCGGGCTTCTTGCGCGGTTGCTCACGAGCAATCCGACCCTCAGCGTCTCCAGGAAGGGCGTGAGAGTAGGGACAAGCTTCGCCTCTGGGGCAGCCGCGAGGAGAGTCAAAGAAGTCGCAGACACCATTCATGCGTGGTCTCTCGCCTCCACCTCCAGGAGGTCCCGCCTCATTCCTCCACGAGAATTTATGAGACATTGTTGTGACGTTAGAAGAGTACGACAGTAAGGGGTATGGGAGAGGAAGACTCGAGAAGAGTCGAGAACTTGCTGAGTTGAACAGAGCAAATAGTGCTCCTTGTTGTAGGTCGCAGTAGAAGTACAAGTAGAAGAGAAAGAAAGACGTGTTCAGCTAGCGGTCGACAGATCGAAGTTGAAGTTGAGGAAGGTAAACAGACAGAATCCGTAAGCGAGAAGAGAAGGGTGGAACCGTCTTAAAGGTGAATGTGATCAGACTAGAGCAACTCTATGAGGTAAGTGGTAAGAAAGGCCGATGCCGCCGGAGGACTTGAGACTGCGGTGTAGAGTCCAAACTTCTCAAAGCTGCTTCCAAAGGCAGAATAAAGATCATCCGGTACGAAGGCAGAAGAGGTACCATTTTCGTTTCCGGTATAGCTAGCAGGACTTGAGAATCAAGTAGCGAGATGCAACGCAAGACCAACGACGGAAATTAGTCAGCTGGATGGAAGATGTAGATGTGAACATGAATGTGAATGCTTAGAGTGGAGGGAGGCTCCCCTTGCTACCTCCCCCTTTTATACCTCTTTCGCTTGCTTCTTAACCTGAGAAGCTATCTTGGGAAGGAACAGTCTGATGCTCCTTCTAAAATGTCACCTTCCCTTTTGATTCACTCAGCATCGTATACATTCGTACGGTAGGATAGGCATAACGTATTCGACGACAACCGCTACCGAAGAAACCTGCGATGCTCCCACGTTTTAAGATAAAGGAGAATTCCAATTTCAGAGCGTAGTAAAATCCACTCAATCATTAGACATATGGGGCATTCAACATAAGAAATTTGCAATAGCAGTGGCATCCTCCAGCTTCAGCATAGGTCAAGATGTAAACAATTTGAGTCACAATCACAAAGTTACCCACCCTAAATATTAAGTATCATATTGAGGGTATCCGCAAGCTAAATACTAAGTCTCGGTCCTGCATTCATCATCTCATCCCATTCGAAATATCAAGAAAATGCAACCATATGCGGAAATCAAATGCCATAAGAGCGCGAACAAATGCCAATAATGCAATGGATTTATATACTAGGCATGATGCTAGAAAATGTGCAAAGAAAACGCATAATTATACATGATTCGCGAGCCTAGGTGTCGAGCACATCCTTCTCATCCTCTGTCGCCGGCTCCGGGGTTGAGTGTGTCATGAAGTTATCATCTTTTTCCCACATTGCCCCAGGGCCATGATAACTCGGTTCCGGAATCGTAGTTCTAGGCGTCGATCCCGCGGTCGACCCTCTAGTCACATGCCCATGAGTAGGAGAGCGGACGTTCTCGGATCCGAAAGGAAGCGGTCTTGTCGGAATCTCCCTTGCGGGTTCCTCATCCAGCTTATTCACAAAGACATCGGATTGGCGTCGAGCGAGTTGTTCTAGTTGGGCCGCAGGATCCTATCGAGGATCAGTAGTTGCACCAAGTGAGAGCACAAAATAAGCTGTACCCATTGTTCTTGAGATGGAACCCCTGCGGCGGCAGGGAGTTCTCCATCCTCGTCCCTTTCTTCGCCCCAGAAGCTGGGCTTGTGCCTTGGGGCGGGGGTCACGGGTAGGCTTGGTCTTTCGACTGCTGTTGGGAAGTCGGTGAGCCTCATACTGTGCCTGAAGCCACCGGGGCTGGACACATCTGCTATACCTGAGCCATATCCTTGTAGTACTTGGATGTTTCCCTTGCGGTTCTTTTGCAAGTTGCCGATGTACCGCTCTATCTCAGGAATATCGTCCCAGGCGTTGCTGCGAGTAAATGACTGCCATGGATCAGCAGACGTAAATTGGATTGTAGGTGTGGTGGGTGTAACAGGTGGTATGGCTTGGGACTCTTCCTCTGGGGACGCCTCGGCTAGTTCATTGCTGCTTGGGTGCTTAGTAATACTAAGATTGTCTTCGGGGAATACTCTAGTGGGTTTTGGAGCATCTTTCTCCCAGGGAAAGATTGGTGCAGGCTTTTGATAAGTTGGGGTTTTCGGTACTTGGTAGTACATATCCTTTGGCGGATCTGGATACCTCTCAGGGGCCTTGAACGGCGTAGGATCGGAGGACATTTCATAGTGTGTCGCGGGGAAATTGGAAGCTTCCGGGCGAGAGCCAGCTGGTGGTGGATCCCTGTATCTTGTTAGCAGATGAAATCATATTCGTTTATATAAACTTACCTGCTTGCATCCCAAGACATAAATTGCTGGACTGGCGCCTCCGGTTCCCTTCCCTTATCCAACCTAGTTTCTATGGGAGGGAGATAAGCTTCTTCCACTTCTTTCGGTAATTCAGGTCTTTCATGCAAGGGCTCTTCAGCAGTTTTGGGGGGTATCTCACTCTCGGTCTCTTCAGGCTGGTATGCCTGGCTACTCGAGGTGACCGATATAATTGGTACAACTGGTCGATATTCGCCCTTGGTATGGTACTGTACGATTGTCGAGTTCCCTGTGGAAGAACTGTCGACTGACTGTTTCGGGTTTAGTTGCTAATCGGGTACAGTACTTGATTGACATACCGATTCTCGAAAATGTCGGTCATAGACAGCCCACCATCTTCCCACCATTTCATCATATGGAGTCGAGCCCTTGTTTGCTTCCCTACCCTCAGTCCATGGCTTAGCAGTGCCAATAAAATGTGCCATGCTAATGCTCGACTGGAAATGCCGATACGCGGGGAGGTACTGGTAGTGAGCAGACGGCGTGACGTTGTAGGTAAAGCTCAAACGATTGAAGGTGTTTTTGAAGTGCATGTTTAACAGACCTTGATCCGCTCCGTCGAAGGAAATCCCTCGTTGTGCCATTGCAAGCAGCGCATAGTAATCACCCATATTCGGAGTCAAAACCATAAGTCCCGTATTGAAGATATCAGGCCACCCAATATCCGGAGCAGCTGAGAATGCATGGGGCAAATCAAACAGCTCGTCCGGTGCACGAAGCGCAACGATATCGGCATCCACATATACTATCTTTCTGAACTGCAACTGCTTCCATAGGGTGATCTTCGTAAAAGTCGAGTGTAGGTCGGCGCGGTCCATGAGGAACAGGTTCGCGGGCGTTTCGTTGACAACTCGTTCCACGGGGACAATGAAGTCGTATACGTTCTATAAACAGTCAGAAGTCTTCCTGCCATTTCCAGGGGCGGATACGAACACCCAGCTGCGCAATTGCATCTGCTGATACCGAGTCCCCGGTAACGAGGACTGCCAACTTCTTGGTGGTGCCAGCATCTCGTAAAGAATGGGCCAACACCAATGCACCTGTGCGGAAGCTCTAGTAAGCTCAAGCTGTTGATATGGGGGGATTTCCAGGTACCTGGTAGGTATGTATCGCTCAGGAGAAGCTGGTAATGCGGTCAGTTTTTTTGACGATTATCAGCAGATGACGCAGTTTACATACAGTCGCATAAACATCCTCGGCTGGTGAAGCCATTGCTACGGATCCGTAGAGAAGCAGTGAATATTGCAGAAATCACTCCTCCTGGATCGATTGAACAATACCACTGTGCAATTGAGTTGGGAAGAAGGGTGGGGAGTGCGGAGGAGGAGAGGAGGAAGCGGCGGTGGGCTTTGAAGATCGGCTGGCTAAACAGCAGATGGCGGGGAAGGCGTCACTGCAGATAAAGTTAACAGCTTGACATGCAGGATCAACAAACAAGCTCAGAAAGTGGTAATAAAGAATAAATGTTGATTTTTAATTTTTGATCTGAACTCAAAACTAGAGTTGAGTGTTGTTTAGAAAGAATAAAGTGTGGTTATGGTTCCAAGCCAAGTTCTCAAAGCTCCCTGTCTGCTCCCTGCTCCCTGCTCCCTGCTTCTCTGGTGACGCTGTCGCTTCTCCTCCAGCTCTCTTCACTGGCTGGACTGGCTCGCTGGCCACACCGAGCCACAGCAAGCAACATGGACCCCTTCTCATAGTGGATTGCGCCCCATCCAGCCATCCTATCACCGAGCTTCTCCAGAACCCCGCGCCCAACTTTTGCATATCACTGCCAGAAAACGGGAATCAGCTTGATCGTGTGACGGGGGATATGAACGTTGTGGCGGAATTGAATCCACCTTTGAGAAGCAGCATCAGATTCCAAGGCAGAGAGGATCTGTGCAGTGCACCGTGGTGGTCCGAGGACTTCAACATCCATCTCGCGCCAATTCCGGTTATTGCCTCGAGAGATTGCAGTAGCACCGCACAGAGGAGACTGCATACACGGTACGGACCGAGGATTCCTACCTACCACGCGCTGTCACAACGCAGGTATCCGTTATTTCAAGAGAAGAAGGGTTCGAGCACTGCTGCACTACAACCAATATCTAGGCCACATTACTGCAGCTTTACCAAGGTAGTTCTCGTAAAAGGTAGCTATCGACAGAGAGACGGCGACAGCACCATGGCTTCACGTGACCATGTGAACAGTTTGGGATACGAACAAGAGGTTCGGAGTGCCTGCGAGGATGGAGAACATGTAGCTGGTGTCCCGTCTAGGATAGCAAGAATTGGGACAAAGGGCCGCTTCTGCTTCATGGATTTACCGGTAGAGCTTCGTCTAAAGGTATGTTTGATGGTATATCCGATGCATCCAGGTCCCCTTCCCAATATGGTAGTGACAAGGGCTATGGGGAACAAGTCTTCTCATATCCTTCCATTTGCGTATTTGAACCATTGTTCTCTCTTCTTTCATACATGATTCAAATTTCCAGAATCACCGTGGAAGAATTGATAGTATCTCCTGGGGCCCTATTTGCCCCCCAAATCGCGTTTTCATATCTCATCCCCAAGTACTTATAGAATGGTACAAAAAAACAAACCATCTGACAGCTTCTAGATATACAAAGACCTTCTAGTCTGCCCAGGTGCCATCAACATCCCACCGTCTCCAGAAGCCCCAGCCTCAGAAACCTACCCCTCCGTGTCAATCCTCCAAACCTGCAAAACCATCAACGAAGAAGCAATCCCCATCCTCTACTCAACAAACACCTTCACCATAACCCTACGTACGTTACCCTCCCCCTTCCCACGCACCTTTCTAACAACCCCAGCCCTCGAGCGCCGTCTCTCCAAATCCTCATCCCCATCTCCATCAACTTCCACCTCAACAGAACCCATAACCACCCTACCAGCCTTCCACCTATCCCACTTCCGCTGGTCAACCCTCGCCGCAATAACAACCCTCTCCTTCCAATCCAGCACCGAGATCTCCATCCCCAAACTCAGCGTCTCGTCCTCGCCCCGCCCCTGCTTCTCCTGCAGCGGCAAAGACATCATGGCGCGCTTCAGCGGCTGCGACGTGCGCTATAGTCCCAAGGGCCCCGATGAGTATATGGCGTTGAGCGTGAGTAATTGGGTTAGTACCAAGGTGATGAGGGCCGAGTTGAGTGCTTTTCAGACGGAGTTGGAGGATATGATTAGGGGTGGGCCGGTGCTTGCTTTGACGGGTGGTGGAGGAGGAGGGGGAGATGTAAATGGGTCTGGGTCTGGGTCTACATCTATCTAGACGTGCTGTGTTGTGTTGTGTTATAATAATAGTAGTTCATAATCTTCCCTTCTAGCTACATTCATACAACCCTTTTCCAAGCCTTAATTTACACGCAAACACCCACCCTCCATCTACAAATCCATTCCAGAGAGACCAACTTGAATCTATAGCTAGATGCTAGATACCAGGCATAGATATACCCAACCCAACCGACCAAGCCTATCATGCCGTGCCATGTTTAACGATCCCCCAGGCAAGAGCAAACAAACATTTATAACGCCATACATGCCTCACATCGTCTATCTACATCAAATCTCATCAACATCACATCACAATCATACGAGCAAAAAGACGTATTGAATCGCTAAAAGAGTAATCTCCTTGTATTCCAAATTTAATGTGCTTGTTTCCCTTTCATACAACTGTAAACGCTGTCGTGCCTACCCAACGCCGATGAGAAAAAAATACATGCCGTATGCCGTTTAAAACGTATATAGCTCAAGAGCCCTCTGCCTCATCAAGGGTATCCTCCACCGTAGCCGCTCTTGCCTTCCCCTTTTCCTGTGCACTGGAACTTGCCTCTCCTATTTCCGTTTCCGACGAGGCAGGATGAGAGGTAGGATGAGAGGTACTGCTCGTATCTGCATTCAACACATGTTGACCCTGACCCTGACCCTGTCCTTGTCCTTGCCCCTCCTGAGTCTGCCCATCGGCAAGTGGGAGCGGTGATGTGGACATGGATGCGGGGGTGGCACTCGTACTAGGCGCGTCTGAAAATAGTTGAGAGGAACCCCAATTGGGCAACTGAGAAGACGAAGAAGCGGGAGGATTTGATGCGATAGATGCAGAAGCGGGAGTACTTGTGTCCACGTTTGAAGTGGCTGATTGGTCGGCTATAATCGAGGGTGGAGTATGGATGGCGTTCCCATCAGACGAATCATCTGAGTGGGTGTCGGGATTAGCCGTTGGTGTTGGTGTCAGATTATAATTAGAACTTTCTCTCGTCATAGGGCTGATGGTCGTCGTGGAGCCTGTGGGGGCCGATCCTGCTCCAACATTTCCGACAGGTCCGGGAAGAGGTACTGGGCCTGTTGGTATTTGCCCAGGACCATCTAATCTTTGCAGTGGAAGGAGTGACCAACCTTCTGGTATGGTTACACCAGGAGGAAGCTCAGCACTGCCTGAGGGTATTGCTGCTGTACCTGGACGGGCCCCGTGTCGCTGAATTTGAGGTAGACCCGGTTGAAATGGAGAGTTAGCCATGGCCCTAGTGACCAACGGCGGCATTTGCGGTGTTTGAACATTGTTTCCGGTCAATGGATCGGCGCCTCCGTTCTGCATAAGTCGAAGCCTTTCAAGCTCTATCTGCAATAATTGCACCCGTTGGACCTGCTGTTGTGTTATCTGGAGGGCTCCAATTTCTGCTACGAGATGTTGCTCTATTTGCTGCAGGTGATCCTGCAATGTGGTAGCTGTGGCAGGTAGATTGGCCCCACCTTGAGCCTGTGGTTGAGCCTGGACGCGTGGGAAACCCAATTCAAGGCCATACATCCGTGCTCCACCACCCACACCATTTTCTTGGTTCGCTTGAGGGCCACCAAAGCCGTTGGCAAGATCTTGTATGTTTGCTTGACCATAAGCAAATCTCAAGGGTCCCAAGTTAATCATTCTCATTCGACGACCCGGAGGCCGGCCCGCTGGTGGAGGTGCTCCTGGACCATCTTGTTGTCCGGGCACTGGAGGCTGGCCTCCTTGACCGGGGGGGTTCCCGTTATTTGCCGCTCCATTCGGCGCTTGCTCCTGAGGAGCGTCCACTACAGGAGCTCGACATATAGGGCATGCCTGCTGACGTTCAAGCCATCTTTTGAGACAGCCAAGATGGAGAGTGTGTCCACACGGGAGCTTCTTTGGCCTGGACTGCTCATTGACGGTATGTCCGCCGGGACGAGCAGCCGGAACTGCTCCTGGACCAGCCGGAGGTGCTTGCGGGTTCGTGACGGACCAAGGCGTCATCTGCTCACGGCAGATGATACAGGTATCTTCTCGTTCAATATCTTCTACGGTAGCGTCTGCGTATTTCTGGTTCATGTCGTTTGTTGCCCGACGATATCTGAGGAAAGCTGAGAGACGTTTCGTAAACGATCGAGCTGTTAAGAATACATCACGGATGATGTGAATTGGTAGGCCATAGAACATGAACAGGATCACAAAGAATGTTATGTATATTCCGAGCTTGATGAAATCTATTACTTGTAAGCATTGAAACCCATATTTGCAAGGGGCGAGTATGACCTGAAATGAGGTCAAGAGTTAAAACCCAATGACCCTTTGCTTCCCATCCCGGGGTTTCGATATCCATCTCGTCGACGTCGTCCTCTGACGGTAGTGGCGCAGTGGATGGAGCCGCATCAGTTCCTTCACCACCTTCTGCAGCAGCTGCCGCAGCAACTTCTCTTTGCCTCAAAATCTCAGCTCTCTCTTCCCGAACCTCCCTGCGCCGTTCGACAAGCCTCTCCTGAGTTTGCTTACTCTGCACCCTGGCCTCAATCAGTGATATGCAGTATCGAACACCGGTGGCCAATGAGCAAGTGGTAAGGATAGCGAATTCGAAAAGAAACATAACCATCATATTCGGCCTGGCTTGCTGGATGACCGTATTGATGGTATATTTCATCAACCATAAGTCGTAGATGATGGACATTGTCAAAGAGACGGATAATCGAATGTGGAAGAGACGGGGATTCGCGGGAGGTTGTTGATCCAGTATTTCAACTCTTCCATCTCCAATCCACCCCCAGACTTTCCCCGTCAAAAGAGCAACAAACATGACCAAGAACCAGGCGCCCACTTCCTCCCGGAATATTGTCATTGCCAGACATGTCTCCGTAATCGCGAACCATGACTTCTCGTATAGCTGCTCAATTTCGAGGGGTCGGAGTGCTCCATAGCAAAGCCGTTGAAGCCAATATATGAACGTGCTGTAGATAAAGAGGATGAGGTTGATGAGTATCTGCGAAGGCTGTTAGCTATGGTTTGTCCGCCGGGTCCGGGGTTTGTCACCATCAAGCACAAATTGCTCTGAGACAAATATACACATGCTGAATAGAAGTTCGCGCGCTGTGTAAATGCAGAAACAATCACCCCTCCTGCCAGAACTGTAGAAACCCCAGCGTAATATGATAACCTCGTCATCTCTGGCAGATGCGGTGGTTGTGGTGGTAGCGTTTCCGAGTTTCCAAATTGTGATGCTGTGGATGACAGATTATTTTAGGAAGTTCTCAGCTTGGATCCAGATCGCAGGTGTCCTTGCTGGCTCAGAAGAACTATGTGCCCATATTTCGAATGATTGTAGTAGTCTACCAAAGCTCCAGATGTCGTTTGTTGGTTACAGTAAATGTGGCCTTGTACGCCTCTTGGGAGTCGGGAAAATAATACTCCGCCCCGCCCCGCTTCTGTCAGCGTCGGCATTCAAAACTTGGGATTCAAGCAATCGCATAATCGCATTGCACTATGTAGGAGTGGGAGTGGGAGTGGGAGTAGGAGTATGTATTATCTATTGCTTATAATCTCACATCTCTTGTTATAGACCGACCGGTGAAGTTCCAACCATTTACAAACATATACGAGTAATTGAGTAAGGCCCAGTTCCGCAAGACTCAAACCTAAGCATGTAGAGCAATGGGCATCGATGGACCCTAACGTCCCCCCTTCCAATTACCTACTGTTACTGGTACATTTTGACCGCGGACTTGTTAATGAGAATCAGGAGGGGAGTCATTGTAAAGCGTGATTTTATCTATAGTGCATATGGACGCGGAAACGTTAGGCTAATGGACCCCTTTAAAACCAAGGCCTGGAAGAAACCTAATCGCTGTGAGGAACATCCCCTCCGAGACGAGTTGACAACTTGATATGTATAGTACTATCACTTCAACGTAGAGATACCTAATGTTTGGCTCACGGGGTAATTACCAGGCTACGAAGACTGCATTCATGAAGAAATGGTGTTTATATGTCTTGGAGTTGAGAACGGGCATGATATTGTTCCATGAAAAACAAGAAGAACCTCGCTCGAGCAGAAGGACGTCTTGTGAGGATGGATTTGCTCTTTGAAACAAACTTACAGAGTCTGCCATACGAGATCATGTCAAAACTCACAAATACACGACAAATATACCTGCTTGCGTGACGTCTCGTACGAGAATACCAGGTTCACTATGTGAGGCTATGAGGATATGAGGCTTTGATAGGAGTTCATCAATCCCGGTCATTGCTCTGAATTTCTCTCCTTGGAGAAGTATGCAAAGAACCATATTGGTAAGGGAGAACCTAACTTCTAGGCCAAACATACTACTATCTTGTCTTGGATGCCATGGGATCTGGATAGGCAAGTAAAAGGGGATCGATTGATCTTCCAATCTATAAATCGATGCTCAATTGAAATTCAATCGAAACTATGAACACTTGAAATATTCCTTCTTTTCGCCTGATTTGTCTCTTTTGAGGATGCATGAAACAGTGACGAGAATGTACTGCAGAAAATAAGTTTCACCGCTCTCACCAACCTTTCCAACAACATTCGAAAATTGAAATCTTCCCCCATTCCTTCGCGACCACATGCTCGATCAGGTCCCTAGACCTCCCTAGACCTCTGCTTGACTGGAGTAAGCTTAACGACAATGTTTGACCTTGTTTCACAGCACTATTGCCACGCAAAAAAAGCCACTGGAGAATGATTCGCATGATCAGTTGATCCAAGCCGCTTTGGCCTGATACGCTTTGGCTTTGCGATCTGATCTGGTAATCTTACAATATCCGTTGTACGCGGTCGAGACTTCGGTCAGTATTGTACGTCACTGCTCTATTTGAAGCCGCATTTGTACATCGGAAGGAATGGGGTATTCGATATTTCAATGCCCCATCTTGATTTCTCTCACACACCGCGGATTCAGGATCCAGGATTAGAACTACATCTCCAAACTATCGATGTGAAGCATCTCGGCTCTCTTGTACCTGCATACTATTTATTGAGGTTACACTCAGAACGCTACAAAGCATGTCAAAAATAGAAGAGGGGTTCTTGAATTTCTCGACTGTCCTACAGAAGAAGCACAGAGGCAGCCAAGCAAAGCATCCAGACTTCGATATCACGCGGCGGTCGTATTATACCGAGACCGAGGCATCCGCCACCTCTTCAAGAGCATTGCATTGCATTGCTGTTGTGCCATACGGTACACACTGGCGCTGTACGTACATATCGAACGGAGACTTCCACTCATGCTTGTCTTTTCACACGAAAATCCACTACCGTGTACGTGGTAACGGGTGGCAGACTGCGATAGAGCACGGACAACATATTTCCCCGCTGCCCATTCTCAAATCAGTCGCCCCTCGCCTAAAAATTGCTTTTTAGGAAAGGGGTGGTATGGCATGAGCCAGGGCCCGGCAGGCATTGGCATGTTTCTGGGGGTTTCGGGACTGCACTGGCGCAGAAAAAATGATAAGATACAAGTCCAGATGGGCAGGGTTCTCATGTCTTTAAGCACATTGGGCAGCAGAGGCTAGATCGGCCGGAAGGGTTCGCATTGGTCGGCCAGCCACTCAGTCCCACCGGTTTGGATCTCAAGTCGCCGACCTTGGGCTATATCTTACCAATTTTGGCAGCATAGAGTCGCATTGCAGCATCCACGTGGGCTCCCCATCCCCCATTCCCACAGTCTCCCCAGGCTCCCCAGGCTCAATTAATATATTTTCCCTCGAACTAACTAACCTTTATCAGAACAGACGGACTTGTTTCTGCAGAATGGAGTAAGGTCTAGCCATCACAATTCAAGAAGCGCCCATCAAGCAAGATATTTGGGTTCGCGGTACCTTTTTATCCCGTCCCTACTTTACCAAAATACCCCTAAGATGGCGGGTACGGAGCACTAGACGATCAACCAGGGGCAAATAAGCTTTCCACTGACAAAGCCATCAAGCCAATCAAGAAGATCATTTGGCTCACCAGGCTTAAACTTTTGCACCCGCTGAGTGTTTCTACTCCGTATGGCACAGGCTGATTGGCCCTTGTCCCCTTCATCTTATCCAACCTATCGCATGGCACAGTAAGAGCCTCATGAAAGTGTGAGTTTAAAAATAAAAACCTTGAGGGTTGCGAGATTGCGACACGAGGCAACAGGGTTGTACATGAGCGGCATCTTCCTAATATCGTATTGACCCGGTCTAATGGGACATTCAGATCAATTAGCCATGTGGTTGCAGGATCACTGTACAAGTCTTTTAAGTCCGACTTGTACGCAGTACGAAGCATCACTACTCCGGAATATGCTTGCAATAGTAACATCCTGCCATGCACGTACCGACCGCTATGTGCTCTAGATGTCTAGAACCTGGTCAAGGGCAATTCTGACCACTTAGGATGGGATATTTCCTAATCTTAAATTCAACTTTAAAGCAACCATCTTCCAATTTGAGTTTAAAGTTCCCGTCCAAAGGAGCACTAACCTTATTGGCAATATATAATCTGCCCGCTCCTCAAGGATCGATCTGACACCAACGTGGTAATCCATCAAGGTTTCGAAATGGCGCCATCCCCCACGAGTCAACAGGTGCGACAGCCAATCAAATCGGACGCGGGAGAACTCACAACTCTGCATTATCCCTAAGACCTCAGAGGAGAGCACGGACTATTGAGTTTATTTGCGGATGCTTGCAATACCATATCAATAGCATTTCAGATAAGTCTGTAACATGTTGATAGAGTCAATATATGCAGCAGAGTTACAGCAGCGGGTCACAACCGAGTTCTAAATCCAGTTGAGACTAGACTGGCTCATTGCCCTATCCTGTTCTTCGGTTTTACATGCCTCAAAGAAATACGACTGGCTCTGCGCTAGATTAAGAGGCTTCAAGCTTAGTAACAACGTTGGGAATCAAAGGTAAATTGCTCCAGGATAACCCCGCAGAGAACCAATCTTACCCACAAAGAGAAGATTTGACCGAAACACAAGTCTCTGAGTCTGAGGTCGACTCCGATGAAGTGCGGACGCCATCAATCATAATGGAAGCTGAGGAGCCTTTCTTTGTCGAAACGTTGTACCTTCCTTAGACGCTCACTGCATAATCGAAGTCACATCAATCCAGATCACCCTCATGATTTGCACAGCACGACCGTTAGACTACCGTCGCCGGGTTGCTCAGTAATTCCGTGACGTCGAGTGCCGTACTTGCCATTGGCGTAACTAATTCATATGAATCAGCGAAACACATGCAGTCAGTCATCGCCGTCTTCTTCAAACACTCTGCCCTACAGTGAAAAGGAGGGGTCTATTGGCTCTAGTACGATGGATCCCAATTGGCGGTGACCCTTCTCCGCAAAGGCGACCACTGACGGAGAGCCCGAAGCCAGGGAAGCGATCGAGGACAATTGGCTCGGTAAATGTGAGTCCAGATCTCCACCCTAAGCCCTACACAGGGCCAGGATCTCGACTAGGGGTAGGGGCTACCTGGGAAGGCTCAGGGGTTGGGTTACAAGCACAGGCCGTCGATGAGCCATGGCCACGAGACGCCCAGGGTAGCGGGCGAGGCTGTGCACTGCAGGCTCTACAGTGAACCCTACAGTAATATTTCAGACACCCCAAACGAGAAATACGAAAGGGTGGGGCTTGTTAGTATGGGCTTTCCTCAGGGCCAAATCATTATTAAGGTTCGTCGATGTTAGTTTCTTGTTCGGTGTTCTGACCACATAGATACCTGTTCAAATTACAACACATGTACAGAGGCATCCTTTTAAGGTTTAAAAATCAGGATGCGAAGGATTATTGGTCACTGCAGATTTGGGAGAGAAAATAGCATATTGCCATGTATTCCGTATGAGAAACGGGACGCTGCATTATTGGCGAGATACCGTACCAAAGGTCACATGAATCTCATGCCTGCACGATTACGACACGGATCGTAAACCATTCCAACGTTCTCATAATTTAAGGGAAATTGAGTTGGTCTTCAGATCTGACTATCTACAAACAGGGCAAGCTTTGCCTTGGCATGAAAAACAGCACTTTCCGTTGAAAGTAGCTTCCGTCCGGCCTTCAACGGCTCCTTTTGTTTGAGAGTCTAAATAGAGCAGCCAGTCAAACCAACAGGAACCCAATTGTCAGGATAAGGTTCTCACGCCAAGGGGCAGATATTTAGAATTGCGAGAAGACTGGCTGGCCAATTGAGTGTGCTACTGACCATAAGGCTGAGATGAGGAATTTAATCCTTCTGCACCTCAGCGGGCCAGAGAAAGCAAGTTGGAGATCTCCATTTGCCTACGGAGTACACTCCAAATACGGCAGTCCACCAAGGCAGCAAGAAATAAGGGGTAAGGAAATGCCTCTCGCTCGGCAGGCGTCCACTGATAGACAAGTTCAAGAAATCAACGACTTCTTTACTCCGTAAATCTGCCTCGCGACATACGCTACCGCTCCCGTCCGGGCTCTTCAGGGGTAGTCCAGACCAGGACATCTGTTAGTGCCTATCGAGACAGGGGCATGGAACTCCGATGACCAATCTCACCGGTATTTGTTATGACGCATTTCTGGGAGTAATACCTACTCGAGTAGTTGGAATTATGGACTTGTGGAGTGACGGTTATGCTAGTACTGCACGTCGCGGTATTCTATCCACAGAACAGTAAGAAATGACGATGGTATCTCTACGAGGCACAGCATAGCCTCTTTGCGCAGCCAGGAAACACTCTCATGTGCCGACTCGGCGACGGTGGAGGGACTCAAGGGTGACATGGGGGGAGAGGGAGATGGAGAGGAAGCTATTTTAAGAGGGGGCCACCCCTACCCCTATTCGGTTATTCTAACACTCCTTCGTATAAGAGCCAATCGTTTCGACAAGGTAAGCACCATGAGCCACAGTTTTCTCCGGAACAGGTAAGCCCGAGCCTGTCCCCCTTGACCGAGCGCCACAGCAGTGTTGGTGCGTCCGTACTCCGTAAGCGTCCGTTGGCAGTACCTACCTATGTACAGTGATTACATACGCAGAATTGTCAGAGCCGCGAAGGCTTCATGCTCTGCTCTTCCAACGAAACTCGGCGTTCTGGAAACTATGCTACTGGACTCATTCCAACTTGCATCTAGGCAACGAGAGGATGTTGTGGCCGGATGACTGCGAGATCATGCCCTTATACATGTGGCTTTGGAACAGAGGTCTTCCCTCGTTTCTCGACCACTCTCATGCCCTCGAGTTCTCTCCGATCTCCATTCTCCAATACTTCGTAATCTCAAACATGCTGTCCGGACTCTAGACCTTTGCCAGCGAACGAGATGCAATAACTTCAATCGGCTTAGTGGCAGATCTAATTACAACCCACCTTTCTGAGAAAGGCTCGGTGAAGCGAATCAGGACATGGGGCTCGAACTTCAAAGCTCCTTCCCCAGTCGTAAGATAATCGCTTGTTCTCTTTAAGGTAGTGAGATCTGCAAGTGCAACCCAGAAAAGGCTGGCATTCTGCCACACTCCACAAATCCATGGCCGCCGTAGTAAGTACGAGTACGGAGTGAGGTAGTGAGTGGCATTTTCATTATTTTCTTCTGTATTTTCTACCTGTAATACTGCGAAGTATATTTGGGTCAGTCATGGTTCGGGCATCACAAACCCACGTTTCTAGAGCGTAATCGCGTGTACGAGTACGATCGTGTACAACTCCTGTACTTGTAGGTAGCAAGATGCGGAGATGCTACTGCACTGCACTGCGTTGTGCTGGTTGGAAAGAAGTCTGAATCTCTTCCATCATCTCCTCTGACCGACTTGACCGGACATCGCCATAGCACGTCGCCCTAACCATGCTACTTTCCCCTGTGAGCGAGCGTCCCAACCAAACATTCCCAGATGGGTACCCGCTTGGGGATAAGGCTGTGTTGCTTGCGGTGCATGTACGGACGGCGGACGGTGAGCATTGGGGACAGTGTAGAGAACGCCATGCGAGATATGCTAGCTGGCAATGCCAAAAGTAGTCGCCAACACCTGCAACACTACCCTGAGCCGATCGAGTTTGGACTGTCGTTGGCATCAGGTAAGGCTCTCCGGGGTCATTTTGGATAACAGGGGCCAACCCTATGCAGACTCTGATGCCTGCACCCTCTGTAAGCCCTTGTCCTTGTCCTGTGGGTGGGCTTAGCAGTAGAGCACCTCTTGACGGCTCTGCGACAGACCAATATTATTATAGTCCTTGAGGTGCCCCCAATTCAGAAGATGGACATCATCCTCCAGACCACTCACTCACTCTACCTCGACATTCAAACATATCGACTTGGCAATAACAAGGCACCCATCTGACCGCATTATACTTAATCTTACTACTCTACCCAACTTATTCCTTTTTCCTCCTCACTCTCCACCACACCCACCACATATCATATATAGTCACCCCTCCTGTCTCGGGACATACCAAACCACCGCACTCACTCTTTGATCCACCGTTCCCAGTCTTCGCTCGCTACCTCCCGCGCGGTGAGATCCAACCAATCGTCCATAGAAGTCGAGCTTGATCGCGATCATAAAGTCCAAACATCCTTTCGCATCTACAATCTTCTACGCCGTGGATTCTCCTACGGAGAAGAGGTACGACTTTGACACCATTGAAGCTCAAATTTATTTGCAACATGTTCTAATCATGTATCTATATAGTCGGCGATAGTGGCTTCCACCCGGACAACAGCCAACCATCACCGTCTCAATACAACAAAAATGGTTTCACTCGCATCACATACCTACAATATGTTAAATAATATTAGCGATAGAGAAGAGGCCGATTTCCCACTCTATCCTGATCCACAGAACATGTTCTCGCCAGCTTTTCCGTTCATGCAAAACATACAGATGGAGAACAGCTATCCAAGGAACTTCGAGGGATTTCCTGCTAGCTCGCCGTTCAATTCGACAACAATGTATGCAACCGAAGCGCCCCAATACCTAGAGTCTCCAGAGTTGAGAGGAGCGCCATCAAATTACTCCACCGCCTCAGGAGCATCTGCTGCTTCCTCGGCAGTGGGCTCACCACACTCGGTCAACGGTCACAATGTCCCAATCCCAGAATGGGCACCACAGGGTCTGGGTTTAAACCCATCGATAGTCGGATACGATAGTTACCCCTCAGGCAACGAGTACTCCTTCACACCTTCAGGTATGGAAGAATTCGATTTGAATTTCAATTCAGCCAAGCCAAATGGCTTTGTTGGTGAGTGTCAAAAAGTCTCTAGATCTCGTCAGCACGGTTCGATCTCATCACATTGCGAGTCTCTTTCTTCATTGTCTACTTTTGTCCCTTCTCCAAGTACCTTGAGTTCGCCCTTCGACGACCAGAAGAGTGTGCCTTTCAATTCAGGGTCAATGGCTTCACCAGGTACACCCGCCAGCGCGACAAAGGAACCTAGAGATGACTGGTTCAAATCTCCTAATTCGGCGCTTTCAAATTCCCCTACCTTTTCGTGGCGACCTTCTCAAGCTCTCAGCCCATCACGCTTCGCCTCAACGAGTTCCGCCGGCCGGCCTCAAGATTTGCGATCCCCCGTTTCTGCTGTCTCGCAATCATCGAATCAGTCATTTGCCGCATATCATCCATCTCCTTTCTTTTCTCAGTCTAGCGGCAATTTTGTGCCTCCTCTTGAATCATCCTGTTGGTTTCCTCTGTCAATGCCATTTTGAAACACCAAACAAGTCTGAATGATATGCTAACGACTTTTTCAGATCCTTCCATCCTGCACCCTCAATATATTGGACGGCCACCTTCCACGGCTCAATCCAATGATGCCTATCAGCCACCTGCTTATCCCGGTTCGCCTTCCCTGTCGCAAATGTCAAGGAGCCCTCGGCCTGTCAGACAGGGCAGCTCATCTCCATATTTAAACACACAATATGGATATCCCTACCCACCACCAAGAAGACCATCATTGGCATCACACCAGTCTTATAGTAGTCAAGATGGCTACAGCGGTGAAGATGCAAAGGAGAAAGGACGTTGCACATACCCAGAGTGCGGAAAAGTATTCAAGGACTTGAAGGCGCATATGTTGACGCACCAAACCGAACGTCCTGAAAAGTGCCCCATCCAGACTTGCGACTACCACATCAAAGGCTTTGCACGAAAGTACGACAAAAATCGACACACTTTGACCCATTACAAAGGGACAATGGTGTGCGGCTTCTGCCCGGGTTCTGGATCAAACGCCGAAAAGTCATTCAATCGCGCTGATGTTTTCAAGAGACACTTGACCTCAGTCCACGCGGTTGAGCAGACTCCTCCCAATTCCCGGAAGAAGACTTCTAGCAACATCAACAACGGGAAAGCGCTTTCAGGATACGCACCCGATGCCACTGGCAAGTGTTCAACCTGCTCGGCTACTTTTAGCAATGCTCAAGACTTCTATGAGCATCTGGACGACTGTGTGCTCCGAATTGTCCAACAGGAAGAGCCGTCCGAGGCGATCAATGCCGCGCGTCTCGCAGAGGTGGAGCAGGATCAGGCTGTGCATGATACTCTGCGCAGCAATCAACTGCCAACTACCACCCAAAACATGTACTCAGCAGATGAGGATGAAGATGAGGATGAGTTTGACGACGAGAACGATGATGATTTTACCCTCCGATCAAAGGGATCACGAAAAGACCGTGGGAGCAGGAATCCTGCCCATGGCGTGCAAAAGTCACGCGGACTCACGCACTCCAAGGGAGGCGTGACGTTGAAGTCCAAGGGTCGCAAGAAGCGCAAGGACTACCCTTCATCCTGGGGCTGCCCTTCTGCACAGATGAAGCTGAAGAAGCGCGTTTTGTGCGTGTTTGACGGGCCGCGTCGTCTCTGGAAAGATGACATGATGCTCGACACGAACTATGAGGTCCGTATGAAGCTCAACGACGATAAGGCTTATGTCACAGACCTGGATGTTCAGACGATGCGCCGAGCAAATGCCTTCCATAACTCTACCGAGGAGGAGAAGGGTCCCTGGATCGCTGATGACCTTACTGGTATTAACCGTATGGATTTGGAGAAGCTGATGGAGCTTAAGCAGGAGCAATAAGCCCGCTTCTTCCCTCTCTTCTTCAGTTATGATGAGATTTATGTTTTATGAAGATACCTTTCATGCCTACAACTTTTTGAATTTTATTGTTTTTTACTTCTCGGCGCTTGGGGAATTGGGAATGGGGACGATACCACTACTACTAAAGAAAAAAGCATATTTTCTCAGTCATCATCATCATCAATCAGCATGTATGCATCAGACGAGCGGGGAAAGTATTTTTGAGCGTTGTCATCATGGTTCATCAATCATCTCTCTTCTTCCTCCAGTTTTCGGCCGGTCCGTCAAAGCGTGTTTGGAATAGCTGCATGGGAGGAAGAATGTGATATTAGTAAAGATAATGATTCAATATAAGAGTAATTGATCTCCTAAACAATATTATCCCTTGACTATCAACTTGAAGTGAGAGAAACTTGATGAAGATCAAATAGAAACAGCCGCCTGAATTCTTCTTCACCTTAGGCGGTGAGACTGGAATGGCAGAATTCTTTACCCCTCCAAAAAGTCAACACAATCTCAGCTCCTACCCCTCCACCCTCCAACAACTTGGTCTGGACCCTCCTTATTTTTCACTTCCACTTCCACTTTCACTTCCATTTCTACTTCCACAATTCTGCTTCACTCCACGCACGCAGGAGCAGCAAACCCCCCAAAATGCTCACCGACAAAATCCACTTCCCGAACCCCTCCACAGAGCCCGAAGACATCCTCTCCTCGTCCCTCGGCGTAATCTTCCCAGACGACATAACAAACCAACATGGCGACTCCCTCACCCCCATAATCTACCTCTCACCCGTGCACGGCGCCATCCACCTAACGCTAGCAGATCCACAGGGCGAGGATAACCGGCGGCTGTTCTCGCACTTCCTGTGGAATGCGGCGGTGCTGTTGGCGGAGTATATGGAGGAGGGCGGGGAGGAGTGGGGCGTAGCGGGGACGAGTGTGTTGGAGGTTGGGGCGGGGACTGGATTGGGGGGGTTGGTTGCTTGTTTGAGGGGCGCGCGGAGGACGGTCGTTAGTGATTATCCAGCAGAGGAGGTGTTGGAGAATATTCGGACGAATGTGGAGCGGAATGTTACGGTGAGGAGGGGGAAAGAAGGGGAAGGAAAGGCATTGGGTGAGATTGAGGTAAGGGGACATGAGTGGGGGGTTTTGGATGATGGGTTTGCGGTGGAGAATAAGAGCGCTTTTGGGAGGGTTTTGGTGGCGGATTGTCTGTGGATGCCGTGGCAGCATGGGAGCCTGCGGAGGAGTATCTGTTGGTTTCTGAGTGAGGAGGGCAGGGCGTGGGTTGTGGCTGGCTTTCATACGGGGAGGGAGAAGATGAGGGGGTTTTTTGACGAGGCGGCGTGTAGGGAGGATGGGTTGGTTGTGGAGAAAATTTGGGAGAGGAATGCAGATGGGGCTGAGAGAGCATGGGTTGAGGATAGGGGGATAGAGGATGTTACGGAGAGGAAAAGGTGGTTGGTTGTTGCTGTGCTTAAGAAAGCTACTGGATGAAGTCTTGAAGAGATGGTGATCTGAGTGTGAATGATGGGAAGCCCAATATCAAGCCACGTTAAGTGGCAGACTAAAAAGATGTGATCAGCTTCCAAGGTGAGCCAATTCTATATTCCAGGCTTGTTGGCAAGGAAGCTAACGAAGGCTAGCTATGACCAAATGCACTTTACAAGTACAAGTATGATACCTTTGGTCCGGAATATGAGTCCGGTTAGTCTCTTTCTAAATCAAAAAGCAGTCTAGCCCCAGTATGCTAAGACTTCTCTTCAATACGGACGATGATTTTGACATCGCCATCCATCCATTCCTCTTCATCCACACTCGTAGTAACCTCCCTCCAAGCATCTTCATCCTCAATATCTACCGGGCCGAAAGGACCCAGAACACGGATACTATTCATCTTCTTGCTCGTATCTTCCAATAGGTTATGGATGTGCTGAACCAAACTGGAGAATCCCGGGCAGGTGATCGGATTCAAAGTAAGCTTCGGCTTAAAGCGACTATGATTCTCAACAATATTGAGGTGATACTTGACAGCAGAGTCGTCAGCCTCTTCGAGGAGCTCGGGGCCATTCTGTACATCTAGCGGGCTTTCGACGAGTTCTGCTGGGAGATGCGGAGCAACATTGAGATGATAATCATCCAATGGATCGACATGAGGGTACGGAGAGATCGATGCGGGCTTAGTTGGGTCATCGTTAGAATCTATCATGGATTGGGCTTTCTCCTTGGCTCTTTCAGCTTCACGCTTGTCAGTAGCGTAACGGCGTTGCCTCTCATTTGTTACCATGCGGCGTAACAGAGGAGTGATCAGGGTTGTGATTCTAATTACGATTAGCAAAGTTTCGATTGCCTTCTAAATCTAGAGTCATTGATCACTGAAACTAACTCTGAACCTGGTCTTTTCATGACCTCAAGGAGCATCACAAATAACCCACTGTCCCGAAAAACGAAGTGAAGTAGGCTCTTACCTTTTATCTGATTCCGGCCACCTTAAGGTCTTTTTTTCAGGCTCCGTAGCCCCTTTGCCCCATAGGCGTTCGCCCCATGTATCTTCCAAAAACGCCTTCACACAAGAAAATAGTTTCAGCTTGACCATATCGGTATCGCCCCTCTCCTTGCTTCCCACAGTCTCATAGCGATCAGGGTGATCTGGGTCGAGCATGAAATCCTTTGCTGCGGCCTGTAGCTGGAGGAATTCCTCGGCAGTAATCTGGAGAGAGACAAAGAGACTTGCCATTGGGGGCCCTATGAAATATTTTAGATTGAATCGGCTAGTAATTGATAGAACCAAACCTACGTGCGTACTTCCTCGACTTTTCCGAAGGACGCCGGAACAGAGCAGCAGCTGAATGAACACCCATAGATCTTGGGTTAAGACCAGAGATGCGCCCATACCTGGGGTCTTTCTCGTCATAATCACCTTGTTCAGATTCTTCGGTACCCCAAATCTCTCGCTCCTTTGCCTGTCGCGCTTCATACTCGGCTTCGAATACCTTCTGCCTTTTCCCTGGCCTCTTAGATGTTTCCTTAGGTCCTCCTGTTCGCTTGCGCTTCGGAGATGGCTGCTGGCCTTGGGATGGATTGGGGGAGCTAGTGGCATTATCTGATACACTGGGTTGCTCTTCGAATACATCTTCTTCGGCTTCTTGGTCTCCGGCTGTTGCAGCAGCTTCCAAAAGTCTCTCGAAACTATTGCCCTCATTCGGATTGGCGGGCGCAATCGCTTCGTGGGTGGGTTGCGGCTCAAAGTTTGCGAGACTTTCTAGCAAGGCCGCAGAATCCATATCGTCAAAGTTAATACCTGTTACAGGGTTAGAATGAGTTATGTAGATTTAAATTTGGGGAAAATTCGATAATACCATGTTGCTGTCCGTTGGATCCGGCATTGGCAAACCGGAAGTCATAGACATTAGTCTCATCGACAGTCTCATTCCTGGCAAGGTTGGGGAAAGCAAGGTCTTGGTCATGTGCTTGGTCGGGAATGGAGTTGTTAGAAAGAGAGGGGTCAAGATTGGACATCTTGATCTGGATGTTGATGGAGGGGTGATTGTTGCGTTTTGAAGTCTTAGCAAACTGCTTTGCTAGGTGGACAAAATAAAATGGAGATCCATCTTATCTTCCTGCAGGGGTATGTGGTGCTTACAGTAGCCTAAGATACGGAGCATCCTCGGTCCGGGAATAGCAATCTTGAGGTGGAGGGTGGATCTATCAACCACCGGGGAAAGACTGAGTGAGCATCATCACAGGCCTCAAACACTCTCAAACTTCACTTAAGATCCTCACATTCTTGGATAACCCATTCCAGTGCTGTAGCCGATGGAAATCTCAACTCTGCTGCAATCAACATGATAGGAAACCCGTCGGCGGTTGGATCAGAGGTTTTCTCTCTGATCGCATTGCTCATCATCTCACTCGGAGTCCTCCTTCTCTTGCGCCATTACCTGCCTCTGCGCACCACGCCGGCATACCTCACCGTGCCGATATTCTTTGCACTCGGGATACCTGCGAGTATTATACTACTTGTTCCAATAGATCTTGCGTCTAGCTCCCGAGGCGATGATGCTAGTAGAGGAATCTGGCTACCGGATCGAGTGTTGTTGGTAGCATGGCGCATTAGCTACTGGCTTACTTTTGGCCTTACTTGGTACGAGTATTTCTTGGAATGGTGGCATATTAGCATGCTGACTTTGCTATAGGTTTATCCTTCCTATCCTTGAAGAATATGCCGATGCTGGGTACCGAGATCCGAAAGGGAGGCTGTTGTACTCTTTGCGCGCGAACGCCAAGTACCAGGGAGCCTTGTTTGGGACTGGTTTATTGGGGATGATATACTTCTTCATATCAGCGGGCGTAAAACCAGCCTCGTTGAAAGGCTTGGTGATGGCTTTAGGATACTGTTGGGGTTTGATACTGGGCATTTATTTGATGGGTCATGGACTTGTCGCAATACCAAGACGACTATTCAGGAACGCCAGTATCAGTGGAAGGTTAAAGCGCATCCAAACTGAGGCGGCAAAAGTACATGAAAAGATGGAAGATGCCATTCAAAACCTTGAGGACCTTGAAGCCCAAGTTGCACAGTTGTCGCAAAGGAACACCGGGTCTGCGAAGGAGTTCAAGGATTGGATAGAGGAACTGGCAGACGAATCACACCTGCCAGAATCTCGTCCTCGTACTTTATCACGGCGCCTGTCAGCTCCACAAGTAAATGTTCCAAATGTCATCACTGAGCGATATCTAGCGGATCTGAGCAGGCAGTTGGATAGGGCTCGCCACACACGAGCGAGATACCTGGATGAATGGGATCGTATATTACAAGATTCCGTGGATACTCAAGCTATTTTGGACTCTGCTGGATCGAAACGTATTGAGATTGGGGAAGCATCACCCAATGCCCCGATACTTGGCCGTTTTTCTGTCCTTACCCCTTTTACTCGATACCTCTACAGGTATCACTTTATCCCGTACCTTAGGATTTTTTTTGGCTGTTTCTTCTCACTCGCCTCGTTCTGCATCATCTGGTCTGAGGTTACCAAACCCATCAACCAATACTTCTCCATAATCTCCGTCACGGTTGTTCACCATGCCGAGGGACAGCAAGGGCGAATCGGATTCGCTGGACAGGTCATTGCAGCGTGCTGGATATTTTACATGTGCGCAGCAGCTCTCATATCTCTTACAGAGGTCAAAGTTTGGAGGGGCAGAGCACTTGTGAGAAGGAACACCCATGGCGAAAGTGCCATGTGGTATGCCATGCAAGTGGCCAAGCTTACAGTGCCTCTTTCATTCAATTTCTTGACATTTATATCACCGGAAAGCCTGTATAAGGAGACCACTTTCTTCAACTTCCTTGGGCAGTACATAACCTTGACGCCCCTCGGAACTTGGTTCGACTGGCTATTCCCAATCTTTATTTTGGTTCCTGTCTGTGCCACGCTTTTCAATCTTTATGGCAAGGTCGCAAGCTGTGCTGGGTATGGCAACGTGATTGAAGATGACGATGAGGATAATGAGAGCGGGTATGGTACCGGGTCATGGCGTGAGGGTAGAGACTTGATAGAACGAGAACTACAAGGCGCCTCCTCACTGGGCCGACTCGGACACACTGCTACAGATCGACGTTCTCACGTTCCAAACAACCCAAATAATCGGACTGCGCCAACATTAACAGTTCCGCCAGCAGAGAGACATCGAGCTCTGGGCCAAGCATCAACATCGAGGCCTAGCGCAGACCCCCAACAACACGCCTCCACAGCACCAGAAGATGAGAACTTTTTCGAAGCATTTGGCCACCGGGTGCGAAATACTGTCGATACATTTGAATCTCCGAAATGGATGCAAAATATGAAACGACCGAAATGGATGGGAGGGGACGATGATGATGTTGGTGATGATGGTGCAGGCCCAAGTCGTAGTGGGAGCTGGTTTGGTCGACAGGATGGCCGAGTACGATTATAAGTACTGTAATTGTGGAAGTCAGGACGAGCTTTGAAGCATAGCGGCAGGAGTTTGTAGAGATAGACTGGGTTCATACCGCGTATACCCGCTTGAATTATTGTTGGATACCTCGGATACCTAACTTAATGCACAGAATATTCAGATACTCTATCAACATCTTCATTGACCCCTGATCAAGACTTTTACTGCCACAGCTCTCAATGTCTCATTCTCATTCTCCGTGTCTTGTCTCTGTCTCAAGCCGAGTATTGCCAACAGATTCCTTTCTACTTCGTATACGACTGTATGTCTCTGCCTCAATTCCTGATGCAGGGGAAAGCTGAAAACCTCGTTTTCGTACAACTTACCAATCAAAAACACCTATCGTCGTACCGGCATTACAGCACTGTAGAGCCCCACCCCACACCCACGCACCTTTCCCGTGCCCGTCCACGGCCCGGAAATTGAACGATTCCGCAGGTCTAGTGGTGTCTATCCTACTGGATTGATTTTTTATCGCGGGGTTGGGGGCTTACCTGCAGGAGCTTCAGACCGAGTACAGTAAGGTGGAGGCGGGGTGAAGGTGTGATTATCTACGGTAGGTAAGTTTGTTGGTTTGCTTATTCTTCTTCTTTTCTTCTTGTTTTGTTTCTCGTATTATTATTATTGTTGTTATTGCATGGTCTTTGATTGATATTTGCAAGTTGGAAGTAGAGTGGAATCGGTCGGTGTTGGAATTGAGGAGGGGATAAAGATGGACGATTACATGTTCAAGGCGAATGTGGATCGCTGCAAACATGTGCAAGAGGCGACGACGTATCTCGAGATCTTTACATACTCTGTGAGTGTGTCCTTCCTTGGATCAGTTCCTGCAACTGGAGATGAGGGATTTGGACTTGCTTTGCTAATCGGTTGGGCTTTTGCGCAAGTAGGATCCGAGCTTGAATACGATTGAAGAGCATCCGTTGACACCGGATGAATTTGATAACTTTCTGCACCGGAGGGTATGCGATTTTTGTTTTCTGCGCCGAGTGGGTTGGCGATGAGAGGATGGCTGACATAATGGGTTGTGTAGGGAGCTTTTGCGCCCCCGGTGCTGCGGGCGGGAGTCAAGGTGGTAGCTTCTATGCGATTGATGTGAGTACCTAAGGTACCTTGTTGTCTTCGTGAAGCTGGAGAAAGAGGAACATATGCTAATGCTTATTGTATGTACCAGTCTCCAGCAAAATGCAAAACACCCCGAGACCTTCACCCCGCATGTCATCTCCCTCCGCCCTGAAATATACAAGCACATGGTGGAAGCTCTGAACCTGCCTTACCGCGGAATCGAAAGTACAAGTGCTGTAGGCCCCTTATTCTGGTCAGCTTGGGACCAAGATGAAGAAAACCCGCATCTGCGTATGTATATTTCATTACCCCCTCTCAATTTGCTGTCTGTCTGTTTCTACCCATCCATACTAACAAGGCTATCTCCCCCACAGAAATTGTATACCGCAAATCCGACGTCCGCAAGAAAGGCCTCACGCGCGGCTGGGAACTAATGCTCTCACACGACGTCAAAGCCGGCATGACGACCGGCTTCAGCAAAGGCACACCCTCCTCGGACATCGTAGAATGCATCAAGCACCTAAAAGCCTGCTCACTACAAATCGGACACCCCATGCTCCTCCCCATCATAATATTCTCGCACGACGTGTCGTTCAAGACGGACATCAAGCAGCGGGACGCGCGGGACTGGCTGCGGCGGCTCGAGCACGCCGTCAGCATGCGCAGCGAGATCGAGGAGCGCGAGGGCTATGTGAAGGACGGGACTGTGGATCTGGATGCGGTCAATAGGGATCTGGTCGAGTGTCACTCGCAGGTGCTGTGGAAGCGGCCGAAGGCGTATATTGAGATCTTGAGGGCGCAGGAGGAGTCGATGCGTAGGTTTTGGAAGGAGTTGAGCGAGGAGAGGAGGGCGGAGGGCGGGATGAGAAAGTTGCAGGCTAGTATGTTGGCTAGGTTGGACTTTTATAGGGTTAAGTTGCAGGGGATCGAGAGTTATGCTTATACGACGCTGCAGAGGCTGGATATCCAGAGGAGTGCGGTGAGTTTACCCCTCCTTTTTTTGAGTGGTATTGGAGGAGAGTGCTGATCGGATGCTAGCTTTACAACATCATTGCCCAGAAGGAATCAAAGCTCAATTTCCAAATGGCCGGGGAACAGCGCAAGCTCGCGCACGCCAGTAAACGGGATTCAGCAGCCATGAAAACCATCTCTCTCCTCGGTGTCATCTTCTTCCCGGGCGCATACCTCGCCTCTGTGTTCTCGATGACATTCTTCAATTTCCAGGACCCCGGACCAGTCGTCGATGGCCGGTTCTGGATCTACTGGGCCATCACGATCCCCATCACGGCACTCATTGTGGGGATATGGTATGTGTGGGAGAAGAAGAGGGAGAGGAGATATGAGAATGAGGATCAGGATTTGGAACGGGGGAGTGAGGCAATGGAGAAGGAGATCATGGCTATGATGAGGAAGAGGACCTTGAGTAAGGCGAGTACATGGGATACGAAGAAAAAGGAGTGAAATTTGGATGTCATGGGAATTTTACTTTACGAGGGAACGATTTAACGGCATGTGAACGACGATATTATGATTCGATGATGATGACGAGTTATGTAGAAAATTACATATATGTTTATAGCAGAGGGGAAAAGCCGAATGGGATTAAATACATCGGAGAAATGCTCACTGCTGCACAATCTATGGATTTGACTGAGATGGGGAAAGGAAATTTGCCCCGTACCAAAAAAGCCTTTTGCAGGGACATAACCAGTATTTTATAATAGCAATCGGAAAAGCATGATATACAATCCATTCTCAAACGCCAGACTGTGCCGCCCACCATATAAGCCTACCCACCCCGTAATCCGTTGCACTCCCTTGATATTCATGACTCACTTATACCAGCCCAGCCGTCTTCACTCCTCACTACCCTTCTCCTTTCCATCAACACTTGCGCCACCCTGAACACTAGACACAAACTCCTGATACTTGAAAACCTCACCCCGTTTCCCCATGCCATTACCACTATGTTTCCCAAATGCTCTCCTGCCAGTAAATCCACTCATGACCCTATCAATCTCCCTCTCAGTCAAAGGCTTCTCTCCCGGTTCCGGCGCTGTATGTAATAATCCATCACGAAGTTCAGCTAAATCAATTTGTCCACTATCATCCTCATCGAACGCCGAGAAAGCAGAAAGGAGTTCCGAGGAAGGCGACAGGGCGGCAAGGAGACTAGCTAGGGAATTGAGATACGCAGGCAGCGTAACAGTCTGTGGTGTTGAAGGGGGAAAGAAATTTGTTATGTCTGACGAGTTTGCTGAAAGCCCTATGTGATCCCAAAGATTAGAAAGCATCCTATTTCGTAGGGGAAGGGAATCTTACCCAATTGCGTCAACATATCAGCAACATCCTCTCGTCCCACCTGCCCATCACTATCGCGATCCAGAATCTGAAATCCCTCTCTCAACTCCCTCACTTGCGCTGGCTGCAATTTTGCAAGCGCATTCCCATCATTCGCCGCCGCGCGGTTCGTGAGCATGCCGCCGAAACCTGGACTGTTTTTGCTAGCAGGCGTCGGACTTAAATCTCGATCTCGCCTGCCTGCTGATGCTACCAGTCCTCGCGGTGTCCATTGTTCTGGTTCTGGGGGTGTAGATATTTGCTGTTGCTGGGCTAGACGCGAGGGAGTGGTTGAAGCGGCCATCTTGGTGGGTGAGGGGTTTGGTGTTGACTGTCGGAGGGGAGAAGGTGAGGCAGGGGATTCAGGACGGCGGAAGGGTGAAGCTCTTGGAGAGCCGTAGGAGAGGGGGGAAGGCTTGTAGGGGGTTGACTGAAGTATGGAGCATTCGAATTAGCAATTGAATGCTGTGAAACTTGTGGGGAAACCGCAATGGAGACGTAAGATCTTACCATGGTTACGGATGTATTTTGAGTCTAGGAGAATAGATTTGTGACGCTTCAAGGATTAGAAGTAAGTCACAACAGCTGTAGCTTACACAATAAAACAAGACTGTGGCAGTTGGTGGCAGCTTCTTATTCTATCGCTGTGATGTGAAGTAAAAGTAAACAGGGCCAACCCCAACCAAGTAAACAAACGGCAAGGCTGTTCAGCCGAGTCATTATCACGTGGCATGGACATCGTTTCAACCGGGTACCCCTGACTTGTCCGTTTTTGGGTGCAGCCAGCCTCACCACTTCTTTAATATAACTTCCTATTTTGATTATTTATTCGACTCCCTACTCCCACGATCTACCATCGCCCCGACGCACGTACTTTGCCTCAATCCTCAATTCCTTACTGTACCACTGCCGTAGTTTTTGTTTAACCCTGCAGGCTGCAGCTCGTCTTTTAGGGGTTGCGGTGAGATAACCTACTGGACCATATGCCTGCCTGAACCCTGCCAAGTGGACCATCTCAGGTCTCAGATAGGATAGGATACTGTAGCTCGCACTATTCTAGCACCACAAAGTAGGGTAGGCCCTCCGCTCTAGCCTCTATCCCACTTGAAGATGGCCTCCTCTCTCCCCTATGTGCCGATATACCACACCACGAAAGTCACGAAACAAGCAATGCAAACCGCTCAGCAGCGTCCTACAACTAGAGGCACCACAGGCACTACTGATACCTGGAGTTCCAATGGCAGCGCGCCTGCAAATCACCGCCAGTCTCTATCCTCGTTCCCCTCCTCAAGATCTCCCTCCGCTATGTCTAGGCATTCGAGAAGACCGTCCAGGTCACCCAATCCTCCCATGATTGAGACTGATCGCATCTCTGATCCGAGCTCGAATTCGAAAACTCCTTCCAGTGGCATATCCTCGCAACACTCTTCTCTCTCTGCCCCGCAAAGATACAACCCGGATGCGCACTCGAGGAGAAAATTACGGTCCCAGTATCCGCGGGGAGACAATGCAGAGAATCATGTCGAGTATATATTAGTAGCCTCGTTCGATATCGATAAGGGTCCCATTATGGAACACCAATACCCAGTTGCTATAACAGGAGATGAGCATATGTTGGCAGAATTGATGTTACCAGACCAGGCGCATGTACGGAATCAGGATTGGACGATATTCTTCCTGCATAAAGATACAAGTCAAGAAGAAGAGGAAGCAGAGTTGAAAGAAGCAAGACGGCAAAGGAGGCAAAGGAGAGAAGACAGGGCTGCGGGATTGTTGGATGAAGATGATGTGGAAACAGAAGAAGAGGCTGAATTAGGGGAATCTTCTGGTGAGGATTCAGATGAGAGTGAGCCAGAGGGAGGAGAAGGCCCACCGTTAATTTATGTGCTGAATTTAGTAAATACGAAACAGGATAAGACGGCAAAGCGTGGAGCGGTGGTGAAGGCTATGGCGATATGTACACGGCACCCTTTCTTGCATATATACAAGGTTTGTTCACTTCAATTATTCGTGAACCCAAATCTAACATAAATACAGCCCTTATTGTTATTAGCTCTTGAAGAGTATTTTAAATCACCTCACCCGGCAACGCTGGCGTTGCTTTACGAAGCCGTAAATACCATGGATTTATCATTGATGCCCCGGTTGAGTCTTCTGGAAAGATACCTTCTTCAAGCTAGCGATAACAAGGATCTCTTTGTCGAGAAATTCGAACAGATGATCCAGATACGGATGGCGGAAGATAGAGGCGAAGCGCCTGAAGATATCGCAACTATGGCTGAAAGTCCAGAGAGACGAACAGACCTCACACGAATTGGGACGAAACAACATGTCGTTGCTCATTCGCAATATTCTGTTCCGAGGGATACCCACGAGTTTGAGACGAGAGTCATGTACAATGGAATCCCGATACCTATCAAAGTGCCAGTCGCCATTTCCCCTGAAACGGTTGGCGACTTCTCACTCATCAAACTTATTCAGACGTTTGCTGAACCACATGCGAAATCCCCTCAACCTTTTACCCTGCACCCACATCTCACTACTAATGGCGCAATGACTCATCCTATTATTGTTCTTGCTAATGCCGTATTGACTCAAAAGCGTGTCATATTCCTCGGGCACAATCGTCCATCCGGCGAAGTAGCAGAAGCTGTACTTGCAGCATGCGCTCTAGTCTCAGGGGGCATCTTGAGAGGCTTCACTCGACACGCATTTCCCTACACGGATCTTAGCAAAATCGATGATTTGCTAAAAGTCCCCGGATTCATAGCAGGCGTCACGAATCCAACTTTCGAGAACCACCCAGAGTGGTGGGATGTTCTTTGCGATTTACCTACTGGTCGGATGAAAATCAGTACTAGGATTGAACCACAGCCTCTGACAGAGGGGCTGTCAAATTTCGTGCAACAGAATCCTGCGTATGCAAATTTGGCGAATGCAGCATCTTTGACAGCCCCTGTCAATGGCGATCCTACAGGAGATCAAGCGTTTATGGCTGATGTTCTTCGAAGCATTGCCGCTCGTCATGGAGAGGGATCTATTAGAGCGAAGTGGCGGGACTGGGTTGAGAGATTCACACGGATTGCTGCAGCGTTTGAGGAAAGTGTATATGGAGCTAGTGCACTTTATATCGGTGTAGAAGAAGCCGAGCCAGGTAATGAAAGCGTTAGTGGACATGGATATGTGTGGAGTGACGAGGCGGCAAAACTGCGAGAGCTGGCTGGGGGTGTGAGCCGGATCGAGGGCTGGAGGAATACAAGGAGTTATTTCAGCTTCAAACAGGTACATGCCCCATTTCTCACCATTATCTTATCATTAACGATGGATAGGACCTCGCCCAACTTTATACCTTCCGACCCCTGAAAGCCCTCGACCTCCACCACCTCCACGACCGGCTCCGCATGACAAAACTGACGCCCTCCTCGAGTCGAGAAATTTACCTTGCCATGTCCAAGTACACACACTCCTACGATGAGATCTGCCAGCTTCTTACCGTGGCGCCAGAATCGCACGCTGGCCTCTTCTACATCGCATTAGGTCTGTTTCATAAAGACAAGGATGTGAGACTAAAGGTTGTGGAATTGTTAGAAAGGATTAGTGAGCATGAGGCGGGGAGGCATTGGTGGAAGGGTCTGAGTAAGTTTGAAAAGCTGGCGTATTTTCGAATCAAGAGGGAGGCAGAGGCGGAGATGAGGGGGAGGATGGGTGTGGGGGAGGATGATGCGCTGGGGATGATGGTTGATAGGAGGATTTCTTGAAATATACTCTGCAGGAAACAGAGAAAGGGGGCATGAGGGGATATAAGTCACATAACGACATGATATTACGAGGTAATGACTTAGTGTTGCTGTGCAACAAGGTGTGCATTGCATGGATAGATGAGATACCCGCGAGCTTGAGCTCGAGCTCGAGGTCAAGCATGGAATGGAATGGAAGTATGAGCTTTCATGGTTAGGATAGGCATAGATTCGTATGCGCTTGGTCAGTTGTATATTGCATATTGCATTGCATGATTGGAATATTTATTCGCTCATCATCTCTCCATTTTACACCCATTTAAAGTCTCCCCTTTTCGTTCTCGCTTCTATCTCCGTCAGCTTCTTTTCATCCTAAGGAGAAGTCCACTCCATCCCACTTACTATGCGAATAGATGTTTAGCAGCATGGTTTACATGATCTGTGGAGAACGTCGAGATGAAAAAGTATGAGTGGTCGTATCCATCCTGATACCTCACCACAACCCCCTTCTCATTCCCGCTCTCCTTCGCCGCAGCCACGAAGTTCTCCGGGAGTAGCTGGCCTTGCTTGTAGAAGTTATCCCCGGTGCCGACATCAATCAGTGTCTCGAAGGGCGCTTTCCCCTTGTAGCCCTTCAGCAACTCACTCGCATCGTGCGCCTTCCAGCTGTCCTTGTCTTCCCCAAGGTAGCCAGCGAACGCCTTCTGGCCCCACGGGCAGTTGACGGGGTTCGAGATGGGCGCGAAGGCGGATACGCTTTTGTAGAGCCCCGGGTTCTTGAGGAAGAGCGTCAGCGCACCGTGCCCGCCCATACTATGGCCTGTTATGGATTGGCGCGTGCTGTCGAGGGAGGGGAAGGATGCGAAGAGCTGCGTGGGCAGTTCGGATGTGATGTAGGATTCCATTTTGTAGTTGCTGGACCAGGGGGCTCGGGTTGCGTTGATGTAGAAGCCGGCGCCGTGCCGAAGTCGTAGGATTCGTCTTGGCCTTCGATGGCGAGTCCTCCTGTTCTTGGTCAGCTTCGATTTCTTTTCATTTTCAACTGCGATTTCAATTCCAATTCCAATTTCAAGACCAGTCTCTTTGTAAACACGTGGTGGGGCTATGTGAGCACACATGAGGCTGTGGAAAGGAGATATTGAGGGGCGGACATACGAGGTGAGGTGTCGGGATATACTATAGCGATGCCCTTTTCGCTGGCGCGTTTCTGGAAGAAGCCCTTCTCGGCGCCGTTATCACCCGTACATGTCAGACCTGCTAGATAAAACAACACTGGGATCTTTTGGGTGGAGGATTCGGCCGAGGGTGGGAGGTAGAGGTTTAGTGCCATGTCGCAGGAGAGGGTGCTAGAGGTATGGGTGAGTTTGAGGAGCTTGCCGCCAAAGGAGGCGATTGTTGCTGTCGTTTTGAACGACATTTTGGATTGTATTTCTTGGTGAGTTGATGGAAAGGAGGGGGTTTTTGTTCGAGGAGGGGAATCGAGGTTAATTGAAAGGGGAGGGAGTGTTTTGTTATTTATTGGGGGATGACGTTCAACCCCTCAATGCGGGGCAGACATAGGACTGACTGGATTTAGCATCCTTGTTCGGCATATGGGTCCTGAGGTCGGAGATGTTGCGGCGTTGGTGCGAAATTCACTCGGCATCTTTTGAAGATGAAAACATGGGGTAGAAACAATAGAGTACGGTTTCGGATTCCAACAGAAGTGAAAGAAGAGCTGTCATTCTTTACTGTTCTTGTAAATAGGCCTCCATGATTTATCTCATCCAAACGCCATTTTATACGCCAATCCAGCCCAGCACCCCTGCTATGCTGTCAATTATCAACTCATTCTACTGCAATAGCTCTTCACACGACCAGTCCTCATAGCTGAATATAGTTAGTACGAGATTCTGATGGACTTAGGATCCAACTTACAATCCATCAGGCATGTACCGCCGCACAATCAAGGGTATCTTCTTCTCTCTCAGCTCCTTGATCGCAATTTGCAACGGATCCGTCTCTCCCTCCAGATCAACCAGCACCGGCGCATTCATACTGTAAACCATATCAGACATGTTTGCACACCATGGCATCAAAATATATCCCTACTAACCTGATCTGCAACGCTCTGGTCCCCAAAATTCTCGCCCTCTCGTACTTTGTCATATAAGGTGTCGTCGTCCTTTGCTCACTGGGAATCTTCTTATCCTTCGGTGTCTTCCCCTTAACTTTACTCGCGATGGCCGCATCCAGATCTCCAGCTTCAATAACACCGCTTCGTTCGCCTGTAGCCAGGAGCTGGTCTGGATTCTGACCGACTGCAATGTCATCGACTTGGTGCGATTCCTCATCTGGGTCAATGGGTTCTACTGGCTCATCGGGATCGTACTCGGGCTCGTCATTCTCGTAGTAGCTGCTTGCCTGTATTAACCAATGCTTGGAGGGGGTAGAAGCTGGAATGGAACTTACTCCTCGCCGCCACCGCCGCCAGCATCACCCCATCCTCCTTCGTCGTCAGACATTTTGACTGGGCGGGTCGCGGAGCTTCACAGAGATCGGTAGATGGTGTAGGGAGCGTGCTGAGGTCGCGGTTGTAGATTTGCGATGCTGTACGGGTTGATTCAAAGAAATTTGAATGCGCCTCAAGTTTAAGGTTTAGCGCGAAGTACTTACAATGTAGCCCCTGTCAGCCTCGCTCTGGACAGAAAGAGCGGCACTGAATTCCACCTTCCAAACTGCTATATGGAGTGCCGCTTTTATAACCAGCCACACCGCATAAAAATCGTATCTCGAAATATTTTCAATCAATGCCGCTTCATGCCAACCCCTCCATGATATTCTACAATGGCGACCCAAGCCAGGCAGAGGAACGCTGCAGGCTCTTTAGAAGAGTCCACACAGAGATTGCGCATTAAAGAGTCTCTTCATGCAAATGGTCAACTTACTCTTCAATATTGCAATTCAATGTTCACTAACAGCCATGTAGAGAGCCCTTCTTCTCCAATCGACGAGGACGATGAGGATGGAAGCGAATATAATCATGAAAAGGACGAATTCTCGGATGATGGAGGAGGAGGAGCTGAGACTCCAGTCACTCCCTTTTCCCCCGGACGAAAGAAGTTTCCTTCAGAATACAAGACAATTCCATGCACTTTTCCAGGATGCACCAAGACGTTTAATCGCCCAGCGAGAATGAAAGGGCATCTAGTAACACATACCAATGAACGCCCATTCCCGTGCCCTTATGATGGTTGCGATAAAACCTACATCGAGGACAAGCATCTGCAGCAGCACATTAAAGGCACGCACACTCAAGAGCGCAAATGGATCTGTGATTGGGAGGGATGCAACAAGAGTTTTTTGACTGGCACAAGACTCCGAAGACATAAAGAAGCTCATGAGGGCCACGAACGGTTCAGATGTACAGGCTATCCATCCTGCAACAAGACATTCCGCAAGCATCAAACACTCCAACGCCATATCCGCTCCGACCACCTTGAACTCGCCCCATTTCCATGCACATACATCGATCCGATCACCAAAGAGCTCTGCAATGCTGGATTCGACGGTGCGGTCGGTCTACGCAAGCATGTAGAGCGAGTCCACTCTGATCCCCAATTCGTCTGCCCCTCTTGCACAATCCCCAATTCCTTCAACCTGGATGGCACCCTCAAGTTCCTAGCCTTTACGACCGATTCTCAATTACAAAGCCACATCCGTAAAGAGCATTCAGACTGCATGTTCTGTGACAAAAAGTGCTCCAGTCAACGCGAATTGCAAAAGCACATCGAGAGCCAACATTCAGGAAAGACTCTTGACGAACGCAAGACAATTCCTTGCACGTATTTCGATTGCGGCAAGACGTTTACCAAGAAGTCCAATCTCGCTGTGCACATCCGCACCGTCCATAACGGCGAGCGCTTCATCTGCGGCTCTTTCGATGTTTCCTCCAATATAACCCTAGAAGCGTTTGACCCACTAGAACACGCATGCGGAAAAGACTTCACCTCGAAAGCGAGTCTTGAAGACCATATCCGAACGGGACATCTCGGTCTCCCAAGTCTCATCAATTCTAAACGCAAGAAGCCCACAGAAACGGAGATGGATTTTGATATGGATTTCATCGATGACGAAGACGACGATTTTGCTCCCAAGAAGAAGAAACGTAAAGCGAGAAGGCAAAAGCCTAATGTTATTGATGAGTTGGTTGGTGATTCTTACGCGGCGGATCCGAATCGGAATATTCCTTGCTTGGATCGACTTGCGCGCATAAATTCATCAGGCAATATGATCGTGAGGTTCATTTGCGAGCTGCCCATCCGGTTTTAACTGAAGCTGCGAGGTTTGATTCTCCATTTGATTTCCAACCTTCAGGCTCTTTCTTCCAAGACGGGGGTGGAAATGGGGGTGAAGGTGGAGGAATGGGTATCGGTATTGGTACAATGACAGTACAGGCTGATATCGATTGGGAATTACAACGGCAGGCCTTAGACGGTGGTGCGTTCTGGGTTGGTGCTGGGGAGTCTATAGTGCCGAATGGGGATAGCTGGACGATGGAAGAGGAGGAGATGAGGCGGTTGATCGATCCGGATTTATTCAGTTTGTGAGAAAGGAAATACAATTGGAAGGGAAGGAAAAGCAAGGAAAGGAAAAGTATTTTGGGATGCCGTTATGGGACAAGTGACAAGGGGAAATTAAAATAAAAGGGAAATGAAGATGTACGGGATAGCTAGAGTCGCAAGTGCTGCATTTACTCTTTGCTATTCTTGCTTGAGATAGAGAGGATCTAGAATAGAATGAATGAATGAATAAATGAATTTGCTATACCTATCTTCAAGATTCTCTCTACTTCCAGTCTTGATATGTGATGACCTTATTATACCTCGGAATCTAATAATTCGTCTCGTCTTGTTTCATTTCATCTGTTTAATCCAATTCAATTCGATCTAAAAACATATCTTATACTCATTCGAAAATGCCTGCTTGCTTACTCAATCAGTCTCTCTCTCTCTCTCTCTCTCTCTCTGCAATTTAATCCAATGCCATGCAAGAACTATACCGAACCAAACCGAACCGAAACCGAACCGAAACCGAATTATACATAGTATTCAAATGCCAAACCTCAGCCTAGGTAGCAAGACAAGGATTCGTACTCGCATTATAGAAGTATAAGATGATTAATCTCTACTACTTCCTTACCTTTTCCCCTTGACATGCAAAAATCAATGACCGCTTACTCCGTATACTGTAATTGGAGCTTGGTTCATCCATGGATGGATGGATAGATAGACGCAGGTACACGAGACCTTAAGCTTTGCCCCGAGAGAGAATTGCGGATCCGAACGCGCCGCTGATGCTGAGTGCGGTGCGTAGTTTTCGGAGAATACTGTAGGAGTAGGTGACGGGACGGGTGTGTGGATGTGCGTGAACTACGTAAAGGAAAGCTTGATTCTGGTCTGGGGAGCGGAAGGAAAGTGCCGATCTTGGGTGTAGGTTTGCAAGGTTGTGTTGCGCTATCATGGTTGATGGGGATGAGTTGGCGGTGAACTTGGGGGATTGAATGGATTGGTCGGATGGTTGGATGGCATTGAGTGATGAATGGATGTGGGTTTGATTTTGTTATAATGTTGTTGTTTGGTTGGTGTTTTGTGGTTAGGAAGTACCCAAGGTACAATGTAAGGAAGCTGGTCTCTTGTTTAGTGAAGTAGATGACTGGCTGCTTGTTTTGGACATGTCATTGTTAGGCAGGTCTTTTCTACCTTATGTGTTGATTATCTTGAATAAAGATGGGTGGTTTGACATTTTTTAGTATATGCGAGGAGGAGTTTGTTCTACCAGAAGACTTTTATATGAGTACCGGTACCACCTGCTTCAAAGAAAAGAAATATAGATACTGACTTGATTGCAGATGTTCACGTGAGTGCTTCCCCGAGATAAAACTTGGTGCCGTGTACCAGCACTCGTTAGTTGCTTCCTAATGGCAAATACCGCGATGTTGTTAAGTGCGTCGTTGTACAATAGATCGACTTCTATATACTATACTGGTGCAATGGTTCTGAATCGCGATATCCAACAGATTTAACTCGATCCGGTGCCGGCAGTAAAGAACTCCACAGCCGCTAATTCGCGGCATCGGTGCGTGCGTGAGTGGGCGTGGCTGCCCCCTGCTCTGCTGAGAGGGAGGGAGGCTTAGCTTAGGTAGGGTGATTGGATTGGATTGGATTGGAAGCACATTTCTAATTCTAGTCAGCAGAAGTTTATATTAAAAAGTAAGGACGTCAAGGAAGGGAGAAAGGTTTTCTTTTGAGAAATACTTCCCTTCGTATGAGCTGGGTAATCTCATTTTGGAGAGGGGTTTGGATAAGATATGGTGGAGTCCAGAATTCATTAGTGTGGCGCCATAGTAGGGATTATTATGGGCACCTGGCGATCATTCAGCGGGTAGGGGTTAGGTCTTGCAGGGGAGGGCGGGTTGCTGATGGGACGAGATGTTATTTGTTGCAAGCTGAGCTGAGAAGAGGAACAAACAGAAATGTGAAGTTGGTGAGATGTTGTAGGTAGGTTATGAGTATGAGGGAGTGTATAAGGAGGTGTGGAGTGGAAGGAGGGGAGGCGAAAAGGGGCTCGCAACTTTTGAATCTTGTACTGTTTTCAGCTGAAGAGGCTCCGAAACCCCCAGCTGCAAGGACGTACACACCTTCTTCATCCACATGATATGACCTTTGCCGGGATTAAAAAGTATATTGTCAGCAGTAACTGTGATTTAATTTGAATGGAATAATTGGATTGATTTCCAAACCCGCCTGGCAGATTTCCTCTCCAGAATTAAGTCTTGCAGACTCGTATATAATATGAAACTTGACCATCAGGATGCATACATACATGGCAGTGCTCTCTTACGGTGAGGCCGGATTGTTGGCAGTCGGGAGAGAGACGAGGGCCCAATGAACGGTTTGCGGTAGTTATAGACCTGATGACTGTTTGTATTGTTGGCTAGAGGTGCATGTCTCACTGCTTATGGGGCCGTGACTAGGTACTGACTGACTGACTGACTGACTGACTGACGGGTCTCAAGCTCTAGGGAGAAGAGGGTTTTCTACCTACTTCTACTCTCTTTGATTTCAGCAGCCTTTGCGTCGTCATCTACTTATTTCCTACCCTTTCTAGCCCCATTCTGACCCTATTCTAATGTCCCCGTGTACATACCTAGACAGGTCTCTCAATGCGTTTAACCCGTGCTAGTAATGAAGTATCCATTGTTTTCTTATAAGCATGTCAAAGGTATAAGGATGAATATGAATCTGAATCTGAATATGAACATGAACATGAAGACATGAATCTACCATTATTCTATTATTGCTATATTATACGGTTGTCATGTACCCCGGCTGTGTGGTGCATAGCCAATAGATTCTCTACTGCTCAATCTGGTTTAGCCACGACCAGGAAGATGCGCCCAGACACACCCAGCGCTTCTCGTCAACGCCCTGCACGCATCCACGCATCCACCACATCCACCCAAGATAATCCCAGAATCATCTACCCGTTCCCGTACCTTCTTACTCTACAGCTCTACATCCTCATCCTCCGCCTCCCTTGCCAATATTCAGAGCAGAGCAGAGCAGAACAGAATAATACGGAACTGGACAAAACATAACGGTCTCTTTTCTTTGCTATTGTACGCACTCTATTTCACTTTATTGGTAGCTCTGCACCACCTTGTCATCCCGCGCTATACTGGTCTGTCTGTTGATCTCCATTTCTCCTCTGATCCTAGCCCGTCGCAAATGGTTTGAGAACTTCAACATCCACGCTTTGACTGTCCAACTCTCCGCACTCCTGGGCCTCCTTCTGTATCACACATCCGCCGAACATAACCCATTGCTACGACTTGCACCTTTTCAATCTACGATACTGGATTTTCACCGCATCTCATTTACATAGCCTCACCCACCTCACCTCTACCTGTTCACCAGCCCAGGTCCAAGATTGCGCATGTCCCCAGGCCCCCGCCGGCAGTCAACCCTCGACAATACTTTGCTCCCGTTCGCTCCTACCTACATTACAGCCTCATCCTCACATCCTTCGACTCACCCAAACCTTCGTATCGCAAACCATCGTCTCCCCTCACCGACACCCGTACCTATACCCATACCCTCCCAAATATCCCCAACAAGCTCGAGCCTCTCGAACTCAAACTCTCGAAAATCCGAATATCGAACACCTCATTCTGCGTCGCAAACGAGACCATTATCTCCAATCCAACTGTCTCGCGCAACACAACGCCTAGCTCCATGTGGATATAATAGAACCATTCATAGGCAGCCTGCAGCCACTACACGGCCGCCTGCCTATTGTCAACAACATTGTACGGCTTCCGCCATTTTCTTTCCGCTGGGAACCCTGACCGACCTGGAAAACGGTCCACCCACACATTCACACAAAGACTGCGAGACACTTGCACAATCACTTTGGTCACGGTCGGGTCACTGACCTGTACCAACCCAACCCCGCCGAGTCGGCTCTCCTCGTAGGAAGCGTGGCGCTACCACATCTGATCTCGAAATGGCAGCGAATTTCCAACCTCATATGGGGGGTCCAGGCCAGATGATGCCACAGCAGCGTCCACAACCCCAGCGTGGGCCTCAGAATGGCGGGACGAACGCTTCATCGCAGATTCAGCAGGTCATCTACCAGACGGTTAGCAGCCAGACAGGACTTCTCACTGGTTGGCAATCAAATGTGTTGATTCAAGAGCGCATCGGCCTAATTTTTAGCATGTAAGTCATGGTGGATAGATTGCTCCCGCTGCGCACAAGCTGACTTGTGTGAATTAGAATTGGAAACCTCCGCCTTGCGAGTCAAAACACACAGACTCCTCCGGGATTGAATGAAATGATCGAAATTGGTATCAAGTTTGAGAAGGAGATCTTCCAACAATCACCAGATAAGGTATGCAGTTTGGGTGGTTGAGCAAGATCACGCTGATAAAAGTTCCAGGCGTCGTACAAATCTCAGGTTGAAGCCAAATTAAAACAGTTGCTGGAAAGGAGGCATCAAAACCAAGCCGGTCTTCAACAGACGATCCAACAACAGGCGCAAGCGCAGGCTCAAGCTCAGCAGCAACAGGCCCAACAACAGCAGATGATGATGAACCAAAATGGGATGCAAGGTCAACTACCAAGGACCATGCCTCAACAACCTGCTCAGCAAGGCTTCCAACATCTTCAACACCAGATGCAAGCCTCTCCTCTTCCCGGCCAGCAGCCTCAAATGCCTATGGGTATGACGAATGACTCCCTACCGCCGAACATGACCCCGAATCAACAACAGCAACAGTTCCAAATGCCCATGCAACAGTCACAACAAGGTCAACCCCAGCAAAACGCCCCGCCAATGACGCAACAAGACAACGCAATATTGATGGAGTTGGCAAACCGATTAATGATTCAGGCACCCAGTGAGGAGAAGAACCAGATTAGGGCGACTCTCACCAAGAGAATGGACCCTCAACAACTCAATATGTATGCTCAGCGAGGACAGGACCCTCTGATTGTATACTACCGTCATCAAGCCTTGAATAGGCTTCGCGCAGAGAAGACCCAGAGGATGGCGCAAGCTCAACATATAGCCATGAATCAATCAGGGCAGAACGCGGCTCCTCCCATGCAGCAGCAGCGATCTATGAATCCAAGTCCACTGACAGGCCAATCACAACCTCCGACATCAATGGGAGGAAACCCCGACTTCGGAGGATATTTGGGGAATCTGGGGAATGCGGACAGTATCGCAAACCAACAGGCGCAAGGAGTCATTGCACAGGGTCAAGGCGAGGTAGTAGTCCCGGCAAATGGCGCTCAACGAAATTCAACTCCACAACCTGGACAACCGATGCCGAATCCCAATAACAGGACATCCCAGCAACAGCACATGATGAATGTTCATCAGATGCAGCAGCAGCAAAGATTGCATGCCGTCCAACAGCAGCAGAATCAAGCTAGGTTGAACGCCCAATCGAAAGCGGGGCAGATGGGTCTTCAAGGCCAACCAGGAGGGATGGGAAATGGTCCAATGCCACCACAACAAAGTCCAGCTATGCCAACCCTAAATACACCACTGAGAACCCCTTCCCAAATGGGTCACGCTGAACCTCCTCACCCACAGCCAAACCCACCGTTTGGTCAGCCACTAGATCCGCGATTTGCGAATCAAAGGCCTGGCGGTCCTGGGAATATTATGAACACTGCGGGCCTGAACCCTGCCATGTTCGCTGGTATGTCACAGCAACAGCAGCAGGAGATAGTTTCGCTACCGCCTGACAAGCTGAACGACGTGATGAACAAATGGAATGAGCAGAGGCAAATCAATGCTGCGAATATGCAAGCTGGACGGCCTCCTGTCCCAATGCAGGGTAATCAATCCCGGCCTGGCCAACAAGTTCCTCAACAGGGCCCTTTCAATCCTCAGAATCCCAATCAATTCGCCATGAACGGTCAGAGACCACAGGGACCTCAGATGACTGCGGCCATGACCCCTCAGCAACAGTTGCTTCTCCAGGCGCAAATAGCTCGATTGCAGCGCGATCCATTGCAACGTAACGGACAACAGATGGGCTTGCCAAATGAGCAAAGAATGATGGCACAAATGGACGGTCTAGATTTCCCCGCTACTTTGCTAAACCACAATAGTATGCCTCGCGGTATCCCGCCTGATATCAAGAAGTGGGGTCCACTGAAGGCATGGGCCCAGCAAAATCCGAATCTGGGAGCTGAGGTCTTTGAAAACCTCAAGAATCTGCAGCGAATGCATTGGCAGCAGCTTATGCGTGCAAGAGCCGCCCATGCAGGTCAACCTGGAGCTATGCAAACTGGGGCCCAAGGTCCACAAGGCGGAATGCCTGCGATTCCAGCAGGTATGAATGCTCCAGTAGCGCCTATGGGGCAACCCCCCGTGCAATTGCCAAATGGAGTGAATATGCCCGGTCCGGGCCAAATGCGTCAGCCAACCCAGCAAGAAATCGAAAATGTGCGCAATCATCCGAGTGGGAGGATGATGCAGGCAGATGATAACACAATTCGAATGTTCCTTATGAGGCAGGCCGCACAACGACAACAAGCACAGCACCAGCAGATCCAGAACCAGCAAATGCAGAACCAGCAAATGCAAAACCAAATCTCCCAGATGAATGGACCTCGACCAGGACAGCCACAGCCAAATCCGAACGCTAGAGGTCCAAACCAAGCCCCATCAGCGCAAGTACCGACACCAAAGCAAACAGCAGCCGCCCAACCAGCTGCTCCAACAGCTGGTGCCCCTGCCAACCGTGCTGCTCGACCCAATGCTCGCAATTCCGCTCAGAATTCTTCGCCTGCTCAGCCTGCCAAGAATCTAAAACGTGCTAGCAGTGATGATGTAGTTGAGGTCCCTAACCCTAACGCGGCCCAGAACGTACGTTCTACACAACAGGCCCAAAATCAACCGACTCAAGGGCAAAAACAGCCTCAGCAACAAGTCCCCCAACCACTAAATGCAGCACAGTTAGCGGCACTCGACCCAGAAACGCGAAAGAAATACGAGCAAACTCTTAAGAGTGTTCGAGATAAGGCTGACATGGATAAATTGACGTCGATACGCAATGAAGAGCAGCAGAATAATCAACCTGCTCCTGAAATACCCATGGATCCAACGATAAAGGCCAACACAGCGAAGAGGCTGAAAGAGATCCTCGGCCCGCTGAACAATATGAACAGGGCGGTTGTTAGATGGTACCAAATCACTAGAGACGAGCCTCGCACGAGAGCTTTCTTCCGTCTTGTAAGTCAAAATTTTCAACCTTTTCATTTCCGCAAATGCTGACAGATTCTAGAAAAATCGAGTAGCACAACAGTTTAAAGATCCCGGCATGACACAGCCCAAGGACAGATTTTCCATGATGCCCAGAGACATAGAACAGGGTCGTGGAATGTTGCAAGGCATGGTCAAGGACTTGAGTGACAGGTTCCCAGCGATGAAGAAATCAGACTCAGCCCAGGCCCACCCACCTGCTGTATCACAACCACCGGCTCAAACTTCTCAGCCTGTACCGACAGCACCAACTGTTCAACTGAGTCATGCCAACTTGCAGCAGCAGCAAAATCAGTTAAATAAGATGCATCAAAGATCGGGCAGTCGAGGCTCTCATGCGCCAGCAGCTCCAACATCTTCACAGCCACCATTTCAATTCGGTGCTGGGTCGCCACCGCCTGATGGGGTTCCTGCTTACCTTACCAAGGCCCCACTCACGAGGGATGAACTAAAGCTTCCAGCCAAGAAGAAGCAGAAGCAGGACAACAAGGCCGCCATGGGTCAGACTCCGAACTCGAACGCTTCGCCTCTTCTAACGAAACCGATATCACCAGAAGTGAAGAGACAACCTGCCGAAACTAAGCAGCAGCCAAGATCTTTGTTCACTTGCTCAGATCCAGACTGTGATCGACACAATGTTGGATTTGAGAGTGAAGAGGCTTTGCGAATCCACACCCAAGAGCATACCATTGAGAATCCAATGCTATATGCGCAACAGAATTTAGCTTCCATGCTGGGTCTGGATCCTTCGGGGCATGCGAAGAAGCCAGTCGTTTCTCAAGAAGCACTGAAGATGTCTATGAGTGGGTCCAAACAAGGACAGACTCCTAACGTAAAGGGCGAAAATACACCTACAGCAACGCCAATGAACCGCCAAGTATCTATGAACCGTCAAGGTAGCGCAACTGGAGCCAGACCAGGCGCTGCATCAAAAGGTACACCAAAGGATATAGCCAAAACCCCAGCAAGTCAAAGGGATGCCAGCAAGCAACAGCCAAGCCAGCCTCCAAAGGAAGTCGTAGTCGAGGATCCATGGGTCAACGCTACTATTGATCCTCATGACCTATATCAAGCCTTCCAGCCCTTTGAAAGCGGCGCTGGAGGCGCAATATCTGACATGAATGTCTACCGTTCCATAACGCCCAACGACACTCCCGAATCAAGTAAAGACGGTTTATCGGAGCCCAACAGCGACATCTCGGATGGCGTGGCCCTAGATATCAGTCTCGATATGTTCGATGACAGCTGGCAGCCTTTCGGACCGAGTGAAATTGATGGCTTGTTTGACATGAATATGAACAATTTTAATGTCAACGCAGACGATATGAAGATGTTTGATACGGAATTGAGTGCCGATGTAGAGCAGCAACAACCAGCGATGGGGTTTGGGAGTTGGGAGGATATGGTTGACACGGCGGCGTTTGATAGGCCGTTTGTTTTTGATGCGAGTCTTTATTCTATGAACGCGGATTGATTTATCTTGATGAGGCGTTTTTGATGGACTGGAACGGATTGGGATAGGACGGAAACAAACTATATACCACTGGAAGGAAAAGCATGGGTGGCGTTCTTCGGACGGTAATAGGGGGTTTTGGAATAGGATATTTAGGGGCGCCGGCGATGCGCTGACACTGCATCAGCATGTGTATTTTATGATTAAAAATTTTCAATAAGCATAGCATTTCAAGTTGATGATTTGATTTGCACGCACCGTGATGGAACTCGACCCCTGAATTATGCGGTGAAAACACTTCCCGGATAAGAACTGCCTAAGGTATGTAATCTTTATTTTCATTGCAGATAGGAGATAGATTAGTCGAGGTGGGGAGGAAGCAGGATTATATATAGACGTAAGAGTTTTCAGAGTCTGCTGAGTGAGTGAGTGAAGCCATGTTAATGCCAATGTCAGTTTATACCCCGCACTCGGCTATAGTAAGCGAGCTTGGGCGGATAGGGGGGGACTACTCTACTATATGCCTACTAGTAGCAGCTGAACAAGGTACGTAGTCAGCTTACCGACTTGTATTTACAGCGTTCTGGGATGAAAGGGCATGGAAAAGTTGAACGCTTTATATATAAGTATAGTAAATACTGTTGCGTTATAGAGTAAGACTGGGAGGGATATACGAGGAAGAGGTTCTTGTGTGTAAACTGATTCTAAAGCCCTTTGTTATTAATCAATTAAATCAACCGTCATCCTACTACTTGTGTAAACTAAAATGAATAGGGTGGAAATAGAGTAAACGCGGATGTGTTAAGATGGGGTATGGGGTATATATCTTGTTGGAATTATATGTCAGTTATGAGGATTTCGATTGTGAGATGCATGCAACCCATGCATCCATAGCACATATCACAAGCTTCGAGTCAATTATGATCAATCCAATTTAATAAGTAAAGCTTTTTCATTACTGTTCTTAAAACATGACGCCTCCATCGCTAATATCAAACGCCATCCATGCCATGCCATGCTTTTCATCCAAAGGGTATAATTCAACCATGCAGTTTTCTTTTCCAAATCGCAGCAAACATTCTCTTTCTTCACCTTCGTCGCGGATTCCACCAAGGCCGCTTAGTCTTCGTTCCCTTCATCCCAGCGCCCTCCAGCTCCTCGGGCCTCCTATCATTCTGCAATGCAGCCCCGTTGAAATCCCACCTTCTCCTCATCTCCAGCATCCACCACTTCCCGACCTTCTCAGCCTCCGCTACCCATTGTGCTGCCGGTCCGCCGATTTCTTTGTGGACGCGCTTCTGCATGCTGTCCAGGGAATACTCTTCTAGCGGTGAGTCTTCGTAGGGATCCATGTCGTTGGATGTAAATCTGTAGACGCCGGATTTGCACACTGGCATGATGAGTCGGTACGGCACTGCTGCGGATGAAACGGAGAGGACTGTGCCACCTGGGTTCAAGACGCCCATGTTCCACTGCTGGCGCCCGTTTCTTTCTGGCTCGAATTCCCGGATGAGGCTCTGGCCTTCGTACTGCTGTAGAAGATCTGAGGCGATTTCTGAATCCTGCTGGCTGAGCGAAGAGGTGGTGGTGAGAAGGTCGAGGATCGTGGGGAGTATCGACATGGATGTTGCGTTGATGGCTAGTTGGATGCGGGGGAGTGAGGGGTGGTGGAAGAGGAGGGGTACGCGCATGTTGCTTATATGACCATTCTCAAAGGTGCTTCGTTTCTGAGCGTCTTCTTCGAATGCCATGCCACTATTCAATTGTTAGTAATATCCTAAATTGGAGCTGGGAGTCCATACTGGTCTCCAACCATAACCACTAAGGTCTCATCTGCTACCCCTTCGTCTTCTAGAATATTCATCGTTTCTCCGAGCCACCAGTCATCGTACTTGACAGTATTCAGATACCTGTTGAGCTGATGTTCTCCACTCCACCAACCTTTCTTGAGAAGCTCCATAGCTTCGCCAAATTCCTCTGGTGTTTTCCAGGGGTGATGTGTGGAACTCGTGAAGTGGGAGAGAAAGACACGCTCGTCGTTCTTCTTGGCTTCTCTGAATACGTCCTGGAAGTACGGTCTCATCTGGCTATCCGGAAAGCCAAAGTAGTTTGACTGTTTTTCGCTGGGAGGGAATTTAGCTGCTGGGTTCAGCAGGGTCTCTTTTGCGATAACCTCTTGAAACCCAATGTGGTGATTTAGTTCATCTTGGTGGTCGAATCTGTTGGTGACTGCTTGAGCAGAAACCATCCTCCATAGCATTCCATTCATCTCGTCTTCTTTCTTGCCAAACCCCCATTTGCGTCCTTCCAGAGGCTGGCCTTCTTTATTCAAGTTCAGAAGCCTGAGAATGGCTGGAAGACAGGGTTGGTAGATATGGCCGTGCGACTCGACGGTGAAATCTACCGCAAGGGGCTGCACGCCACAATGACTGCCGATCAGGCTTTTCAGAGACGTAGTGCTTCCTGTGAACGCTCCCTGGATATTAATCCCTCCTTGACCTTCCGTGAGATTACGCCAACTTCCAGCCCTCGCACTTTCAAGACCAGACCTGTCATACCCGGCATCTTCCCCAGTAAGTAACTCCGCATTCGGTGTCAGGTTTGCCAGCTCTGCTTCGACCCTAGCAACTTCATTCCCTGAATCGTGCGTCTTGAGAACGATGTCGTATAGATGAGAATCCTTCTTCATCGGAAATATATCTTTGCGCGTACTTTCCAAGGTCACGATCACTACATGCTTAATTTTGACTTTACGGTCCTTCAAAGCTTTGGTGATTGGGTCAAGGATATCGTACTCAAGATTACTTATTCGTAATGGGTCTTTGACTGGATTGTATTTTGGAACTTTAGGCCTTCGGTCGTGCGGGCCTCCATGTGGTCCATGTGGTCCATGTGGCGGGGGCGCACCTGGTGGGGGAGGACCTGGCGGAGGAGGGTGTGGTCTCCTGTGATGATCCGGACGAACTGGCCGGTCGTACCAGCGGTCAAATCCAAGAATCGCTTCTTCGGGCATCCAGGATGGACGAGGCGAGTGCTTTCCTGTTTCCTCAAGATTGGAGCTATTTGCACTTGGCATCCACCCAATGAATTTGTCGTGCGGTTGTTCCCAATATTTCGCATCCAGAAGATCAGGCAAGGGGAACGGAGGAAACTCTCTGTGACCGGCTCCACACAAGTCTTCTGAATATGGGCTGAAAATGTCCCAAAGCGTATAGGGTATCGAGCCAGACATATGTGCGTAGGGTGGATTCCTCGGGCGAACAATCAGTAGAATAAGGACGGTAATAAGAGGTCCCAAAAATATAGCTCTGTTCAACCACCGAGAAAAAACGTTGGACCTTGGACCCCTGCTGAGGAAGGCCTCATCTTCTAATGGCTGTCTCTCGGGGGACGAGGCGGGGTCCGAAGCATCTTCTTCATCTAAGCTCTCTCCCCCATCCCACTCCTTACTCATCGATCCCTTGAAAAATATCTTCTGCATCAGTCTCCGGCTTCCGAATGTTTTAGCCATTTTGCAGAACATCGAATGAGTTCCATTGTCTGTAGGAGACTTAGCAATGTGGCCTTTGTAGATTCCTGTGGGAGAGTTGAAATAGGTTGAAAGACTTACATAGTGGCTGAGTGCTAATTCGAGCAATCACAGCAATGGAAACAGATATGAAGAACGCCGGGACCATTCCAGATAGGAGAACTTTCAGCCCTTCCCAGTCATGTGCGAATTTACCCGCTGAGCCCCATTTTATCTCACTTCCAGTCTCGAGGTAAAATGCAATCTGTACAGATGAGGCTGATAAGAGACCGATACTTGTATGCCAAGTTAGCATTGTTTTTAGGTCAATTAGGAGAATGATTGTGGTTCCATCATGGGAACTCACCAGATGAAACCCCTTGCCAAGGCCAGCAGCGTCCATGCTTTTCCATGTCCATTGAGATGAACCAAAATCCAAAATAATACAACGCTTACAAAATCTACCGCCAGAAATGTAGGAAGATAGAGAAGGATTAATAGAGGCGGCAGCGAATAGAGGTGACTGTAAAGGTGTAGAAATTTCGGCGCGAGGACCGCTGTCATAAGAAGGGAATATTGAAATGGAACCTTCTCACAGCGATGCCAGGGCAGGCGCCGCACCGATTCGGGTGGCATTATAAGTACGTACTGGTAGTCGAGGTAAAAGACGAAAGAAAGAAAACCGTAAAGAAAGAGAAGGCGTGTCTGACATCGAAGGGTCACATGTAAGCAATAGGTGCAAGTTTCAGGAGAAAACTCACGCCTTCATTGTTGTTTTGACACGATTCCTCATCTCCATGTTTGGGCTGAGTCTGGCCAATCTTTCCAAATTAACACTGTTTGGCAGAGCGCAGCAGGTGGCTCAGCAAAGTTGCCTTCAGGGAATAGGGCGCGGCGGATAGAAGTTGCAGCACTGGTTCCGGCAGGCTGCTCGACGGCACTCAACTTGGGTGCTAAACTTCGTATATGGTAAGAAACTTAGTGGTCCTCCAATCATCGGAGTTTCGAAACTCATAAGATCGCCAGATCTGCATGAACTCGGGTACGGAGCAATGTACTCCATCTAAATTTAGTAAGGTGTTGGCTAATCAGTCATACCTTGACGTGATACTTGGCCTATAAACTTGGCAGCTTTTATTGTTTCTCCACAGTTTATAATCAGTCTCGTTTAACTCGAATTGGACAGATATTCAGATCAAAAATGGAGCCTTGAAGGTAATTAAGATGTTTGCCTTGAAACGAATTGTTGGTGCGGCATACGAAGTAAATACAATGTTGTAATACCGGGGAAGGGGCGGAGGAGCCAATCCCCAGACCAGACCCCTGACACCAATCTCGGCCGACAAAGTCTTGATTCAACGACACAGATTGAGCCTCCATCGTCTGTTTAATAACTCCCCTTATTGCCTTTTGTTGTCTGGTTATGAAGGAATCAAAAAACATATGCTCACCGCGTGCGAATAGTACTTTGTTGATTATGTTGAACTCGACTGGCCAAGTAATCCAGCTGACACCTTTATACAGGGGGGGCTGAGGCGCCACGGTAGTGCAGCAAAGCACAGCACAGCACAGCGCAGCTCAGATTCTGAGGGCGATCCTCCAACTGCCTAAATCCTTTGTATTTGCAAAGCCGCTTCAACGCCATGAAGAGTCAATAGTGTAGGCAGACTGTCACGCCATCGTCAATGAAAACTTCTGCACTCACTGATCCTTTGGCAGACTGGAAGTACCTGTCCTCGAACGCAGTCGTTCAGTCGTCCAGTCGATGTTTTCCTTCATAATATCGCTAGGCATAAGCCATTTATATCCGCACGAGGCTGTGCCTTCTGCCTAGGACTTTTCCTGCTTCTGTTTTCGGAGACTCTTCTTGGGCTTAACTTTTCGTCTTACTATCATCGGACGAGTTCTTTTTCGTGCAGCGAGGCGTGGGTTAAACTGTATCAGCACATGCTGTGCCTGCTTTCTCAAGGTCGAGCAGTTTCTTCTGAGGCGGATTTCGAGCGGGGAGGATTGAAAGGGTAATCGCAAACGAGTGGCGAGCCCCTTCTTCGAACTGTTCCGTTGATTCCTAGCGTGACGAGTCGTTCTTTTCCGACGTGGCTCTTCATCTCCTCAGGACATTTCCGAGCCGAGAGCTGGCAATATCGCTCTCTTTAGTCGGTCACAATATCTACAGTACGAGGTATCTCTTCCATTGGCCTGATTCTTTCTTTCTCATCGCCATATTCGCGGAGAGCCCTAGAACACCCACAAAACAACCATTCGAAACTAGGTTTCGAAAGCAGGTCACTCGTATGGCGATGCACTCATAGGCCAGACCAACCTAGTATCTACTCCCTTGGGACGAAGCCTCCATTGAGACGTCTGTGTTCTCGCCAAGATTCAGTTACGCTAGACTTGGCGCGTGGACTCTTCCAAACCAGAGCCTAGTCAAGTCAATTGTTTGCAAATTCTAGACAAAATCCACCACCTATCTATCTTTTCGCAAATCTACTCTATAACAACTCTCTATTCTAACAGTCTGCAACAATGCTCAAATCAAACCTCCTTCACCTGGGCTTATGGCAAATCCGCAAGGGATCATATTAATCCATACCCCGCCATGCTGCATGATATATGCTCGCACTGCTCTAGTAGTAAGTCAACTTGCAATAGCCTTATGCCAATATTCTGTCGACACCACGGTGTCCAAGCCAGGACGAGACCGAAAACAGAGCGCGGCGCAACGTTGGCTTTCAAAATCATTCCGCATGCCGCCGTTATTTGAAAGCCGGGATGTGAGGGGAAAGTCATAGAATACTTTCTACGGTAGCTATTCTGATTTCTTCCGTACTTTGACCGTTTCTCTATAGTGAGGTCCGCCAAGTCCAAGGAAAACTTTACTCAAACTGGGACTTGGGCTTGGGTGCATCAAGTGTATATTGACTAACGGTAGAGTGAAGTACTCAGCAACACCACCCCACCTTCTCTTCCCATCTTGAGGCCCATGCCTGTCATCCCCTCGCATGTCATCCCGTCTCCTCCCAAATCAAACACAAAACATTCCCAATAAAACTCCGGGTAATGCGACCAAAACCATCCCAATGCTATCCCTCCATCCAAGGCTGACAGCAGAAACTTATACACAAACGCTCACGCATATTTGGTTGTTATACAGAACTTCCTTCATGCTCCCATCCATTCTTGTCTCTTGTGAAAAACCAAACGGTCAAGCTTGCCTCATCAAACTCAACAAGCCATCAGCAGCTCTACCCTTCACAACACTACTTGTCAATTCCTCTTCTCTGCTCGCCGATAGATTCGGCGGATGAAGCAGTCCCTGTCTCTGTCTTTGCAATATTGGAGTTGCGAACTCAACTCTATGCATATCTTTACGTGCAGGTGGTGATGAAGGAATAAGAGGCAACGGCGTTCGTTTCAATCTCGACGAAGCAGAAGTAGTTCTTATCTGCAGTTGTCCCAGCGGGATATTTATTTGATTTGTATGGACTTTGTAGCTTGCGAGACGGAGGCGGAGTTTAAGAGCTTGGGCTCGCTGTGCGAGTCCTTCCTTCAACGAGGAGAGATCGGTGGGCGAAGCAGGTAAAGATTGTGGAGCGAGATCTGGTTCTGTGATGATGGTTTGTTGGGAATCTTCGTTTAGTGCTGATGTTGATGGCGAAGGTGCCGAGGACGGCGGTGATGATATAGAAGTGATTCCATTATCAGGCCGAGGGCACTGTTAAAGAGGTTAGCAAAGTCTCGACAACGAGGACAGAGGGAACATACTGCACTGTCGGGTCCCCCACGCGAGTCGCCCTCACCATCACACACAGTAGCTTGTAGGCTGTCCTCAGGAACCCCGGTTTGTCCATCCAGTAATAAAGTCTCAGTGCTACTATCTGCCTTCTTAAATCGTTTTTGTGGCGGTCCTTCTGAAAGAACTTGAACTCCATCCTCATCATCGTCAAGGTCCCTCTTCTCGCTGCCCATAAGAGCTTTGCCTTGAACCGTCGCGGACGTTTGGTTCGTTCCTAGCGACACGCCCTTTGCCATTTCTTGTGGCTTTTCAGCACGGTTGGTGTCCTGGATGGCATTCTCTGTACCACGGGAGATAGGCATCTGGCCTGAAATTGATGTTTGTAACGATACTTTCTCTCCCAATGTCTTTGCGATACTGTTGCTGTCCGCGCGCGTAATGGTAGAGTTAACATTGAGCGGACTCAGCACGCGACGCGTTGGAGAAGTTGAGGCCATGGTGAGAATTTGAGGGGAGAGTAGTAATGGATTCAAGAGGTTGTAAATGGGTGGAAAGTGCGTTCAAGTTTGAACGTTCGATATGTCTTGGAAGGCGCGTTGCAGTGGTGTTGAACTTCTAGAACGCGTGAAAGTGTAAGTAAGTACTCGACCTATGAACGGTTGAGTGAAAAGCTGCCAGGTACTCACGAATAGTTGGAGAACAGAGTGCCTCTATGGATTAATAAAAGAAGAAAGCGTGTCTGTCTTCAACGTCGAGAATGTTGTTTGTAAGTCGCGTACTTGAACTATTGCCAACTGGATCATTCGCGTTAAGATAAATATCTCGGGCCGGAACGAGGTTCCTGCTTTCCTGCCCCGCGCTTTACGCTTTTGGGAGGCGGTGTACATCGCGTCTTCGGCTACGAACCTTCAGATGAAAGATCTGCAGGGTTCACACTCGGGTAATATCAGGGGTAATTCAGGGGATTGCGGTTCCTGTCTATAGCCAATACCTCTATTCATTACTTGATAGCAGTACACCAACTGTTGAAATTTCTAAAGTTCGAAGTCCCGTCCTTCCCTTATACACCACGACATTCTTCTCGAGGTATTAGTTATCAAAAACACTTTCGCGCCTCCTAGTCGAATGTATATACCGCATTCTGAAGAGATTCCTCTATATTCCATTTTGAAAAGAGCATAGTGTAAGTTTAAATCAATGAAGTGACTAAAAAGACAACCTTGGAAGCTACCTAGCTGCCCGAAGAACTCTGCATATAAGCAACCTCTGCGTTGTTCACTTCAATTGATACGCAGAGAAATAAAACAACTTGAAGAGGGGATAGACATGTGCCGTTGTATGCATGATAATTCCCCTCAAGGCGGAAGGCTATCTCCAAGGCAAATCTGCAATCCTCCACTAACACGGACGGGCTTAATCGGGTTTGATTTCAAATCAAAATAAGTCGAATCTTGAACAAAGCAGGGATACTGACAGCATGCAACTTTTTGACAGTAAATACTCTCGTGCTACACTTCTTGATCCCAAAAGTTCAGACTTCATAACTTCGTATAACGGCTTCTTACATACGATCGGACCAAATGCTTGGTAGTCCCGTGTGAAGTATGGCTACTGACGCTCTTAAATCGCCATGTCTAACAGGTCTTGAGATGAGGTTGTCACGTTCCTTATAGGGATCGAAAGGCATCTTGACTAGCCTTTCCATGCTTCTGGGCTAAGAAAGGGTCACTCAAAACCATGGCTATGAGGGAAGTCCAGCAAGTGGTATCTTTCCAGCAGAACTATCACATGGGTATATAAACACCCCGAAATATCAGCGGAGATCAAGCAAGAGGAAGGGAACGCAGCTTATTCCAATCTAGTATGTCCAGGAAAAAGATATCACAAGCAAGATATCTCAGCCCCTAAGATTGAAAATAGAATATAGTGGGTGCTAATATTCAATATGACCACTGAATGTTCAGAGGGGAACTCCGAATTTGACAGCAGGGGAGGTTTTGACAGCAAACGTTCGGACCACATCCTCCTCATCCTTCAAGCCGTTAGTATTAGACGGCGAGCCGCAATTTATCAAGTGCTATTCAGCACTGCCAACCCCAACAGCCTGGTCTCGGCACCATTCCTACCTTCCTGCAATTTCCAAACCACCTTTTTAAATCGCTATGGCCTAAACGCATATCTTCTCCATCTCAATATATACCCCTCTCTCCAAACATGAAGGGGAATCAAGAAGCCCTCCAAAGAATGAAAGACAGTAGTCAAACTAAACATACTGACAAACAAAGAAGGAGTGAAGCACCAAGAAAAACTCACATAGTAATCTAGGTCTTGATATAAACCCAACACAAACCCCAAGTAAGCCGAGACAGCTTAATGAAAATCGCTGAGAAAAGCTAAGGAGTCATGAGTTTGCCACGAGTAACGCAACAGACAGAACTGGCCCACCTGGAGTAAGAGCCACTCCCGGTTTTACAGGCCGAGATACTGATCTGATACTTGGCCACGGAACCAAACGTAACATCCGTGAAGGAAAAACAACATCATTTGGCAACAATCACACCTTCAACAACACCATCAATCCCATCCTCTCCTGTCTTGACTCTTTCTAGCTTACCCTTCTAGCTACCCAGAGCTCTGTTCGGCGCACCACCACCTCATCCTTTCAAGTTCTTGCTTGCTCTGTAAATCTGTCCCTGGGCACACCATATGTTTTTGATTACAGGTTGCGAAAATTTGGCTATCTACATAGAGGACCTACTTACCACATCACATATTTATACATGCATCAAACCCCTCATACACATACACACATACCCGCCCACGCATTTTCCATAATTCTGGTATAATATCTACCGGCTCATCCGTAAAATTCAGCGTGGTTACCAAAAGAAAAGAAAATGCCCATTACATCATCGCATCGCACCAAGGCATACATAGTACGCAACTTGGGTAACATTATCACCTACGGTATATATCACAGTCCATCCATCCACCCAGTATACATGCAACAACTGCGTAAATAAAGCAAGCCAAGCACACTAGTCTGTAGAGTTCCAGTATTTCGGATTTCGCATATTGGGAGAACTAAAAGGGGCTAATGCATATGTCGACTTCACAGCAGATCATCACTAGTAACAAAGGAAACCCCGACAGCAACTTCCTCCCTACCCTACAACCTCTTATACACTATCTCACATCTCACATCCAAGCTAATCTCTCTCTCACTCCACCATCCAGCAAAATCCAAAGCGCAGCCGCAGCATCCTCCGCCGATTAGCCCTGTAAAGAGAAAATGAAGAAATAACTTGGAGCACAACTCCCACAAGGCAGGAGGGCAGGAGGGCAGGAGGGCAGGACACGATTATATAGTAGACACAACTCAACCCGACAAACACGACACAAAGAGTAAAAAAGATCAGGTCGGGTATAATGCAATCTATAATGCTATTCTGCTATCCATTCATCTCACCCCCATCTCCATTTTATTTGTACAAAAAGCTAACAACCTTAGGTATGCTTTCACTCCTATCCAACCCATTCTCTTTCTCACAGGTGCTCGACTCTCCCGAGGAGCACACTGTACTGCCCAACAAATAACCCTCCCCCACCTAGTTAAAAAAATGTCTTAATTTTCTTCCTTCCGCATAAACTGATCACCCCCTAAAACTAAATAAATGGAAATACGAGTTGACACACACCAAACCGAGCGCCAAGAGAATCAAGCCGTCAAGTATCCATCCGTCATCAACCATCAAGAGAAAAACAAAGGGAAAACCGCAAGGCTATGCAATAAAGATCGTACAATTAAAAAGACCGACACCAGAAGCAGAAAAAGAATCACGCCCTCCACAAACACAGGTACAAGCAGTTGTGATTATATCGGCTGTTGCATCAAATGCTGAGTATTGATAAGCTGGCTCGGTGCCGCCATGCTCATCGACATGCTTTGTTGCAAGCCGTGGAAAGATTGCGACATGCTAGGAGGAAGGTATCCGTTTTCTGAGTTTGGTGATGCTTCTTCAAGGGGGCCGAGGTTGTCTTCGCCTTCGTAGTCTTCTTCCTCGCCGCTATAAGAGCCGTATTGTCCGTCAGAGCCATCGCCACGATCGTGAGTTCTGCGATGTCTTGAAACACTGTTAGTATAGTGTTTGCTAGGAAAGGAATGTGTGGGATAAGATGGAGTGTGCATACTGTGCTAGGTTGTCTGAACGGCTGAAAGCCTTGTTACAGTGGGGGCAGATATAGGGTCTCTCTTGTGTATGTGTTCTCACGTGTCTAGGGGGGTAACATGTCAGCGGCTTGATCGACAGCCGGTAAAAAGAAATTGCAAACCATACCTTTTAAGATGCTCTAAACGCTTGAAGAGACGACCACAGGTTGGAATAGGACATGAGTGGGACTTTTGGGGGTAGGGGCCAAGCTCCATCATGGTTGCACTACGTGCTCTTCTGACGACTCCATTGGGGCCTTGCATATGCCTTCTTTGAGGGGAGTCATGGATAGAGCTGTCACCCGAGAGCTCTTCATTTGACAATTGGCTAAAGTCGTTGTTTTGTAGAGCCATTGGGTTCATGGCTGGGCTGTCCTCGACAGTAGAAAGAGGTGTCCCATGTCTTGACATCTCAAGAAGGTCCTTGTGGTGCTGTGACATTTGTTGGATTTGGTTGCTGTAGCTCAGGCCAGGAGGCGAGTTGTCTCCAGACTCATCACCTTCAGCAACTGGGCCAACTGATGTTGAAACAGACCTTCTCAGATCAGATTGTCGGTGTGCAGTGTGTTGTTGGTGTCCAGCAGCTGCCACAATGGCGGCGACTCCCGGGGGAATAGACGAACGTCTCCTTCTTTGCTTGTATGTTGGTGACCCTTCAATTACCGAGTAGACATTATTCGAGCCATAGCCTCTGGTAGCATGAGAGAACTGTGGACCAGACAGGTTGGAAGGCGGGAGCTGCATTATTCCTTGCAAACCATTGACTCCTCCCATGTGGTCGGGGATTGCTGTGTACAGTCCCGTCTCTTCGTTTGCAATGTAGGCTGGCTCAGCACCCATACCGAGAGCCTGTTGGGGCGGTGTGATGGGTTCAAAAGAGATGCCACGATTGCTGTAGTCCTCGTAGTGTGATGAAACAAATGATGGCGCGGGAGAGTACTCAAGGCCGTATGCAGGCATGGAAGCGTGGCGTTGATGTGTTTGCGAGATTGGAACGCCATTTTGATTATACTGAACCCGACTGAAATCTGGTTCCCTCTTCACTGTCTGCTGTGCCATGCTTGGGGCCATGGCCATTTGTTGGTACGCCGCCATTGTGTTCATGTCTTCAGGCATTGTTGGCATGCTTTGGGGGATCATCTGTGGTGGTGGCATGGAATCGATCGCTCGCATCACCGGCGAGGTCGACTGCGACTGAGAAAATGAGGATGGTTGTTGTGCAGAGAAAGAGGAAGAGTTAGCTTGCTGAGCCTTGGTGAGTTGCTCGAAGAGTGATTGGGACGAGTCAAATTCGAATGAAAGCGCAGGTTCGTTGACAGCCATAGTGGTGGCCTCTTGCGACATCTTTTCCCTCTTCAGATCCCTTTCGAGAGCATCGAGAAAGAGTCTGTCATGTGGCACGCTGTACCAGTAAAAGACCTTCTGCTTCTTTTGTGTTCGGATGCAGTTGTTCTTGTATAGGAAATCCAAGAAAGCACTCTTTGGCTCCTCCAACGACGCATCGGTGCCCGACTTGAGGTTTCGCAGGTCTGAGAATATACCCTCCTCGAACTTCTTCGAGTTCTTCACCGGTCGTCCAAACGCTTGAAATCTGAAAGAAAGACACCGCACAATGTCGGTGCCAGAAATGTGAAAGAGGTTGTTCCTGCGACCTTGTTAACACCAATCCACGCCGACAACGGCTTTCAACGTACCATAACACGCAGGAAACATATTCGCCAGTAGGAAGAAGAAATCGTCGGATGTACTGGTCCGGTGTCCAGTCAACAGGAGCGGATATTAAAAAGTATTTTACTGCGCGGAGGTTAGCAGGCGAAACAAGGAAAGTGGTGTTGAGCAACGCACGATTGTCGACTTGCTGCAATGCTACTTGCGCATCTTGTGGTAAGCTTTGCTGAGCCTCATTGCTCAACATGAAGGTCTCTGGTTTTTGTGGAGGAGCCATCGTCGCATGATGTTGCGAATACATCATATGCGCCATTCAAATTGAGTCGAAACAGCACCAGCAATGGGAACAGATATTGTGCGCGACCACGGTATATTGAAACGCCGGCTACGTCGTAGGGCTGGAAAGGCAAACAGATAGACGGGTAGACCAAGCAGACTGTGTCAAGCGGCTCTGAAGCGACGTCGATGAAGCAGTGGTGGCTTCTTGTCTGTGAAATGGGCAGATGAAGCGAGTGTGGTTGGCTGGTGCAATGATGGTAAAGAGATGATGGTAAGGATACAACAATAGACTCTCGTGTTTGGGAATGGAGCCTGCTCCGATCAAAAATGCAGATGGAACGGTTGTTGTTCGAGGAGTTTCGAGGCCAGCAAGAACTCGACTCGGAGGAAAGAGAAAACCGGCTCTAACGTAGAATTATTAAAGAAAATGGAAAGCACGAAGACCCGATGCGACGATTCGAATGGGGAGGGGGATCAACGATTGAAAAGCCGTGCAAAGCGTTGTTTATTGTCGACGGATTGGCAGGCAGACAGAACAGTAGACTGATTCTGGAATTTGAATCGTGAACGCACGGCGCGAAACGGGAAGAGGGAACGGCTTCTAGGGTTGTGAAGGGGAGGAGAAGGTGAAGCTCTCGCGGTACGGGCCTGCGACAAGAAAGAGCGTGAAGGTTCAAGGTCGAAAGGTCGAAGTGTGAGAAGCGTTTGGGAAAGCGGAACAAGGGAGATTATGAGGACGGAGAGAGCAGGCGAAGTGATATGGGTATGGGTAAGATATGTATGGGTATGGGTGTGGTGGGTAGCACTCCGTAGGAGGGTGGGTAGGTGGGTGAGTGAAGTGAGGGCTCGGTGTCTCGGGGGGGTGTGTGGTGTGTGCCTGGCCTAGAAGGGATTAGGGAGTACTTTGTTCTAATGGAGCGGGATACTTACTGTACCCACTGCCACTGCCCAGGTGGTTACTTCGTACGGAGTATGGTCGCTCAAGAATGGCCCACTCGCGGATGGGAAGGGCAGCAAGGGAAGCCTGCAGAGCCAGCCAGGATTGCAGATTCGTGAGCTGGGGGTAATCCCTAAGCGTGGACAGGGGAAGATGGTGGACAGCGTGGTCCGAGGACAGAACTAAACGCTTTAGGGGCAATGCCGGGGAGCGAACTTCAACAGTCGTTGAATCCTTGAAGCTTTTAATCCTGTTGGTTGCTTGGTTGTGGATGTGGATGCGATGGGGTGAGATGAATGATCGTAGCTAGGAAGAGCAGAGAGAAGAGAGAAAAGGGAGAGAAGCACGGAGAGAGAGAATACTCCGTAGGCGAGAGTAATCGACAGAATGGGCCAATATCCGGAAGCATGGCCATAACAAGACCAACTTTCTTTCTGCAAATGTCTTGGTGTTGATGTGGGATGATAATATCTATTATTACTGGGTGTTACTATAGGTAGGCACTATCCGACCATCGCAGGTGTTGATGAAAAGAGGCGGGTGCCCTGCTGGCTAGTAAGACATTCGCAGCGCTGGACTGGTAGACGCAAGACATATCCAACGATCTAGAGCAACAGCACAAAGACGTCAAATTGGATGCAGTTTACGATGATAACCTGCCTTCCTACCATTTACTTGGTAGCTGTTACTATGAATCCATGATTAGCTATAATTATCTAATAAGTATTCCTGGCCGCCAGGGCCTCTTTTTTACACCCTATCTATCCTATGACCCTCCCTCCCCTGTCTCCTGCTAAAAAGGTGTGGACCATCAGCAGCGAATCATCCGGCAGACAGAAGGCGAAACACGCGCCCAAGGGGAAAATTATCGGTTTAAAATATCTCAAACACGAAGCCAGCTAGGGGCCGGAAGAGGATCGAGGCCAAAGTCGACGACAAGGCAAGAAGTAGGCCTAGCAAGAAGGGAAAGCGAAGGCAAGCTAAGGAGCGTGAGGTTAACCTAACGACCAGAGCTTTGCTTTTTACGATTGCTTGAATTTGGGCTGGTGAGTTCGGATGAAAGGCATGATCATAGGGGAAGTTCCTGGTAGAAGAGGAGGAGTGAAATCACAATTTCTAGCAGCTGTATACCACCATATCGCCGACCAGATAAATCAAATAACGATTTCACTGCAACATGCAGCTACAACCTGCTCCTTTGTCGCTGTGCTGCGCTGCGTTGGCGTGGCTCACGTCACATCTCATTTTGATGCAGATATTTTTATACATTTTGTCTCTGCCGTCAGCCCATCAAATTTCGCCTATGGCTTACCAACTTCCACAAAACCTAATTATATTGCACTACCACTCGAACAACTCGTCTTCTGCTTCCACAAGACTTCTACTTTAGCTTCAAAATGTGCTCGGTCACTCCAGAAAGTGGGATACCCTCAACCTCCCCCCTTTGGGAAGAGAACGGACCCGGGAGGCAAACCCGTCGGAGCAAGCCAGCACTATAAGAGGGGCAACTATACTTCCTAACAGAAGCAACATTATGAAAGCCGTATAAAGCTCAAGCATGCATTAATTGTTATGCCTTTGTCATAGTGGCGGCTTGATAAGATCCGCAAGAAGCAAGGCCACTCCTGGCTGCTCATCAACTGATCAATGCCTGGCCGATCTTCTCAAATCCTAATGGCGGGGACCATCTAATCATTAAGAACGAGGATGCTTAACTATAACCTTCTATCTACACAAGTACTCCATATAATTGCCTACATTATTTAGGATTCTGCAGCAGAGGCTTCTTGCTTGCATGTACAATATAGCATGTCTATCGAGTTGTCGAATTACAACCCACCGACTCTCTGGGACTCGAGCTCCCCAAAAACCTGATAGGATACGGAGTACTGAGCTGCCCGAAAAGGAGATGGCGCCCGCGATACGCGCAGTAGTGTCGACGTCCGAGTCCAGGTCCAGGCGATGGGAGGGATTGATGTATATTTGAAACGTCGCTGAGGGTCGCTTGCCTTGCTTCAAATATGCACAAGCCAGGACAGGGCAGGAGAAGGACCAGGCTAGCCCTTCACGCTTCAACCACCGGAAAAGAAGTCCAGACAGGTTTATCACAATCTTCTATTCGGGCGGAATCACCGATTTCTTTCTTTCTGAATTGCATGACTTGCTATTGGATTATATGTATGTTGAAATATGGGGCTTCTGCTCTTTGTTCTTTGTCAACACCACAGGCAAAAGTCTCTGTCATTTTAGTCAAACCTCTGCTGACATCCGTCCATTCAACGGCGTTGAAGGATGCGCTACCATATTCGTCACGCTGCATGAACTGTGGCAGGGAGTCTGTGATATGATGATGATATTACTGTTCAAAAAACTGACAATTTCAGCTTCTCCGTATCAACCAGATCTGGAACAGCGGCGTGTAAAAAGGCATGACAAGCTACCGGTACCGACCGTACGGAGTCTATCGAGAGCCAAAACACAGAAACACAGCCCAGGAAACAAACACACATCCACATCTCCACATCCATGAATCCTAAAAGTTTGATGTGGCTGGGCGGGCTAAAGATTCAGACTCACCTTCCCAATGAGGAGAACGTGATGCCTTTCAGTCAGCAACCACGATGAACAGACACATTATTTTGTTTCCCTCCGCTACCGGGTGCGTTGTAGTGCAGCATCCCAAACAGCGGAAAACGTGATCGGTACCTGTTTGATCAGCATCCAGATTTTTTTTGAAACTCGGCTTCAGATTCTGCAAGCAAAGAGTGCGCAAAACAGATCACGGGAGGGGTTGATCGTCCCGTGCTCGCCTCGAGTTTACGTTTATACGATTACGATGTATTCCGAGAGTATTTGGGCCATGACCGCGGTAGAAATGTGGCTGGAATTGGAGTCTGCGGTGTGGTGGTGATCTTCTACTGGCATGGCATCGTGAGAGCTTCAGGGTACGGCAATACTTCTACAAGTGATTTGATAGCAAGTCAGCATACGAGTAATGCAAGGTAGAATATCAAACAGCTGAAAATCTCCCCACCACTCGTTTTCTTTTCCATCTATGATTTCGTCTACCCGCCCATAACCGTCTCTCATTAATTAATTAGCATCACGAAGAAGAATCAAATTCTATTCTCTTTCTCCATGCCAGCCAAAGTCATGATCACAGGAACACCAAAATGCGGCGACACGCTGGGACTCTCACTCCCCTCCCCTCGTCCAAAAATAAAATAATTTTCGGGCCCTATCCCCAACCATTGGCTCTCGCTTCAGTGCACCTTCCTGAAACCTCGCCAGCACGCCTCACTGCCATTGGTCAGCAATCACGAATCCTTCCATCTTGCATCTCTCTCAGCCAGCCGAGCCGCTCAGATCTTCACTTCGGGGCCTCGTTCACTTTGACCTTCAATCCCGGCGCCACGCTGCCCCATCTCCTATCCATCCAAGTCATGCTTCATGTCATGCCCCCATTCCATGGCAGAAGACGAGAATAAGTCAGCGAGGCGCTCGCTGCCTTGCGATGCGACTCGAGATCGTGTGCGTGTAACCAACATATTGGTCCTTAGCCATGCAGCTTTTTCTTCAGCGGCAAAGGAGAGACACGATCGTACCTGCATATCCCCTCCCTTCCAATCCTTAGATATTTCGTACCACTGGTCTCGTACCTAACCCAAAATCTATTTTTGAGCTGCCTGTCCTTCTTTGTCAACTTTTCATCTTCACCGCCGAGCGCCCAGAGATGTAATCTACCGGATGGAGGACTTCGTATTTTCTTTAGCCATGTTTTCCTGCCTGAAACATGACAGGCGGCTCGCTCTCAGACCTCTCCCTCCCTCTACCGTTTCCGGGATTTGGAATGGTAAGCTAGAACATGGCATGGCTTGTCCGTCGTCCACCTTCAAAGCTTTTCTTTTTCTACTGAGTATGTCTCGCAGGAAACTGAAACCTAGCGTCTCGTGCCTTGCGCATAGTACCTAGTCTAGATCTTCTTTCAACCTTCTGCAAGTGGGACTGTGGAATACTCCGTACGAGTGCCGGAGGAAGCAGATGGATTGGGATTAATACAGACAGGCTATTACCCAGTTTACGGGCGCGTGCAGATGTGTATCAGTGTTTCTGTTCTTTGTACGGAGTTAGTTAGACGGAGGTTTCCAAGGATATTTCATGCCAGCTTGCCAGCCGTCTTCTCTTCAATTGTCCCTTCTACGTCTCAGAATACCGTTTCATGTCCTTCCATTGCCCTATCCCACGTGGTCGTTTTGTTTCTTTGTAGATAGACGGAAAATCTGTTAATCCTGTTTCCTATTCTGTCTAGATAACTCTTCAATCGTCCCTTTCTACGTCACTGACGTCTCAGAAGCACGTTTCATAGCCTGCTATACATCGTATCCCACGTGGTGACTGCACGGCACGCCATAGCCTTCTGGTTGTGTTTCTGTTTCTTCTATCTCGTTTTTGCAAGTACGGGAGGAATCATCAGCAAGCATAGATAAGGCAGAGAAACAAACTCAAACACGGCAGGTATACGGAAGAAAGGTGGTACAAAAGGATTCAATAAACTCATACACACCTAGCTGGTAGGCCAAACTGCATACGACGGTTCCCTTTCGAAGGATTTGTTTCTGTTGCACGTCGCATCACAGATATCGAAGGCCATCCTACTAGATTGAGTGCATCACGTGACGAAACGAAGGATGCAAGATGATGCTTATGTTGTTTTGAGTGAGTGACATGCAGGATTTGCAAGGCTATGTGCAAGCGTATAGTAAGCTGTCCTGTTCCTGTCAGCTTCGTAATGATCCTTGAGCCTCGTCTAGCTTACCTCGATGTATACGGTACGATGTACGAAAGTAGCTGGTACGGTGGTATTAGGGTCTTGGCTTGTTTGAGGAAGGAAAGAGCCCCACGAGAGCTGCATGAATAGCAAGAGGCTGTCTATCTACAGTATCTATCTAAGCTAAAGCCTCGGTGGCTGCCTGCTACAGCGCTATGAAACCCGGCGTAGGTTGCAAATTACGAGCTCTTGCGGGGTAATGTTTCGAGAAACAAGTTTCATTACGCTTCCTCTTGAGGTCAGCCTTGAAGTTGTACATTGTTGAACTTCTCCTTTTGTGGATGCTATTTCTGGAGGCAATTATGAGTTATCTTTATGCTATGTTTGTTCTTTCTCTTTAGTAAGAGCAGGAGCACGAGGACTCCGTTCTTTGATTTCAAGCATCCGTCTTATAATACATTTGGATTTGGAAATCAGGGATTGAAGAAGAAGAAGAAGATGATGATGAAGGGTGTGCTGAATTGGTAATGTTTATATATTCTTATTAAATATCTCTAGTATTAAGAATTTGAGAATCAGCAGCATGCTTCAGCGGAAGGTTTATTTCATCGGTGTTATTTCATAATGTGGGGTAACTTGAGACAATAAATCGCAGTTTCCCTCCCTCTCTGTGCTCATAGGAACACAGCAAAGTTGGATGTCTTTAGCTTGATATATAGCTCTGTAATTAAAGTATTAGAGAAACAGAATGCTGTTAATATTGCTTTGCTATCATTTACTATTATTCATTCATTCATTCGTCAACCCACCATCACATTCCTTTTCTTCCATGCATTTACTAATTGCTTTTTCATATCTACTATTATTCGCTCTCCTAGAGAAGTCAATCGATAGACCTTCCCTCGGGACCGAGGCACTCTTTGTGCTATCTTGGTTGGAAAGTGATGTTATGTTAATGCCGCCCTCGGTATTGCTTGAAACTTGATATCACTGAACACCTGCAATGGTCGAGTGAATATGATGTTTATGTTCTGAGTTTTAATAGTTTAATTGAGTTTATATATAAGACGGAAGTTTGATACAATATGACATTTGCCAAAAAAGAACGTATCAGTCATGACGTCGACGACTCTATTAAATTGCATCAAATCGTAACATTCTTTCGCTGCACTGTCAACCACATCCACAGGAGTCATTAGACTACCTAGGTAGGAAAAGCAACATGTCTCAAACGGGAGTCACTCCGTCCCCAGACACCCTTCCATACGCAGCTTTAAAGCGCCAGCTCCTCTCCAAACCCACACCCGTTCTGCCGCCCCCGCCATCAAGCGCGTCCCCGCCAACATCCCACGCAATATCTTCGCTCTCACTCCACCCATCCCTCGAAGCAGCTCTGCACCTGCTCAATGACGACCTGCCGTCAGCGCATTTTCTGGTGCGCAAAATGCAGGCTGCGCCGAGATGGGAGGCAATGATGCTGCACGGGATACTGCACCGCATTGAAGGTGATTACGAGAATACGCGCGCGTGGTATCGTGATGTGCAGGATTCGGAAGTGTTTAGGCTTGCCTGGGGTCGTGAAGACGGTTTGGAGAGAGCGATGGGCTTTGTGAGGCGGGTGAAGGTGTTGAGGAAGGAGAGGAAAGTAGAGGATTCCAAGCAGGAGTTGAAGGAATTGCAAGATGAGAGTGGGAGGGAGATTAGGGTTGTGATGGAGTTTTGTGAGAGGGAGTTTGGGACGGGGAAGGTGGTCGATGCAAGCGGAGTATGGGTTCAGGATGAGAAGTCTAAGGGGAAGGGTAGTGATATGGTGATTGGTGGGGAAGGTTGGAGACAATTTTGACGCTTTTTTGCCTTGCTTTGCGAGTAATGGATGGTGAAAAGAATAGAAAGGGACTACGTCCTCTTCCACCAGATGAAGTATCACAGTGCTGCTCGAGCCCCCACATCTCTAACCTCCAAAGGCTTCGCTACCTCGTTCCTCATCATCTCCAGAATTTCCCCTTTCCCCATTTCCTCCCTCTCCCCTTTCCATCTATTAAACTCCTCCCACCACCAACAATGCGTAACTCCATCCCTCCCGAGATATCCCGCTACACCGTCAGAACCAACCCTCTTACTCCACGGTTTATCCACAATATAATGTAGATTCCGCACTTCCCCATCTTCCCAAAAGCCCGCATGCCAATACCGCATCGTCTTGAGCGCATTATACCGCCACCCCACACTCTCCCATCTCCCTCTGAAGAAGTCCGCTAAGAAATCCTGATCCGGAAACATGTACTCCTGTACTCTTTTATCATCTTCCAAGAACCTTAACATAGCCTCCCACTGCTCATCGAATGGCGAGAAAAGAAACAATCCGCCGTTGAGTACCGTATGCGTGTCCTTTCCCAACTGCCCTGGCGCAGGCACAGGTGTCGGGGCATCACCAGGTCGTAACCCAGCGTACGCGCAATTCTCCGGTGTCCATGAAGCAGGCGCCCAAGAATCCTTGTCCAGATTACAGACACACGCATGGTTGGCCGCAATGGCATCACGCGGCAACGAACGCGACAAATCAAACAGCTCGTCCATGTTCCGCCTCACCAGCATATCAGCGTCCAGGAACACCAGCCGCTCACCGCCATACTTGTGCAACTCGAAGACCCGGAGCTTGGTCCACGTGTCGGCGAACCGGGCGGCGATGAGTGATGGGGGGAGGTTGTGAGGTGGTGGAGATAGAGGGTCGATTGGTAGGTGGATTGCATTGCTCAGACTGCATTCCTCTTGTAGCTGGGGGAGAAGAGATGCTGGGAATGAGGGAGTGGTTAGGATAATCAATGGATATATTGAGTTGTGCTTCTGGAGGCTGTAGGCGAGCAAAACGGCTCCCGGGAGGTATGAGGCTTTGGTGATGAGGGTGACCCATGCAAGTTTCGGGATAACTGGTGGAGAGGTCATTGGAGCTTATGAGCATTGAAGTCTGTTGTGTCGTGGAGGAACAAGCATGCAATGATGAAGTTGTGTGGATTTTGGGAAAGTGAAGTAAGTATAGACCGTCCACGGAGCCACCCTACATTTTGAATGGACAATCCATAGGTATCAGGATCGATAATGAGGTGTATCTAGTATTGTGGTTGTTTATAGTAACGTCATCTTAGCTTCTGACTTTCATCCGAGACAGATTACGGTAGTCCCGATGGTTGCACATTGTACCACATGCAGGTGGTAAATGTCGTGACGTCTACACTACAAGTCAAAGAAGTTCTATTTATGGATTTATGGTCTCCTAATCTAACGCGAACTTTCATCTACAGCCACCCGAGCCTTCACTTGTTTAGTCACGAGATTCGTCTCGCACTTAGTCCTGCACTTCATGGTCTTCAATTTGCTAAAGGGGGTACATTTTCACACTATGGCGGATTCTTCTCTCACCTACTTCACTTGTACATTGGGACAAGCAGCTGCCACTAAGAACGTAGCATCTTCGAATGCCAAAACAATCAACGACTTTCTCGAGTCGCAGGCACAGTTATATCCCAGACTACCAGCAGTAGGGTTTCCAGTCCCAGTGCCAAATAAAGGAGAATGGAGCTCCGAGGTTTTCTGTAGGTTTCCATTTCCCATCCTGGGACTGAATTTGAACATTGATGCATCATAGCGTTTGAGGATCTTTGCAATGGTTCCAAAACCGTGGCTAAGGAACTATATCCATACATAAATGCTGGAAACATTGGAAACCCGAGCTGTGTAGCACTCCTGTGTTCTAGTTCCATAGATCTACTTTTCACTTGGTTGGCTCTAATGAGAATTGGCACTTCAGTTCTACTCATTGCGTTTGTCTAACCACAACCCTTGAATTGAATACCAAACCAAAACTGATCTGTGATGAGAATAGGCCCCAATGTCAACCTGCGGCTATAGCATCTTTGTGCAAATCATGTGATGCGTCCATACTATTTCATGACCCCTCCCACAATGACCTTGCATCTTCTTCTGCATCTCCCCCGGATTCAGATTTTGTTGCCCAACTCTTTCCTTGGAAAAGTGTGGAGAAAGATATTATAAGCATCATTCGTGTTAATAATGAGACGAATTTTGACTTTGTCCCCCTATACGAACCCTCCGAAAACGACACTGCATACATTCACCACAGTTCAGGGACCTCAACTGGTATTCCAAAGCCAATACCTCAAAGTCACCGAGCTGCATTTGGTGTCCTTCCTCATCTGGATGGCCAAAAATCAGCTACCTTCACCACAACGCCTCTCTACCATGGCGGAATTGCAGATTGCTTCAGAGCGTGGACGAGCAATGCCTTGATCTGGCTGTTCCCCGGCGAAACCTTACCTATAACTCCCAAGAACATTATTCTATCTCTATCTGCCGCTTCAAGAGCGGAAACGGAAGCTTCAACGCCGCCGGTCAAATATTTCTCCAGCGTCCCGTACGTTCTGCAAACCCTTGCTGAAGAGCCTGCTGGGATGGCTTTACTCCAAAACATGGAGCTAGTGGGAGTAGGAGGAGCAGCCCTATCACCCAACATTGGTGACCATCTCGTCAGTCAAGGCGTGAGTCTAGTCTCCCGCTTCGGAAGTGCAGAGTGTGGATTTCTCCTCTCCTCTCACCGAGATTATGCCGTCGACGCAGATTGGCAGTTTCTTCGCCTTCCGTCCGAGTGCAAAAGTCTGTGCTTTGAGAAAATGGGCGAGGAGAACAGCGTGTTGAAAGAGCTGGTTGTGAAGAAGGGGTGGCCGCATCTGGCTAAGACTAATAGGTCAGATGGGAGTTATGCCACGGGAGATGTTTTCGAACCACATCCTCATATCAAGAATGCGTGGAAATATCACAATAGGAGTGATAGTCAAATTACTCTCCTTACGGGGAAGAAGTTTGACCCCGCGCCTTTTGAAGATGCGATTTGTTCAAGTTCGAACATCGTCCGTGATGTTGTTATTTTTGGAAACGAGAGGCAGTATCCAGGAGCTCTTGTATTCCTCTGCCGTTCAACAGGTGAAAATAAAGAAGAAGAATCCTGGAATGTTATTTCGAAACATAATGACAAGGTGGAAATTCACGGCAGAATTGATAGGAACATGATAGTGTGGATTTCCGCCGACGAACTGAAACCAGAAAAGTCCAGCAAGGGGACTATACTGCGAGGCCCAACTGAAGAAAGGTTTGCTGCATATATCGATGATCTTTACGAAGGAACAAACCAGTTACCTCTGACTTCCAATGTACCAGACAGTGAAGTAGGTTCTGTGACGGCAAGCATTGTGCATGAAGTTATTGGTTTCGAACTCAAAGATGACGAGGATTTCTATCAACACGGGGTTGATTCAACAAAGGCTACAAAAATCAGGTCCAAACTTCAAATAGTATATACTTTCCTACATGGCTCATAAGTACATAGGCTTATGAAAACAGAAGCTTTCCATAGGAACTGCACTGCCGTGGAATATCGTATACGACTGTGGGAACATTCAAGAGTGAGTTTCAATTCCAAGCTTATATCCCAAGACTGACCATCCAGACTTTCTCAACGTCTAGTAAGAGCTCGTAACAACCCAACAGAGATAGCAAACCCCAGATCCGAAATCCGCGAGATGCAAGATCTCGTCGCCCAATATTCTCATTTCGATTCCCCGACAGCTGAAAAACAAAACGCTATACCCAAGACCAGCATAGCAGTGAGTTATACTAAGCTTCATCCCCACTACATCTAAACGATTGGTTGCTAAGAACCCCCCTTCAGGTCCTCACGGGTGCTACAGGCGGTCTTGGTGTCAATATACTGGAAATCCTCCTCTCCAACCACTCTTTTTCACAAATCATATGTCTAGTCCGCGCAAAAGATGAACAGGAAGCCTTCATAAAAGTCACCGCTAATTTGACAGCCCGAAAACTGTCTCTCCCAGCACCAGACAGACTGAAATGCGTGCCATTTATATTGAGCAGAGCGGATCTGGGATTATCAGGGGAGGTATTGGAGGTTATTAGAAGAGAAGCTGGGTGTTTTATTCATGTGAGTATTTTACTTTACCTTGTACTCTACTTTAATAAGTTTCGTGTTGCTGTTTTTCAACGCTGCTGATCAATGGCAATGCACGGAGTAGGCAGCATGGGCAGTCAACTTCTCCCTCCCCCTCCACTCCTTCATTCCCTCGCACATAGTCGGGCTGCACCACCTCCTGACCCTCGCCATCTCATGCAGCTACCCCGCCTCCTTTATCTTCTGCTCCTCTACAGCCAGCGTCATCCGCGCCCCTTCTACATCCTCATCCCCCATCCCCAGAACTCCTCTCCCACTCCCCCCACCACTCCGACACCCTAGGCTATTCCCGCAGTAAATGGGTCGCGGAATCCATCTGCGCATCTGCATCCCGGATTCCTAGCATGCGTGGACGCGTCAATGTAGTGCGCGTGGGTCAGCTAACGGGGGATGCGCGGAATGGGGTGTGGAATATAAATGAGGCGTGGCCGTTACTTCTCAGTACTGTGAAGATACTAAACTGCCTTCCTGATATAAAAGGGCAGAAGCTGGATTGGCTGCCGTTAGATGTGGCTGCGAGGGCAGTTGTGGATGTTGCGCTAACGTTGGGGTATAAATCTGGATTTCAATCTGGAATTGGAATTGGAGCTGGTGCCGGGGATGAGGAGCGTGAGCGGGTTGAGGGCGAGGACATTGTATACCATGTCCTAAATGCATCTCCCACGCAAGATTGGGGCGATCTATTGACCTGGCTTTCACGCATCAGCACTGAGGAATTCGAGGTCGTGGACCCGGGTAACTGGTTACGGAAATTGCGAGGGTTGGAAGGAGAACATCCTGCGAAGAAACTGCTGTGGTTGTGGGAGCGGGGGTTTGGTGATGGCGATGCTAAGGAGGAAGGAGGGGATATGAAGGGAAAAGGGGGTATGGAGGTGGTGTTTAGTACTGAGCGGGCCATGGGGGTCTCGAGAGTGTTGAGGGAGTTTGACGGGGTGGACGAGGGACTCGTGGGGGAAGATTTGGGGGTGGCTCGAGGGGGAGATGAGGGGGGGTTCTAGGAGCTAAAGTCTTAAATTCTTTTCAAGTGTACTGTAGTACAGTAGGTAGTTCAGTTACTAAACATATTTATATAAGATTACATTATACGAGCAGGACTACCTCCTACTTCAACATCGAAAGATTTTCCCCGTGCTAACATTACACCTACTCCACCACTTCCCCGTCACAACAGTGAGTAGGAAAATACAAGGCCAGTACACACTATACAACCACCACGCCGGTAGCGGATCCCAGGTCTGGTAGGTAGGATCGCGCCAATTCAGCACATGCTCTGCAAACTCTCTCCATTTGGCGAAGATGTCCGCCCAGGAACCTTTTCCTGTGAAGATGAATGTGAGGAGCGGTAGAAAGAGACGGGTTATGAGATCATGTCCTATCCAGTAATGGCTTGTCGTGGAAGTTGAAACGAAAACAGGGAAATGGGAGTGAGAAGGGGAAATGGAAAGGGCACTGAGATACGCGTTGACCATACCCAGCCCGTCGTCTCCAAAGTTCACAACGGCCGTGTGAGCCCTAGGATTACACTCGATAGGAAACAGCCTCGCCTGTAACTCCTTCCCCTGCTCATTATCATCCACCAAGAAATCAATCGAGAAATGCCCCGTCACATATTCCCGGCCCACCCCCTTCGCCATCCTCTCAACATACATCTCAGTATATTCCAACAACGCCTTGAAGATCCCATCATCCGGTAGCAACGGCTCGTAATGCATAAGCAGCTCCGCCGACCCACACGCCGTGAACCCCACGACGCGGCCCCGGACTACGATGGCATGCGTGCAGTATTCCTCCCCATGTACAAAGCGCTGCAGCACGAACGGTCGGTCGGGACTCAGGCGCGCTGCAACGAGATGCGCGCGCGTCGCTGCGGGCAGCGGGAGCGGGAGGAGCGTCATGTCTGCGCGGACCGAGTCTTCTACGCCTACGCTCTTCAATATATACCGCGTTTGCGCTGTCCCCCGGACATCTAAGACCTGCATTGCAGACTCGATGGAAGTGACGAGGTGGGTGTCGGGGACGTTCAGACCTAGTGATCGGGTGTTTGAGATGAACGAGTGTTTTTCGTGCAGGGTGCGCGTTAGTTGGGACCCGAATTGGAGAGCGATGCATTTGGTGTGTCTTGAGATGGCATCTGCTGCGAAGCCGTCTGCGACTGCTGACATGACGCCTGAGCAGCTGATCCATAGGTCTACTTGCTCGGCGTTTATGATTTGGAGCAATTTTTGGGTATAGACCATTTCATCATCCTCCTTTTCCCCTTTTTCATCTTTGGGAGGAGAAGGAGGAGAAGAAGCGGGAGAAGGGAGACGGTAGAAGCGCTTGAGAGACCTCGAGAAACGACCACAGACGGGGAGCGAGTGGGGTTCGAAATCAGCACCGATGACTATATGGCCTGCTGCGTGGAAAGCGCGGGCGATGAATAGGCCTTTGCTCATGCCTACGCCGGTGACCAGGATTGTTTTTGGAGCGAGGCATGCTGGGGATTGTGGTCGTGGTTGGCGTTTGGCACGGGGATGGAGATGTGATGATGATTTCGAGAGAGAGATGCGCGTGCATGAGTCTATAGCGATACTGATGAAGAGTATGATGGTAGAGAGAGGGATTGCGAGGATGGATACGGCGATGAGTGAAAGGTTTTGGAGGACGTGTAACCGGGTGGGTGATTTTGCTGTAAGTGGCATCTTTTCTTTTTCTCTTGAATCTATTCCCACTCTTTCAATGAGGGACAACGAACACGGTGGGATGAAAGTTCACTCAGACGCAATCAATCAGTACACACGATGAGTCCATGGTAAGACAAATCTAATGTGACGTTCATTCTATCTACTGCTGGCAGCGCAGAAAGAAAGAAATACGAATATGACCAGAGCCCCGAAAGAACACACCGCTGCACCACAAGTTCATGGTCTGGAATGATTGGTAGGAAATACTCCTTGGTACCTGTTCTGCCCCTGAATTCATGACGTTACGGTATCTTGTGTAAGAGTTGTCTGTTTGCTTAGAGGCGGGGTAATATATAATTAGCGGCACACTACTCGTACCTACTACACACACCCTAGTGGAGAGAGTCTATGCAATGCCCTAGCATCCTTAGAGTACAGTAGCTTCCGCAATCCAAATATGAGCTATCACATTTGCCATTACAATTGTCATTACTACATGCCGCCAAGTCATGATGTAGATGTCTTACATTGTACATCGAGAAGTGCATCGTCCAATTGAGTCGGCCGGGTTATTGCCGGTGGAACGTAACGTGTAGTACTGTACCTGGCGCTATTGTGACAGGTATCCAAGACGTATTGTCCAAACTGTTCCACACTATTACTTCAAGTCTCACCCGTACGTTAACTTCCACTTAGCAAGTACTAGTGAGCTTCTACAGGTAGACAACATCACAAAATGTTATTCGACCAAGGGAAAGCATATGTTCCACAGGAGGAGAAATTTGTCAGTGTCTTCCAGAGATCCATTGATTTACCCAGCGTCTGTACATGTCTGCTAACATAGTCAGTTCGATGATGGGCGAGAAGAAGAACTCGTCCACTTCATCACGAAGAAAACAGACCTTCGTAATTCTCCACGGAAAATACTCGCCGCCATTGACGAATACGCACGAACCCAGAAGTACCTCATGAATGTCGGAGAAGACAAGGGACACATCGTCAGCGGCATCATTCGCAAACGGCGCCCTGGTATCATGATGGAACTTGGAGGCTACTGCGGATATTCCACCATTCTATTCGCAGACGAAGCACGAGCAGCGGGCGGCAGAAAGTACTTTTCGTTAGAGCGGAGTCCCAAGTTTGCCGCCAACATCAAGGCACTGGTGGAGTTTGCTGGGCTGGGGGATTTCGTGGAAGTGATTGTGGGATCTAGCAACGAGAGCATCCAGCGTCTGCATAATAACGGACAGGTCAAGAACATCGATATGATGTTCCTGGATCACTACAAGCCAGCTTACACCACCGATCTCAAACTCTGCGAAGCGTTGGGGATGATCGGTCAGAACACTGTGCTGGCTGCGGACAACGTGATCCAGCCTGGCAACCCGCCGTATCTGAAATACGTCCGAAGCACTGTGCAGGAAAAGCGAATGGCGTTGACTCTGGCGAGTCCAAAGGATACAGAGAGCTTTGGACTCCGGTCTGCGGCGCAATATGGATCGGTGGAAGAATTGGGCGCCGAGGCAAAGGGTGACCCGGACCTTGTTTACAGAAGTGAGTTGGTGAATAGCTTTGAGCCTTCTGGGGTTCCTGTAAGTACTCCTTTCTATTCATATCTGCGTGAGAATAATTCTGATTGGTAACATGTATTGATATGTTAAACTGCAGGACGGTGTGGAAATTACATGGTGTTTAGGAAAGTCAGAAGAATAGTTCAAGGCGTTTTTTAAATTTGACATTGTTAAATTCCTGGTAGTAAAATAAATCCCTATATAATATGCACTCTTGTGGTTTGGAATAAACCAAGTAGAAGCAAATTCCACTTGATCTGTCATATTCCGAGAGCAGGAATGGTATAGTACCTCAGATGCCACTAAAAGCTACTTCCTATTGTAGCAGCCTCACTCGGGAGATAACGCTTGACATTACCCTAACATAGCGTATTTTCCATCCGAAATTAGGTTCACGATGCACGACATGATTTCGCATTCGGTTTAATGTGCTCCAACTCCTTGGCATCTATTGGCGCGAGGGTAGCTAGATCTAGTGGTCGATGTATAAGACTTACATCTTGCACCCACATCGTATCGCCAGACGGGAACGAACATGATCTAATACTAAGGTACTACTTACCTTACTCCGGAGTAGCTTAGCTATGTCGCGAGGGTGCTTCGGTCGCGGGAACTTTCTTGATTTTGATTCGTTGGTTTATCAGGATCTGCCCTGGACTGGAATGCACTAATATGAGGATTCCGCCGCATTAAGCCTATCGTACAAAACGTAGGTCACCTCTTCGTGAATTGGCTCTGTGAAGTTCATGGCTTAGCTCTGATGATATTGATCTCGCCCATCACCGTTGTGTGTAACACTACACTTTATGCTATGGAGCTATGGTTCCGGGGCAACAGGGTTGAGAAAGCCACTTCTGAAGAAAAGGTACTGGCCTGAAATGAGGTTTATATGGACAGGTACACGACATAGTAAGCAGAAGTTTGAAATCCCGGTACTACAGTCTACGGAAGGAGAATACAAACTAAATGCCATGATAAACTCTTACACCCCCTGTCCAAACAACTTACCGAATGGTGGCTTATAGACTACGTCTAATTCACGGGTCATTATTATTTAATATAAATAGGATGTGTTCCTAGTAGCATCGGCACTCCCTCCCATTACAGCTACATAGTATAGCCGCCGCGCTAGAGAACCACCGCAAACGAACATGTAGTGCAACCGTCTGCAACTGAACAACACTCTTGTTTCACTTCACATATCATGATTCATCGTTATTCACCAGATTAAAGTCCAGACCGGAGATGGTTAATGGTAACATCATTCACAACGACCAATTTGCATTCGTGTCTAGTAACTATGTGTATGGTGTGCTTGAAACCTCTGTTTTTATTGGTAAGTGTTGTTACTTAGGAGGTACGCCCAAAGAGTGGTTAAAACCCCTGATTCCCCCCCTTGTACTCCTTCGATCACCTTCCTCATCTGAGACAATCATCACGTTCACATTCATTCATTTCCCTCAACGGCACGTGAACAGCTCGCAAATCTCCTTCACTCCAATCCACAATGTCTGATCTCAAAGCTACCGTTGCAGAAACCCAAGCCTCGTCAGGTCACTTGGGTTTCCACGTTGAGGGCTATGAGAAGATTGAATATGATTTCACATTCATTGATGGTATTTTCGATGTCAAGAATACCAATCTTGCAGATTGCTACAAGAAATGGGGGAGATGTCTTGCAGTGACTGATCTCAACATTCATAATCTCTATGGTCCGAGAATGGAGGCCTATTTCGAGCATCATAGGATTGAACTCAAGGTTCATACTACCAAGATTGGGGAGAAGGCAAAGACGATGCCGACGCTGTTGAGTATTGTCGACTCGATGAATGCATTTGGGATCTATCGCAAAGTTTGTACTCTGGCCTATGGTTCTTTCCATATGTGCGGCAGCGGCTAATTTGTATCTCAGGAGCCTGTTTTAGTCGTTGGCGGTGGACTTGTAACGGATGTTGCAGGGTAGGATTCCCTCTACCCAAAGTTATGCAATCCGTCACTTATTAATGACTTGACAGTTTTGCATGTGCTGCATATCGACGAAACACAAACTTCATTAGAATCCCTACCACGGTCATCGGACTGATCGATGCGTCAGTCTCAATCAAAGTAGCTGTCAATTACGGCGAGACCAAGAACCGACTAGGTGCTTACCATGCCCCGATCCACACGTTCCTCGATTTCACATTCCTGCGAACTTTGCCTAAGGCTCAAATCCGAAACGGGTTTGCAGAGCTGATCAAGATTTCATCCTGTGCTCACCTGGATACCTTCAACCTCCTTGATAAATACTGCGAGCAGCTTATCGACAAGTCCTTTGGACGTGGGGACGGATCTTCCCAGGAGTTGATCGACGCAGCAGACCAAATCAACAGGGAAGGCATCCACGAGATGCTTAAGCTCGAGACGCCTAATCTACATGAGATCGGTCTCGACCGCGTTATAGCGTATGGACATACCTGGTCGCCTATCCATGAACTGGTCCCGGAAACACCTCTTCGTCACGGCCACGCCATATCCATCGACATGGCCTACTCGGCTACACTAGCTAACAACCGCAAGCTCATTTCAGACGAAGAGCACCACCGAATCCTTAAGCTGTTCTCTCGAGCCGGGCTGTCCATGGATCACGACCAGTTTGATGAAGTTATCCTTGCTAAGGCTACAGCTGCCATTTTAAAGACTAGAGATGGACTTCTCCGCGCTGCTGTTCCAAGCCCTATCGGTTCCTGTGTGTTCCTCAACGATGTCTCAGGAGATGAGATGAACAAGGCATTACGCAGACACAAGGAGATTATGAAGCAGTTTCCAAGGAACGGAGAAGGTCTCGATGCTTACGTTGATGCTTCTGATACTGGGTACACTGAAAATGCCAAGTCAGAGGAGGAAAAACTGGTTGAGAAGGCGGCTGGAAAGGCTGGGAATACGAATGGTAATGCCATGATTGGGAAAAGCAATGGGCATAGTGTCAACGGGAACGGTGTAAATGGAAAAGGAGTTAACGGCAACGCGACCAATGGTAATTCGAGAAAGGAAAGTCATGGGAATGCCCACCTCCTAAAGCAAGGGAAGAAGGTGGTAGCAGGAGCATGATAGAGCAAGCGACAACGACATTATAGCTCTCATATGAAGGTGAAAAATAAGCCATAAAATTCAGACAATTCTTATTAGCCATGTTATACTGGCCTGTTGGGTTTACAAAGACTGTCGAATATCGTAGAATAAAAAAACGAAAATAACGCGAGTTAATGTAAGCTCTACTATGGGTAGAATGAGCTGGGTCGCTTAGCGGTGAACTTAATGCAAATCAAGTTTGATGAAATAGATGTTGGGATCACATAGTGCACCCAACATTCCCAAATCCACTCTTCCAAGTCAACTCTTTCCCAAAATTTCACTCTAGCCCCACGCTAGTGGTTTGCTTCTCATTACATCAATAGTATAACACTTATCCTCTCTCCCTCTCTCCTTCTTGTTTTCAAGATACTTTAACTACCCCAAACACTTACTTCCATGTTCTGGCCTATTGCAGTTGCACAGCCTTTGCTTATACATCCCTTGCTATCAAGTGGGACATCTGAGTTCTGACCAGAATTCTAAGTGTTAGGACACTGCGTTTTCGTTCAAATCAAGATCTATTCACTTTATGGAGGAACCTCATACCTAGGCTCCGGTCATTTTCGGTTTGCATATTATACCCAGTGAGAGAAGGTCTTGATAGCTAACGGCAAGGAAGTCTGTAAGTTATTCATAGGGACAGTAATTTACAAGCGATGGTGTCTATCATACAAAGTAAAAGCTACATGCTCTCAGCAACATTATAAAATCCTCTCTGGTATACCTGCTACTAGAATCATCGTGCCATCTGCTATATCGCTTTCCGATCATTATCTCTGTCATAGCTCTGTCATCACCCATTGCCTCGCTGAAAACATTCTCGCTCTTAAAGCCTGATCGTTAGGAAATCCCTTTCGGCTTGGATCCTTAATACAAATCCTCGCCTTCTTCTTCATCAGAAGACCCTCCTTCTTCTTCAGACTCTTCCTCTTCTTCAAACGACCTTTCTTCTTCATCAGTCGACTCTTCATACCGGCCTCCCAATCTGTTCCGATCCAGCTCCACAATTTCCGCAGTCACCTCTTGCAGTCTCGCAAGCCAAGCCTTATGCTGTAAGCTGCTATCAAATTCCACATCTGATTTTCGAGAACCATGAGCTGCGTATATCTTCTTCATAAGTTCACTGTGCTCTTTGCGTTCCTCTCTAGAGTCACTGCCATCATTGAGAACTTCAACAGTAGCTATGACGACATCACAATCAAGAGCTTTGCGGGTTATTTCTGGCCATGCTTCGTACTCCGGGGCGTAGATGGTAGTGAGTTGGTCCCTTAGATCGGCGGAATCAGATGCAAGTCCGGATTTGAGCAACGCGAAATCAGCATCCCCATTCGCACAGTGAGCTGCTGTATTGCCTCTCTGAATAATATCTTGGTTGAGACTTCCACGAGTGCTATTACGGAGCATTCCTTTCGTCTGCTCGACATATCGAAGTCGAATTGCAGCACCAATATACAATACTGGCTCTACTGCCTTCCGTTGCTGCCTCAGTTCAATTTGATGAAGAACGGCCTGGGCTGTAAGTTTCTTCTGAAGCATTTCCTTGGCCTTGGGAAAGACATTTTACCCTAAATTCCTCTCTGCTCGTTACAAAGTCGTCTCTGATCTGCTTGATCTCTTTCTGGTGTTGGGCCTTTAGCTGTTCAACCTCGGTGGCGTTCTGGACCTTGATGTTGTAGCTGTCGTTCCGTAAGACAACAATTTCGTACCTTGCGAGCCTCAGCTCACCCTCTGCCTTCTTCAACTTCAACTCTAGCTCTCCCTCTTTGAGCTTATCCTCGAGTGTGTTGCCTCCGGTCTGAAGTAGCCTCGAAGAACTGGCCGCGACACGAGCGATTCGACCTGAATTTAGAGGCTTATTGGAATCTTTGGTGGTGAGGACATTGATAGGAAGTTGAGCATTAACATCAACATCTTTTGGAGTAGTTTTAGATTTGGTGCGGTCGACAGCTCCGGCAGGGGATATTGAGCTTGATGTATCGTCTTCTATGAGGCTTAGCGGACCGTGACCCTGGACGTAAATAGAAAGCTTACCTATTGTGAAGCGCAAGAGTCTCTGCGTTTGCTCTTCCAACAGTCTATTCGACTCCTTAAACCACGAGCCTGTTAATCGTGACCCCGCCATTGCCAGGAGGTTATTCGCTAGTATAGATGCTCAGGGAGGGGAACGTAGTGTCGCGAAGAACAGTTTGAGCTGAACCCGGACACTAAAGGTATTGCAAACTATATGGACAACTAGAAGTCTAGACGGTTGATACTTGGTGGTTGGCTTGAATTGAAGTGAAGGTTGAGGATGGAGTTGAGGTTGGACGTTTGGCGAGACGCGCTTCGCTCCCCCAGATAGTCTTGAAAGTGGAAGGAGCACATCCCAATATTCACTTTGAGGCGCTTCATCTTTTCGGAATGTACCGTGCTCTTCCTTCTCCAACATATTCAAAGATTCCTACCTACCAATTTTCCTCGAGATCTTTCACGTGCATTTCACTCATCAAGGATATGATACCCCTTGATATTTTTTTACTTAGACGTTGCTCTCTTAGTCACTTACCCCTAAGCTGTAAGCATAGTAGGTTCTAGCATCAAGCGGGCCTTCTGACTATGTAATTGAGCACGCGGGGTAGGAATAGAGAGTCATAAGAACACTCCGCATCACTACCGTGTTCTGATTGGAGTTTCATTTGGTTATTGCGGCTTAATATGGGTTCCTTCTAACTCTTTTATAGAGAAGAAGTACCAGGATCGCATGATACATATGCGAGTTCTTGCTCAGAGCATGAAGCGCCTGAACCTAATCCATAAAAACAACTTGTCAAATCTCGGAAATCCTCAACTGTTCTCCATCTCCATCAAACGATCAAACTATCTTACTGCATCATATCCTGACACACCCCTAATAATTCCACGGTTTTACACTAAAAGCTCATCCCCATCGATCTCTTTAAGTGTCTATACTTTTAGTTAGCATGTGAAACTCATACAGAAGATAACCGGAGATAACTTACTCTGAAATTTACCCTCGACGACGATGACTTTCCACGAACTTTCTTGTCATTCTCTCATTGACTTCAATAAATCTTTCGCGATCCTTCGGCTCGCAAAATTTCTGAAACCATCCTCTCTCACTGGGAAACCTATCACCATGTCCATCTTCCCGGATTTGTCTGAGAATATCACCCAACTGTGTCAAAATCATCTTTCTCCCATTCTCAAAACTGCTGTCTTGGTTGGTGGGATTTAGAGCTCGGATGGTAGAGTAGCAGTCCAGAATTCTCACATAATGAGAGTTGTCATGGCTGTTGAACATCTCTGGCTGCACCTTATACAACGTGAAATACACTTTCCTATTTTGCCGGTAATGTGACCCCCATTCATCCTCGTCAGTGTTGTAATAGTCAAGTTTGAACAATGCTGCATCAGCTTCTGAATCCCCATCATGGGCAGCATCATTTCCTTTTTCGATAATGCTCCTATTAGGGAAACCAAATTGAGAAGACTCATCATCATCCTCGATTCCGACTGACCCGTTATCAGCATTCAGTATATATTTAGCCTGCTCCATGCATCTCATACGAACAGCAGCTCCTACCCGAATTAGCGGCTCTCGCTTCTTGAGTTCGAGGTCCATATTCTTCTCCATTATCTGGAGCTCTCCTCGATAGTGCCACTTCTTCAATCTTTGAGCTTGAAACATATCCCAGATATCCATGCGCTGGATCTTGAGCTTCGCGATCTCGGCATTTTGATACTGCATGATAGTGACATGCTTACTTTGCTCCTCCAAAAGCAACTTGACTTTATCTGCCGACTTGTGTAACTTCTTCAATCGATCCTCGGATCTCTTCGTCAAATTCATAGTTACGCCATGAGCAACACCCAGATGCTTATCGAGTTCGCTGACGTAGTTCTTCTGTTGTTCAGTAAGTTGCTCCCGCTGAGTCTTCAGTGCCTCTTTAACCTCTTTCGAATGGTTTGCTTTGACCTTTGCGGCCTCCTCGCGTGCTGTTGCGACATTATGCTGTGCTGACTTGAGATCGCGTGTTTTCTTCCCAAGGTCTTGCTTCATCTTTTCGAACCTAGTTCGCAATTCGCGGAATGCTTTCTCGGAGTAAATCGCCGTTCCATAAGTCTCTAATTTCTCAGTTGAGGGTTCTCCAGTCACAGCAGCCATGGCATTCTCAGATCCTCCATCACCCTCGGCATCCGATCCAGCATCCGCAGAGTCGGACAATGTAGGAGTACGCAACTGCAGTATCGATTGAGTAGCTATTATCTTCGAGGTATTGGAATCATAGGAATTGTTTGCCCACGCGGAGGTTGAGTCTAGGTCTCTCATCTCATCGAAGACATTCACCGGGGTGTCGAAGATCATACGCGCTGAAAGCTCCTGCTGGTTTGCTTCTATCTCTTCGGCTTCGTCATGCTTGATCCGCTCCTCTGGGTCGAGTATGCTCTCAGAATCAGAGTGCGCATTAATGGGTTCGAGCTCGGCTGGTCTAGATTGTGGCAAATGTAGTGCATTGAGGCTAGGTGGATTTGTCCTCTTCGTGCCCGTAGCTTTGCTTCCTTTCTTCTTCTTGCCACCCATGATGAATTTCTTGGCCCTGCGAGTACTGTTAGAACATTAGAATGCGTAAAACGTTTCAAAGATCGAACCTATGCAGTCACAATATTGAAGGTTAAATGGAGCGACCAACGTACAAAGCCCCTTTGTGTCTAGCTACAGCAGGTATGTAGGTAGATTGAGGATGTGTCTGAACTCTCAGGGCTCAAAAGTGATGTGTTGCTGAGGTGGGGGTGGTGTCAAAGTCGCCTCAAATGGTGTTGAATTCAAGCATTATTCAGGTTGTGACTTGGGTTGGGTTTATGTAAATCAAGGGCAGTGGAGGAAAGCGGTCAAGTGAATATACAGAGAAAGTCACGTGCATGACCCCCTTTTCTTCGCTTAAGCCAGCTATCACTTCAAGATTTCAGACCCGCAA